GAACCCCCCCCTCCCCCCCCCCGCCGCCCCCGTTCGAAACCTCGAGTAGGCACCTCGCGAACGCCGCGTCCACCCTGACCTCCCGTCTCCGTCCCCGCCGTCCGTCCGCAGTACGACCGCGTCCCGCACGCCTCGGACGCGGGGATCGAGCTCGCGTGGGAGTCCAAGCTCGAGAAACACGCGACCGGACGCCTGTGGGACGCGTCCAAGTACCGTCTGCACTCCGCGGGCGTGGACGCGAAGACGAAGCGCGTGACGTTGAAACTCGGGACGACGTCGTATAAAGAGTACGTCGGAACGCACACGTCTTCGCGGCCCGCGGGCGAGCGCGAGACGCTGTTGCGAGACGGCGACGCCGCGGGGTCGAAGAACACGCACCTGAGCTGCTCGTTGGGCATCGAAAGCGTTTTACGGACCGCGGACGGCGGGATCGTGCTGCTGCGTCGAAGCGATCAGGTCGCGGTGCAGCCGGGAAAGTTCAACGGGCCCGCCGGTCACCCGGAGCCGTCCGACGCGAGCGGGACCGACGCCGCCGCGGCGAAGGCGGTCATCTTCCACTCCGCGCTGAAGGAGACGCACGAGGAGACGGGGGTGCCGCTCGGCTCGATGTCGCCGCCGAGATTGATCGGCGGCATGATCGACGCGGAGGGGAAGCCCATCTTGTTGTTTCTGACGGAGACGTCGCTCACCGCGGCGGAGGTCGCGAGCACGTACGCGTCCGCGGGCGCGGCGAGCGACGCGTGGGAGTCCAGCGGTCTTCACGTCGTCTCCGCGACGCCGTCCGTCGCGGTGGAGTGCCGGGAGTCGGACACCGCGGGAGGGACGGACGGGTTGAGAGTCGGCGAACCTTCGGTGGTGGACGCGGGGGTCCGCGGCGACGTCGGCGGCGAGAAAGCGGCGACCGCGAAGACGCGCGACGAGAACCGACGCGTCGCGTCGAACGCGGAATCTGAAGCGACGTTGACGTCCGGGTTTAACCCGTCGCTGACGCGTCAGTACTGGGCTCGGAGCGAGACGTTCTCGTCCGTGACCAGAGCCGCGGTGGACTGCGTGTACATGCTCGAGGCGACGTCTGGGGACGTCGAGGACGCCACGAGGCTCACGAGCCGCGCGCACGTGTGGGAGAACGCGTTAGACGCGGCGATGGATCACGACCTGGACGCGGTCGCAGGCGTGATCGAGCGCCTGAACCTTTCGCACCTCGGGATGGGGGGGTTCTAGCGCGGGTTTGAGAACGCGCGTACGAGTAGAAAAATTGAGTTTATCATCACGCGATCTTTTTGTCACCATCACCCGCGGTCATCACCGCGCCCCCGCGGCGGCGCTGCTTCCCTCCCCTGTCGTCGGGGTCAAAAATTCCCTCAACACCCTCGCGGTCACCCTCTGCACGACGCCGCTGACGACAGCCTCCACGAAGCTCCTCGCCGCCGGGGACGACCGCAGCGCCTCCGTGAACGGCTCCAGCGCCGTCGGGTCGAAACCTTTGCTCGACGACAGCATGTTCACGATCCGCAAGACTTGGTCCCGCAGCGCGAATAGCTTCGCCTCCTCGTCCGCGGTGCCGATTTTCACCGGCGGGAGCCGCCTCAGCGGGTCCGGGAGCAGGTTCACCAGCGGCGCGAGCTGGTCCGACCGCGCGGCTTCCAGAGACTGCCCCAAGATGATCGCCTCGACCACCTTGATCGCCTCCGCCTCCACGAGCGGCCGGAGCGTGTTCTTCGCGCCCGTCTCCGGGTCGTCCTCGCCGACGATGAGCTCCACGACCGTCGGGATCACGTCCCTGGCGGAGTAATCGTCGCTCTTCGAGCCCTCGCGGAGGAGGTTCTCCAGGCGGTTCCAGCGAAACTTTTTATCCTGGAACAGGAGCTCCGCGAACGAATCCCGGAGCTGCGGCCGCGGGTCCGTGAGCAACCGCCTCGCCATGTACGGATACGCCTTCCCCAGCACCTTAAACTTCGGGTCCGTGGATAACGCGAGCCCCTCGAGCACGGTGAGCGACCGCAGAATCAGCGCGTAGTACCCCGGGACGTTGAACGGGTACTCGTACAAGACCCCGCCCAGACCGTCGGTTATCGTCTTGAAATTCAGCTCCTCCACGGACGCGTCGAGGACGTCGTCGAAGAACGCCGCGAGCGCGGGGACGATCGGCGTGACGTCCACGCTCGGGTCTAAGAACTCGAGGTTGTAGTAGTCCCTCGCCATCGCTTCGTAGTCTCGGTTCACGAGGTGCACGACGTGCTCGATGATCGCGTATCGCGCGCGCTCCGGGGTCTCGGACATCATCCCGAAATCCAAAAACGCGAGCTTTCCCTCCGGCGTCGCGAGCAAGTTCCCCGGGTGCGGGTCCGCGTGGAAGTACCCAAACTCCAGGAGCTGCCTCAGCGAACACTGAATCCCGATGTCCACCAGCGACAGGACGTCTAAACCTTGCGCTTTCAAACTCTCCTGGTCGCTGAGCTTCGTGCCCTCGATCCAGTCCATGGTGATAACCCTCGGGGACGTGTACTCCCATCGAATCCCGGGGACGACGACGTCCGGCCGGTCGCCGTACAACCGCGCGAACCGCTCCGCGTTCCGACCCTCCTGAACATAGTTCAGCTCCTGGAACACCCTCGCGGCGAACTCGTCCACGAGGTCCACGATGGACGTGTTCAACGAGTCCACGTACTTATCCGCGAATGCGGCGCCGGCGCGGATGAGGTAAAAGTCCAGCTCCAACCCTTTCGGGATGTTCGGCCGCTGCACCTTCAGCGCCACCTCGTCGCCGCTCTCGAGCAGCGTCGCTCTGTACACTTGCCCGAGCGACGCCGCCGCGATCGGCCTCGGCGTGATCATCGCGAACATCTCCTCCAGGGGCCGTCCGAGCTCTCTCTCCACCTGCTCGAACGCGTCCGCGTCGTTGAACGTCGGCAGCGCGTCCTGCAGAGACGTGAGCTCGTCCAGGTACTGCGCCGGGAGGAGGTCCGGGCGCGTGGACAGCGCCTGCCCGACTTTCACGAACGCGGGCCCGAGCTCGGTGAGTTTCTTCCTGAGCTGATCCGCGCGAACCTTGGCGTTCGCCTCGAACTGTCCCGTCTGCACGTCCACGACGACGTCGAGGACGAAGCCGCCGAGCGAGGACGCGATCTGCGCCGCGCGCGCGGCGACCGCCGCGGGCCGCTTCGCAAACTTGGCGTTCGCGCGCGTCGGGTTGTACTCCTGCGGCGCCTCCGTGCGCGCGAGCGCGCGTCGCTGCGCGTCCGTCATGGGCTCCGCGCCGTCGCCCACGCCCATGCTGCTGAGCTTCCCGCCGTCCCTCGGCGGGGGCACAATCGGGTCGAACGTCGTCGCCGACGGCGGCGCGGGCGGGGCGTCCATCGCGACGCGCGCGGGGACGCGCGCGCCGCGGCGCGCGCGCGCGCGCAGCGGCGCGGGAGACGGCGTCGCGCGCTGGACGCGCTCGTCCCTCGACGATGACGTCGACGGCGTCTCCGCGAGCCTCGCGCGCGCGAGGGACGCGGGCGAGACGCTCGCGCCGCGTCGCGGCGTCGACGCCGGCCGAAGCGCGGCGGCGACCGCGGGGGCGAGCCCCGCGGCCGCGATCGCGCTCGTCATGTCTCCCGAGCGCGCGCGTGAAGAGCGCGGGGGCGAGTGCGGCTCAGGATAGCATTTTGCCGGGTCGAGATCGACGACGCGACGTGGCACGATTCACGGGCGAGCGATCGCGCGGTCGATGAGAAACGTCCTTTTTCATCGCGAACCGCGGGTCGAGAGGCTAAGATTTCAAAGCAGATTTCACCCTGAACTTTTCCTTCCCGTCCTCTCTCCTCACTCCGCCGCCGCGGCCTGCTTCTCCAACCCCGCGGTCGCGTCCTCCCACGTGTGCGTCAGCGCGCACATCCTCTTCACCAGCGCGAGCACGTCCGCGCTGAGAACCCGGACCTGATCGCACGAGTCTCGCTCGCGCACGGTCACCGTGCCGTCCTGCAGCGTCCGGTGATCCACCGTCACCGCGAACGGGATCCCGAGCTCGTCGTTTCGCGCGTACCGCTTCCCCACCGTCGTCGCGGTCGTGTCCAACTTCGTGGAGACGCCCTCGGAGGACAACTCCCTGGAGAGCTTCTCCGCGTGCGCGTTCATCCCGGAGTCGTTCACGAGCGGGAAGATCGCGAGCTTGATGGGCGCGATGAGCGGGGAGAACTTAAACACCGTCTTTTGCTCGTCGTCCCCGCGGACGTAGAACGAGTGCTCGAACATGCAGTACATGATGCGGCCGATCCCGAACGACGGCTCGATGACGGACGGCGTGAAATTCCGCCCGCTGAGCTTCTGCGTCTCCATGCGCACGCTGACCATCCCGGGGAGGATCTCTTTCTCGCCCGCGGCGGTGGCGAGCGTCGCCGCGCCGTCCGCGTCGATTTTCGCCGCGAGCGCGAACGCGTCCTCTTGGGATAACGCCATGAGCGCGTCCGTCACCGCCTTGGCGTCCTTCTTGAACGCCTTGCCCATGTCCTTCTTGTTCGGCTCGCACACGAAAACCTCGGAGATGACCGGCTCGTCGTAGCGTTCGTACGCGGTGAGCTCAACCTTGCTCTTGTCGCTGTGCGCTTTCAAGTCAAACGCGCTCCGGTCCGCGAGGCCGACGCACTCGATCCATCCGTACGTGCACTCGATCTCCGCGTCCCAGCAGTCCTCCGCGTAGTGCGCCATCTCGTGCTGCAAGTGCTGGCGGAACCGCAGACGCTTCAGGTCGATGCCGATCTTCTCGAGGAACACGTGCGTGCGCGCGACAAAGTACGCCAAGGTTTCGTTCGCGACGATCCCCTTCGCGACCGCCTCTCTCGCGGTCATCAAGAACGGCTTCTTCACCGCCGCGAGCTGCGCGTCGCGAGAGAACAAGTTGAGCTCCACGTCCGCGACTTCGTTGAACCGCGCGTGCTCTTTCTTCTCCGGATGCACGAAGTGCTCGATCTCCGCTTGCGTGAACTCCCTGACGCGTAACAAACCCGCGCGCGGCGCGATCTCGTTCCGGAACGACTGCCCAACCTGCGCGGCCGCGAACGGAAGCTTCCCGCCGTTGTAATACAGCAAGTCGCGGAAGTTCACGAAGATCCCCTGCGCGGTCTCCGGTCGCAAGAACCCCTGCGCCGCGCCGCTGGGGCCGATCTGCGTCGGGAACATCAGGTTGAACGGGTACGGCGCCGAAAGGTCGTTCTTCGTCTCCGGGGCTTTGATCCCGAGGTTCACGATCGCGGCGCCCATCTCTTCCGCGGTGAACTCCTCGATCCTCGCGAGCATGTCCTCGAGCTCTCTTCTTCGGTCCGCGGGCGTCATGGGGTCCGCGAGAATGCGTTCCAAGTTTTCCTCGACGAGGTGGTCGGCGCGGAAGCAGTCCTTCGTGACGACGTCTTTCACCATGAGGTCCGTGAACTTCTCGACGTGCCCGGAGGCTTGAAGCACGACCTCCGGGGTCACGGACGGGCACTCGAGCTCGAGCATTCCTTCGTTCAGGACGAAGTGCTGCCTCCAGAACGCCTGCAGGTTCGACTTCACCGCGCAACCGGGAGGGCCGTAGTCGTACAGGCCCGCGACGCCGCCGTAGATCTTGAACGACGGGATGTAAAACAACCTCTGTTCGAGCGCGCCGGACATCTTGTTCCGGAAGTTTTCCTTCTCCGCGAGCTTCTCGTCGCCCGCGGCCATCGCGGCCTTGACCTCGACGTCGAGCGCGATCTTCAGCTCTTTCAGCTTCGCGATCGCGGCGTCGATCTCGGTCTTGTCCGCCTTGTTCGCTTTCAGCGCGCGGACGTCGTCCCCGGCCGCGGTGCACGCATCCTGCATCGCTTGCAGGCGAACGGCGTTGTCCTCCGACGACGACATCGCGCGAATGGCAAAGCAGACGCGTGCGGTTGGCGGAGACGCGGTGCGTCGGACGATGCGCGTCGCGGAGAAAATTGCGGCGAAGACGAGAGAAAACACGCGCGAGCTCCTCACGCGCTCGGGCTCGGCCGGTCGGCGCGTCTGGTCGCCGACCGCGGGATCCCTTTCAGCGCGACCGACTTTGTGCGCTTTTTCAACGGTCGAGAGATCGTGACGAGGCACGGTGAAACGCTCAGAATAATCGCGCCGTGTACCCGAACCATCGTGACTAAATGCCCACTGCTGAGCTGTACGAAGAGCTGGCGAACGGAAAAATTCCCGAGAGTCGTTTGGTTTGGGACTTTTGAATCTTGTTGTATACCTCCGCGCGCGAGACGGCGGACGGAGCGCCTTGAACGTCGAGTAGCGACGTCGGGCATACTCAACGGAAGATCGGAAAGACTTTCCTTCCGGTCACGGCCACGATGGCGTCGTCGCAGATACGCGCGCCGAGTGCGACCGCGCGGTCGATGAGGCAAGGATCCTCGTCGTTCGCGCGGCCGATGGTCGCCATCGCACCGTTGCGCGCTCGAGCGTCGATCACGCGAGCGAAGCGCGACGGCGACGTCGCCGTCGCGGCGTACGGCAACGACGGATACGGAAACGGGTCCGCGCCGAACTCTCGCGCGTCGCCGTATACCGCCCCGAGCGGGCGTGATATGCCGCGCCCGCGCGACATGTACGAGGGCACGACCGGCATCGACGTCCTCGCGCTTCAAAAAGACTTGGTCGCGGAGGGTTTCCTCTCCCCGCGGGACGCCTCAGGGTGCGTTCATCGCACGATCTCACCGTGGCATTCGATCGATCAAACCTTCCTTCGTCCCTTTTCTTTCGTCTCCCGTGGCGCGCGCGCGCGTTCGCGGGCGCGATCGACGCCGCGCGTCCGCGTCGTCCCCCGGCGCGCATCTGAGAAAAGCTACAACGTTCCTCACCAACGTCTTTCCCACCATCTCGCGCAGGGTCTTCTCCCCCGCGACGCGCTCCGCGATCGAGCGCATGCAGCAGCAGTACGGCCTCCCGATCAACGGCGTTTGGGGATCTCTCGAGCGCCAGGTCTTCGACAACGCGCGCGCGACGACCGCGCCGCCCGCGAGCGCGCTGTCCTTGCTCCCGCCCGCGTCGAATAAGACGACCAAGTACGCGAAGGTGTCCTCCGCCGCGGTGAAGGATTTCGTCCCGACCGCGGTCAAGTCCACGCTCGCGGGCGCGGACGTCGGCGGGATCGTCTCCATGGCCGGTCTCGGTCTGTTCACCGCCGCGGTCGTGTGCAAAGCGGACGCGATCCGACGCACGGGCCGGAGCGAACGGATGTTCAAGCCGGGCGCGACGCAGAGCGCGTTTGAAAACATGTGGAACGCCGTCACCGGCGGCGGCGAAGACGCGCGCCGCCAGCGCGAATACGAAGAGCAGCAGCGCCTCTACTACGAGCAGCAGATGTACGATCAAGGCGCGGGATACTACGACGAACACGGAATCTTCCGCATGAACGCCCCGGCGCCGAACCAGGCGGGCCCTCGCGGGGGACCGCCGCCGCCGCGACAAAACCAAAACGCGCGCGGCGGCGGCGGCGGGTGGTACGACGCCGCGAACGGATACCGAGAGGAGTACGACGCGTTCCCGGGCGGGTACCCGATGCCTCCTCCGAATCAGATGCGCGGGGACGACGGGCACCACCCGCGCGCGCCGGTGAGACCTGGTGATCGGGTGCGCGCGGATGCGGACGCGCGCGGCGACGTGGACGACGCGCCCGGGTATCACCCGGCGTTCGACCGACCGGACGGCCCGGCCGCGCGAAGGGCGCCGGCGCAGCCGCCGCGGGGTGGGATGCAAAACGCCCAGAACGGCGGCGCGCGCGCGCCGAGCTGGGATGGCCGCGATGACGGGTACGCCGCGCGCCAGATGGACGACCGAAGCGATTTCAGACGCGGCGGCGGCGGCGGCGGCGGGTACGCCTCCATGGGCGGCGGCCCCGCGCCGTCGTCGCGCACGACGGCGTCCGTTCCCCCGTACGGCGGGTGGGCGAACGACGGCGGCGGCGCCGGACCCGCGGCCGTGCCCGAGTACGGCGGCGCGGAAGACCTGCGAACGTTCGCCGCGCACCCGAACCTCGCCGGAAACGCGAGCGGCCTCGGCGCGAAACACAACGGCGTCACCGCGATGCAGACCGCCGCGTCCGCGACCGCGACCGCGACGCTCTCTCCGCCGGCGCCGCCGAAGCTCTCGCGCCGACCTAACAAGGAGTCCGCCCTGGAGGTTATCCGCGGCGTCGCCGGCACCGTCGGGGACGGGATCCGGAACCTCGCGGCGCCGAACGGCGCGGTGTCGAAGGAGTCGTCCGAGTTCACCGTGCGCGCGGCGCGCGAGCGCGAACTCTTAGCGCAAATCACGGAAGCGCAGGAGTACGCGAAGATGGAACAGAAGAAGCGCCAGCAGCTCGAGGCGGCGTTCCAGTCCACGCGCAACGCGCTGAAGGACGCGGAGGAGGCGCGCTCCGGGCTCAAGACGCAACAAGCGCTGAGCGCGGAGATGAAACAAAAGATGGCCGAGCTCGAGAAGGCGCTCAAGGACCGCGACGTCGCCGCCGCGAGCGCGGTGTTCACGCAGTCCAACACCGCGAACGGCGTGGACAAGGGCCTGAAGAACCGTATCGAGGCGCTCGAGACGGCGCTCGCGAAGGTTGGCATGAGCAGCGCCGCGGGGCCGGGCTCCGCCGCCGCCGTCGCGGCGATGACGCACCTGCAGGAGAAGGTGAAGATGCTCGAGGAGGCGTTCTCGCAGAGGAGCGCGTCCGCGGACGTCGCCGCGACGGCGGCTCAAAAGGTGGACGCGATCGCCGCGACCGTGCAAGCGGACGCGGACGCGGTCCCGGAGCTCCGTCAGCAGGTGAAGGAGCTGAGAGAGGCGATGCAGAGCGGCGGCGCGGGGGGCGCGGCGTTGAACCTCGGCGACGTCAACGCGCGCCTCGCGAAGCTCGAGGAGACGCTGGCGAAGACGGTGGACAACCCGCTCTCGATCGACGTCCTGTTCGCGAAAGTCGCGGCCGTCGAGGAAGGCCTCGCCGCGGCTGCGAACGGCAGCGCGGGGATGATCCAGGAGCTGTCCGACAAAATTGTGCGACTCGAAGGCGGCTTGGGCGGCGCGGGCACGGTGACGAACAACATCGTCTCCCCGATCTCGTTCGCGCCGCCGGCCGCGCCCGCGTCGCCGCCCGCGGCGCCGCCGACGCCGACGCCGACGCCGACGTTCGACCCGCCGAAGCCGCAGACGGACGTCCCGGTGAAGAACCCGCTGCCGCCGACGTTTCAGCCGTCGATCACGATCACGCCGGAGAAGGCGGCGTCCGACGCCCCCGGCCCGGCGCGCCCGCCCGAGAAGGAAACCCCCGCCGTCAAGAAGATCGAGACCCCGGACCAGGAGATCTTGGAGGAGCACCCGCTCCCGAGGATCGCGACCGGGAGGGAGGTGATGATGCAGGGGTTCAACTGGGAGTCGCACAAGTTTGAGTGGTACAGCGTCGTCGGCGAACGCGCGACGCAAATTCGCGACGCCGGCTTCACGCAGATTTGGCTCCCGCCGTGCACGGACTCGCTCGCGCCGGAGGGTTACCTCCCTAGGAACCTCCGGTCGCTGGACACGAAGTACGGGACCGAACAGCAGCTCCGGTCGCTGATTGGCACGCTGAGGGAGAACAACATCCTTCCGGTGTTGGACGCGGTTTTGAACCACCGCTGCGCGACGCACCAGGGCAACGGCGGAAAGTGGAACCGGTGGGAAGGCACCGGGATGGACTGGGGCGAGTGGGCGATCACGAACCGGAACAAAGACTTCATGGGCGAGGGCGGCGACCCGACCGGGGATGAGTTCTGGGGCTCGCCGAACATCGACCACCGAGAGCCGAGAGTGCAGGAGTCCCTGTGCGAGTGGATCAAGTGGCTGACGCACGACGTCGGGTTCGGCGGGATTCGCTTCGACTTTAGCAAAGGCTACGGCGGCGAGTTCACGGGGAAATACGTCCGCGCGTGCATGCCGGAGTTCGCCGTCGGCGAGTTCTGGGACACGTTGAACTACGGCCAAGGCTTGGAGTACGACCAGGACGCGCACAGGCAGAGGATCGTGGACTGGATCGACGCCACCGGCGGCATCTGCACCGCCTTTGACTTCACGACGAAGGGCATCCTCCAAGAAGCGTGCGGCCGCGGCGAGTTCTGGCGGCTCGTGGACAAGAAGGGCCGCGCCCCGGGCGTGATCGGGCTCTGGCCCGCGCGCGCGGTGACGTTCATCGACAACCACGACACCGGGTCGACGCAGTCGCACTGGCCGTTCCCGTCGAACAAGGTTTGCATGGGGTACGCGTACATCTTGACGCACCCGGGGACGCCGTCGGTGTTTTGGGACCACTTCTTCGACTGGGGCTCGGACCTGCGCAAGCAGATCACCGGGCTGTTAGAGGCGAGGAAAGCGATGGGGGTGCACGCGCGGTCGAAGCTCGAGATTGTCGCCGCGACGGACAGCGTCTACGCCGCGCTCGTGGACGACAAGCTCGCGGTGAAGCTCGGGCACGATAACTGGTCCCCGAGCGGGGACGGATGGAAGGTGTCCGTGTCCGGCGACCAGTGGTGCGTGTGGACGCGGGGGTAAGAGTGAGCGAAGGAGAAGAGAAAGAGGAGGAAGACAGAAAACAGCACGTGGTCCGCAGCGGGCGCGCGTTAGTGCGTTGACCGCGGGGAGGGAGTGTATCAGTTATTAAGCGCGCGTGGGGCTTCCCCGGCGCGTAGTAAAAGGTTTCAATTCTCAGCAGAAGTTACAAGCAACACAACACGTCTGTCACCACCCTCCCGCGGCGGCGAGCTGCGACAGCGTCAGGAAATGCAGCGGCAAAAACGCGTTATCGAGCTGCTCCGTCGTCGCCTCCAACGCGGCCGCGCCGGCGCTCGCGACGAGTATCCTTCCGCGCGGCGCGGCGGCGCCTCCCCCCGCCGCCCACCGCCACGCCGCCGCGGCCCCCAACGCGTTCGCCAACGCGCCCGCCATCGTTCCCTCCACCGTCTTGCGACACCCGCGACATATCCGCGTCCTCCCCGCCATCGTCCCCACCACGCTCGCGACGGTATCGCCTAACCCTAACGTGATGATGCCCGCGAACGGAGACAGCGCGAACGCGTCCGGCGCGACGCCGCTCCCCGCGTCGCCGTCCGCGCGCCCGCGCCACGCCTCGCGCGTCAGCCACAGCGGCACCGCGCAGCCCAACAGCAACGTGAAGTGCGACATCACGATCCCATTCCCGCCTCCCGAATCGCGCGCGTCCAAGAACCTGCGCGCGTGTCTGTCGAGGATCCCTCCGACGTCGACGCCGAACGCGGTAACGCGCGTCGCTCGCGCCACCTCTGCGGCGGCGAACGCGAGCGTCGCGCCCGCGAACGCGACGGCGAGAAACGCGGCGCACTCCGGGCGGTCGTACTCCGCGCCCGGAGTGCGCCTCGCGACAAACCGCGGCGCCATCGACGGGGCGAACATGAAGACGACGAGGACGTGGTACGCCTTGCGAAGGAACAGCACCGGCAGCGCGCGCGAGGACGCCAGGCGTTCGCACAGAGGGAGCGCGACGCATAGCGCCGCGAGCCAGTACGCCGCGAGAGGACGCGCGCCTCGCGCGTTCCACGCGAACGACGTGACCCATATCAGCGGGTCTTCGCCCCCGAACGCGCCGGCGAGGGCGAGGACGAGCCACGGCGCGAGCGCGGCGACGGCGGCGGCGCGAACGATCGCGGCGTCGTCGCCCCGCGCGCGGCGTTTGAACCGCGTCTCGTGCGCGTTTTTCCTCCTCGCGTCGTCGTCGTCGTCGTCGTCGTCGTCGTCGTCGTCGTCGTCGCGGACGTCCGACCCTCGCAACCCCGGGACGACGCAGACGCCCGCGACCGCGGACAGCACGCACGCGGTGACGAACGCGCGCGGCTCCCCCCCGAGATGCGGCGGGAGCCACCGCCGCCACGAAGCCGGCCCTCGACCGCCGATCGCCGCCGCTGCCGCGTCCGCGACGCACGACGCCACGCCCTGCGACAGAAGCAAGCTGTCCGCGCGCGTGAACACCCTCGAGAAACTCTCCCACGCCCAGTGCGCGAACTCGACCGCGAACGCGGCGGCGAGCATCGCGAAGACGAAGCTCTCCTGGACGCCGCTCGGCGCGTCTTTCGCGCGCGACGCGACGGCGGCGACTGCCGTCGCGAGCGCCGCGCGCGACGACGCCCACGTCGCGCCTCTGTCTCTTCGCGCGGACTCCAAGACGTAGAGCGCCGACGTCGCGACCGCGGTCCAGAACGCGACCTGGTCGTGGCGCGCGTCGTCGTCGACCGTCTGATGCGCGAGCCTGGACGCGCGCGCGCACGGGAGGACGAGAAGCCCGAGGTGGACGCCGGTCGTGATGTTCGTTCGACTGAAGTTGCACGTCTCGCCCCAGCGTCCCGTCAGCTCGAGCGTCGCGGCGACGACGAGGAGCGTCAGCAGCGCGATCGCTTCGGCATCGCGCGCGCGCGGCTTCGAGGCGTGGAGCGTCCACGCGGCCCAGAGCGTCGTCGCCGCGACCTGGGTGGGGGACGGAGGGTGGGTCGAGAGATGGAGAGAAATGATCGCGTCGTTGTCGGACGTTGGAGCGCGGGGCGGGCGGACGGCGCGCGGGGAGGGAGACCGCGGGAGGACGCACCACGAGCGTCTCCAAGATCCCGCGCGGGGTTACCCGCGGCGTCCTGCGAAGTTTGCGTTTGGGAGTCGGCATCCACCCCGCGGCGCGCGCGCGACTGACGAGCGAGCGTTCGAGTTATTAGCACGCTCGGGATTTTTTTTTGGACTGACTGGACGATGACGAGAGCGAAGACGCCACCGACGCTTCACTGACGCGGCGCCTCCGCGATGACGCGCGCACCGGTCGACCCCGAGGTCGTGCGCCAGAGGTACGCGCGCGCGCATCGCTCGACGCGCCCTCGAGGCGACGCGACCGTCGTGCCTCGCGCGCGTCGGTCGTCGGCGGACGACCCCCTCCCCCCCGTCTCTCATATTTATTCCTTCGTCGGACGGATGTTACCCCCCGCGCGCGCCTCACCGCGTCTCGTCCCTCCCCGTCCATCGACCCGCAGGGTGCTCGAACGGCTGCAGTGGAGCGACCAGGAACTCGACGACGAGCTCGAGGACGCGCCCGCGAGGCGAACGCGCGCGCCGGGCCCGACGCCTCGGCCCCGTCACGTCGTCGCGACCGGGCCGGGATCTCGTCGACGCGTCTCCGCGGGCGCGCGCGATCGCCCGCCGCGCAACGACGGGAGGCAGGTCGCGTTCAACTCCACCGCGGCCGCGCGACCGAACACGTCGTCGTCCACGCGCGGCGCGTCGCTGTCGCTCCTGAAGCGCGAGGTGAGCTCGCGCGCGCCCGCGGCGCGACGCGCGACGAGCCCGTCCCCGCGCCGCGAGGACGGCCGAGACGCGTCGTCCGACGGAGGAGCCTCCGTCTCGCGCGGCGGCGGCGCCGCGCGTCACCACCGCGCGCCGTCGCCGGCGACGCGCCCGCCGTCGAGGAAGCGCGACGCGAATCAGTCCGTGTACAACCGCCTCCTTCGCGAGTCGAGGTCGAGGACGCCGCGCGCGCGCCCGCAGTCGCCGCCGCCGCCGCCGCCGCCGAACGCGCGCGCGCCAAATCATCATCACACCGGGCACACGACGACGGAGGACGAGGGCGGGTACTTCGCGAACACGGAGCCGGACGACGGCGGGACGACGGACGCGTACGGAGGCACCACGGACGTGAACGACGAGGCGAACGCCTTTTTGGCGTCGGCGCGGAGAGCGGCGGCGCGAAGGGAGTGGAACCGCGCCGCGGGGACGGACCCGACGTCGACGGGCCGGAGCGCGGAACGCGGAGGCGCGCGGCATCGCGCGGCGGCGGACGCGAGAGGGCTATCGCGGGGGCTGTATAGGGTGCTGAACCCGAGAGCGGGCGGCGGCGGCGGCGGCGGCGGCGGCGACGACGCGGCGGCGGAGGCGAGGCGCCGCGCCGCGGTCGAGACGCTCGCCGCGCTCAGCGAGGACGCGGAGGCGTCGAGCGACGCGACCGCGGGCGGCGTCGACGAGGGCGTCGGCGAGTGCTCGTCCGCGACGAGCGACGACGACGCGGTGGACGAGGGCGAGGTGGACATGAGCACCGGGGGCACGGAAACTGGGGAGACGGACGACGACGACGACGACGACGACGACGACGACGATGTAGACGAAGACGAAGACGCCGCGATGGTCGACGTCCTGCGCGCGCAAAACCTCGAGCTCAGGGCGAAACTCAGAGAGGCGACGTCCGTGCTCGCGTCCGTGTCGCGAGAGAGAAAGGCGACCGCGGACGCGAAGCACGCGAGAGCCGCCGCGGAAGCGAGAGCGAAGACCGCGGAGAAGCGACTGGAGCGGTGCAGACGACACGTCCTCGACGCGGAACGCCGAGCGATCGACGCGGAGACGCGCGGCGCGACGCTCGAAAGCGACCTCGCGGCTACCAGGGATAAACTGAGCAAAGCCACCGAGGCCGCCGCGGCCGCGAAGGCGGAGCTGCGCGCGAACGAGCTCTGGAGGGAGTCGGACAAGCCGTCGTCGCCGCGTCCCGCGCCCGCGCCCGCGCTGCCGCTGCCGCCGCCGCCGTCGGAACTCGACGTCGGCGTCGCGGCGGCGCTGCACGACGAGCTCGCGTCCGCGCGCGCGGCGCTGACGAGCGCGCTCGCGGAGGGGAAGCGACGCGAGATTGAACTCACACTCGCGACGCGCAGGACGGAGAAGGCGGAGACCGCGCTGGACGACCTCGAGAGGATGCGTCTCTCGCCGTCGCCGTCGCCCGCCGCGGAGCCTCGAGGGCTGCTCGCGTTTTTATCCCCGATCGGCTCGGCGGCGGAGGCGGAGGCGCACCGCACGCGCGAGGCGACCGCGACCGCGGTCGGCGTCGCGTCCGCGGTGAAACGGCGGCTCGACGAGACCGCCGCGGAGCTCGACGCATCGCGCGCGAGCGTCGCGCACCTCGAGTCTCGACTCGCGCTCGAGCGTCGTCTTCGCGCCGGGTTGCAGCTCAGCGCGGACGCCGCGGAGGTGTACGGCGAGCACGTGCGTGAGCTCGAGGGAAGGTGCGCGAGCTTGGAGTCTGAGGTGGTGTCGTTGGTGAAGGCGATAACGCACGTCACGCGGAAGTTGCGGACGCGCGAAAGGAGCGACGGCGGCGGAAGCGCGAGCGCGCGCGCGGCGTTCGGCGTGGACATGGAAAACGCCGACGGCGCGCGTTTCTTTTGCTTCAAGTTTTGGCAGCAGCTGTCGTCGACGCGCGGGAGAGGGTTCACGCCGCCGCCGGAGAACGCGCGGCACAGCCCGGCGACGCCGAATCCGCTGCTGTTCCGCTTCGGCGAGGGGGGCTTTCCCGCGCGTCCCGGAGGGACGCCGACGCGGAAGCCGCCGTCGTCCCCTCCGGCGTTCAAGTGACTTGGACGTAGTCTGAGGGCGTCGTCGACGCGTTCGAAGAAAGGAAGCCGAAGGGAGGAAAACAGAGCACCAGTTAGAAAACTCTCGTTTTCTTTACAAGTCTAGGAGAAAGAATTTACCGCGCGGACGCGGCGGTCGCCTCGGCGGCGGCGCGCTGCTCTGCGCGCGGGGTGTACAGCTCGCGTCGCTTGTCGCGCCTAGACGGCTTCCCATCCTCGCGCCCGCCCCTCGCCACCGGGTCCACGATGCGGACGGTCTTCTTGCCGTTCGCGCCCGGTTTGAAGAGAACCTCGCCGTCTCTGAGCGCGAACAGGGTGAAGTCCTTCCCAGTGCCGACGCCCGGGCCCGCGTGCACCTGAGAGAGGAGAGAGAGAGAGGAGGGGGGACGACGATTCTCAGGTTTTAGGGTTAAAAAGGAAAACGGGGCGGGCGACGTCATCACGCGACGGGCGCGCTCTGTGATAACGGGCGTCGCGACGCGCGCGCTCGAGACGTACCTTGTTCCCGACTTGGCGAATGATGATGTTCCCGGTGACGACCTGCTCGCCGCCGTACTTCTTCACGCCGCGGTACTGCGGGTTCGAGTCGCGTCCGTTCTTCGTGGAGCCCGTCCCCTTCTTGTGCGCATTTTCCACGACGAGCGAGCCGCGCATCGGAGCCGCGGTGCTGGTCGGCATGGAGACGACGCGAGCGCCGCCGACGGAGTGGCGCGCGGCGATAGAGCCGGTCGCCACGGAGGTGAAACCCATGAGAGAATTCATGATGCTACGTCGCGCGCGTCGTAGTGCCGCGATTGCCGGCGCGTCGACGTCTTTGGATAAGCCCTAGCTAGCGAGCTTCAACAGGTTACAGAGGTGGCCCATAAACGTTGAATCTTCTGTAAACTTCTGTAAAACTGTCACTGTTGCGTGTACGTACACGTGAGGCCCTACGTGCTTTTAGTCGGAAAAAAAAGAATCGTGATCTTGAGAAAGTGGAAGATCGGATCGGCCTGTCCGCATCTGTCCGCATCTCACTCCCTCGGCGCTCGCGTCTCTTTCAGCAGAGTGCGCCGCACGCACGCCACGTATCGCCCGTTCGCGGCTTCTCCCGGGACGCGCGAGCGAGGGTATCGCATTCTACGCGGCTCAAACGCGGACGACGTCGCGAATGCGTCGGACGATTTAGCCCTTCAAACTTTCCACGAGATTCTCCGCCAGCGCTGAGGTTACACCGTGAAGTCATTCATGCCCGCGGTGCGACGCGCGACGCGCGCGAGCGACCGACCCGCCCCGCGCGCGCCGTCGTCCTCGAGCGATCCAGACGACGACGACGTCTCGCGCGCCTCGCGCGGACGCGGACGCGCGCCCGGCGAGGACGTCTCGGCGGAGTGGACGTCCGAACGCGTCGTCGAGTGCAGGCGAGCGTGGAGACTCGCGGTCCTGCGGCAAAATGCGCCGGTGCATCAGACGGGCCAGCTGATGACGATCGCCATCGCGCTCGCCGTCGCGTTCAAGAAGCCCGCGCCGTTGGTCGGTCTGAAACCGGAGTGGACGCGGCGCGTCCCCGTCAGCGGCGCCGCGGCGGCGTTGGCGGCGGCGTACGTTGCCGCCATCGCGTGTCAGGTGGCGAACCCGCATCGATACGAGAAGAACTACGAGGTCGCGTGCGAACTCCTCAGCTGGGGCGGAATACTGGCGGGGCAGTACACGTTGATGATGAACGGGCCCGGCATGTTGAGTAGGTTGCGGCCGCTCACTTTGATGGGGTCCATCATCATGATGCGGTTCGAGTTTTCGAAACAGCGCCTCTGGTTCGCGTTGCGAATGGTCGCGGAAACGTGCTTGGAGGCGGGGCGGCACGCGCTCGAGGGCGCGCACGGCGGCGATTTCGCGAGGTGTCTCGTCGACAAGATCCCGATCGGTCTCGTCAAGATCGCGTTCGGTCTGCAGTTGCTCTGGTTGTTGGAGCGACGTGATAAGGCTCGGTTCTTGGAATCGTATTCGTCGTCCGAGGAGGAAGCGCGTCTGGCGGCGGCGGCGATCGAGCGACGGCGCGGCGACGGCGGCGGGACGATGAGCGCGTCGCGGCTCGCGCGAGGGACCGGCGTCGCGATTTTAGTCGCCGTCGGGGTGTACCAGATGTTTTTATTCGGTTGAGGTCGATCGTCCTCCGAGCCGTAGGGCTGGCTCCGCGCGAAGAACCGTCGTCGCGAGCGTCTGGTTGGACGACGACGTCTGCGGGTTCGTCTGCGGCGGACGAGGAGGAGAGAAGAGAGGAGGCGAGGCGAAGAGATGAGAGAGAGAGGAGGTGAGGCGGAGAGGAGGAGATACGCGCGTTGATTAGATTGTAGATTGATTAAGTACTCGCGCCCCCCGAACCCCCTCAATCGTCCCGGCTCGTCCGCTTCCCTAAGCTCGGGTCCGGCCCGCCCCCCACGGCGGCGCGCCACCTCCTCGCCTCCAGCTCCGCCCTCTCCAACGCGGCGCGGCAGCCGTCTCGGTACGCCTCCGCCGCCCGCGCCGCCTCCTCCCCTTTGCCCCTTCCTCGCAGCGTCGCCGCGCACGCCGCCGCGGCGTCGTCCCCCGCGCGCAGCCGCTCCAGAAGCGTCTGCAGCGCGCCGCACAGCGCCGCCGCCGCCGCGGCCTCGCCCTCGGAGCTCACCGGGTCCGTCCGCGGATCCCCCGCGTACGTCCCGAGCGTCGACGCGTCTGCGGTGAGGACTCGCAGCGTCCCCACGAGCGGCAGCGGCAGAGCGCCGCACCGGACGCTGTGCGGCGAGAGCGATAGCTTCGCGCGGTGAAGCACGCGCTCCCTGAGCGCGCTCACGTCTCGGACTTCGCCTTGCGGGAGCTCGAGGGACAGCGGGACGTCGTCGTACGGGTTGTCTCGGACGCCGAATCCGTAAAACAAGAGCAGCTCCGCGTTGGACTTGGCGCCGTACGACACGAAAATCTCCTCGCCCGCGCGAACCCCGCGCGCGATGGGCAGGTGCAGAGCATCGTCGCGGAGGCGGCTGTACCGCACCGCGTGCGGCCACGTCGCGTGGTTACACAGCAACGCGATCGGCGGCAGGCACGTCGTCGGCGCCGGCGGGTGGTGCTCCCCGCCGCCGCTCGCGCCGCCGACCGTCTCCGCCTGCACGGTCATCCCGTACGCGTTCCACGCCTCGGACGCGATCCTAAACCGCCTCAGCGTGTAAAGCTCCGTCGGAAACACCTCCGGGAAGTGCTCGCCTAGCGCGGGGAACAGCGCCGCGTGCTGCCGCGCCGTCGTCTCCCTCGCCTTGACCGCGTCGTCGAGAAGCGGCGCGCCGCGCAACAGCGCGTCCGTCACCTCCGCGGGCCACGACGCCGGCGTGAGACCCAGGGCTCCGGCGGCGGTTCGATCCCCGTCGTCGCCGCCGCCGTCGTCCATGGGCAGCGACGCGAGGAGCGGCGCCCACGGCGAGCGGTCGCCGAGCGCGTACTTCTCGTACACGAGCCACAACGTCATGAGCGTGTCCTCGCCCAATCCCGCAAACGTTCGGTACGCGTCCCCTCGCGCGGTGGGGTCCTCCAGCGCGACGCGCGACGTGAGCAGCGCGGAGGACGGGATCGTCAGCGCGTCCGCGCCCGCGGGGAGGTCCGTCGACGCGGCCGCGCCGCGCCCCGTGGACGGGAACCGCGCCGGGACGAGACGCACCGTCGCGCGTCCGCCGGCGTCGGACGCCGCCTCGAAATCCGCGGCGGCGGTCGACGACGTCGAGCACGCGCCGCCGCGTTTGACCCACGCGATCATCGCGTCGCCGACGCCGCCGTCGTTCGCGGGCGACGCGGGCTCGGGGGCGACGGTCGAAACCCCGGGCGCGTCGTCCGGCGGCGCGAGCGCGGCGTCGCACAGCGAGCGCACCGCCGGCATCGCGCTCGCCGCCGCCGCGCCTCGCTCCGCGACGAGCTCGAGCGCGAGCGCGCACGCCGCGGTCTCGTTCCGAGGCGACAGCGCGACGCGGTCGCGCTCGCCTCTCACCGGCGGCGTCGTGACCTTCGCGGCCCACCCTCCCGCGGGGGCGAAGTACGCCTCGCGGTCGTCCACGCACGACACGCGCGCGGCGACGAGGAGCCGAGTCGCGAAGTCGGGGGCGGAGAGATCGACGGCGTTCGACAGCCCGCACGCGCGCATGATCTTCTCGCGTAAATCGACGTGCTCGTCCCGCGGCATCGGGACGGTCACGATGCACGCCATGACGACGACGCACCACCGCGCGGCGGCGTCGCGGCGGCGTCGCGGCCGTCTCCGCGCGCGACGACAGTGGACGGACAGGGTTTCGCTTCCGGAACTTTTTCGACGCGATTCACTACAGACGGATCGCGATGATGACGCCGCCGACTAAGAGCCTAAGGTACTCGCTACGGCGCCGCCGCGGTCCCACCCCCTCGTCACTTGACGCAGACCAAACACCCCATGAGCCGCGCGGGCTCGAGCTCGTAGAACGTCGCGCTCGAGAACCCGGCGTCGACGGCGAGCTGGACCAGCTCCGGCCCCTTCGGGTACCGCTCGATGGACGGCCGCAGGTACCGATACTCCGCGGCGACGCCGTTCAACTCCGCCACCGGGACGACGACGTTGTCGAGCACGAACCCCTGCGCGAAGTTCAAGTTCGGGTCCACCGCGTTGTTGAAGTCCAACACCGCAGCCTTCCCGCCGGGTTTCAACACGCGGCACAGCTCGCTCAGCGCGAGTGGGACGTCCGAGACGTTGCGCAAGCCGTACCCGATCGTCGCGCCGTCGAACGCGCCGTCCGGGTGCGGCAACGCGAGCGCGTCGCCCTGCTGCCACACGATCGGCGACAGCGCGTACCCGGTCGGATGCGCAGCCTCTTTCTCCGCGGCGACGCGCAGCTGCGCGGCGGCGAAGTCCAGACCGACGACCTCGCCGGAGGGGCCGACGGCGTCGGCGAGGCGAAGCGCGACGTCGCCGCTGCCGCAGCAGACGTCGATGGCGCGATCCCCGGGTCGCACGCCCGTCCACTTCACCGCCGCGCGCTTCCAGACGCGATGGAGGCCCAGAGATAGGAGGTCGTTGAGCTGGTCGTACACCGGCGCGATGTCGTTGAACAGCGTCTGGCGCTCGCTCGCGGCGGCGTCGCTGAACTGCTCTTCCGGGCGACCGGTGACGGTCGGTTTATCCGAAGAGGTCTTCGTCGGCCCCGCCGGCGCGGCGGTCGTCGTCGTCGTCGTCGTCGTCGTCTCCGTCGTCGTCGTCGAGGGCGGGGCGTGTTCGTCGTCCCACGCCTGCGCCTCGCCGTCCCTGAAGATGCGCACGTCCGCGCCGTTGTTCTCTGCGAGGGGAGGGCGGAGGGGACGGGACGGGGGCGTCGGCGGGCGGAACGCGGCGCGAGGCGAGGCGCGAGGGGCGACGCGGGGTCGGGCGAGAATCTTTCGCGAGGACGCGCGCGCGGGGGGGACGCGCCGGCGTTCGCGCGGAGGGTGCTCCCGCGCGCGCGAGGGGGGCACGCCGCGGAGACGCATCTCGCGCGAGGTTCCGTCCGTCGCGCCGCGCTCGCCGGCGCCGCGTTGAGGGTCGCGACCGCGCGCATCTCGTTGTGGCCGGCACGTCACGCGCCTCGACGGGACGGGAGATCCTGGACGTCAGAAACGAGATCGACGATTTCTATGAGCAAATAGTCTAAACATTTTACGCCCCCCATGATGTACTTGAAAGGAGAAAATTGAAAGAAGAAAATTTCGTTGACTCGTAACTTACTTTCAACTTTTCAAAGGAGTTGACCCTGGGAGGTCCCGTCCTTTCGACCTGTTACTGTTTCTGTTCGGGAGCGCGGGCGAGCCGCGGGAAAGAAGCCCGACTGCGGATCGTAATCGCGTTCACAACCTCGCGGTGAGGCGAGGGACGACGGGAATCACGGCGACGAGGTCGTTCGCGCTCTTCCTCTAGCGCCTCGCGGAGAAGGCGCGCGCGCGCGCGCGAGAGCGCGGTGGACGCGGCGTCGTCCACAGCACGCGCCGTCAGCGCGGACGAAGAGGTGTTCGACGACGGATCGAGCGTCTGATTCGATCGCACGAGGGGCCCACGCGGACCGGACGCGCGGACGCGACGCGACGCGACGCCATGAGCGGCTACGAGCGACTCCACGATAAAGGCGGGAGCGGGATAGCGACGAGAACGTGCGCGGCGACGCTGACGCACCCGTTCGCGACGCTGTACCAGTGGGTCGCGCGCCTGGGCGACGCGGTGGGGTGGAACCTCGTCCTCTTCATCGGGTCGTGTCACTTCTGCCTGAAGGGCATGCTCATGGGCCTCGCGCACCAGGCTGGTCTGCCGTTCGCGCAGCAGTACCTCAAGCTCAGCGCGACGGATATGCAGCGGTACGGCATCGTCGCGTACTTCCCGTGGAGCCTGAAGCCCGTGTTCGGGATGCTCTCCGACGTCGTCCCGATCGGCGGGTACAACAAGCGGTATTACATGACGTTCGTCTCCGCGCTCGGCGCCGCGGCGCTCGTGTTCTTAGGTGGCGCGCAGCTCGGCGAGGGCGACGCGATGATCTACGTCACCGCGCTGGTGTTCATCAACCTCCAAGTCTCCGTCGTGGACTTGCTCACGGAAGGGAAGTACACGGAGAAGATGCGGCAGCTCCCGGAGATGAGCGGCGACATCGTGTCGTTCGTGTGGTTCTCGCTCTTGTGCGGCGGCTTATTCGCGACGATCATCTCGTTCTTCACGCTGCGTTCGGAGAACTACCGCGTGATGTTCTGGTGCGCGATACCTTTCAGCGCGCAGTGCGTCTTCACGTCGTACTTTGGTTTGATGCCCGAGCCCGCGGTCGAGTCCAGCAAGCGCGCGTGCGTCGGCCCGGCGAACCGAGAGCTCGTTCGACGGCACCAGAAGATCTTCACGCTCGGGACCTTCATGGGCCTCGCGTGCGCGGTAAACGCCGCCGCGCAGCTGATGACGTCGAACATGTACGCCGAGCTGGTCATCACCGCGAGCGTCGCGATCGCGCTCTCGTTCGCCATGTTCTGGGCGATGCCGCCGCGTCTCGCCAAGGCGACGTTGTTTTTGTTTTTGACAAACACCGTGAGCGTCTCGTTCGGCAGCGCGATGCAGTACTGGTTCACCGTGGACGAGGAGTGTAACCCGGGCGGGCCGCACTTCGACTACTTGTTCTTCACCGTGTACACCGCCGTCGTCGCGCAGGTGTTCAGCGCCGTCGGCATATGGCTCTTTAACCGGTACTTCGTGAAGTTTCGGATGCGAAGGGCGCTCATGATCAGCGCGGTCATATCCAGCGTGTCGTCCATAGGCGACCTCGCGCTCGTGCTCAGGTGGAACAAGGCGTGGGGGATACCGGACAAGGCGTTTTACCTCCTCGGGGATACGATCTTAGAGCCCGCGGTGGGGATGATGGCGTACATGCCGTGCACGGTGCTGATGTCCAAGGTGCGCGGCCGGAGGAGGTTCCGTTTTTTTTGGTTTTGGTTTTTCATCGGTGCCCATTTTCGGTTTCAAGCACCTTTTCACCGTTCAAAATTGACCCTACGTATCACCGTTCCGATCGCAGCTGTGCCCTAAAAACATGGAATCGACGACGTTCGCGATCCTCGCGTCGTTCAGCAACCTCGGCGGCGCGCTGTCGCGCTCGTTCGGCGTCTTCGCGATGTCCGCGGCGGGCATCAAGACCGACCTCACCGACGGCGGGTCGTGCGACTTCGATAACCTCCCCGTGCTCATCGTCGTCTGCGGGATGATCCTCCCTCTGGTCGCCGTGCCGCTGACGTACGTGCTCATACCGGACATGGACATGCACGCGGAGTCCGTTGAGGAGGAGAGCTCGCCGGACGCGACCGAGGGCGAGCGGACGCCGCTGATGCGCGGCGAAAGCGAGGGAGCGAGGGGGGGGTTGAGGAATAGAGCTTAGGTAGATCTGCGACGGCCGATTCGTAAGTTGGTTGTTACACTAAAAAACGCGAACTGAACGCACGCGCGCGTGAACAGAACCGTCGTGTGGATCAGACGTCGGCGGTCGGCGGAGAGCGGACGGCTGTGCGGCGCCAGACAGGTCGAAAGTTTCCCCGAGAGCTTTCCGTCGACGTCATCCCGTGTCGGCCCACTCCGTAACGCGCCGCACGGTCACCCCCGTCGGTCCAAGAACTCAGACGCCATGGCTACGCAAGCTTCGGTGATGTCCGCGAAAGCGACCAAGGTGCGTTTCCGCGCTCGCGCTCGCGTCGCGCGCGGCTCTCCGGCGCGCGAAATCGCGAACGCGACGGTTCCGCACCATTCGTAACGCGACGCGCTCGGGACGAGAACCCGAGCCCTATCGGCGCGGGATGCGCGCTCCCGGGGCCTCCTCGAGCGCGCCATCCCGCTTTTTCTCGCGCGCGCGCATCCTTTGAGCGTCCGCGGAAACGTTCGGACGGTCGTTTCCGGCGTCGACGCGGTCGCGACGCCGCCGTCGCGTCTTCGCCGCGCGTAAACCTTCGGATAAAGCGACGGCCGCCCGACGCGCCACGTTTCTCTCCCAATCGCGCGTCGCTGACGCGCTCACCCCGCGCCCCCATCCTCGCAGCTCCCCGGGTTCTCCGGTCTCCGCGCTCAGCGCGTCGGGGTGAGTGCATTCCCGTCCGAAATCGTGCCACCCGCGCGCGTCCGCGCCGCGTCCGCGCCGCCGTCGCGCGCGCGTCGCACGTTTTTCGCCCCACCCCACGAATTCGACGAAAGAAGAGCTGACGATTTCCTCCCCCCGCCCGCCCTCCCCCGCCTCTCGCCACACCCAGGCTGTCAACCGCGCCACCGCGCCCGTCAAGCGCGCCGCCCGCGGGCTCGTCGTCCGCGCCGCCGCGGAGCGCGAGGTCGCCCTCGACAAGTACCGCAACATCGGCATCATGGCGCACATCGACGCCGGCAAGACGACGACGACGGAGCGCGTGCTGTACTACACCGGCAAGTCGCACAAGATCGGCGAGGTCCACGAGGGCGCCGCGACCATGGACTGGATGGAACAAGAGCAGGAGCGCGGGATCACGATCACGTCCGCGGCGACGACGTGCGCGTGGGGCGACAACAGGATCAACATCATCGACACCCCCGGTCACGTCGACTTCACCCTCGAGGTGGAGCGCGCGCTTCGCGTGCTCGACGGCTCCGTGTGCCTGTTCGACTCCGTCGCCGGCGTCGAGCCGCAGTCCGAGACGGTGTGGCGCCAGGCGGACAAGTACGGCGTCCCGCGTCTGTGCTACGTGAACAAGATGGACCGCATGGGGGCGAACTTTTACCGCACCGTGGACATGATCGTCTCCAACTTGGGGGCGACGCCGCTCGTGATTCAGCTCCCGATCGGCGCGGAGGAGGACTTCCAGGGCGTCGTGGACCTCGTCGAGATGCGAGCGATCGTGTGGAACGGCGAGGAGCTCGGCGCGTCGTTCGATTACGTCGACATCCCGGACGACCTCAAGGAGAAGGCGGAGGAGTACCGCATGATGCTCGTCGAGTCGGCCGTGGAGCAAGACGACGACGTCATGGAGGCGTTCCTCGAGGGCGAGGAGCCGACGACGGAGCAGCTCAAGGCGTGCATTCGCAAGGGCACGATCGCGAACGCCTTTGTCCCCGTGCTCTGCGGCTCCGCGTTCAAGAACAAGGGCGTCCAGCCCATGCTCGACGCGGTCGTCGACTATCTCCCCTCCCCCGTGGACCTCCCGGATATGAACGGCACCGCCGTCGACGACGCGGAGAAGAAGCTGTTCCGCAAGCCCGCGGACGACGAGGCCTTCTCCGGGCTCGCGTTCAAGGTGATGGCGGATCCGTTCGTCGGGTCTCTCACGTTCTGCCGCGTGTACTCTGGCAAGCTCGAGAAGTCCTCGTACGCGTACAACTCCGTCAAGGGGAAGAAGGAGCGCATCGGCCGTCTCCTTCAGATGCACGCGAACGAGCGCATCGACGTCGACGGCGCGGTGACGGGCGACATCGTCGCGATCGCGGGTCTCAAGGACACGACCACCGGCGACACCCTGTGCGACGAGAAGAACCAGATCATCCTCGAGCGCATGGAGTTCCCGGACCCGGTCATCAAGGTTGCGATCGAGCCGAAGACGAAGGCGGATCTCGAGAAGATGTCCCAGGGTCTCATCAAGCTCGCGGCGGAGGATCCGTCCTTCCACTTCTCCCGCGACGACGAGACCAACCAGACCGTGATCGAGGGCATGGGCGAGCTCCACCTCGACATCATCGTCGACCGCCTCAAGCGCGAGTTCAAGGTTGAGGCTGACGTCGGCGCCCCGCAGGTGAACTACCGCGAGTCCATCTCCAAGGAGGCGTCCGTGAAGTACTCGCACAAGAAGCAGTCCGGCGGCTCCGGGCAGTACGCGGAGGTGCAGATCAAGTTCGAGCCTCTCGAGCCCGGGTCCGGGTTCGAGTTCGAGACCGACCTTAAGGGCGGTTCCGTTCCGAAGGAGTACATCCCCGGCGTATCGAAGGGCCTCGAGGACATGATGGGCGCGGGCATCATCGCCGGCTTCCCCGTCGTGGACATCAAGGCGACGCTGTTCGACGGCAACTACCACGACGTCGATTCGTCCGTGATGGCGTTCGAGATCGCCGCGCGCGGGGCGTTCCGCGAGGGCATCGCGAAGTGCGGCCCGAAGCTGCTCGAGCCCGTGATGCAGGTTGACGTCGTCACCCCGGAGGAGTCCATGGGCGACGTCATCGGCGACTTGAACTCCCGACGCGGTCAGGTTGGCGAGCTCGGGGACAAGCCCGGCGGGTTGAAGACGGTGAAGGCGTTCGTCCCGCTCGCGGAGATGTTCAACTACGTCTCCAAGCTTCGTGGGATGTCCAAGGGTCGCGCGAACTACAGCATGAAGCTCGCGAGGTACGAGCCCGTGCCGATGAACATCCAGAAGGAGCTCTCCGAGTCGCGCGGCAGCAAGGCCAGCGCGGAGGCGTGAGCCGCCGCCGCGAGCGCTCTCGAGGAGGATTATTTTTGCACGCCGCGATAGTTTGAATTTGTTGTGATCAACGTAGTACGTATCGATAAACGTCGAGAACAGACGACGCGCCCGCCCCCGCCCCGCCTCTGCCGACTCGTTTTTTTCCACACCCAAGAAAATGGAGCCGCGGGTGCGTGGGTCGTTGCGAATCACGCACGAGGCGGACGGCTTCGCTCCTCCGTCGTCGCAGTGTCGCGCGCGGGACAGGTTCGCCAACCCACGCGCGCGCGCAAATATCAGCGAGGGAACGACGCGCGTCGACGTCGACGCGCGCGACGCGAGGATGACGCGACGCTCGCTTCGATAGCGCCCGCGACGGGACAGGACCGTTTGCGCGCATTCTTCGCGCGAGATGCGGACGCGCGGGATGACGCTCCTCCCGCTGCTCCTCGCGGCGCTCTTCCCCGCGCCCGCCCTCGCCGCCGGGATCGACACGGTCATGACGACCGCCCCCGCGGAGGGCTCCGTGCACCGCCCCGGGTCGATACTCCTGTTCGTCCTCGAGCCGGCGTGCGAGACCGAAGGATGCGTCCTGCCGTCCGACGCGGGCGTGGACGTGCGCGTGGACGACGGCACCGGCGCCGGGTTCGGCGCGTGGCAGGCGGCGACGACGTACTACGTCTCCGGCGTCGCGAAGCTCAGGCACTTCGTGTACGCGGAGACATTAGGCACGTGGACGGTGGAAGCGAGGGCGTCGAGCGCGAGCGCGGGGACGACGGACGACACGCCGTCGCGTCGCGCGTTTCACGTCGGCACGCTCGTCTCGGCGTCCGCGACGCTGGACCGTCTGAACGGCGTCGTCTCGGTCGCGTTCGCGGGGCCGCCCGGTACCGCCGCGGTGAACGTCACCGCGGCGGCGATGAACCTGACCGTGGACGCGCTGTTCGCGCCCGCGTCGTTGACGGCGATGACCGGGTCGTCCGCCGGCGTCGGCGCGTCGGCGCGATGGACCGACGCCTCCGCGCTCGCCGTCTCGTTGCCGCCGGCGACGCGTTCCTCGGGCGCGTGCTCGAGCTGGAGAGCCGCGCGCGAGGAGGCGACGTCCGCGGGCGCCGTGATCCCGAGCGGCCTCACGCTTCGCCTGCGCGACGACGCGACCTTGTTCGACGCCGCCGCGGGGTACCACTACGACGGAACGGTGGCGCTCGAGATGGGCGCGACGTCGGGGAATCCGACGCTCGCGCTGACCGCGCCCGCGGACGTCGGCGGGTGCCAGGACATGCGCGTTCGCGCGACGACGACCGCGCTGTCGTGGGACGAGGTCGTGTCGTGGGACGCGCCGACGTTCTCCGCCGCGGAGGGGGTCGAGGGCGTCGTCGTCGGGGACCACGCCGACCTCGTCGCGTTCGCGAGTAACGCGTCGAATCACGCGCTCCGCGAGCTGCGCCTCCCGACATCGCTCACGCGGCCGGACGTTCGGTACGCGTTCGGCGCGTCCGCGATGAACTGCCACGGCGGCGTCGCGAGCGCGACCGCGGGCGTGAACCGATGGACGGGGATGGTCCCCGGGGTGAGGACGTCGAGCGGGTCGCACGCGTACGCGACGACGGCGGCGGCGGCGACGACGATCGACGTGGACGCGTCTTTACCCGCCGTCGTCGACCCCGCCCCCGGCTCCGAGTGCGATCAAGACCCGACCGGGCTGACGTACCGGTGGCAGAACTTGACGTCGCGCGCGGACTGTCTGTACGCCCCCGGGGTGAACCAGTACGGGTGGCCGAACCTGCACGTGCGCGCGTCGTCGCGGTCGCTCGCGCTTCCCGCGTTTTGTCTCGCCGCCTCCGCGACGCCGCATCGGCTTCGGCTTCGCGCGTTCTTCGGGGAGAACCCCGGGACGAGGAGCGCGGGAACGCTGGACGTGAATGTGACGGTGTCCCCGACGCCGCTGCGCGCGATCATCCTCGGCGGCGGCGGCGGCGTGAGGGTTCTCCCGCGCGACCACGTCTTCGAGCTCGACGCGCGGCCGTCGTTTGATCCGGACGCCGCCGCGCCAAACGCGGCGGCGGATAACTCCACGTACGCGTGGTCGTGCGTCCTCCTGACTCGGGTGTCTTCGTCCGAGGTGCGAGAGGACCCGTGCGGGAGCGCGTTCGACGCGAAGATGGCGTCCACGGAGCCGTACCTCGCGGACATCGGTCCGCTGCTCGCGACGAATTTGGGAGGGCGATTTCGGTTCACGGTGACGTACGGAAACAGGGGGAAAACCGCCAACGCGACGTCGGACGTGAGCATGGTCACGGACCCGGTGCCGACGGTGACGCTCGCGACGCCGAACCCGGCGACCGTGCCGTCGACGACGCCGCTGCGATTAGTCGGCAACGTGACCGGGCACGTCGACTTCGTGGGCACGGCGGAAGAGGGGGACATCGCGTACCGGTGGATCTCCGAGCCGCCGATCGATTTCGCCGACGCGCGAAACTTTCTCACGCCGACGAACGGGCCGTCGTTGGTCATCGCCGGCGGGGTGTTACAACCGAAGACGTCGTACGCGTTCACGCTCCTCGCGAAGCAGCGCGGCGTGAACTTAGAAGGGCAGGCGACCACCGGAGCGATCGTCGTCGTGGGCCCGCCGAGCGGGGGAAGGCTCGTGGCGTCCCCCGCGTCGGGTGCGTTCTATACAAAAGTGTTTCACCCATTGCTCGCTTTCAACATTTGATCGCTTCCCTTTTCAACTGACCGATGAACTGTTTTTGTATGGAATGGCCCTCATCAGGCGCGGCGTTGACGACGACGTTCACCGTCTCCACCGCCGCGTGGGTCTCCCCGAACCCGGGGGCGCTGCGATACACGATCGGCTACGTCGCGCGCGGCTTTGGTCGGAGCACGACGGACATCGTCCTGTCCACGGGCGCGGCGACGACCGTCGCGACGACGCTGCCCGCGAACGCGACGCGGGACGGCGTCGCGTCGGACGCGAGGGTCTTCGTCGTCGCCGACGACCGCGGCGCGACGACGCGGTTGGAGGCGACCGTGCGCGTGAGCGCCGTCTCCGGCCAGGCGGCGAGCGCGGCGGCGGCGACCGCGCTGACCGCCGCGCTCGCGCTCGGGGACGTCGTCATGCGCGCGACCGCGGCGGTGACCGCGGCGGCGTCGTTGAACTCCGCGGGCGTCGCCGCCGCGAGCGACGCCGCGGAGCTGTCGCGGCGGCGATCGATTCGCGCCGGCGCGATGGGCGCGGTCGCGGACGCCGCGGACGTCGCCGTCGCCGCGATCGCGGGGACGATCGAGCCGGAGGTGCTCACGAGCTACGTCACGTCGATCGCCGCGGTGAGCGCGGTCGCGGGGGAGATGGACAAGGCGACCGCGCGGCGAGGGGTGAACGCCACGCGCGCGTTGGTCTCGGCGCCCGCGAGCGGTCCCGCGGATCTCGCGACGTTGGACGCGGCGACGTCCACGTGCGGCGCCGCGCTCGAGGTCGTCTCTATCGAGATCGCGCGCAACGCGAGCAACGTCACGAGCTCGAGCTCGAACGCGTCGTCTGTCGGGATGGCGGAGGCGCGACGGAGGAAGCTGTTGGAGGACCCGATGTCGTGCTCGCCGCGGCGTCGGAAACTTTTGGAATCCGCGTCGGGCGCGTCCGCCGCCGCCGCCGCCGCCGCCGACGCCGACGCCGACGACGACGACGCGCCGGTGTACGACCCCGTCGTCGCTCTGGCGCTGTCCACCGCGGTCGCGATCACGCGAGCGGCGGTCCGCGGTCAAGCCGCGAACGAGACCGCGTCGGAGATGTCGCAGGCGTTCATAGGCGTCCGCGCGGAGCGGATATTCCCGAAAGACTTGAGGCCGGGACTTCGCGCGTTTTCGGCGCCCGGGAGAAACGCCGCGGAGTACTTCATCCCCGCGCGGCTCGCGTCGTTCGTCTACCGCGACGCGCACGTGGACGTCTTCACGTACCGGATATCCGGGTCGACGTTGCCCTCCGCGACGCGGATGATGTCCGACGGCAGCGCGCTGGAGCTGCTAAACGACGACGGGGTCTACCCCGCGCTCCCTCCCGGGTACGACGAGGTGATGACCGTCCACGTTCCGATGTCGGGGATACCGATGAAACCCCTGGAGCGCGTCCTGTACGAGTACAGGTGCGCGCGGCACGAGGCCGGGAAGTGGGTCGTGGACGACCCTCAGCGGCGGTGGTGGACCGAGTCCGTCGAGGAGGAGCGACCCGGGCAAGGGCACGTCGTGTGCAAGGGGAAGGGGGGCGTGTTTCTCGGGTACGTCGTCGGCTTGGTCATCGCGCCCATCGACTTTACCGTAGACGAGTCGCTTCGGGAGAGCGCGACGACGATCAACATCTACTGGTACGTCATCGGCGGCGTCGCGGCGTTCGCGATGATGTACGCGATGATCGGGCTGTGTTGCGGGATGCGAAGGAGCCACGTCAAGGTCACGGGCGACGACTACCTGGACAAGAGTTGAGTTTTTTAGATTTTTGTGGACACCGCGTAGGTACAATATTAGAGTTGGACTTCAGATCTGCGCGCGCCCGCCTCGTTCGTCTCGCGCCCTCTGATCATGGGTTGGGGGAACAAAGGCGCGATGGGCAAGGACCCGAACGACCCCGCGGCGCTTCTCGACCAGCTCATGGGAAGCGCGCGGAACCTCACGGACGACCAGAAAGCGGTCGTGAAGCCGCCGTGGGAGACGTCCGACTGCTGCCCGCATTTCCTCGCCGGATGCTGCCCGAACTTCATGTTCTCGTACGCGCAGAAGCGCTCGGACCTCCCGACGTGCGCGTACGCGGTGCACGACGACGCCATCGCGTTGGATTACCGCCGTGCGAACCTCCCGACGCTGCCGAAGTACGAGCAGCGGCTGCTCGACAAGCTTCGAATTCTCGTCGACGGGATGGACGAGAGGATCGCGAAGGCGGTCGCGCGCGTGAAGGCCGAGATGGTCGTGTCCGACCCGCGCACGGTCACCGCGATCGCGGAGCTGTCCGCGAAGATCGCCGCGCTCGTCGCCGCCGCGGAGAAAGCCGGGGACGATGGCGACGTCGAGACCGCGGAGAAGGCGATGGCGGAGGCGGACGAGCTCGCGAAGCTGAAAAAACCGTTGGAGGAGCGCCTGAAAGAGAACGAAGCCATAAACGAAGCCGCCGCCAAGGTGACCGGGACCATGTACGGCGAGCAAGAAGTCTGCGACGTGTGCTGCAGCATCACGAACGCGAAGGACGAGCTGAACTGCGAGCGGCACAGGGAAGGGCAGATGCACATGGGGTGGACGAAGATCAGAGAGACGCTTAAGCGTCTGGACGAGAAGTACCCGAACGCCGGCGGCGGCGGCGGCGGCGGCGGCGGCGAACTTCGCGAGCAGAAAGACGATGTGGACGCGGAGGAGGGCGAGGTCAAGGGCGAGGCCCCGCCGCGACGACGCGAGCGGAGTCGGAGCCGGGATAGGTACAGGCGCGACGACAGGGACAGGGACAGGGACGGGCGCCGGGACCGTAGAAGCCGAAGCAGGAGCAGGGATAGGTACCGTCCGTACGACCGCGACGGCGGCGGCAGGGATCGATCGAGGGACCGGGATCGCGACAGGGGGGGGTACTACCGGCGATGATATCACAGCGCCGCGCCTCTGATGAACACGACACGACGCGCGCTACGTCTAAAACCTGTCTAATATCGGGGGGCGCCAGCCCCGGGGGCGCGGGGGCGTCGCGGCTGCGGCTCCGCCGCGTCGCGTCACGTCGTGAGCGTCAGCCGTATCAACCCTTTCAGGTACCCCACGATCTCCGCCCCCCCCAGCTTCGACGCGCCGTACACCCTGTCCACGAACGTGATCGGGACCTCCTCCACGCTCAAGCCCGCGCGCTTGCACCGCACGATGATCTCCATCTGAAACACGTACCCTTTGCTCTTCACCTTGCGAACCATTCGCTCCAACGCGTCTCGGCGGTACAGCCGAAACGACCCGGTGAGGTCGCTCACGCCGGGGCTCAGAAGCACGTGCGCGAGGTAGTTCGCGACTCGAGACGTGAGTTTCCTGCGCGTGTCCCAGCCGTGGACGCCGCCGCCGGGGACGTAGCGCGTCCCGGTCACGACGTCCGCGTCGGTGTCGCGCTGCTTCGCGACGAATTCCGGGATCGCGCGCGGGTGATGGCTCAAGTCCGCGTCCATGATGATCACGTACTCCCCGCTCGCGTGATTTAAACCGTGCACGTACGCGGTCCCGAGACCGAGCTTCCCCGGGCGCGGCCTCAGGAGCAAGTTTTTGTCTTTATACGTCTTCTGAAGCGCGCGGACGACGTCCTGCGTGCCGTCCGGGCTGTTGTCGTCCACGATCACGATCTCGAACTCGTCCTTCGCGAGCGAGGGGTGCGCGAACGCGTCGCGGAGGAGCAGGTACAAGATGCCGATGTTCCGCCGCTCGTTGTACGTCGGGACGATGACGCTGAACTTCGTCATCGCGCCCGCGACAGACGCGCACCCCCGCGCGCGATCGGCGCCCGGCGCGAACGACTGTGATCAATCATCGTCAACTCCGACGCGCGCGGCTCCTTCACCGTTTTTCCCGTTGAGCGCGCGCCACTCCGTATCGCACGATGACGGCCTCGAGCTACGGGTATCAGCACGGGTACCCTGGCGGCGTGCCCGGCGGGGACATGGGATACACCCCGTCGCACGCCGGGGACTACCCGACGCCGCACAGGTGCGCGTCGCGCCTCCCTCCCCCGCGGTCGTCGCCCCGCGCGCGATGAGATTGAGATTCGAACCCGCCTCCCCCAGCTGCGCTGGCGCGACGTCCGTCCCTCGCCGCCTCTGACCCTCCCCCCCCGGTCCACGCCCTCCGTGCCCCTCCAGCTCGCGCGGCGTCCACCCCGGCTACCCCCCCGCGGACCCGAACGCGCGCCCCGGGGACGACCTCCACCCCGCGGAGTTCTTCGACGGCGCCGCGGACGAGGACGCGCGCCCGGAATACTTCGCCGGGATGGAGGAGATGCTCGTGTACTTCGAGGGCGTCACCGCCGCGGTGGTGAACTACTCCCCGGCGGACACGAACGCGATTCGGAACGAGCTGCAGATGCTCGGCGCGCGCGTGCGCGAGCGATACACCCCGGACTGCACGCACGTCATGACGCCGTACCAGCAGGGGCGGGACTACAAGGAGGCGGCGATCGACGGGAAGATCGTGGTGTCGTACGCGTGGCTCGAGGATTGCCTCACCGCGCGTCGCGTCGTGCCGCACACGGATAAGGTGTTGTATCAACCGATACGAGACGAGAACGGCGTGCCGGGGATGGCGCACGCGGTCGTGTCCGTCGCCGGATACAAGGGACCGATTCGGAACGACATCCGCGAGCTCATCGAAGCCGCGGGCGCGACGTTTAACCAAAACTTCACGAAGAAGACGACGCACCTCATCTGCTACCGCGCCGAGAGCGAAGTGTACGCGAAAGCGCTGCTGTTCAAGCTCGAGGGACAGATGCTCGAGATCGTGAACCACCGATGGATCGAGGACTCCGTGAAGACGTGGCGACGCGCCCCGGAGGAGAGCGAGGTGTACCGGAAACTCGGCGTCGAGGTGGACTTTGAAGAGCGCCTCGACGCGGAGAAGAAACTACGCATGGACGTCGAGGCGCAGCTCGAGGAGGAGGAACGCTCGCGAAGGAACTTGCAGGAGCTGTTAGAGGCGGAGGAGAGCGCGCGCGCGGAGATGCAAGCGCAACTCATGGAGGAGGAGGCCCAGAGGGTGTCGCTGCGGTCGCAGCTCGAGGGGGAGGGCGCGAATCGCGAGGCGCTGCAACATCAGTTTAGCCGCAGCCGCGGGGACATCGACTCGCTGCAAGCGCTCCTGCAGCAGTCGGAAGCGAGCCGGGGGAAGCAAGAGCAGCAGCTGCTCGCCGCGGAGGAAGAGCGCAGGAGCTTGATGCGGCAGATCGAGGACATGCGGCGGCAGCAGACCGCGCTGCAGTCGCAGTTTAGCCGAAGCCGGCAAGACTTGCTCACGCAGCTCGAGGCGCGTCTGAACTCGATCGAGCAGCTCCGCTCGGAGCTGGACAACGAGGCCAAGTCGCACGGGGACACGAATCAGAAGCTCGAGGACGAGAGGAAGGCGCACCGGGAGACGCAAGAGAAGTGCGTGCAGGGCGAGAAGGAGGTCAAGCGGCTCCAAGACCAAGTCGGCGCGTCCGACAGAGAGAAGGCGGCGTTGCAGAAGCAGCTCGAAGCCGAACGCAAGTCGCGTCTGCACATCCTGTCCGACTTCGAGTCCGAGCGTAAACAGCGCGAGCACCTCATCAAGCAGCTCGAGGCGGAGCAGAAGCTCCGCCAGTCGCTGCAGAAGGCGGTCAGCACGAAGGAGGAGCTGCGATTGAAGGCGGAGGAGGAGATCGAGCGACTGAACCAAGACATCCAGGAGATGATGGACGAGATCGACCGACTGAAGACGTTCGAGCCCCCGGAGAAGATGGACGACGCCAAGGTGAACGTGAAGCTCTTCTTAGAGGAGGACATCCGGTTCTTAGAGCTCGACCCGGACGTCTCGTTCGAGGAGCTCATCATCGCCGTCGGGAAGGTGTTCATCGAGACGTACATATTAAAGTTCGAGGACCAGGACAAGCATCACATCACGCTGAAGACTTCGGACGACTTAAAGATCGCGATTCGGCAGTACGAGAAGGGCGAGCTGCCGTTTCTGAAGCTAATACTCGAAAAAGCGGGCGCGAAGAAGGGCGGGTTTTTCTCGAGAAAGAAGAAAGCCCTGGGGGAGGAGGACGGCGAGGGCGGGAAGAAGGGCGGGTTCTTCTCGAGGAAGAAAAAAGGCGGCGACGACGACGACGACGACGACGATTAGCGAACACGCGTCCGCGGGATCCCCGCGCGAATACGACTACGACAGAGCACTAGCAGCAAATCAAATCACCACGCCTTGCGCGCGTTGCGCGACAAGTACGTCTCCTGCTCCCGCTCGTGCGCGGTCGTGCCCGTGAACAGCGACGCGTACACGTCCTTGTCGGCCCCCTCCGGGACGTTGTCGCACGCGCGCCACCGCTTCGCCTGTGCCTTCAGCTGCTCGTTGCTCAGATCGTCGCAGCCGTTCCACTCGCGCTTGCCGTTCGACTTGATCCCCGTCCCGGCGACGAGCTCCACGGTCTGATCCTCCGCGCCGGTCACGGTCCCCGCGCCGGCGCCGTTCTTCTTCGAGTCCTTCTTCTTCTTCTTCGCCGCCTTCTTCGCGGCTTCCTCCTCGAGCGACTCGCGCATCGCGTCCAACTCCTCGCCTTTCGGGTTCACCGTGACCCGCGTCTGCTCGTCCAGTTTCACGTCCGGGCCGAGAATATCCTCCACCGCGCTCTTCGCCTCTCGCAGCGCCCTGTCGCTGACGACCACGCCGGATGGAACGAGCGCGACGAACTTCGTCTTCCCGTTGAAGTCGAGGCCGGTGATCGGGCACGAAAACACCGCCTCCGCGGCGAGTCGAAACGACGTCGCGTTGACCTTCCCGCTCGCGTCCTTCACGCTGCTCTTCGTGCGCTCGTTCTTGTGAAGCTTCAACGCCGTGATCGCCTTCATCCCGGTGATGTGCTCTAACCTCTGCGGGAGCGCGACGCCGTCCACGCACTTATCCCTGAGCGCCTTCAGGACGCCCTCTCGGTTGAAGAGCGATCCCAATCGATCGATCACGACCGCGCCGTCGCCCGTCTCCAGCGGCTCCTCCGTGAGCGTGCAGTTGAACCATCGCGCGAGGTCTTCCTCGCGCTCGTCCCTGTCCCGCACCGTGCTCTGCGTCGTGTACTTGATGAACCCGCCGAGGGACTCCTTCTTCCGCGAGAAACCCGTCCCGCCGTTGTCCGCGTACATCTCGAGGTAGCAGCTTCTCGACTCCGCGCCGGTGGCGCCGCCGTCGCCGCCGCCGCCGCGGAGGCGGATCGCGATCGCGAGCGTGTCGTTCGCGCGCACGCCCGCGTCCGCGAGCGAGGCGGACTCGTCCGCGAGCCATCGCCCGCGGCGCGTGAGGACCACGTCGGACGCGCCCGGGAGGGCGCGGATCGTCTCGCCTAAGATTCGAGCCTTGAGGCTCCCCACGGTGTCGCACGCGCCGTCCAAGTCCGTCGCGCGGACGCGCTCGCCGACGCGGCAGAATACCTGAGACACCATCTCGGCGCGCGCGGTCGTGAGCGTGCGGCGGCGCGAGATCGTGTGCGCTCGAGGGCGAATTCGTGGTCGAGAAAAATGGCCCGCGGCTCGCGCTGATGAGCGACGTCAGTTTCGCTGATGATTCTGTTGAGTGAGTGCGAGTAGGCAGAGTCGGTACACGCTGGACACCAGCTGTACTAAACGTACGGCTAAGGTTATCATCATCCGCCCTAAGCGGCGGCTACGTTCAACTTCGCGACCTCCTCCGAGACTTCCTCCTCCGCGCCTCCCCCGCCCCCCCGCTTCCTCGAGTGCTTCTTCCGAAAGTCCTTAAACGCGCTCTTCAGCTTCGCGCAGAACCGGTCGACGTCCTCCGTCGTCGTCCCGATCGCCGCCGCCGCGGTGAAGTACGGCCCCGCCGGATACGCCGAACACGACGCCCCCCACCCGTCGAACGTCACGCCCCCGATGGTCTGACGCACCCCCGGGGCGACGACGCGCGTGCCGGAGACGCACCGGGAGAAGAGCATGGAACCGAAGAAGCTGATCTTCGTCCCGTCGACGTCCTCGCCGAGGCCGCGCGCCAGCGACTCCAGCGAGAAACCGATCGAGATCGGATTCGCCGGCGTCTCGAGCAACCGCTCGCCCTCCTCCGCGGCCACCTCCGCGAGCTTTCGCTTCATGTACGCGTACACGACGTCGCGGTCGTCCAAAAGTTTCCTCCATCCGTCCTCGCCCATCCCGAGCAGCGTGATGAACAGATCCAGCACCGGCGCGATGGACGCGCGGCCCGGGTACGCCTTCCTCACTTCCTCCACGACGCGCGTGTTCTCGCGTCCGCTCGTGACGACCGCGCCGCCGACGGGGACCATGAAGTTCTTGTCCGTGCTCTGCACGACCGCGTCGACGCGCCCGCGTCGCCACGCCTTCGCGATCACGTCGCACAGCGTCTTGGGGTCGAGGGTCCAAACGAGCGAACGTCGGGGTGGAGTTGAAAGGCGTCAGATGGAGTTGAACGGCGTCGCGGGCGGGGATTGAAAGCGAGGGACCCTGGGCGGAGAGACACGCCCGCCGGGAAACGTCCTCAGTAAGGAACGGCGTTCTCCACGCCGATGGGTTCGCACGGGGACCAGTGTATACATAGAACGCGCCTTGGACTGCACGCCGTACGCGTTGTTGATCACGTGCCCGACGTCCAGCCTCGCGCACGCCTTCGCGACCGCGACGACGTCGTCGCACGCCCGCGGCGCGAACCCGCTCGTGGACGTGACGACGCACGCGACGTTCGCGGCGCCGCCGCAGGTTTCCACGACGGCGCGTTCAACCGCGTCGACGTCCGTCTCGAGCTGGTCGCCGACGACGATCCTCGGCTCGACGACGATCAGCTCGTACCCCGCGCTCAGCACCGCCTTGACGCACGTCTTCTGGTCGAGCCTAAGCCACACCACCTTGCGCGCGGTCGCCGGGCGGAACTTTTTGATCGCGAGCAGGGTCAAGGTGAGGGTCATTCCCGTCGCGAGCGGGAGCACGAGCGCGGGCCCCGCGTCCGCCATCCCCGCGATCTTCAGCGCGTCCGCGACGAGGAGGTTCGTCAGCTTCACGATGAGCGACGACCCCGCGGCTTTCGGCTGCTCCGCGGCGACGTCTCCCGAGCGCCCGACGCCGTGCGCGAGGTGGTAGTGCCTCCGCGCGACGAGGCGGCTGTGCACCCTCGCCTCGCGCTCGCCGACGCCGACGTTGTCCAGGAAGTTGTTGCTGTCCATGGCTGCGAGCTCCGCGATCAGCGCCTCGATGGACTTGTCGTCCCATCCCGCGCGCGGGAGCCTCCGCTCGGACAGGAGCGTCGTCAGGAGCTTCCCGCGGCGCGCGCACGCCTGCGAGCCCTGGGAGACGTACGCGGAGGACACGAGGCCCTCCGCGAGCGCGAACGCCTCGGGGCTGAACATAATAATGACGCAATCGTGACAAACACGCGAGTTTCCCTCTGCTGTCGTGGTGGGCGGCGACTGGACGGATACGACGACGCGCGACTACGCGTTGAACGAACAGAGACGCCCGCCTACCCCTACCGCGCGCGTCGCGTCGCGCGTCACGACCCCCGGGGGCCCTTCTTCTTCCCCTCGCCCCCGCCCCCCTCGTCCGCGACGTCCTCCAGAGTCCCGTCCCCCCCAAGCGTCGCCATCATCGTCTCCAACCTCGCCGAGTCGGTCATGTACAGGTACCCGACAACGCACTCCAACGCGGAGGCGTTTCGGTACGTCGCGAACCCGCCTTTTCCGTTCTTTCCTCGAAGACGCGTCGGGACGTTGCCGTACGACGCGTTCCTGCCCCACTTCACGACCTTCATTTCCTCGTCTGATGGGGTTCGGATGGGGACGGGCGGGGACGAAGAAGGTCGGCGGAGCGACGAGATGAAAAAAACAGACGAAACGAACGCGTCCGAACCAATCTCGACGCTCCACGCGACGCGCGAGAGACCCGAGGGTGGGGAACGAACGAGCGAAACGAAGGGAACGACGACGACCCCCGGGTCGAGCGCGGGGTTCGCGCGCGCGCACCGGTGAAGAACCCGCGGTCGACCAGTTTCCTCAGCACGACGTCCTGCGCCTCCGCTCTGACCGCGCGCTTGCACTTGAGGTCGTACGTCCGCGGCCGCGTCGGCGGCGCGAAGAAGAGCCGCCGCACGTACAGCTCCCAGACCGCGTCGCCTAAGAACGCGTACGCGATGGGGGACCAACGCTTCGGGGACTCCAGGTGTATCGTCGACGGGGGCATCCTGGGCATTCCGTCCTCGCGGTCGCGCTCGAACGGCGCTGGGGAGGGAGCGGGGACGAGCGGGGACGGGTTAGGGTTGGGTCGGGGACGTCGTTCGGGGACGGTGGGTGGATGGATGGATTCTCGCGCGCGACGCGTTCGACGCGGGGGGACGGGACGGTCGCCGCGTCGACGCGTCGCGCACCTTCTAACGGCGGCTCCGCGTCAGCGTCCGCCGCCTCCGCGTCGTCCGCGTCGAGGTCGATCGCGGCGTCGTCGTCCGACGCGAGCTCCTCGCCCATGAACCCGCCGCGCTTGACGTCGAGCGACGAGTCTGAATCGCCCGCGCGGTGCCTACTTCTCGGGAATCCCCCCGCCCGCGGAAGCGACGTCGCGCGCGCGGTCCGCGCGCGGGATCTCGCGACGCGGTGGCACGCCGCGGCGCACGGCGCGGCGCGACTCGAAGCCATGACGCGTCCGACGCCCTCGAGAGCGTCGCGCGCTCGTCGCGCGGCGGCGCCGCGAGAAGTAACAAGCGGCGCCCGACCGCTCGCGACCGAAACGCGGGCGGACGCGAAAATTTTCCGAGCGCGCTGCAGTCGCAGTCGCGGTTTCGCGCGGTCGGGCGACCAAGTGGTCCAGCCAGGCGGCGGCGGTCGCGTTTGAAACATTGGAAAGCGCGCGGAATTCTCGATTCGAATCGGGCGGGAGACTCGGGCGGGGATCCGCGCGCGGGATCGTCACTTCGCACGCGCGAGCACGCACGGATCCGGCGTCGGACCGCGCGCGTCTCCCTCGCGTCGTCGATCCGTTCCCCTCCCGCGGCGCTTCCGCGCGAAGGGAGAGTAAACCCAGGGCGCACGCGAGCGCGCGCGGAGACGTCATGGTGCTCATCTACAAGCCCGATTTCGTGAAGCACAGCGACGGCGCCCCAATTTTCAGCGTCGATTGTCACCCCGATGGCTCGCGCATGGCGACCGCGGGCGGGGACCAGAAAGTCAAAGTCTGGAACCTCAGCGCGGTGAAGAGTCGCGACGTCGAGGGCGACCCGAACGTCCCGAAGATCCTCGCGACGCTCTCGGACCACTTCAACACGGTGAACTGCGTGCGATTCAGCCGAAACGGCCGATTCCTCGCGTCCGGGTCCACGGACACGCAAGTGTTCCTGTACGAGAAGCGCCCCGGCCCCGGTCGCGCCGCGTTCGGGAGCAGCGACGAACCTAACGTGGAGAACTGGGTCAACGTGAAGAACCTGAAAGGCCACGTCTCGGACGTGATCGACATCGCGTGGGCGCCGGACGACTCGATGCTCGCGTCGTGCTCGCTCGATAATTTGGTGATCGTCTGGGATCCCGTCACCGGGCAGAGGGTGAAGACCCTGAAAGGGCACAACTCGTTCGTGAAAGGCGTCGCGTGGGACCCGATCGGGAAGTTTCTCGCGTCCCAGGCGGACGACAAGTGCTGCATCATCTGGAGAGTCGACGACTGGAGCATCGTGTCGAAGGTCACGGAGCCGTACCAGTCCTCCATGGGCGCGACGTTTTCCCTGAGGCTGTGTTGGTCCCCCGACGGCAAGGCCGTGACGACGTGCAACTCGTACAAAAAACCGAGTCACACCGCCTCGGTGCTCGAAAGAGGCGACTGGGGGAGCAAGTTCGACTTCGTCGGACACAAAGGCCCGGTCGTGACCGTGAGGTTCTCCCCGTCTCTGTTCAAACCTGGCGGCGAGGACGCGGCGGCGGGGAAGAAGAAACCGCCGCACACGGTCATCGCGTGCGGATCTCAGGACTGCAAGATGACCGTCTGGGCGACGAACCGACCGAAGCCGGTGTGCATCGTGAAGACGATGTTCACGCAGTCCGTCGTGGACACGTGCTGGTCCCCCGATGGGTACTCGCTCATCGCGTGCAGCACGGATGGCACCATCGCGGTGTTCACGTTCGACGAGGCGGAACTCGGCGTGGCGATGAGCGACGCGGACACGCGCGCGTTTTTGAACAAAGAGTACGGGGACTTGCGCAAACGCGGGCCGATATTGGAGGACCCGAGCTTGTTGCAGTACGAGCAAGCGGCGACGCCGACGAAGGCGCTGCCGCCCGCGACGAAAGCGCCGGTCCCGGCGCCGGCGACGAACGGCGCAGCGAGCGGGAAGGCGCCGAAGCGCATCGCGCCGACCGCGCTCGGAGGCCCCGCGACGAATAGCAACCTCGCGCCGTCGCCGTCCGCGCCGGTCCCCGCGCCCGCGGGCCCGCCGACGTCTGAGATTCAGCTCGAGACGAGAGGGAGCGACGGGAGGCGGAGGATCATGCCGGTGCCGCAGGGCGGCGGCGCCGCCCCCGCCCCCGCGGGCGGCGCGCGACGCATCACGCCCGCGACGACGAACGGCGCGTTATCAGGGATGGGATCCCCGCCCGCGATGGGCGGGTCTTCAGCGCTGAAGCGGAGGTTAGAGCCGACAGCGATGGGCGGCGTCAACGGGTTCGATAACCCGAACAAACGGATGATGACGTCGCACGAGCACTCGAGGGGCGCCGGGGACTCGCGCGGGGGGGGCGGATACGGCCCGCCCGTGATGATGCTCGCGCCCGGAGGACACGCCGGCGCGGCGTCGTTACCCACGCGCGCGATTCCGATCACGCTGCACTGCCAGCTCGAGTCCGGGAGAGACGCGAGGGATCCGTTCGCGGCCGCGGCGGCGGACGGCGCGACCGTCGGGGAGGACTCCCTCGGCGCGGCGGACGCGCCCGTGATGTTGGAAGCGAAAAACGGCGAGCGGCACTGCGACTTAATCTGCAGCGCCGCGGGGGTCGTGCGGTGGACGGATCGCTGCGCGGAATCGCGCGCGACGCACCTCGTGGGATCGCCAAAGTTCGCGGCCGCGTTCTTCGAGAATGGCACCGTGCAGCTGTACACGCCCGCGGGACGACGCGCGATGCCGCCGCTCGTCTTGCCCGGCAAAGCCGCGTTCGTCTCCGCCGCCGCCGGGCGCCTCGTCGCCGTCTTCAGCGAGTGCACGCTCCTCGTGTGGGAGCTCGGCGTTCCAGGGGAGGAGCGCGAGGTCGCGAGGGAGTCCGTGGCGCCGCTGCTCACGGGCCCGAGAGCGCCGCCGGCGCCGCCGATGATCGGCGTGCGGCTCGCAAAGTGCGGCTCCCCGATCGCGCAATTCGCGGACGGGCACTCGTACGTGTTCCACGGCAAGTTGAAGTCGTGGGCGCGCGTCGCGGACCACTCGTTCCCGAGGAGCGAGTTCACGACGCGCCTGCGCATGCCCGGGGCCGCGGGCGGGGAGCTTCACGCGCTGCAGATGGCCGCCGCGAGGGCGTCCATCGGGATGGGTCCGAGCGCGTTGCTGAGCGGCGGCGCGCCCGCGCCGCGACGAGAGACGGGACGGCACCTCGAGTGCTTGATGGCGTCCGCGGACATCCTCGGGTCGTCCGCGGAGTACCGGTCGTGGCTGAAGGCGTACGTCCGGCACCTCGCCGCGGAGGGCGCGGAGGACCAGGCTGTCGGGCCGCTGCGGGAGCTGTGCGTGTCCATGCTCGGGCCGCTGAGCGGCGGCGGCGGCGGCGGCGGCGCGGACGGCGAGCCGGACGGGCCGGCGACGCCGGGGGACGACGACGCGCCGGGCGGCGACGGCGCGTGGGTCGCGTCCGTGGCTGGCGGTCTGAAGAAGCGCGACCTTCTGCGCGAGGTTGTGTTCCCGGCGTTGGCGCAGAACCGCGGGTCGCAGAGGTTGTTGGGAGAGTACGCGGAACTTCTCACGGAGGCGGACAAACGGTAGAGACGACCTCCGACTCGACGCGCGCTGTGCACGTAGGCGGCGCGAATACTACACGAATCTATCTCGACGTCCGAAACGTTCGTAAGGTTAGCCATCACGCGCGCAGACAGCGCGCACACGACGCGTACGAAACGCGGAGCGTCCGCGCGCGTCGCCGCCGCGCGAAATTGCTTCCTCACTTATTCGTACCTGTAGTCGCCCGACCGAAACGCCAGCGCGCTCCAAGCCAAGAACGAAGGCGCCAGTGACTCGCGCGCGCTCGGGCGCCCGCGGGAGCGCACGCGCGACGGATCGACGCACGCGGATTCGAAGGACGATCGCGATGCGCGCGACGTAGCGGCGTACACTTCGCGAAGATGGAAAACGACGCCGGGAGCGGTCCCGCGACCGCTCGCGGCGGATCGCCGTCGATGGATGCGCATGTCGCGACGATCGCGCGTCCCGAGGACCCGGTCGACGCGAAGCGACGACGATTGGACGCGCCCGCGTCCGCGCCGACGCCGAGTTCGACGCCGATCGCGGAGGACGAGGACGACGCGACGCGGCGGCGATCGAGCGAGGGCGCGGGACCGAGCGCGGACGCGCGACCGGCGACCGCTCGCGACGCGCGCGCGGTCGACGCGAACGACGACGCCGAGATGATCGCGAGAAGGCCACCATCCGGACGGACCGACGACGACGCGTCCGCGCTTCCCCCCACGCCGCGGTGGCCGTCGAACCCGTCCGAGCTCCGAGACGCGCTCTCGCGCCGCCGCGTCCTGGACCCTCCGCGAGGATTCAAACCCGCGGAGGTCCCGCGCGCGCTCCTCGCGGGGCTCCCCGTGTCTTTCGTCCTGACGCTCCTGCCGCACGGATTCGCGCTCGGAAAACCGCGACCGGACGTCGCGACGCCGCCGCCGCCGTTCCGCGACGCGCTCGCGACGATCGGCGAGCGCGCGATTGTTCACCCGTACGATCGCAGCTCGAGGGCGCTTCTGCAGGCGATCGACGCCGGGCGGCTCCCGCGCGCGCTGCTCGACGGCCTCCCGCTGCGATACGTCGACGGCGCGGCGTTGGCGGAGGTGCACGACTACCGCGCGTGCGGCGTCCCAGGCGAGGTCGCCCTCGGCGCCGCCGTCGCGACGACGAGAGGGGGGCGGGCGACGTGTAAGTGGCGCGTCGCGGTGTTGCACTCCACGAGCGCGACGGTGGCCGCGGACGCGGAGGAGATTTGCGGGCAGTTGGACGTCGCGGCGCCGGCGGACGGGGCGGGGTACCGACGCGTCGACGACGACGGCGGCGGCGGCGGCGGCGGCGGCGGCGGCGGCGCGACGCGCGAGAAGAGCGCGCTCGGGATGATGATGAAGAAGAAGAAACTCACGGACGCGGACGCCGCGGCGGCGCACGCGGCGCAGCTCGCGAGGCGGTTCGCCGTCGAGGGCGCGTTGTTAAAAGCGACGTCCGCGCCGCTGTGTTTGGACCCGTCCCTGAGAGTCGCGGCGGAGCGACGACGCGCGCACGCGGCGGCGTACCACGCCGCCGCGCCGTTCGGCGGCGTCCCCGCGACGTTGCTCTGGTCGACGCGGACGCGGACGCCGCCGCGCGCGCCGAGCGCGGAGGAACCCTTGTCGTTGTGTGGGGAGAAACCGAACGTCCAGCGGTGGCTCGCCGCGGCGCCGGCGCTGGAGTCCCCGCCGCCGCCGCCGTCCGCGGCGGCGCTCGAGAGCGCCGCTCGCGCGGAGGACGGCGAAGACGCCGCGACGTGGGCGTCCGACACGGGCGCGCTGTGGGCGTCCACCGGAGACGCGGAGGAGAAACCGTACGCGGACCCTCTGAACGGACGGACGGTGTGGGGGGACGCGATCGACGCGACGGCGACGGCGGCGGCGGCGACGGCGGCGACGACGGCGATAAAACCCGAGTCGACGACGGCGACGGTGAAAACCGAGACCGAAACGACCGCGGTACCATCGATCGCGCGCGACGACGACGACGAGTACGACGAGACCGACATCGGCGCGGACGAGAGGAACGCGGGCGTTCTCCGCCTGCGCACGGCGACGAGAATGGAGGCGTGGAAGACGCTCGCGGGAGACGGCGCGAGAGCCGCGGACGCCGCCGCGAAACGCGAGGAGAAGAAGGTTTTCGCCAAAGAGCGCGAGGACGCGGGACGACGCGCCGTCGCGAGCGTGACCGCGGCGGGCGTGAACGGCGTCGTGAGCCCCGACGCGATCGCAGAGGCGACGCTGAAGAAGACCGAGAGCGAGCAGCCGATCACGATGAAGCAGCGGTACGAGGCGGAGTGGTTGAGGTTCCTTCCCGCGGATCAAGCGAGTCGCGTGCGACCGTTGCGATACGCGGGGGTGGCGTACCCGGACGGACCGCCGTCCCCGCGAGGGCACGACGGCGACGACGACGGCGACGACGCGCCCAGGGGGATTCGCGCGGACTCTGAGGTGAAGTTCCAGATCGACGTCGGCCCCGGCGCGGTCGACGCCGCCGCGGACGACGACGGGAGAGACGACGGGACCATCGTCGAGCTGCCGCCGTTTCGAGGCGAAGACGCGGGGAAGTTTATGCTCGAATTTCACAAGCTCGCGGCGCGGGAGGGTCTCGCGCACTATCACCACGGCGTCGAGACGGACGGCGGGCGAGCGAAATTCGTGGGGATCACGCAGCAGCATCGGCGGAATTCTGAAGCCGCGGCGGCGGCGCGGGCGCAGCAGCGCTCGAGCCCGTTATCGGGACCGCCGCCGCCGGAGGCGATCACGGATACGCACCCGGAGCCGCCTCGATTCGACTCGCCTGGGATTCATTAGCTACTACTAATAAACGTTATTATTATTAACTCACTAACTAAATTTTAATGAACGAACGGTACGTCGTACGGTACGGCGTGATACTCACGACGAGAATCGCGCCGCTCTGACGAGGACGTCCAGCTTCCCAATCGTGATCTCCTCGAATTTCTTGTGAAGCTCCCAGGCTTTCTCCCCCTCCGCGTGTATCACCGCGAGCTCCTCCGTGGACATCAGCCACCGCCGCCAACGCATCTTCGGCTTCGCGCTCTTGATCGCCTCTTTCATCGCCTCCAAGGACACGTGCTGGCCTCGAAGCACCGCCCTCGCCATCTCCATCTGCGCTTCTCGGTGCGAGTTCGCTTTCCAATCGTCGAGTTCGATCTTGTACGCGTCGTAGTCCCTGACGCGTCGCTCGCGTCTCGCGCGCAGGAATTTTTTAACTAAATCGCGCTTGATCTCCGTGGGCATCATCTCTCGCGAGTCGAGCTCGTCGAAGTGCTTCAGGTTCGACATCTTAAACGCGCGGAGACGCGACTGCGCTTTCCCGACTTTCCGCTTCGCCTTCGCGGAACGAATCGTGTGGACCCACCGCTCGTAGCAGTTCCAGTGGTGAATGAACGCGTTCTCGAGGTCCGGTGTCTTCATGAACGCGCAGCGGTAGTGCGCTTGAATCGTGAGGCACGCGCGACGGAGCTGATGCAGCCGTCGCACGATCTCCGTGCCCGCGGCGACGGTCTCCAAGAACCTCAGGATGTGCGTCGCCGCGTCTCTTCTTCGCTTCAGATGCGCCCAAAGTTTCACTCTCGGTTGAATCAACATCACCGCCTTCACGAACTTCTTCACCTTCTTGCGCGCGACGGCGCCGCGCCAGCACCGCTGAATCACCCTCGCCGCGGCGAGGTGCTCCGCGAAGTCCGGGTTCGTGAACATCTCCTTGTTCTCAAGCGCGCCTCTCGCGGCGCGTCGCCAACGCGCGCGGACGAGAATTTTCACCAAGCCGCTCCGGCGTTTCCGCTCCCGCGCTTCCCTCGCCGCGGCCGCGGCTTCTCTCAACCTCGCGTTCGCCTCGTAGCTCGTCTCTCGATTCGCTCTCTCCCTCGAGATCGCGTCCTTTCGCGCGCGGCACAGCTCGCCGCGTCGGTCGCGCTCCGCGGCGCGATTCGCCGACGCCCGCGCTCGCGACTTGGCGTCGAATCCTCCGGCGGCGCCGTCGCGAAAGGAGTCGCGATGCGCGGTGAGAAAGTTCGTGACGTTCGCGCGCCTCGCGTTCAACGCCGCCGCGGCGTTCCGCTTGTCCGCGTTCACCGCGTCGTCGAGGTCTTTCATCGCCGCCGGGTCCACGGAGAGTCGAACGATCTCGTTGTGCAGCTTTCGCTGCCACCCTTCCTCCGACGCGAGTTTCGAGACCGGGGGTTTGAACAGCATCGACGGCGGCGGGACCGCCTTCCCGGGTTTCGCGCTCGCACCGGACGCGCGGGCGTCGACGCTCGTAGTAGAACTGTCGCGATTTCGCGCGAGCGTCGCGGTCGTTATCGGCGGCGGCATCACCGCCGCGGACGCTTGCTTCATCGCCCTGCGGTTCACGTCGAGAGACGTTCCCTTGTCCAGGCCCAGCTGCGAGAGCGTCGTGTACACCGTCGCCGCGCATCGCTCGCTGCACCCCGGCGCCCTCCGCGCTCTCAGCGTCGCGGACGCGAGGTCGTAGTCCAGGTCCAAATTCGCCATCCCCATTTCGGCCGGGACGGCGGGCCGCCGCGGCGTCAACGGCAATGGCAAATTCGGCACTTACACTGTGTGACTCATCGGACGAGCCGTTGTTGCTCGCGAGGGGCCGCGGGGCAAACCGCCATTGAGACGGCGCCTCGGGGGAGAGGACGGGCGCTGTCGATCATGCGCACGCCGCGCATAACACGCGCGGCGCGGGCACGGCGACGCCCCCGCGACGCGATGGCGTTTCTCCTCGCGCTCGCGACCGTCGTCCTCGCGCGCCTCCCGCGCGCGCGCGCGGCGTGGAATCTTCAAGAACTCTGGGACGACGAGGTCCTGGAGTACGTCCAGCAGTACACCGGCGACCTGGACGCCGCGGGCACACCCGTGGACAGCAAGTTCTTGAAGTGGGAGCAGACGGGTTGGTATCAGCTCATGAAGGACCGCTCGAGCGCGGGGATGGACAAGGTGCGCGCGCGTTCGGACCTTTCTCGACACGTGGTGTTTATCAGCGTTCCTTCATCGGCGTTCATCGGAGACCCCCCTCGTCGCGTCTCCCCACTCCGTCCATCATCCATCCCTCGCGCGCGCTGACGCCTCTCGTCTCGTCACCCTTCCTCCGCAGGGGAAAGACCAAATAGACACGGGCCTGGGGTACAACAACGAGTTCCCCGGCCTCGGCACGAAAGAGGCGCAGCTGTACAGCAACGCGTTGCGTCGGTGCGGTCCGAACCTCGAGCGCACGCCGCAACGCGAGGTCGGATGCACGAACGACCTCCCGCCCGGGTCGCCGTACGGTGAGACCGGGTCCCCGGGGTTCGGGCCGCAGCAGTACGCGTACCGAGGGAGCTCGCTGGGCCCGCCGGACGAGCCGTTGTCCGACGAAGGGTGCGACTACAAGCTGTCGTACGAGGAGAATCAACAGATGGGATACGAGTGCTACCGCCTCCCCGCGCTCGGGGGCGTGCGGACGCCGCCGGAGGCGAACGTCGCGGAAAACTTGGGGTACGCGACGCAAGGGATGCGGCTGCCGGCGGCGGAGTGGCGCGACCGGTTAGATCCGTACTACCAGAGGTGGTACGACAGCGCGCCGTTGCAGTGGGGGTTCGAAGAGGGGACGTTTTTTCCAAACTGGATGCTCGTGTCCTCGGGGATGCCAAATTTCGTCGTGAAGAAGCACTGCTACTTGCACCCGCACAGCGGCGTGTACCAGCTCTGCAGCGCGTACCCGTGGGATAAGCGGAACTTGACGCACGGTCTGTTGCACGTCCGGTCCGTGCCGTTCGTCTTGGGCATCGGCGACTTGACGTTCGAAGCCAACGGCGGCGACAGCACGGTGCCGGACATGCCAAAGTCCACGTTCCCGCTCGCGTCGAACGGCGAGGGGATCTTAGGCGTCGCGCTCACGCGTCTATCCGACGGAAGCCGCATGCAGGTGAAACCCATCCGCGCGCGGAGGCACTGGGAGACGCTCGGATGGGGCGCGGACGAGCTCGCGGCGATGCGCGGGGAGAAGTTCACGCTCGACATTTATGACTACCGCGCCGGAGACTGGGGCTGGGCGTCCGTGGACACGTTCGTCGTCCCCGCGGCGTGGATCCAGATCGAGTCCGTGACCCCGATCGGTGGCCCGAGAGCGGGAGGGACCGAGATCGAGATTGTGGGGAAGAACTTTGGCAACTCCGCGGACGGCATCGTCGTCTTCATCGGCGACAAGGAGTGCACGTCGCTGGGGATGACGCAGACGGGGTCGTTGTCGTGCGTGACCCCGCCCGGGGACGGCGCGGGGGTCACCGTCTCCGTCGTCATCGGGGATTACGACCGCATCTTACAGCAAGGCCCTTTCGGCGGGCACCAAGCCGGGCACTGCGGGGACGAGTCGGTGTCGTACCCGTTTTCGCCGTGCACGCTCGGGGAGGCGTCGCTCGAGGCGGGTGTCCCGAAGAGAGGGTTCACGTACCTCGACGCGCCGTACTGGATATCCACGCCGGTCACGACCGCGCAGGAGGACAGTCAGTATAGGTATAAAGCCGCCGCCGCGGACGACGACGTCGGGGACGAGCTGTTCTTCACCGCGGAGATTTTGCCCGCGTTCATGCGCTTCGACCCCGCGACGCAAGTCATCTCCGGGACGCCGCTCAGAGGGGACGTGAACTGCAGGAGCGACAAGTGGCACCCCGCGGTGGACCGATGCCGCGAGGGCGGGTTCCATCGCGTGCGACTAGCCGTGAGCGACTACACGTTCGTCGTGTATCAGGACTTCATCGTGCACGTCATCGCGAACCCGTCGCCGCTGCTGTCGAACGACAAGTCGTTTCACTGGCCGACGTCGAGGGAGATCACGATCATGCGGAACAGCGCGCAGCTGTCGCAGTATCACTTGGAAGCCGCGGGGGCGCTGAAAGCGATGGCGCAGGGCGCGGTGGACTCGTCCGTGCTGCCCTCCACGGGAAGGGACCCCGCGTCTTCGGCGCTGCGCACGCTTCTATCGAACATGCTGCAGGAGACGCGCGTCGACCCGGCGGAGTCGCGTTTGCTCATCAAAGCCGTGAAGGACGCGGGGATGGAGTCCGAGCAAGGCGATCTCATCGCCGCGCTGGAGGCCGAAGTCAAAGCGCAGCAGCAGCGCGTCACGCGCACGCGGGCGGGACAGCCCGGTCTGCTCGGCGGCGACGCGGAAGGGTGGGTCGCGCAGCTCCAGGATTACATGGGCTCCTCCGCGCCGCGAGGGACGGACATCGTCTGGCAGCAAGCGGGGAAAGGCGGTCCGGAGTTTCCGTACTCGTGGTACGCGAAGCCCGCGCCGTCGACGCTGCTTTCGAACAACGGGGGCAAATTTGGCGGGTTCTTCCCGCTCGCGCCCGGACGCAAGATGGCCCTGAACGCGCGACGCGTGAACGACGACGAGATCATCATCACGATTCCGACGTCGTGCTGGTCCAAGTCCCCGGCGCATGGTGTCGTGCACGTTCACCGGGTACCATCCCTCGCACGAGCTGCAGTTGAGGCTCGCGCCGGACTCGCTGCGCGTGGACGAAGCGGTGATGTACCCGCCGGACTTTCCGCACGTCGATTTGATATCCAGCACGCTGGAGAGCCAGGATTTGCTCGGGTTGGTCGATCTGATTGCACAACGCGCGGCGTCGTACGCGAAGCGATACGAGGAATTCCAGACGCTTCCGCAGCGGTACGAAGCGCTGTGGCAGGCGTCCTCGACCCTGTTGAGGGTGACGACGAACGTCGCGAACATCACACTGACGCTTGACATCCCGCACGAGTGGCCGTGGCCCGCGGAGGGCGAGCACAAGACCGCGGCGATTCGCGTCATGTCCGCGGATGGGATTCCGTACCACGGGAGAGAAGCCGTGGAGGCGATGAGCGCGGAGATGGCCGCGGACGCCGCGCGAGCGGGCGGCGACAACCAAGGCGGTCTCGCCGCGCAGCTCGTGTCCCTCGAGTCGAAGCTCCTCACGAGCGCGTACAGGTGCGACAACGACTGCCAAGGGAAGGGCAGCTGCGACACGACCGTGTTCCCGCCCGTGTGTCGGTGCTACGAAGGCTACGGCGGCGGCGACTGCTCCTCCGTCGCGTGTCCGAACGACTGCACCGGGCGCGGCGCGTGCGACGCGTCGCAGGTGTGTGTGCACGACAAGGAGACCGGGGAGACGGACTGCGCGGGCGGGACGGGGAAGTGCTCGTGCGTGGAGCCGTTCTTTGGCGCGGACTGCTCGCTGCAGCCGTGTAACAAGCGGTACCTCGTCAAAGAAAACGTCGACGTGAGCCTCGGCGAGGCGTACTTCCGTTCGCTCTACGAAGCCATGGGGTGGAAAGTCTCCGAGGTGAGACTGAGCGCGACGAACGGCGACCCCCCTCCCGCGGGTTCGATCCCCGGCGATTCGTTCTCCGTCGCCGCGTCCGCGTTCGGCGTCGTGTACGTCGAGTTTGTGTCGTCGGAGGACGCCATGGCCGCGCGCGGGATGGATCCGTTTTATCGCGACGCGACGCCGAGCCGCGGGGTGGCCGAACGCGCGCGGAATTTCCCCCAGGAACTCCGCGCGCTCGAACAACGCGAGCGGCATCTGTTGTCGCTGTTCGGTGAAGCGCAAGTCGAGTGCACTGGCCACGGCGCGTGCGACTACGGCGCCGGGCAGTGCTACTGCGCGTCGAGGTATTTCGGCACCGCGTGCGAGTACACGTTTTGTAAAAACGACTGCGCCGGGCACGGGCGGTGTAACTTCGTCACCGGCGACTGCATATGCGACGAAAATTACGACGTCGACCAGTTCGAGGGGTGCAAACTTCGGAAGTTGTACCTCGCGTCGACGACGTGCGAGGACACGGCGATGGACAAGTCCTTGGACGCGTCCGGGAGAAGAACGTCGCCGCTGCACCTGAGCTGCATGTTGGGCGTCGACTTGGGTTCGAAGGCGTTCGCGGAGCACTGCCCCGAGGCGAACGTCCTCACGGGCGACAAGGGCGATTGTTACACCAAGTTTCCCGCGTACGCGTCCGAGGCGGCGCTCGTGACGACGACGTTGAACCCGATCTGCGCAGACTGCAGCGGGTACGACAACTACAACGTCTCGCAGCTGCACATTTACCAAGAGGAGCCGTGCCGGAGCGTCCTCGGATCGAGGACGGAGAATTGCGTCGAGGGCGGGGTCGCGTCGGACGTCGTCCGCGGCCTCGGGATGCTCCCCTCGTCGGACCCGTCGCGACCGACGGAGATCACGTTCAATCTGACGACGATGCGAAGCAAAGACATGGTCTTCTCGAGGTTCACCGCGAGGCCGGGGATCGTGAGGGAGCTGTATCACGACGTCTCGGACGGCGGGTGCGGCGCGTGCACGGATGAAAACCCGATGTGCGGCGCGTCGTTCGTCGTCGAGAAGGACGGCGTCGTCGCGTACGAAGCCGTGATCGCCGCGAGCGACGAGGTCATCGACATCGACGTTCGAGACGCGAAGACGTTGACGCTGCGAACTGGGTCGGTCACGCCGTCGTACTGGCGCCTCGGCGGCGGGTTAAACTACGGCGGCGAGACGGAGCCGATGCAGGCGCAGTTTTGCGACGGCGCGGCGTGGACGGAGGCGGTGTTGGTATAGACGGATAGATACCTTCGAGGTACGTAGTGAAAACGCGAGCGCCTTAGAGCGCGCTCCGCTGCTAGCTGGATATAAACCCCGCGCGAAGGAAGCGGGTGATCTACAGTACGCGCGAACGTCGTCCGTCCGTCACTTCTTCGCGAGCGGGTCGAACCGTTTCAAACGCGCCTCGCGTTCGTTCTTCTTCCTCACGTTTGCCACCGCCGTCGTCGCCGCCTCCTTGGCCTCCATCCCCCCCGCGACGAGCTTCTTGAACTCCTCCTTGAGCTCTGCCTCTTGCGCCGCGTACGCTGCTTTCGCCTCCTCCGACATCACCGGCGCGGCGGTCGCCTCCTCCGCGCTCGCGGGCGCGGCGCCGCGCGGGACCGCGTCCTCTGCTGACGGTCCCGGGATCTCCTCGACCGTCGCCGTCTGCGCCGGCGGCGGCGCCGACGCGGACGTCGCGGGTTCCCACATCCCGAAACCCCCGCCGCCGTTCCCACCCCCCGCCGCGCCGTTCTCGCTCATGTTCCGCATCTGATTCTCCATCATCGTCAGCATCGGCATCAGCTGCTGCCCCAACGGCGTGGACATGACCTCGTTCGGGAGGTCGACGATGTGCCGCGGGATCCCGACGCCGACGAGAAAGTGCGCGATCTCGTCGCTGAAGTTGTTGCAGTTCCACCGCAGCAGGTTGTACGTCTGCGCCGTGAACCGCGGGGAGAGCTCTATTAAGAACGTTTCGAACAAGTCCTCGGGGATGTGCGTCTCCCCGAGGTCGATCGTTCGCAGCGGGCGCCCAAAGTGCGTCCCTCCGGGTGCGCCGCACTGGATGCCTCCGCCGAAGTAGTACTCTCGTCCGAAGACGACGACGCCGGTGTGCCATATGCCGTCGATCTGTTTCCCGAGCAGCGGCGCGGACATCATCGCCGCCATGCCTTGGGAGAGGTCGTACAGGTGGAGTTTCACGTGCTCCGGCATCGTGCGACGGCGACGTGGAGCGCAGATCGAAGTGTGTCGAAGGGCGTCGTGATGATGTCAACACCGTTTCTCCGTGCTGAAAACCAAGAATGTTATCGAAGCGCAGACAGGAGGCGACTTCTTTTGAATCTCGCTCGACGGCGTGACGAGGCGAACGGCGCGTCGACGCCCCACAGCGACGCGCGCACGGCGATACGCCCGCGCCCGAGCTTCACGCGCACGAGGGATTCGCATTCCCGCGCGTGCACGTCACCGACCGCACGACCGTCGTCGTCGCTCGGCTTCGCGAACCGCGTCGAAATCTCGCGGACGCGTCAACGGCACTTTATTGAAGGCGCGCCGCGGCGCGTAGAGAAGAGAAGAGGGAAGAGGAAGGACGCGCGAGAACGATGGCGGAGCTGCACGTCGTCGGGGAGATCGTGGGGGCGCACGGTTTCGAGGACAGGAATCTGTTCTGCAAGGTCCGTCCCTGTTCTTCTCGCGTCCCGCGCCGCGCGCGCCCGCGCGCGCGTCGCGTCCGCGCTGAACCGTTCAAAAATCCACCCACGCGCGCGCCCCGACGCGAGATTCATTCCGCGTCAACAACAGAACGAACGACTCACCCTCCCCCCCCCATCTCCACCCTCGACGAATCGATCAAATCAACAGTGGGGCGTAGAGGCGGGAAGCATGTGGGACCTCGTCGAGGGCGAGGCGGGCGGGCAGACGCAGTGCGACTATCCCCCCGACGGCGAGCCCGGGGTGGTCTGGGCGCACCCGGTGGATCTGCACTACGCGACCAAATCGCTCATCGGCTGGCCGAAGATGTGGTTCCAGGTGTGGTGCCTCGACGTCCACGGCGCGAAAGACCTCGCGGGGTACGGATTCTGTCACGTCCCGACGTCGCCCGGGATGCACGAGGTCGAGGTCGCGACGTGGGTCCCGGAGGGGAGCGGGATCGAGAAGCTCACCGCGTTTTTCGTCGGCGGGCGACCGAGGTTGAAGTTCGAGGAGGTGATTCACTCCCCGGGGGATCGGTTCCGGTTGCAGACCAGAGCCGCGGGGGTCATCAAGCTTCAGCTCGGCGTGTGCGTGCGCGATTTCGCGAAATACGCGGTCGCGCAGTGAGCGACGAGACGGACGGACGGACGGACGGAGGCGGGTCGAGTGTACAGTTGACGCTAGCGATGTGGACGGATCAAATCTATCACTCTACCACGCCCCGAACCCCCAGGACGAGCCGTTGCCGTCGCCGTCGCCCTTCCCGCCGCCCTTCTCGCGACCACCCCCACCAAACCGCGTCTTCTCGTACTCCTCCGCGCGTTCCAACACCCACGACCCGCCGCCGTCGGTGGCGGCGACGAACCGCAACACGTGCGAGTGAAACGCGAGCAACGTGCTCCTGTGCCCGACGCTGACGTACGCGGAGCAGTGCTTCTTCAGGCTCGCGTACATCCGCGACTCGTTCCGCTCGTCCAGCGCGCTCGTGGCCTCGTCTAAGAACGCGACGGAGGGGTGTCGGAGGAATAAACGCGCGAACGCGACGCGTTGTTGTTCCCCGGCGCTGAGAACGTCCGTCCACTCCTCGACCGCGTCGAGGCCGCCTTCGTTCGCGAACCGACTCGGTAAGTCCCCTAAACCGGCGACGTCCAACGCGGCGTGGAGGTCGTCGTCCGTGAAGAGCGACGCGTCCGAGATGATGGCCTCGACTTCTTCGGCCGCGGTCGCGGTGGCGTCCGCGTCGCCGATTTCCGCCGGGAACAGCAGCTGCGCGCGCAAGCTCCCGAGGGGCATGTACGGCGTCTGCGGGAGGAACAGCGCGTCGTCCCTCGGCGGGGCGACGACGTCCCCGGACCCGGAGTCCCAGACCCCCGCGACGACGCGCAGGAGCGATGATTTCCCGCACCCGGACGGACCGACGACGAGGACGGAGTCGCCGTCTTTCAGGTCGAGCGTGAGCCCGCGCCACAAGAGACGGTCCGTTATCGGCGTCCGCACGGACACGTCCTTGAGCGACATCAGCTCGTTCGGGTCATCGCTGACGCGCTCGACTCTGTTGATGAGACCGGGGGAGGAGGAGGAGGCGATCTTCTGACCGGCGACGGAGAGTTCGAGCTCGCCGCCGCCGACGACGGACCCGCCGCCGCCGCCGCCGCCGCCGCCGCCTTGTTTGCTCAACCCCGAGAGCAACGCGAGCAACTTCTCGAGACGATCCGTCTCCGCGGCTAACCCGCTGAGTGTTTCGAAGTTGTTGATGATGATGTTCAGCGCGGACTGGACCGTACGAAACGCAAACCCGGCTTGCGTTACGACCCCGAACTCAACCTCGCCGGCGAAATACCGCGGCGCGATGATGAGCGACGGCAAACAAAACGTCGCAAAGTCGTACGCGTTCGTGAACAGCGTGAGGTTTCGAATCCACGCGACTCTGCGGTACATGACCGCGGCGACGGACGCGAGCGCGGCTCGCGCGTTCGCGGCCTCGCGCTTCGCGCCTCGGTACAGCGCGATGCTCTCCGCGTGCTCTCGCGCTCGGACTAACCCGAAACGCATCGTCGCCTCGCGTCGCAACGCTTGATAATGGAGCCCCATCAACCGCGCGCCGAAGAACTTCGTCGTGACGATCGTCCCGAACAGCGAGTACGCGAAGCAAAAGTACAGCAAGTTTGGGGAGATGCCGTACAAAACCCCGAAGAACGCGCCCATGGAGAGGATCTTCTGCACGAAGGCGAGCAGCACGGCGTTGCACGCGTTGACGAAGTTTCTCGTGTCGTCGCAGATGCGCTGATCCGGGTTGTCCATGCTCCCCTCCGCTTTCAGTTTGAAATACGCGTCGTTCCCGAAGTACTCGCGGACGAGCAGACGCGTCAACCACAGCCGCCACTCCAGCGCGACGAGGTCTTGGACGTACTGGTACATCGCGAAGAGCGGCGCCGCGATTGCGATGACGCCGAGGTACTTGTAGATGGCCTCGTAGAACCCCTCCTTGTCCTTGTTCGACAGCGCGGTCATCATGTCTCGCTGGACGTACGAGAACACGACCATGAGCGCGGTCGTCGTCGCGCACATGAAGAGCATCCCCGCGAGCAACGTCCGCGCGCGGACTTTGTGGTCGCCGGAGTAGTAAATCTTCGCGAGCGACGTCGCGCGCCAGAGCGTGTGCACGAACCGCGCCTTGCCTCCCGCGCTGTCCTCGACGCGCTCTAACGACGCGTCGTCGCTCGCCGCGGCCTTCGCGTCGGACGTACCTCCCGTCGACGCCTTGGAGCCGCCGGCGGCGGCGCCCTTCGCGCCGTCGTCCGTGCCCATGGCGACGTACGTCGCGCCGTCCCTTCGGCGTCGCTTCGGAGGGTCGAGCGCCGTCGACGACGACGCGGCACCCCGGTCGGTGCGAAACCCGAAGAGCGCCGCGACCGCGGAGGCGACCTCCGCGCCGACGCCGCGCGTCCGTGCGGGCGTCGACCCGCCGAGCTCGGGGTCGGGCTCTATCGCGACGAGTCGATCGCCGACGCCTTCGAGAAGGCGCGCGGGCGAGTGGTGCGCTCGCGCGACTCTCGCTCTTGGAGCGCTCGACGAAAACGATCGATCTGTTCGTGTTCGAGCGCGCATTATTTCGAAAACGAGGCGCGGCCACTTCATCACCGCGCGCGCCCCCGCCGGCGGCATCGCGCGATGGCGACCAAGTTCCTCAACACCGCGTTCGGTCTGAAAGAAGGCGGCCTCGCCGCGTGGGTCGTCGCCGGCGGCATCGGGTACTACTGGTTCTACAAACCCGAGCTCGCGAAGAGGGAAGGGGAGATGGCGAAAGCGGCGCACGCGAACGCGCTCATGAAGCAGCCGCAGTACGTCGAGTTCGTGAAGCAGCACGAGGCGGGCGGCGCCGGGAAAGAGAAAGAGAAAAGGAAAGGGTGGCTCGGCGGGCTCTTCGGCGGGGGGAAGAAACCGAAGGAGCCGAAGACGTGATGAAGAGCGAGGACGCGGACGGGGGGTGAGCGCGCGGAGCGAGAAGAGGAGCGATGCGACGCTCGTAATAACAACACCAGACTTCCCTCCCTGGAGAGCTGAGCGCCCGCGACCCGGGTTCCGTCTAGACTAGCGCGTGGAATCGACCTGAGCCGATGTGTACCACCCCGCAGCGCGCGTAGAAAATCGCCCTGACGCGCGCGCGGTGGACGGCGGCGCCGCGCCGCTCCGTCGACCGACCACCCCGCCCGCGGCATCGAAGCGCGCCCGCCGAAAAAGTCGGGCGGCTCTCGCTCTGCTCGCGCGCTCGTCCGAGCCACGCCACGAAACGTCATCCTCCGGGGACTGACGCGCAGTCCGCGCCGCACGCACGCCCCGCGCGCGCCGGTTTCGATGTCCGGTCGAGCGCGCCGCGCGGCGTCGATCGCCGCGCGATGCGCGGCGGCGATGACGCCTCGAGGAAGCGTCGCCGCGTCCGCGCTGACGCGCGCGATCGAGGGACCCGCGCGCGTCGGCGCCGCGCCGCCGACGATCGGCGACGAGTGGACGCGTCCGATCGCGTCCTCCGCGCGGTTCTTCTCCTCCACGCGCGCGCGCCTCGCCGCGCCGGCGTTGAACGCCGACGGCACGGACCCGCTCGCGAGGAACATCGGCATCTCCGCGCACATCGACAGCGGGAAGACGACGCTGACGGAGCGCATCTTGTTCTACACCGGACGCATCTCCGCGATACACGAAGTTCGAGGGAAAGACGGCGTCGGCGCGAAGATGGATTCCATGGAGCTCGAGCGCGAGAAAGGTATCACGATCCAGTCCGCGGCGACGTACTGCAAGTGGAAAGACAGCAACATCAACATCATCGACACCCCGGGCCACGTCGACTTCACGATCGAGGTCGAGCGCGCGCTGAGGGTCCTCGACGGCGCCATCTTAGTCCTCTGCAGCGTCGGCGGCGTGCAGTCGCAGTCCATCACCGTGGACCGACAGATGCGTCGGTATAAAGTCCCGCGGCTGTGTTTCATCAACAAGTGCGACCGCACGGGCGCGGACCCGTTCAAAGTCTTGAAGCAAGTCCAGGACAAGCTCAGGCTCAACGCCGCGGCGGTGCAGGTCCCGATCGGCCTCGAGGAGAACCACGCCGGGGTCGTCGACTTGGTGAAGATGAAAGCCATCACGTTTCATGGGCCCAACGGGAACGACATCAAGATCGAGGAGATCCCCGGAGACATGGCGTCGCTCGTCGCGGAGAAGCGCAAGGCGCTCGTCGAGGCCGTCGCGGAGGTCGACGAGGAGCTCGGCGAGGTGTTCCTCATGGGCGAGGACCCCACCGCGGAGCAGCTCGCGGCGGCTATTCGCCGCGCGACAATCGCGCGCGACTTCGCCCCCGTGTTCATGGGCAGCGCGTTCAAGAACAAGGGCGTGCAGCTCCTGCTCGACGGCGTCGTGGACTACCTCCCCGCCCCGAACGAAGTCCAAAACGAAGCCCTCGATCTGAGCAACAACGAGGAGCAGGTGACGCTCACCTCTGACCCGTCCGCGCCGCTCGTGGGCTTGGCGTTTAAGCTCGAGGAAGGGAAGTTCGGTCAGCTGACGTACTTGCGCATCTACCAAGGCACGATCGCGAAGGGCGGTTCGATCGTGAACACGTCCAACAGGAAGAAGTTGAAAGTCCCGCGCCTCGTGCGCATGCACTCGGAGGAGATGGAGGACGTCCAGAGCGCGAAAGCGGGCGAGATTGTCGCGTTGTTCGGCGTCGACTGCAAATCCGGCGACACGTTCACGGACGGCAAGTCCAACGTCGCTATGACGTCGATGAAAGTCCCGGAGCCGGTGATGTCCCTCGCGGTCGCGCCGAAGACCCGGGGGGAGGCTGCGCAGTTCTCGAAGGCGCTGTCGAGGTTCCAACGCGAGGACCCGACGTTTAAGGTGCACAACGACGAAGAGAGCGGGCAGACGATCATCTCCGGCATGGGCGAGTTGCACCTGGACATTTACGTCGAGCGCATGAAACGCGAGTACGGCTGCGAGGTGGACGTCGGCGAACCTCGCGTGAACTACCGCGAGTGCATAACGCAGCGCGCGGAGTTTGACTACCTGCACAAGAAACAGAGCGGCGGCAGCGGTCAGTACGGCCGCGTCGTCGGGTACGTCGAGCCGCTCGAGGAGGGGAACTCCGACGTGGTCTTCGAGAACGGGATCATCGGGAACGCGATCGCGCCTGCGTACATATTAGCGTGCGATAAAGGGTTCAAGGAGGCTGCGCAGACCGGTCAGCTCATCGGTCACCCGGTCGAGGGCGTGAGGGTCGTGTTGACGGACGGCGCGAGCCACGCCGTGGACTCGAGCGAGATGGCGTTTAAGCTCGCCGCGCTCGCGGCGTTTCGTCAGGTGTACGAGCGCGCGGCGCCGAAAATTTTGGAGCCGATCATGTCCGTCGAGATCACCGTCCCGACCGAGTTTCAAGGCACGGTCATCGGGAACATTAATCGCAGAAAAGGCACGATCAAAGACAGCACGTCGGAGGGCGACGACGTCATCGTCACGGCCGACGTCCCGCTGAAGAACATGTTTGGATACAGCACGGAGCTGCGGAGCATGACGCAAGGGAAAGGGGAGTTCACGATGGAGTACACGGGGCACGCGACGGTGACGCGGGACGTGCAGGAGGAGCTCATGGCCGAGTACGGGAAGACGCGGAAACAGGCGAAAGACTGATCTGTCATCGCATCGGGCGGGAGTAACTTGGTACTGTAACTACAGTACTACTAACGCGCCGCGCCCAAACTATTTTTTTTAACTTTCGACGACGAAAGGCTACAGTAATAATAACGAATACGATACGATATATACCACCGACGCGATCGATCACCGCGCGACCGGCGCGGGCGCGACGACGTCGTAGTGCGCCTCCAACAGCGGCGCGATCTCGTCCAACGACCTGACGATGTGCGTCGGAATCATCTCCCCCTCCAAAATCGCTGAGACTTGCCGGCCGTTATCCGACCGCGTCTCGTCCTCCTCCTCGCCGCCGCCGCAGCCGTCGCCGTCCTCCCCCCCGGTCCCGGTCCCGGTCCCGGTCCCCGTCGCCACGCTCCACTTCCCCGCGGTGTCCAACAGCACCGTGATCGCCCCCGCGCGGTTCCCGCTCACGACGTCGTCCTTCGCGCTGTCCCCGACCATGACGATCTCGCTCGGGTGGACGTCCCACGCCGCGCTGATGTGCAGCAACGCGTCCGGCGCGGGCTTGTACGGCCTGAAGTCCCTCGCGAGCGCGGGGGCGAACGGCGCGAGGTTCCACGCGTGCGCGTGGAAGTGCGCGACGGAGCTCTGCACGTTCCTGGTGACCAACCCGCGCGGGATCCCGCGCGCGTCGAAGAACGCCGCGAGCTCCTCCGCGCCCGGCATGCGTTTCATCGTCCGCAGCGCCTCCTGTTCCATCTCGTGGATGATCGCGTTCGCCCTCGCGCGTCGGTCCTCGGGCCACGCGTCGATCTCGGATAGGATGTCCTTCGTCTCGCACCCGACGCGGCGGTACATCTCCTGGAAGTCCAGGTTCGGGACGGTCAGCGTGCCGTCCATGTCGAACACGGCGCCGACGAGGCGACGTCGAGCAGCGCGCTGCGGCCCGTCGGGTGCCAACGCGCGCGGGTCCGGGCCCGCCATCGCGACGCGCGACGCTCTTCGCGCGGAGGAGGCGACGCCGCGCGTTACGGCGGAGACGCGGGAGGTTCGGGCGACGAGTCTCTGGAGCGCGAACGAGACCCCGACGCTCATGTGACGAGGACGCGCGTCTCGAGGACTGCGGCGACGTGGCGTCAGGCGGTGGTTTAGTATCGGCCAGCCGCGGCCGCCAGACGCCAGAAAATCTTCGCTCGACGAGAGCCGCCAGTTTCGCGAGACCGCCATTCACGCGCGCACGCACGAACGCCGGCTCACATCGCCCGTTCACGCACACGAGGAGCTTCCCGCCCTCATGTAAGAGACTTTGATCTCTTTTGCTGGTTTAGGAAGTCGATTTCCTACTCTCTCGCGCGACGCACCCGCGACCGCAAATCGCAACGACCCCGCTCGTTTTATGTGCAGGAGCCCTCCTCGGCGCTCGTGAACGCTTACGACGACGTCGTGCACATCATCGCCTTACACCATCCCCGAGCAATACTCTCGTGAACGATGAGTATCGTCAACATCGGCGCCGCGAACGGTGCGTCTCCTCGCTCGATTCCTCCCCCTCGCGCCTGGGGTTTACCCTCGCTCGGGCGAAAGAAATATCAGATCCTCCTCCTCGCCGCGGCGATCGCGAGCGCGCGAGATCTCGCGCGCTTCCCCGCGTCTCCACCGCGCGCGAGCTGACGATTTCCCACCTCCATCTCGCGCGTTCCCCCCGCAGCCGGCGACTCTTTCTACCGGTACAAGATGCCCGCGATCCAGAGCAAGATCGAAGGCCGCGGGAACGGGATCAAGACCAACGTCGTGAACATGGTGGACGTCGCGAAGGCGCTCGCGAGGCCGCCCGCGTACACGACGAAATATTTCGGCTGCGAGCTCGGCGCGCAGACCAATTGGAACGACAAGACCGGCACCGCGATCGTGAACGGCGCGCACGACGCCGCTAAGCTCGCGGACGTTCTCGAGGGCTTCATCAAGAGGTTCGTGCAGTGCTTCTCGTGCGGCAACCCGGAGACGGTGGTGAACGTCTCGAAGAGGGACACGATTCACCTCAAGTGCAAGGCGTGCGGCGCCGTGAGCGACGTGGACATGCGGCACAAGCTCACGACGTTCATCCTGAAGAACCCGCCGGAGAAGAAGTCGGACAAGAAGGATAAGCAGCTTCGCCGCGCGGAGATGGAGCGCGAGCAAGAGGGCGCCGCGCTCGACAAGGCTGCGGAGGAGGAGAAGAAGCGCCGGAAAGCGGAGAAGAAGGACAAGAAGGAAAAGAAGGACAAGAAGGAGAAAAAGTCCAAGAGCAAAAAGTCCAAGGACGACGACGACGACGACAAACCCGCCGGCGGTTCCCCCGAGCGCGACTCCGCGTCCGAGCCGGAGCCGGAGTCCGACGAAGACGACGACGACGACGACACGGTGTGGGCGACGGACACTTCCGCGGCGGCGATGGCGGCGCGCGCGAAGGAGCAGCTCACCGACGCCTCCGCCGCGATGGTCGAAGTCGCCACGGAGGAGCTCGAGAAGAAGGCGTCCTTGGAGGCGAAGAGGCTCGCGGAGGAAGCCGCCGCCGCGGAGGCGGCGGCAGCTGAGTCTTCTGAGGAGGAAGAGGACGAGCGCATCGCGAAAGTGAGGGCGTACGCGGCGAAGCACGACGACGCGGAGACGGCGGCGTATCTCGTCTCGGACGCGCTCGGCGCGGACAGCCCCGCGCTCGGGATTCACTTCCTCGTGGAGGCGATCTTCGACGACGAGAAGCCGCTCGCGCCGCAAGTCAAGGCGAAGATTGGTCTCCTGAAGAAGGCGTGCGCGGCGGACGCGCCCGCGTTGCAGCTCGCGCTTCTCTGCGCGATCGAACTGTACGTCACGGAGACGGCGACGACGGAGTTTAAGAAGATCGCCGTCGTCCTGAAGGAGCTCTACGACGGCGACGCCGCGGAGGAGGACGTCATCCTGAAGTGGGGCGCCGACCCCAAGTCCGCGAAGAAGTTTGGCGTCGATTCGAAGACCGCGGAGGCGGTGCGTAAGCAAGCCGCGCCGTTCCTCGAGTGGCTGCAGCAGTCGGACGAGGACTCAGACTCGGACTGAGCGACGGGCTGAGGTTGACGAAATCGCCGACCCGCCAGTCGCGGCCGCCGCCGCCGCGCGCGCGACCGCGGCCGCCTGCTTTTCTTTTCGTTTCCCAGAGCGCGAGCGCGCGCGCATTCATTTCAACTCGGCGTCGGTGGAGCGCGAGCGCGCGCGCATTCATTTCAACTCGGCGTCGGTGGGGCTATTCCTATCGCGCCCTGTGTAGTAGCTATTCAATATCAACACGAGAGCAAGTCCGTTTCGTCGTCAGTCGCGTCACCTCTTCGTCTTCCTCGTCGCGATCTCGCCGCTCGTCAACGCGTCGACCGCCTTCCTCACCGCGGCTTTCGTCTCCTCCAACGCGCACCCGGTGTCGATCACCACGTCCGCGCGTCTCCGTTTTTCCTCGTCCGGGACCTGCCGCGCGAGGATGCTCTCGAACTTCTCCGGCGTCATCCCCGGCCGCGCGAGCACGCGCGCGCGTTGCGCCTCCGCGTCCGCGCTGACGACCATCACGACGTCGACGGATCCCTCGTAGCCTTTCTCGTACAACAGCGGGATGTCGAACGCGACGAGCTTCTGGCCTTCCTCCTCCGCGGCGCGAAGGAAGCGCGCGCGCTCCGCGTCCACGAGCGGGTGCACGAGCGCCTCGAGCTTGACCATCGCGTCGTCGTCGCCGAGCACGAGCGCGCCGAGTTTTTTGCGATCGATCCCGCCGTCCGCGCCCTTCGCGCCGGGGAACAGCTCGTCGATGGGCTCGACCGCGGCGCCGCTCGGGGCGTACATCTCGTGCACGACCGCGTCCGAGTCCATGACCGGGATCCCCATGTCCGTCAGCGCTCGAGACACCGTGCTCTTTCCCATCCCGATGGACCCGGTCAGGCCGAGGAGGATCATGTCTCGTCGTCGTCCGTCCTCCTCCGACGCGGAAGACGCGGAGGACGCGGAGGACGCGGACGCGGCGAAGGCGAAGGCGCGGGGGACGCGACGACGCCGCGCGCGCGCGCCGTGAGATGCGAGGGCGAGGGACGGACGCGACGCTGAAAACGCCCCGACGCTCATGGGACGGCGCCCCCTCGCCGGAGTTGTGGGAGGCGAGCGGGCGGACGCGCGCGTAAGTTCGTTCCGGCCGGCGCTTTCGCTTTCGTGTCGGCGTTTGGATAGACGTCGATCGCGTCGTCAGTCGACGTCGAGCGCGCGCCGCCGCGTCGGACCCGCGTCGTCGTCCGCATCATGCGCGCGCTCCTCGCCACTCCCGCGGCGCCTCTGCGTCTCCGCGCCGCCGGCCGCGCGTCCGCCCATCGCCGCGCGTCGCGCCACGTCGTCCGCGCGGCGAACGCGGACGGATACACCGGAGGCGGCATCGCGCTCGCGGAGGACGGCCGCCGCGCGCGATCCTCCGGCGGCTTCGAGCAAGACTTCGAGATCGCCCTCGGCGGGGAGACGCCCGCGCCGGTGACCGCGAAGTTCGAGCCGGGGAGCGAGGCGGTCATCGTCACGATCCCGCGCCCGCTCGGGATCGCGTTCGAGGAGAAGACCGTCGGCATCTACACGCAGATCGTCGTCGACGAGGTCGTCGAGGGGTCGAACGCCGCGAAGGCGGACGTGAAGGTTGGCGACATCTTGCGGATAACCACCGCGGTGTTCAACGTCCCGGGCGTGATCGACGTCACCGCGTGGTTGAACCCGCCGAAGAGCACGAACTGCAAGGCGTTCTACGTGTGCGATCAGAAGCCGTTCGACAAAGTCATGGACGCCATCAAGTCGCACGCCGTGCCGGTGGACACCCCGGACGGGCCGGTCGAGATCATGGAGGTCGGGCTCGTGTTAGAGCGCCCGGCGAGCGCGGCGTGACGACGATCGCGAGAGACGAATGTCCTTAGGCTTTATTGAACAAACGCGCGAGCGAACTAGAGATCGAACAGACGCATCTCCGCCATCGCCTCTCTCCTGTTGACGTTGTACCAGGCCACGAGCCTCGCGGCGCCGAGCGCGGGGGGCAACGGGCAATCCACGCCGTATATCAGCTCCGCGCCTTTCATCTCGCCCTTGCACGCGGTCCACGCGGCGCCGAACCCGCCGGTCGCGCCGGTCGCTGCCGCGTCATCGCCCTCCGCGGCGACCTCGCCGCCGCCGCCGCCGCCGCCGCCGCCCTTGAACCCCGTCCACGCGCTCCCCATCGCCGCCCCTAACGCCTTCGGCGTGCACCTCACCTCCGCCCTGAGCTTCAGCGGCCCTAAGAGCTGCTGCGTCGCGCTCAGGGTCACGATCTCGGACTCGAGCGTCGCTTTCCCGCCGCGGCTGATCAACTTCTCCACCCACGACGTCTCGCCCTCGGGCTTCGCGTCCGCGAGCGGTCGGTGCGGCTGCATCGCCCCGGCGTCGTACCGAACGTCGATCGCGGTGTAGTCCAGCATCGGCCGCAAGTACGACCCCACGGACGCGTGCAGCGTCCCGGACACGACGTGCCTGAGCTCGGTCTCGTTCTTCGTCCACCCCCCCGCGCTGTCCACCAGCGGCATCCTCGCGAGCGCGCCCACGAGGCCGCCGATCGTGACGTTCGGCCGCTGCGGCAGCGCGGCGTACCCGCCCGGGCGCTTCCCCGGCGGCGGCGCGCGCCTTTCGCCGCGCCACAGCGTCGCCTGCTGCTCGATCGAGACCCCCGCGAGGGCTTCGCGACGAGGCGGCGGCCGCGCGCCGCCGCCGGGCGCTCGCTCAAACTCCGGCAACGTCTCGTCCAGCCACTGACGCACGCCGAACCTGTAGTTCAGGAACTGCGGCCCCCTCGACGCGATCGTCACGCTCGCGTGCGATGGACCGTCTTCGTACCCCTCCGAAGTCTGGTACCGCTCGCGGTGCGACAGGTCCGCGTGCGCGACGTGCCACGGGAAGAATTTCGATTGGAGCGCGACGCGTCCGCGAGGGATCTCGTCGCTGCTCAGCGCCGGCGCGGGCGCGGGCGCGTTCGACGCCGCGGCGGCGTTCGGATCTCGCGAGCGCATGAACTTCCTGCGGAGTTCGTTCAGACCGCGCAGAGAACCGAGCTCGCCGAACGCTTTCAGCGCCGTGGACCGTCCAACGCCGGCGCGGAATCGCCCCGACAACGCGTACATGGAAGGATCGGAGAGCACCTGGTGGGGCTTCCCCTCGCTGAACTGCTGCGTGTTCCACGCCCGCTGCGCGCGCAGACGGAGCGTGAACGTGTTCCACCACGACCGTCCCCCGAAGTTCGCGACGACGCGGTCGAGGACGAGGCCGTCGCCGACGCCCTTGCTGTCGTCGTAGGACGGCGTCGCGGGGATGTTTAAGAATCGCTGCATCATGTACAGCTGTTGCGACCGCGCGAGACCGGAGGGGAGGCCGAGCGTGAACGGCGGCGCGGAGGACTGGTGCACGCGGACGTGGCCCTCGAGCGCGGACGCGCACTCGGTCTCTTGGTCGCCGAAGATGGTCGTGAACGACGCCTTCGTGGCCTCCATCGATCGCTGCGTGAGCGGCGCCATCTTCCGTCTCTGATTTAATTAATCGCCGAGCGCGTTCACCGCCGCGCGTCGATCGAGCGTTCGATCGCGCCGCGGATCGCCCGCGCGTCGTCCGCGCCGGGGGTTTACCTCGCGCGGGCGCCCTCGAGGCTGGCCGGGCGTCGGAAGACGCGCGTCGATCGCGGAGCGTGCGCCGCGGTGACTGCCCGCCGAGATCGATCAGGGGCGCGCTCTTATCGCTCCTGCAAGGCTTTCCGGCGGTCGCGGTCGGCGACGACGCGACGCGACGACTCAGGGGCGGTTTCGGAGCGGTGACGCGTCGACGCCGGCGCCACAACGCCCTCGCGCGAACGCCACGCAGCGGCGCACGACACGACCGCCGAGACCGTATTCGACGCGCGCGCGCGTCCACGAACGCGGAGGACGATGACCATCGCGGCGCTCGGACGCCAGCTCGCGTCGCCGCGCGTCGTGGCTCGACGTCGGCAGCCGGCGAAAACGACGACGACGACGACGACGAAGACGAAGACGAAGACGCGATCGTTCGCGGCGACGACGACGCGCGCCTCCTCCTCCTCCTCATCCTCCTCCTCCGACGCCGCCGCGCGCGCGCCATTCGCGACGACGTGCGCCTCCGCCGCGCTCGCGACGGCGGCGGCGCTGACGCTCGCGCTGTCCACCCCGGACGCGTCGATCGCGGGCACGCCCAAGGGCCAGGGCGTCGCGAGCGGCGACGCGTACGGAAGAACCGACGTCGACCGGTGCAGCAGGGAAGCGCTGAAGAAGGCGGCGAACACGCGCGCGGCGTTCTCCGACTTCGCGACGCAGCAGAACGAGGAGCTGTACGTCAACGTCGAGGGGTGCGACTACAGCAACATGGACCTCTCCGACGAGGTCCTCAGCGGCGTCAAGGCGAGAGGCGCCAACTTCGAGAACTCCATATTCGGCGCCGAGTCCTCGCGCGCGGACTTCAGCGACGCCAACTTGCGAGGCGCGGTGATCAGGAGCGTGAACTTGTACAACACGATATTCGCGGGCGCGGACTTGGAGGGCGCGGACCTGTCCGGGTCGCTCGCGCCGGGGGCGTTTTTCGGGAGGGACGAGCAGACGGGGAAAAAGGCCAACCTGAAGGACGTCAACTTCGAGGACACGCTGCTGTCGTCGAGCGACGTGCGGACGATATGCGCGAACTCGTCGTTGACGTTCGAGTCGAAGATGAGCCTGGGGTGCTGATCGGACGTCGTCGAGGGTCGGGAGGGGGGGGGTGTTGTAGCGTTGTACGTGCGTCGAGATACCGACTCGAACAGTAAGCTCGCGGGTGAAAGCATTTTCGCGCTTTCAAACACACCGATGAATTGACCGGACAAATCGTCCCGAACGCAAAACGGACAAAACGCCCCGAGATCTGGGAACGTCTCGTCACTCGCCACGCGCGCGACGACGGCGCGTCCTCTTCCTCCTCCTCCTCCGCGGCCTCGTCGCGAAGTGCTCGCGTACCCCGCGATCGACGCGACGTGAAGTCGTCTCCAAGGCGGATGAATCGCGGCGGCGTCGACGATAACACGGGGGACGGATCGACTTCCGCAAATCTCGACAACGACGCCCCGCCCCTACTAGAACGATTCGCCGCGGTCGCGCGCGATGTCTTATACGTGCACATCCTCCCGCGGCTCGACAGCGGCGACCTCGCGGTGCTCGCGACGGTGAACCGAAAGATGCGCGACGTCGTCTTCGAATCGCCCGTCGAGCATGACGTGAGGGACGTCGCGGCGGTGAGGAGAGAGCTCGCGAGGGTTCCTAACTTCGTCGGATCGATCGGCAGGCTGACGTGGGCGAAGGATCAGCGAGGGTGTCCGTGGGACGCGAGGACGTTCACGTGCATCGCGAGGGGTGGGAACGTGGAGGTCGCGAGGTGGGCGAAGGAGCGAGGGTGCCCGTGGAACGGGGGGACTTGCGCCTTTGCCGCGGAAGGCGGCCACCTGGAGATGCTGCAGTGGTTGCGAGCGAACGGCGCGCCGTGGGAGGAGAGCACTTGCGCCTTTGCAGCGGGTGGCGGCCACCTGGAGGTGCTGCAGTGGGCGCGAGCGAACGGGGCTCCGTGGAACGAGCGGACTTGCGCCAACGCCGCGAAAGGCGGCCACCTGGAGGTGTTGCAGTGGGCGCGCGCGAACGGCGCTCCGTGGTACGAGTGGACTTGCACCTATGCTGCGCGTGGCGGCCACCTCGAGGTGCTGCAGTGGGCGCGAGCGAACGGATGTCCGTGGCACGAGACGACTTGCGCCTGGGCCGCGTGTGGCGGCCACCTGGAGGTGTTGCAGTGGGCGCGAGCGAACGGATGTCCGTGGCACGAGACGACTTGCGCCTGGGCCGCGTGTGGCGGCCACCTGGAGGTGCTGCAGTGGGCGCGAGCGAACGGATGTCCGTGGGACTCGTTCACTTGCACCGGTGCCGCGAAAGGCGGCCACGTGGAGGTGCTGCAGTGGGCGGTCGCGAACGGATGTCCGTGGGACAGCTGGCAAACTTGCGCCAACGCCGCGAAAGGCGGCCACCTGGAGGTGTTGCAGTGGGCGCGCGCGAACGGCGCTCCGTGGGACAACGAGGGGACTTGCGCCAACGCCGCGAAAGGCGGCCACCTGGAGGTGCTCCAGTGGGCGCGCGCGAACGGCGCTCCGTGGCACGAGACGACTTGCACCTATGCCGCGATATACGGCCACCTGGAGGTGCTGCAGTGGGCGCGCGCGAACGGCGCTCCGTTACACAACGGGGGGATTTGCGTCCATGCCGCGAGTGGCGGCCACCTGGAGGTGCTGCAGTGGGCGCGCGCGAACGGCGTTCCGTAGGTCGAGCGGACTTGCAAGTCTGCCACGGGTGAAGGCCACCTGCAGGTGATGCAGTTGCCGCGCGCGAACGGCGTGCTGTGGTGGGACGAGCGGACTTAAACAGAGGAGTGGCCGCACGTGACGGAGTGGCTGCGAGCGAACGGATGTCCGCGGCGCTAATAATGTGACGACGAGAGAACGTGCTTGTAACGAACGAACGAACGAATGAACGAACGCGGACGCTCGGAGAAAGCGCCGGCCCGGAGCCGCGGCAGACTTGACGCGACGAAACAGTTTTCGGCAGTGCGCACTGCACGAGCGTTTCGATGACTCAGCAACGTTTGTCACGAAGCGCCGGCATTGACCAGCGCACCCCCCACGCGCATACGCGATGACATTCCACCTTGGCCGCTCCCGCGGCCTTCTGCGTAACGTCATCCCCGCGCTCCGAGTCCTCGCGCGCTGGGACGCGCCCAACGCGACGACGACGCTCGCGTCGTCCGCCGCGGCGAAACGCGTCGAGATTTCGTCTGCCGCACGAGAGCGAGATCTGACGACGTCCGCCTCGTCCTCGACGTCGTCCCCGCACGCGGACATGTCCACGTCGACCGCTCCCCGGGGCCCGCATCGCCTCGAGAGCGACATCATAGGCTCGATGCTCATCCCTCGAGACGCGCTGTACGGCATCGCGACCGCGCGCGCGATGGAGAACTACGACATCACCGGCGTCAAGCTCAGCGCGTACCCGGACTTCATTCGCGCGTTCGCGTTCGTCAAGAAGGCGTGCGCGCGCGCCAACTTCGAGATCGGCCTCCTCCCTCGAAACGTCCACGACGCGATCGCGTCCTCGTGCGACGAACTTCTGAAGGACGACGCGCTCCACGAGCACTTCACCGTGGACGTCATCCAAGGCGGCGCCGGGACGAGCACGAACATGAACGCGAACGAGGTGATCGCGAACCTCGCGCAGCGACGCATGGGCCTCCCGCTCGGGGACTACTCCGCGGTGTGTCCGAACGACCACGTGAACTTGTGCCAGAGCACGAACGACGCGTACCCGTCCGCGGCCAAGCTCGCGGTCGTGTTCAGGCACACGTCTGTGGTGCACGCGCTGCGCGAGCTCATCACGTCGTTGCGCGCGAAGGGCGACCAGTTCGGCGGCGTCATCAAGATGGGTCGAACGCAGCTCCAAGACGCGGTCCCGATGACGCTCGGGCAAGAGTTTCACTCGTTCGCGTCCACGCTGGAGGCGGACCTCGCGTTCATGCAGCGGAACGTGGACCAGCTGTACGAGATGAACCTCGGCGGGACCGCGATCGGGACGTCGATATGCGCGGACGCGCGGTTCAGCCACGAGGCGGTGAAGGCGCTGAGCGAGCTGACGCGTCTTCCGTTGCAGTCGCCGAAGGACTTTATCGAGGCGTCGTCTTCGACGTCGTCGTTTCTGCTCTTCAGCAACATCTTGCGACGCGTCGCGGTGAAGGTGAGCAAGATATGCAACGACCTGCGGCTGCTCTCGAGCGGGCCGAGGTGCGGGTTCAACGAGATCAACCTCCCCGCGGTGGCGCCCGGGTCGTCCATCATGCCGGGCAAAATCAACCCCGTCATCCCGGAGGTCGCGAACCAGGTGTGCTTTCAAATCATGGGCGCGGATCAGACGATCGCGACGGCGTCCGAGGCGGCGCAGCTGCAGCTGAACGTCTTCGAGCCCGTGATCGTGTACAACCTCCTGAACAACCTGAAAATCATGACGAACGCGCTGAACACGTTGCGGACGAAATGCGTCGACGGCATCACCGCGAACGAAGACGCGTGTAAAAAGTCGGTGGACAACAGCATCGGAATCGTGACCGCGCTGTTGCCTCTGATCGGGTATAAGAAGGCCAGCGCGGTCGCGAAGGAAGCGCTGGAGACGGGCGCGCCGGTCGCGACGATCGCGGCGAAATACGCGCCCGCGGAGAAGGTGAAGGAGTACCTCAAGGTCGAGGCGATGACGTGCGCGGGGACGATCGAGGCGCGAGGGGTGTGCCTCGACACGCCGCCGCCGCCCGCTGAGGAGGTCGCGTGAGTGATTCGCGGCTGAGACCATGTCGATCGGTACGCCTCCGCGTAACCTTATTGTGTCGTATTAATAACGAGATCACGCGCCCTGGATGTGCCCCGAGAGCGCCTCGCCGAGGACGACGCGCGCGTCGTCCGCGAACCCATTCAGCGCGCTCAGAATTTCCTTCTCGTACACGTCCCCGATTTGCGCGCGGAACCGGCGCAACATCGCCACGCACAGCGCGAGCGCGCGCTTCTCCTTACTCTCCGCCGCGGCCTCCTTCCCCGCCTCCGCGATCGGCTCCCTCGCCGCCGCCGCGGCGTCGACCACTCTCGGCGCCAACGCTTTCACCAGCGCGAGACAGAACCCGCCCGCGGCGTCCGCGACGGCAGCCTCCGCGCTCGCGATCGACTCCTTGACCTCGTCGATCGCCTTCTGCGTCTCCTCGATCGTGCTCACCGCGTTCGCTTCCTTCGCCTGCGCGCGCTGCATCCGCGCCTCGCCGGACACGCCCATCTCCGCCGCCTTCGACGCTTGGTTCGCCGCGCTCGCCGCGTCCGCCTCCGCGTGTTTCATCTTCTTCTCCAGAGACGACAGCAACCACGCCGTGTTCTCCCGATCCGCCGCGGAGGACTCGACGGCGAGGCACGCGATGTCGAACGCGTCCGCGGAGCCCCACGCGGTCGCCGCGGACGCGTTCTCGTTCTCGATCGTGCTCTCGACCCACCGCGCGATCGAGTGCGGGGTGCATAAGCCGAGCTCGAGGAGCCGGCTCACGGCGACGACCGCCATTCTCGGGTGCGTGCCGCTCCATATCCCCGCGGCGGCGCCGACGAGGACGTGCGTCGCGTCGCCATCCTCCGTGAGTTTCTTCAGCGCCGGTTCGTATCGCTTCAGGAGGACGTTGTGATGCGTGATGCACTTTTGCCCGTGCGAGATGGCGGCCACCGTGAGCGCGCGCGCGGCTTCTTCGTTCCCGAGCGCCTCGAGCTTCCCGCTCGTCTCGAACCACGTCATGACCTCCTCCGCGGGGGTTTTCAACTTCATGAAATTCCTGAGGTCGTTCAGCGCGCCGCTGCTCGCGTTCTGCGCGTCGTGGATGTAATCCAAGTTCAGCGAAGGCGCGCCCGGGAGCAAGCAGTGCAGTTCCTCCGGCAGGCTCTCCTTGACGCGTTCGTGATACACGAGCCTCAGCAGCCTTCGAACGACGGAGGCGCAGAACGCCCTCTGCGGGTGCTCCGAAGGCTGCTCCGCGACGTGCAGCCACGAGCGCCACGGCCACGCGAGGTCGAAGCACGAGAGGTGGTGCGCCATCCAGTCCGCGAGCCGCTCTCTCGCCTCGAGATCCATCCGTCCAATCTCGGAGAACATCTTCCCGACCACCTTCGCCATCATCCGCGGGAAGCTCTGGATCGCCTTGCACAAGTCTTGGATCACGATGTGATAAAACGCGCACGGGTGCGCGGGGCGCGGCAGCGCGAGCATCTCCCCGAACAGCGTCTCCGCGACGAGGAACTGACACCGTTCGGGGTGATCCGAGGGGAGCGGGAGCGTCCCCAGCTGCTCAGCCGCGGGGATGACCGCGCCTCTCCTGAACCCGGGTTCGAACGCCCAGAGCGTGTCCGCGATGTATTCCTCCGCGACGTAGCGCTCGAGCGGGCCCCAGTCGCCGGCTTCCCACAAGCCTTCGGTCTGCGCTTGCGCCAACGCTCTGCGCGTGTGCACGTCGGCGGGGGAGGAACGAGTCGTCAGCGACGCGAGCGCGTTCGCGTACGCGGAGGTAGATACGGAGGTGGGGATGGGCGCGCGCGTTCGCTCAGCGAGCATTTCTTTCGTCAACCAACCGTCAGGGGATTAACGAGATGTAGAAATGTTGGAGTCATCACCGCGAACGGAACGAGACGAGGGCTGGGCGAGGGCGGGGGCGGGGAAACGAAACGTGACCCGAGCGGCGCTCTCGTCGCTAGGAAACGAAACGCACCTCAATCTCGGCCTGACCGGGAACATCGCGAGCGCCTCCGCGGCTCCCGTGAACGTCATCTTCGGCACCGCGATCGGCGGCGGCGTGTGCGAGTTCACGCTCCCGGCCGCGATCTCCTCCGCGAACGGCTCCACCACCGCGGGCACGGACTTGACTTGCCACGCCTCGATCGCGACCGCGCCGGCTTTCCTCACCTCGTTCACGCGGCCCCACAGCTCCTCGAGCCAGTCGTCCGCGCGCCCGTCCGCGGCCGCGAACGTCATGCTCGCCGGGTCCGGGCCTCGGGATCGACGACCGAGGTACTCCTCGACGCTGGACAGGAGCACGTCGAAAATTTCAGCCGCGTTTCCCGTCTCGGCGTGCGCGCTCAACGATCCCCCCGCCCACGGCATCGCGGCGAGGACGATGTACACCAAGAAGTCCGCCCTGGGCTGCCACCCCGGATTCGCGTCGTCCGCGGCCGCGACGGCGCCGCAGACGATCGCGTCGAGACACTCGAGCGCGTGCTCCGCGGAGATCACGCCGACGGAGGGGAGGCACGCAATGAATCGAAGCAACAGGCGCGCGCGCGTCTTGTCGTCGGGGTCGGACGACCCGAGCTTCTGCTCGAGCTGCTCGATCGCCGCGCGGACGACTTCTTCGACGAACTCGGGGACGCGCACGTTCAGGAGCCCGACGAGCGCGGCGTACACGGGCGTCTTCACCGGGAGTTCGGTGACGCACTCCATGATGAATTTCAGCGCCGGCTCCGTGAGCGACGGGAGGTCGTGCGCGAGGAGCCCCGCGAGGTTGCGGAGCATCTCCGGGGAGCCGTTGCAGTGGATGATCGCCTCGCGCATCTCCATGAGCTCCTGATTAGGCGTGGGTCCGCCGCCGCGGCCGCCGCCGCGTCCTCCCATCATCGGGCGCATGTGCGAGCCGTCCTGCGAAGAGGGCGCGCGATCGAGATCGGGGGAGAATTGGATGGAGCGTCAGAGCGGACGCGGCGGCGCGGCGTCGTGATCGACGCGCGACGTGAACGGCGATCGAGGCGGGGAGATCGGGATCTGGACGCACATTACGGCGGTGGCGCTTGTGGCCTCTGAAATCTCCCATGGTGTCGTGTGGGGGGCGGGCGCGCGACCCGAAGAGTGACACCGCCGCCGCGGCAGGGAGGAGTTCGCCTGGTTTGCCGCTCGCCCTGAGCTCGCGCGCTCTCGAGATCTGCTCGCAGCGCGCCGCAGCGACCGGCGAAAGGGCGGAGCCAGATTCGCTCATCACTCCTTCCCCTCGCGGGGTAAGCCGTCATGGGTCTCTGGAAGAACTTCTTGATCCGCCTGGGGCTCGCGAAGAAGAAGGTGCGCCGTCGTCGTCTCTCCTCCCTCCGCGCGTCGCGCCCCGCCGCGCCGTCGCGGCCGCGCCCGCGCGTCCATCTGATCCCGCGGGTGCCGTTTCAAAGCTCGACGCGACGCGCGCTTCCGTCCCCTGACCGACATCGCGTCGTCCCCACCCTCTCTCCACACTTCACGACCTCGCAGAGGAGCATCTTAGTCGTCGGCCTCGCGAACGGCGGGAAAACCACGCTCGTGAACCGCATGAAACCGACGAAAGACCGCGAGGAAGACGTCGCCCCGACCGTCGGCTTCTCGGTCGAGCGATTCTCGCTGCACAAGTGCAAGCTCACGGTCATCGACATGTCCGGCCAGGAGCGGTACCTCGACCTGTGGGAGTGCTACTACAAAGAGTGCCAGGCCGTCGTCTTCGTCGTGGACGCCACCGGCGGGGACGACGTGCTGCGAGAGAGCGAGAAGATGTTACGAGGGATGTTACGGCGCGACGAGCTCGCGAGGCGGCCGCTGTTGGTGTTCGCGAACAAGAGCGACGTCCCGACCGCGCTCGGGGCGTCGGACATCGCGCGGGCGGTGGATCTGATGGGCGCCGCGGGGGACGGAAGGGCGTGGCACATCGGCGCGTGCTCCGCGCTCACGGGGGTGGGGATCGACGAGGGGTTTCGGTGGCTCATCGGGAAGTTATAGCGCGCGCGGCGCGCGCGCCACGTCGGTCCCGGGTTGGTCTGGTTCTCTAGCTAGAGTTTTGGTTTCGATTAATTAGTAATCCCCGCGTCTCTCCACGAAGCTCGGGTACGTCCTCAGCCGCGCGCGGTCGAGCTCCTCCCGCAAGATCATCATGTCCTCTCTCTGCGCGGTCGCGATGTCCTCGAGTTTTCGTTGCGTCACCATCGCGCGCATCTTCTTCTCCGCCGCGCGGGCTTTATTGTCCTTCCCCCCCGACTCCCCCGCGCGCGTCAAGCGTTGCTCTTTGACCTTGACGTACTCCGCGACAGAGTCGTCCATGGCGACCACCTGCGTGGAGATCTCGAGGTTCTGCGCTCTCTTCTCGTCCATCTTGCGCGTGATCTTCGCGAGCTCGCGCTTGCGCTCGGAGACCAAGCGCGCGTGCAGCACGCGCGCCTGCTCGAGACGCGCCTCCAGCGACGCGGTTTCGCTGAGGATCTTTTTCCCATCCGCGTCGGTCTTTTTCGACGGCTTCTCCGGCTTCGGCTTCGGCGTCTTCCCGTCGCCGATGAGAATCTTATCCAGCAGTCTTCGGTCCGCGCGCGTGAGCTGCAGCTCCTTGATCTTCACGACCAAGTCCGCGTCCACCATCTGCAGACGCTCGTCCTCCCACTGCAGGTCGTAGATGCCTTTTTTGTACTCCTTGATCGCCTCGAGCGTCACGAGCTTCGACGCGCCGCGCTTGTGCACAACCTCGTTCAGACGCTCGATCGTGCTGCGATGTATGAGCACGGCGTCGTCCCTCGCCGCGCGCGTGCCGTCCGCGCCGTCCGCGCCCCCGAGCTCGGGGGTGATCGCCTCGACGAGGCCTTGCTTCATCACGAGCGGCACGGCGAGGTCGTAGAGCTGATCGAACCGGCGTCTCGCGAACGCCCTCGCCTCCGCCTGGAGCGCGTCCAATTCGCTCCGCACCTCCGCGTCTTCCTCGGTTATCTTGAACAGATACCGCTGCATCTCCTCGAGCGTCGCGCGCATCGCCGCGAGCTCAGCCTCTTTCGCGATCTTACGGTCCCGGTGATCGACGAGCCGGTCCCACCACGCCTGATCGAGGCCGTCCACGGCGTCGAGCGTCGGGTCGAGCGGCTCCACCGGCGGCAGCCGCGGCTTTGGCTTCCCGCTCGACACCGGCCCGCCGAACGCGGCGTTGAAGGGGTCGTGCTGCGCGTCGCGGACGATCTTATGCGCGGCGTGGTCGCCCTCGCCGCGCCTGCCCGCGAGCGCGCCGCCGGCGAGATGGAACCCCGCGTGCGCGAACTCCTTCGCGGGCGTCTTCAAGTTTATCGACGACCGCGGCGACCGCTGCGGCGAGTGGTTCGCGTGCGCGGCGAGGGAGAGCCGCCTCGCTGCCGCGCGCAGGCTCGCCCTCGCGAGGGACTTCTTCGCGGCGCTCCCGCCGGGTGTGCCGTTCGCATTGACTCCGCGCGCGGGAGCTTTGCGGCGCCGGTACAAACCCCAGAGCGTGTCGAACAGGAGATCCGTCTCCGCGAACGCGGATTTAAAGACGCGCGTGAGCTTGTTATCCTCCGCGACGACTTCCTCGTACCGCTTCTGGCACTCGTCCACGCGCTTGGAGAACGCGGCCACCACCGCGGCGCTCTCGACTTTCTGCGCCGCGAGATTCTCTAACGTCTCCGAGATCGTGACTTTCGTGACCTCGTCGTCGGTGAGCGCGCGCTCAGCCTCGGACGCGCACGCGACGACGTACGAGTCCAGCCGCGCGAGCTTCCCTTCCACGCCGTTGCGCTTTTCGTTGAATTCGGTCAAGGTCTCGTCCATCTTCGAGATGACCTCCTCGGTCTCCTCGCGCGTCTTCTTCAGCTCCGTGTCTAAGGTTTTGCGGCGCTTCTCGAGCTCTTCTCTCAGCGCTTTCGCTTTGAGCTCGTACTCCTTCGCGCGTTTCGTTTGAATCTCGCTCCAGTCCTCTTTCGCGACGACGCCGTAAAACTCCGGCTTCACGAGCTCCTCCATCCCGTCCGAGTCCGGGGCTTCGAGCTGGCCGTTCATCATGTCCTTCAGCGCGCGCACGGTCGGGTCGTTCGCGCCCTTCGCGCGCGCGCGCGCGGCTTCCTCCTCTGCCTCTTTCGCGCGCTTCGCTTCCTCCGCCGGGGAGAGATACTTTGGCGCGGAAATTTCGTCGTCCCTCACCTCGAGCGCGGCGCCCTCCTGCTCCTCCGTCGTCCACGCGGGCTCGAACAGCGGCGCGGTGTCGTTCGTGTGCGACTTCAGCTCGCCTCTGATTTCTTTGATCCGCGTGTTTAACTCCGCGAGCTTGTCCATGGACTTTTGCTTCACCTCGAGCATCTCCTCGAACTCGGCGTTGAACGCGCTCTTCGACTCTCTCGCCGCGAGTTGCGCGAGGAACATCTGCGTGATCTTCCGCCGCGGCGGGTACAGCTTGAACGGGTCGTACAGCATGTTCTCGTGGTTCTCTGGGAGTTTCATCTTCATCGCGACCGCGACGTCGACGGACGATGACATCCGCGCCGCGGGCGTCGTCGGTTCTTCGCCGCCGTCGCCGCCGTCCGCTTCGCCGCTCGGTTCGCCCGCGTCGGCGTCGGCGTCGGCGTCGGCGTCCGCGCCGGGGTTCGCCCCCGCGGTCGTCTTCGCGTCTTCCGCGGTGCCTTTCAAATCGAACGTAGATCTCGTGTCCAACCCGGAGTCTTTCAAGAACCGCTCCTCCATGACCTCGATCTTACGAAGGAACGACACCTTCGACGCGGTCTTCGTCGCCGCGTCGTCCTTCTTCAGCGGATAGTTTCGAACGACGAGACCGGGAGCTTTGAACCCCAAGATCGCGCACCCGTGCGTCGCCATCGTGTCCCAGCACTCCGACTTGATCCTGTGCGCGTCGTACTCCCTCCGCAGGTTCTCCCCCATGAGCGTCGTTCGAACCTCCTCCACGCGCTCGTCCCCTTCCGCGACGAGACGCGCGTGGAACTCCGCGTCCACGATGAGCTGATCCCCCGGGATGCGTTCGAGCTCGTCCGCCGCCGCGTTCCGCGCGATCGTGTCCTCCAGGCGCTTCTTCAGGTCGTCCACCTTGGCTCGCATCTTCGCCTTCGCGGAGGCGATCTTCTCGTCGCCGTCGCCCGCGTGCATCGCGGCGCCTTTCGACGCCGCCACCGCGGCGGCGACGAGCGTCGGCTCGGAGGCGTCGTCAGGCGCGTCCTGCGCGACGTCCCCGACCAGGTCGACGTGGAGCTCTCCGAGTGCGTCGTCGTCGACGTGTAAGAACCTGCCCTCCAGGCCTTTCACGGCGGAGATCGCGACGGACCCGTCGACGCCGACGCTCGCGAGGAGTTCCCCCGGCACGCGCGCGAGGTCGACGCACCCGCCGTCAATTTTCGTCCGCGTCGACGTGTCGCCGTGGACGACGCGGGTGAACAGCCTGCCTCCGCTGCAGTCCCACCCTTTCCACACCGTGATCCGGCCGTCCGCGCCGCCAATCACCGTCTTATCTTGTCTCGTGATGACCTGCTTCCCAAACTTCGTCATCGGAATCGTGCTCAACGCCTCTAACGCCTTGCCTTTACCGCCGACCCAATCCGACGCCTTCGAAGAGAGTTCATACGTCCGGATTTTACCATCCGCGCCGAGGCCGATGACCCTCCCCGCGGCCGTCAGCGACGACTCGACCGCGGTGAGCGGCGTGTCGATCTTCACGCTGGCGATGTCGCCCTTGACGAACACGCCCGCCGCGGAGCCATCGTCCATGAAAAACCCCGCGCCGATCTGCCCGGGTTTGTGACCCAACGGCGGAGGCACGATTTTCGTGATGTACCCTCCCTCGCCGGAGACTATGACTTGGCCGGATCCCGAACACGAGAGCGACATCGCGGGGTACGGAATCGTGACGTACCCCATGACGTGCGCGGTCGCGGAGTTCATCTTCGGATTCACGACCTCGATGAAGCACAGCTCGTTCCCTTTCGCCGCGGCGATGATCGTGCCATCCCCGTTCATGTCCATGCTATCCACCTGGCCCTCGAAGAGCTTCACTCGCAAGATCAACGACGGCGGCGTGCTGCCGTGGCTGCATCTGAAGACTCTCACGACGCCGCCCGTGGACGCGACGGCGAGGCATTGACAAACATCCGGCGACCCGTTCGCGAGCGCGGTCACCGCGCTGCCGATCGCGCGTTTCCACGCGCAGCCGCCGGTCGCGAGGTCCCATCCTCGGACGTACCCGTCGACGCCGCACGTCACGATGACTTTACCCCCGGACATCGCACCGACGCCCGTGGCTCGGCCATAGTGGTAGTCCCCGATTTTCACGACCTCGATCGGGGATGGGGACGGGGACGGCGCCGAGGCTTCCGCGGGGGCGGCGGCCGCCGCCGCCGCCGTCGCCGCCCCCTCCTCCTCCTCGCCGCCCTCCGGCTCCTTCACCGGCGTCAGCGGCGCGTCGCCGTCGCCGCCGCCGTCCTCCCCCGTCCCCGCGACATCCGCCGCCGCCGCCGTCTCCGTCTCCTCCGACGTGATCGCGCCCGTGATGTTCGCCAAGTACAGACCGCACTCCGCGGTGCTCACGACGGCTTGATCAAACCGCGGGCTCCGCTCCACGGAGACGACGTCCTCGCCATCGCCCCCGGGGAGCGGCACCGTCCGCGTCGGCTTCACCCGCGTCGACGCCGTCGCGTCGTCGAAGTGCGGGTACACGCGTAAGACGCCGTCGCCGCCGCCGCCGACGAAGACGTGCTCCTTCGTGAAGGCGAACGCGCGCGTCGGGCCCGCGCCGCCGTCCACCGCGGACGCCGATCTCGACGTCACCTCCCCGGTCTTCGCGTCCACGATCAACACCCCGCCCAGGCTCGTGCCGACGTACGCGTTCCCGCTCGGCGACCACGCCGCGCCGGTCAGCGACGTGGGGTTCACCCCGACGTCTTCCGATCGAATCGCGACGCGTCTGATGAGATACGTCTCGAACACCTTGTCGACGATCGTGACGGACACCCCGGGGACGTCGCCGCTCGCGGCGCCCGCCGCGTCCGCGTGCGTCGCGATGAGCTCGTACGCGTTGAAAGGGTTAAACGCGAGCGCGGAGGCGTCGTACGGCAGCGACGTCGTGACGATTTCGTCGCCGGTGCGCGGGTCTATCACGCGGAGTTCCAAGTCGGGAACCGCGGACGCGATCGCGAGGAATTTTCCATCGCGCGAGAACGCGAGCGCGCTGACGCGCGCGCGCGCGACGTTCGGTATCGAGCGCACGAACGCGGACGGGGCGTCCAGGTCGTGGATGTGAACCGTCGGGGCCGTGTCCTTCGTCGCGTACGCGACGAGGCCGCCGTTCGACTCCGTCGTCGCGAGGCACGAGATCCCCCCGCCCGCGCCGAAGAGCAAGCGCGCGTCGCCCTTCTCCGCGTCGCTGAACCGGAGCGCGTTCCCTGCGATCGTGACCTGAGATTTCAGCGAGGGAGGGGTGAGGGTGTCAGCGAGAGCGACGACGCGAGGGGTCGAAGGCGTTCGTTGTTTATGGAGAGGACGCGCGACGGGAAGGGTTCCGCCCGTCGCTGCGCATCATTTATTTCGTTTCAGGCGGGCCAATTTAGGAACGGGCGTCTCACCAGCGTCCTCGCGTCCGCGTACGAGACCTGCCCGGGGACGACGCCGTAGATGTCCTTCACGTGCAGGAGCTCCGTCGCGGCGATGTCATTCTTATTCGCCATCGCGCCCGGCGTGAGGAGCGGCGCGTCGACGGCGACCTCTCCTCCGCTCCGCGCGTCGAACTCTGCCCTCCTCGATGGGGATGAAAGGGAGAGATGCGAGAGACCAGCCCTGATCGTTCTGCTGGTATCGGAAACACGCATGTTGATATTTCTTGTTTTCACCTGACTCGTCACTACCACATTCGCCTCTTTAGCACAGTCGGCAGTGCGTCGGTCTCATAACAAACCACAAGACTAATTGCTCATACGTGAGTAATAACTAAATCTGCCGCTGGGGAATCCCAGCACACAGGCGAAGTTTCCTACCTATCCCGCGTACGATGCGGGTCCTCGTCAAGTTTACTTGAGTTATCCGGAGGTCATGAGTTCAATCCTCATAGGAGGCATAGGTTCATTTTTTGTGCATTTAACCACGGGATCATCGTCTACATGATGTAAGGAACCTCTCCACAAAGTTTCAGGTCAATCGGAGCAGTTTGGAGGCGGTGGCGGTCGCGTCAACGTCGAGAATGGTGCATGTCTAGAAAAAAAACGGCGGCGGCGCCGGCAGGTCGTTCCCAGAGGTTGAGACGTCTTTTTGCGTTATTTCGCGCCCTCGGCGAGCACACGGTCGTCCGCGCGATGCCAACGGACCTCTCCGTCTCGAGCGGTCTCGAGGCGGCGGCGGTCGCTTCGTCGTTCGTTGCACGCGCGCATGTTATCTCGTTCGCGCCAAAAAAATGGACACCGCCAAAATTTTTATTTTTGGCTCACTGCTGAGCGAATAAGGGTTTCCCCTCGCGGGGCGCGATCGGTCGGCACAACGACGACGCGCGCCGCGCACGCACGGACGGACCGGAGCTCGAACCGTCGTCTCGTCGCCGCGTCCGCGATGCTGCGCGGCACCGTCCACGCGCTGTGCCGGTCGCTCGCCCGTCGCGGGGACGCGCGGGGTGCCCTCGGCGACGCCCTCGGCGGGGGGGAATCCGCGCGGGCGGGGTGGAGGTGGACGATCGCTCTCGACGCCCGCGGCGCCGGGTTCGCGACCAGCAGCGCGGGCGGCGACGGCGACGGCGGCGACGGCACGGACGCGTCGCAGCCGGTCATAGGCGCGGAGTCGAAAGACGCGTGGCCGGAGCGGCGGCGACTGTGGAACGAAGAGCTGAACGAGCTGAGAGTGCAGTGGAGGAAAGAGTTCGAAGAGGCGGAGGCGAAAGAACGCGAGCGCCTGCGGTTGATGCAGATCAAGTTGGAGAAGGAAGTCGCGGAACGGCGGCGGCTCAAAGCGATCCGCCGCGCGGAGGCGCTGCGTCTCGAGGCGATCCGTCAGGAGAAGGACCGGAAGAGGATCGAACGGCGGGAGAGACTCGTGGACCACAAGCGGCAGCAGAAGATGTTTTCTAATCATCTGCGAGCCGCCGCGCGCGAGGAGCATCTCCTGCGGCAGTCGCGGAACTGGGTTCTTAGGGAGCACTTAGACGCGAGGATAGATCACGAGCTCGCGAACCCGGTGGAGATGTGGTGATCGCGTGATCGCGTTTGTTTAGAACGAGCGTTGTACACGCAACGTACCAGTGCATGGGAATAAAAATCTTTCTCGGACTGCCTCCGCGCGTGAAACTTCGAAAAGAACGCGTCGCCGTCTCCGATCACACTCACGCGGCGCCCCCACCGCGTCCAGTGCGCGAGGTTTCCCTCCCGCGCGTCGCCAGTCCCTCGCGCGCGATGGCGTCTTTCGCGCTCGCCCGCGCTTGCCCCGCGGCGGTCGCTCGCGCGACCGCGCCCGCGCGCGATCGGCGCGGCAGATCCGAGCCGTTCGCGCTCGCGACGACGACGACGACGACGACGACGACGACGACGACGCGCGCGGTCCCGACGTCCGCGTCCCTTCGCTCGCGTGCGCTGAGCACGCGTGCGCTGAGCACGCGTGCGCTGAGCACGTCGTCGCGAACCCGCGGCGCGGTGACCGCGTCCGCGTCGTCCGCGACCGCGTCGCCGTCGAGCGGGGACGGCGACGCGAAAGACTTCAAAGACTGGCTGGAGACGTTCCGCAAGGCGAAGTGGGACGAAGCCCCGAAGTCGTGGCGGGAGTTCATGGCCACGAAAGTCGCCGCCGCGGTCGTGGAAGTCGACGTCGCGAACGACCGCGTGAACGCGAAAGAGGTGGAGGGGATCGGTCTGAACGTCCCGAAGGACGGCGCGGAGGCGAAGGAGCGCGTGAAGAGCAATCTCATTTACTACCGCCAAAACTACGCCATCGTCGTGGCGTCCTACGTCGCGATCGCGCAGCTGTTCGTGAAGCCGGCGATGACGCTGTGCGTGCTGTGCTTGGGCGCCGCCGCGGCGTGCGCGAGCGATACGCTGCTCGGCGAGCTCGCGCTCGCGTCGAAGGACAAGCTGAAATGGAACGCGAAAGTCGTCGCCGGCGTGGACCGGACTCAGGCGCGACAGGCGCTGCTCGTCATCGCCGGGATCGGCGCGCTCACGTCGCTGAAATACTCGTGGGGGTACCTCATCATGAACGTCGTGTACGGCATCGCGCTGTCGCTGACGCACGCGATCCTTCGGCCGATCGATTTGAAGTCGACGCTGAGTAACTTGTGGAGAGACGTGAAAAACGTCGCGACGAAGGAAGAAGCCGCGGCGGCGGCGAAGAAGGCGGTGAAAGGGATGAAGTCCTGGTGGAGCAACCGACGACCGAACGAGCCGACGCCCGTGGTCGTCGCGGTGAAGGACGATCCGATGAACCCGGGGGGCTTCCAAGACGCGGCGAGGAACGCGGCGCGGCGGCAGCGCGAGCAGAGGGAGAGAGAGAACGACGGCGCGGTGGACGCGGATGGGTGGACGAAGGCGGACTCGAGAGGGGAGCTCCCGCCGCCGAGCAAGCGATGAGCGAGCGAGTAGCGTTCGTCTCGTCTCGTCTCGTCTCGTCTCGTTTCGTTGTTAAGTAAGCTTACTGTAGTTACGAGTGAGGTCACGCGCTCACCGCGCGGGCTGGCTGGGCGGTCGGTCTCGTCACAGCTCAACCTTCTTCTTCTTCTTCTCGTTCTTCAGATCTTCCTTCGCCGCCTCGTTCTTCAGCTCTTCCCCATCATCGTCGTCCTTCCGCGGGTCGTACGGCAGCTTCCTGATCGTGAACGCGTGCGCGTGCTTGCTCGGCTTCGGCTTCGGGATGTACACCCCCTCCGTGGCGAACCACAGGTTGTTGTTGTTCTTGCTCTTCGCGCCGCAGACTTCAAACTGCCCGGCGATCGGCCTTCCAAACTTTTGGTCGTGCGAGTGCAAGATCACGCCCGTGCTGACGTGTATCAGCCGCATCTTCTTATCCTTCTTCCACACCGTCTCCCCAGCGCTGAGCTCGATCTTCCAGTTATCGTCCGAGTTCGAGTCCTCCGGGGTATCCCCGTCCCCTCGCGTGCCGTACGCGCTCACCTCTTGGTTCCCGGTGATGGGCGACTTATGCAGATGCGAGTGCAGCCACTTCTTCGTGTTGATATGAAGCAAGCGAACGATCGCGCCGTTCGCGATCTCGGTCCCGAATCTGCACGGCTCCGCCCCGTGCGCGTGGAGGACTTGCCAGTACGAGTTCGCGTCCGTGGTCTCCGGGAAGCCGGTCACGGATTGTTGCCCGCTGCCGCTGCCGTAGGCGATGTCGTGCGAGTGCAGCCGCGCTTTCGTCCCCGAGTGCTGGAGCTTGATCGTGCTCCCGCACGTCACGCCCTCGTAGTCCGCGGCGTCGACGTTGGCCGGGTCGTCGTCGTCGTCGTCCCACGCGAACGCTGGGGTTGCGAAGAGCGCGAGGACGCAGGCGACCGCGGTCAGAAAAAGCGCCGATCGCCTCATTTCCTTCGTCGTTCTTCCTCCTCGGCGCGGGCGGGCGTCCTCTCGAGTGATGCGCGCGCGCGGTGAGACGATCACGCGCGGATCACGCTCGCGGCGATCTCCGAAGAGACTAGGGCGTCGGTCGTGGGCGTCGACGGCGCCTCGCGCGCGTGCGTGTGCCGCGCCGTCGCGTCGAACGAGAGTCGAACGAGGTCGCCTCGAATTGTGTCGGCGACTGGACGTGGAGCGACCAGACAGAACGACGCGTGGCTGAAAAAAACCCTTATCGCACCACAAGCCACGCGCGCCCGCCTCCGTCGCACGCGCGATGCAGAGCCTGCTGTCGCCCAGCATGATGCTGCGCTCGGGCGTCGCGCTCTGTCGCAGCGCCGGGTGCGTCTCTCTCCGTCCTCGAATCCTCCACCGAACGCGACGCCCTCGCGCGCGCGACCCTCCGCGAAATTTATCCACCCTCCACGCGTCCTGACGACGACGACGTCATCCGTCCTCCTCCGCAGGCTGCGTCGCACCGGGGTGCTCGCGAACCGCAAAGACGGCGTCCTCAACGCGCGCGTCGTCCGTCCCGTCACCGTCACCGCCGCGGCCGCGGCCGCGTCAACGACAACCTCGGTCGCGAGCGGGGAGTCGTCCATGAGGGACGCGGACGGGAAGGACATCTCCGGCGCGGGGATCCGTCGTCGATTCTTGGAGTTTTACGAGGCGCGCGACCACGCGCGGCTGCCGTCGTCCTCGCTCGTCCCGGAAGACCCCACGGTTCTGCTCACGATCGCGGGGATGCTCCAGTTTAAGCCCGTGTTCATGGGCCAAGAGGAGAGGAAAGTGCCGACCGCGACGACGACGCAGAAGTGCGTGAGAACGAACGACATCGAAAACGTCGGCGTCACCGCGAGGCATCACACGTTCTTCGAGATGCTCGGGAACTTTTCGTTCGGGGATTACTTCAAGAAAGAAGCCATCGCGTGGGCGTGGGAGATCTCCACGAAGGAGTACGGCCTGGACGCGTCCCGGATCTGGATCAGCGTGTTCAGAGAGGACGACGAGGCGTACGCGATCTGGCGCGACGAGATCGGCATCCCGGAGAATCGAATCAAACGCATGGACGAGGCGGATAATTTCTGGGCCGCGGGGCCGACCGGTCCGTGCGGGCCGTGCTCGGAGCTGTACTGGGACTTCCACCCGGAGCGCGGCGTCGACGGGAGCGAAGATTTAGACGACGACTCGCGGTTCATCGAGTTTTACAACTTGGTCTTCATGGAGTCCGTGCGCGACACGGATGGGAACATGAAACCGCTCAAACGCAAGAACATCGACACCGGGATGGGGCTCGAGCGCATGGCGCAGATCCTTCAGGGAAAGCCGAACAACTACGAGACGGACCTCATCCGCCCGATCATCGACGCCGCGGCGTCCATGGCTGGGATCTCGTACGACGACGCGGACGACGCGACGAAGCTCAAGCTGAAAGTCATCGGCGATCACACGCGCGCGGTGTGCTATCTCATCTCCGACGGCGTCCTTCCCTCGAACGTCGGCCGCGGATACATCGTCCGTCGGCTTTTACGACGCGTCGTTCGATGCGGGCGTTTGCTCGGGGTGAAAGCTCCGGACGGCGCGGGCGCGTTCACGCCCGCGATCGCGCGCGTCGCGATCGGTCTCAGCGAAGCGTGCGACGCGAACGTCTTGAAATCGTCGCAAAAAATTTGCGACGAGCTCGAACGCGAGGAACTGCGGTTCGCGACGACGCTCGGCAGGGGCGAGGAGATCCTCGCGGACATGCTCGCGGCGGCGAAGACGAAGGACGCGAATGCGCCGAAGCTCACGGGCGAGGACGCCTTCACGCTGTACGACACGTACGGCTTCCCGCTGGACATCACGACGGACGTCGCGACCGAGGCGGGCGTCGACGTCGACGTCGATGGGTTCGAGAAGGCGATGGCGGCCGCGCGGGACCTGAGCCGCGACGCGCGCGTCGCCGTGGACGTCACGGTCGGGGATCTCCTCGGCGCGATCGCGGACGAGCTCGGGGAGCCGACGAGGTTCACCGGATACGGAAGCGTCACCGAGGAGGGCGTAAAGGTGCGCGCGCTGTTGAAGGGCGGCGAGCGCGTCGCGAGCGCGGGCGCGGGGGACACCGTGGAGGTGGTGTTGGACGCCACGCCGTTTTACGCCGAGGGCGGCGGGCAAGTCGGCGACGAGGGCGAGATCATCCTGAGCGACGACCGCGGGAAGCTCGTCGTCGGGGACTGCCGGAAAGCCGCGGGAGGGAGGCTCTTCGTGCACTCGTGCGTCGTGAGCGAAGGCGTCGTCGGCGAGGGCGACGCCGTCACCGCGACAGTCTCCGCGGCGTCGCGACGCCGCGCCAAGGCGAATCACACGGCGACGCACCTGCTTCAGTCCGCGCTGAAGATGACGATCGGCGAGGACGTCTCCCAAGCCGGGTCGCTCGTGAACTTCGAGCGCCTGCGGTTCGACTTCAACGCCCCGAGCGCGCCGACGCCGGAGGAGCTCGCGCGCGTCGAATCCCTCGTGAACGGTTGGATCGGCGACGCGATCGACCTCACCGCGGAGGAGATGGCGATCTCGCGGGCGAAGGAGAAGGGCGCGACGGCGATGTTTGGCGAAAAGTACGGCGACGTCGTCCGCGTCGTCGACGTCCCCGGCGTGTCCATGGAGCTGTGCGGCGGCACGCACGTGAAGAACACCGCGGAGATTGGCGGGTTTAAAATCCTGTCCGAGTCCGGGATCGCGGCCGGCGTGCGAAGGATCGAGGCCGTGTCCGGGCCCGGGGTCGTCGATCTGCTTCAGGAGCGCGACGGCACCGTGAAGGCGCTCGCGGGGTCGCTCAGGGTGCCGCCGGAGGAGATCGCCGGGCGCGTCAGCGCGCTGATGGAAGACTTGAAGACGTCGCAGAAGGAGGCGGAGGCGCTGCGCGGCGAGCTCGCGGTCGCGAAGGCGACCGCGCTCGCGTCTCAGGCGATCGACGCTCCCGGCGGCGCGAAGGTTCTCGTCGCGCGCATGGACGGCGTCGACCCGGCGGCGTTGAAAGCGGCGGCGGAGAGCCTCGTCGCCGCGCTCGGGGACGACGTCGCCGTCGTCCTCGGCAGCGGCGGCGACGACGGGAAGGTTGGCCTCGTGGCGTCCTTCACGGAGGGGGTGCAGAAAGCTGGGGGGTTGAAAGCCGGCGTCGTCCTCGGCGCCACCGCGAAGGCGTGCGGCGGCGGCGGCGGCGGGAAGCCGGGGTTCGCGCAAGCGGGCGGGAGAGACGCGAGCGCGTTGGACGCCGCGCTAGAGGACGCCAAGAAGACGATCGTCGACGCGCTTTCGAAATAGCTTTAAGAGGAGTCACCTCAACGTAACGCGCGCGTCGTGTCGTGTGCTTCGTTCGATTCGTTCGTCGTTTCGCGTATGTATTGCATTTCACGCGAATCACGCGCAGCACAGCGCGTCACCACCTCCCTCGCGCCCTACCTACTGCGGCGCGGTGATGATGACGTCGTGCGCGGACAACAGCTGCGACAGCGCCGCGTGGTACGCCGCCTCGTCGTCGTGCAGCGGGCAATTATGCGCGCACTTGTACACGTGGCCCGGGTCGAATATCTGACTCTTCGCCGCGTGCGGGCACGCGCACAGCGGCGGGAGCGTCACGCGTTTCCTGGCCAGCTGCGCGCGGACGCTGTCCTGCAGCGCCGTCGTGTACCGCGCCGCCTTTTTCGCCTTGGCCGACTCGCGCTTCCGCTCGCGTTTCATTCGCTCCGCCTCCGCCTTGGCGTACTCCCGCGCGCGTCTTCGGTTCGCCTCCGCGTCTACGCTCCCTCGTTTCGCCTCTTCCCTGTGTCTATCCTCCGCGGCGGTGAACGCGTTGTTCTCCTCGGTGAAGTCGGTGGCCGCGGCGACTTCTTGGAGGCGTCTCTCTTCCCTCGCGCGTTCCGCGTGTTTCATCTTTTCCCTCGCCGCCGCCGCCGCCGCGCGCTCGCGGCTCGCGTACGCCTCCTTCGCCGCCCTGACGCGGTCAGGCCCGGACGCCGAGCTCACCGCGGCGGACCCCCCCGCGCCGCCGCCTCGTCCGCCGCCGGACGCGAGCGGCCGCGTCTGATTCAAGAGCGCCTGATGCGACGACCGCACGCCGGACGCCTTCGACACCATCAAAAGCTCCAGCGCCGACGGCGGCTCCGTCCGCGGCGCCCGCGTCGCGTTCGCGACGGTGGGGTCGCCTAACACGAGGTCGATGTCCGTCAACTCGCGCGCGAGCTGCTCCGCGGCGCTCGTCCGCGCCGTCTCCGTCTCGTTCACGCGCCTGCGAAGCGAGTCTTGGAACGATCTCAACCGCTGCTCCTTGAGCTTCTTCATCGCCGTCGCGCGCTCGACCGCGGCGAACGCGGACTCCGCGACGTCGTCCGACGTCGTCGCGTAGGGCGCGTTTAAAGTGGACGCGTGCCTCGTCACCCGGTGCGGGACGTTGTGCGACGGCACGTTGCACTCGACGTTCAGCGTCGCCGCGGCCATGGTGGACGGACGGACAGGACGGGGGCGAACGCGTCTGATGAGGCTTCCTTCGCCGCCCTCCGCGTCTTCACGCCGCGGTCGCTTTCGACTCGAGGACGAGGAGCGCGGCGACGACGATGACGACGAGACGACGACGACGACGACGACGACGACGAAGACGGAGGGTGCTCCACCTCTCGCACGCGCCGTGCGCTCGCGCGTCCTCGGATGACGCCCCCTTCCCGCGCCCGAAAAGAGTTCGAACTTCGCGTCGTTTTCCCCTCCAAAATTTTATGTTTTTTTTCGCACTGGTCTCGCGTGCGTTTCGTGACATGAGAAATTTCTCTTTTTTTGTACTCGTTTTTTCGTATGCGATTCAGTCATTATCGACGTACAACGTACTACATTCAGCCGACCGTTTTCTTTCCTTTCCCTACGCCGCGCGCCTGCGCGGGGGATGGTTCTTCGAGCCGTAGCGGGGAGCGATCGAGTTGAGGCCCGCGACGCGCGCGGGTTCGGCGTCATTGCGACGACGCGCGACTCCCCGTGGTAACAACTTCCGAACGCGATGCCTCAGATTCAGTACTCCGAGAAGTACTACGACGACATCTACGAGTACAGGTGCGCACGCGCGCGCTCGCGGCGTCGTTTCGTGCGACGTCCCGATGCCGGGATTTAAGCGCTCGCGCGCGCGCGCGCGCGAACGCCGCGAGGTTTTTCCCTCCGGTGCAGCGCGCGAGCGCGACGGTTCCGAGATCGTTCTCGACGCGTCCGCGCGGCGTGTTCCTCGATTGCGACGTGACAGACGACTTCGCGCGGAACCGGGGCGATCGCGCGCGTCGGCCTCGCCGTCGCCGACGGTTTCCCCGCGCGCGGGTGCACGCGCGACGCTCGAATCTCGACCACCGAAATCGCGAACTGACCCCTCTGCGCTTTCGTCCCTCGCTCTCCTCACCCAGGCACGTCGTGCTCCCGCCCGACATCGCCAAGCTCTTGCCGAAGGGTCGTCTCCTGTCCGAGGTGCGTTCGCTGGCCGATACCCCGATCACGTCGTCCCCGAGCGCGGTTTTCCGTCGTCGCATCTCGCGTCGTCGGGAAATCTTCGAAGCGGCGTCTTTTTTTGAAGTTCTTCTGGCGCCTTCCTCCGTCGCGTCCGCGCGCTGACGATCGCGATCCCCGTCCTCTGCAGTCCGAATGGCGCGGCCTCGGCGTGCAGCAGTCGCGCGGTTGGGTGCACTACGCGATCCACCGCCCGGAGCCGCACATCATGCTCTACAGGTGCGAACGACGCTCGCCGCCGCCCTCCCCCTCGAAGCGTCGTCGTTTGTTTGCTCTTCGCGCGCGCGCGCGCGCGCGATTTCCCTCCGCGTCCCGCGCCCGCGATCGCGCGCGCGGGGGCGTCCCCGCGAGAACGAACCCGGCGGATCGCTCGATCGGAGGCTTTTTCATCGCGACGCGACGCGGCGTCGAGACCGGCGCGACCCGGCGCGCGTCCACCGCGCGCGTCCCCCCCCATGGCGCGATTCGCTCACGATCTGACGACCGACCTTTTCGATCCGTCCTCGACTCGCAGGCGACCTCTCAACTACGGCCAGCCCGCGCTGACGGACGCGGGGAACAAGGCGAACCAGCAGTGAGCATCTCGCGTCGCGCGCGGGGAGGGCGACGTGGAGCCCTGAGGCGCGCGTTGGGATGGGCGTGAGCGACCACGGGTGCTCACGAGGCGTCGACTGACGCGGGCGCGCGCGAAACGAAACGAAACGCGCGGCGGCGGCGGCGGTCGACGCGGGAGACGAGACGGGCGGGCGCGTTGTGTGACGACGACGACGACGACGACGACGATATGAGAAATTCGGCGTCAGCGGGATGTTCTTGGCGAAGGGTGAGCGCGAGGAAGCCTCGCGCGGACCCGCGAGGGTTGGGCGACGAAACCGAAACGTAGCTGGCTGGAGTAGCACCAGACTTTTCTGCACGCTTAGTTGCAATACGACGAGCGATTCTATTGCATTCGCGAACGCGTCTCGCGCGCGCGCGCGTCGAGACGTACAGTAATGCAATTCAAGGACGGGCGTCGCATTACAAGTATTCCCTCGTCCCCGACGTCTCTTCGTCCGTTTCTAATATCTTACGTACACGCCGTCGAACTCCTCCGCGTCTGACTGCTTCTCTCCTCTCTCTTCTCTTCTCACACCTGATCCGCCGCCCTGGCCGCATACGGCGACGCTGGCTGCGACGTCGCCTCCCCGCCCGCGTACGGGGACTTGTACGGGGATTCGTACGCCGCCGCCGCGGGCTGCGCCGGGGCCGCCGCCGCGACCGCCGGGGCCGCGACCACCGCGCCGCCCGCTTGCGCCGGCGCCTGCGCCGGGTAATCCTTCGGCGTGTCCGTGGGCGGGTAGTTGTTCGAGATCGGGAGGTCGCCGAAGTTCAGATCCCACATCTTCGACCAGATGAGGATCTGGAACGGCCGCATGATGAACAGGATGCACATCATCCCGAGGAGGAACTTCGGGCAGGTGCTGTAGTCGTTCCTCGACGGTTGAATCTGCGTCGAGGCCTCCGCGACTTCGTCGAAGAAGATCATGTCCTTCGAGACGTTGATGCGCGTCGCCCAGAGCGCGAGCCAGACGATGTCGACGAGGATCATGCCCCACAGGCTGACGCAGTACATCTGTCGAGGTGGGAGAGGTAAGGGAGAGAGGAACGACGACGACGGGTGAGTCGGGTCGGAGAATCGATGAGAGGTGGAAACCAACGGTATTTTCAATTGTGGCACCCGACGACGGACGTCGCGCGATCGCGCCGCGCGTCGACGCGACGCGAGGACGCATCCGGGACGATCGCACGCGAACGCACCTTCGCGAGTTTCATGCTCCCAACCTCCAAGCTCACGAGCGCGAGGATCGTGAACCCGAACGTGATCTGAAGCACGCCCGTGAACGCGAAGGAGAGCGCGCCGAACGCGCAGACGATGACTTGAAGATGAAGCATCCACATCGCGTACGTCTGCGCGGTGAGGAAGTCATAGATGGGGACGCACGCGGCGACCTTGCTGACGACGCCCATTTTGAACGATGTACGCGTTCGCAGGGGGCGCGCGTGGAGGGTGTCTGCGCGGCGGTCGAAGCGTCGAGGCCTCTTCTTCGATTTCAACTCCCAACTATTTCACCGAGTTCCAACGGCTTCAAGCTTGAGCGGCTCGCGGTTTTCTTTCACCCGCCTCTCGGTTTCAACATTTGACCGCGACGCCTTTCGAACTGACCGATGAACGTCGTCGTCGCCGTCGCTCGGCTTCACCCGGTCACCGGTCGCCGGTTTTCGGTCGCGAAAGATCTGCAGCGCGTCCAATCGCCAGCTGTCTTTGCGATATCGGATGCGACTCCGGACCGCCTGACGCGGGTTTAGCATACTCTCGACCGCACGCGTCGTCATGTCCGCCGTTCACGCGAGCTTCCTCGGCTCCGCCGTCGTCGCCCCCGGCAAGGCCGGCGCGCGCGTCCGCGCGCGCCGCGCCGTCGTCAAGGTGCGCGCGCGACGATTCGAGGACGATCGATCGAGATTCCTTCCGACGCCGATCGCACGTGCCGTTCGTTCGAAGCGTTTCCCTTTCCCACGCGCGCTCGCCTCCGACGCCGTCGCTCACCACCGATTGATGATTCCCGTTCGTTCCGCGCGCCAGGCCGCCACGTCCTCCAAGGATGACGCCGCGCTCCCGAAGACCGTCCTCGCGTCCGCGACCGCGGCGTCGATCCTCCTGTCCGCGCCGATCGCGCTCGCCGCGGATCCGACCGCGTGCGGCTCCCCGGAGCGCGCGGGGTACCTCAAGTGCATGCGCGCGTACGAGGACACCGTCGTCGTGTCGACGCCGGAGCCGGAGGCGGAGGCTGCGCCGGTGTCGAAGAAGGCGGTGAAGAAGGCGCCCGCGCCCAAGGCTGCGCCCGCGCCCAAGGCGCCCAAGGCGCCCAAGGCGCCCAAGGCGCCGAAAGCGCCGCCCGCGCCCAAGGTCGTCAAGGCGAAGCCCGCGCCGAAGCCGAAGCCCGCGCCCGCGCCGAAGGCGGTCCCGATGCCGAAGGCGACGTCCCCCGCGAAAGAGCGCTCGCTCGCGAAGGAGAAGACGGGCGTGAGCGTGAACGTGCTCGCCGGCCTCGTCGCGACGGGCGTGTTCCTCCTCGGCGCGTCCGGGAAGAACGAATCCTCCTCGGGCTCCTCCTCCTCCTCCTCCTCCTCCTCCTCCGCGCCCGCGAAAGCGAAAGCGAGCGGCGCGTCCGACGCCGACGCCAACGCGGCGTCCGCGCAGAAGTGGATCGACGCCTGGTCCGGGGGCTCGTCCTCGTCGTCTTCCGGCGCGTCCGACGCGGACGCCAACGCGGCGGACGCGCAAAAGTGGATCGACGCGCACGACGCGTCCTCCTCCTCCGCGGGCGGCGCGAGCGACGCGGACGCGAACGCCGCTTCCGCGCAGAAGTGGATCGACGAGCACAATGCGGGCGGCGCCGCGGTGACGTACACGTTCGAGGGCGCGACCGGGTCGGGTGCCGGGGACGCGGCGGCGGCGAAGAACGCCGCGGAGGCGCAGGAGTGGATCGACGCGTGGAAGGCGTCGAACAAAGGCCCGGCGTTCTTCGGCCCGAGAGGGCTCGTCGGCTCGTTCGTGAAGGGTGTCGCGGCGTGGGGTGGGAAGAAGTGAGCGTCGCATCGCGTCGCGTCACGTCACGTCGCGCGCCGAACATTGTTTCTCGCGCGGTGGTTGATCGCGACGTCGCGTGCGAACTTGAATAATACAGAAGTGCGTACGTAAAATCACAAATCGTCTTCGTCGTTGATACACACACGCGAGCGCGCTTCTTCCTCTCGTCACGCTCCTCCCTCGGGGTAGTCCTCCACTCCGTCGTACTCCGACCACGTGTCAGTCATCCCCGAGTGCACGTCCTTGACCTCCGCGAACAGCTTCCCGTTCTTATCCATGGACACGGTGACGACGATCTCTTGTTTCCCCGGCGGACCGGGTGGAATGTTGTCCATGTCCAGCACGCACAGGTGCTCGCACTGCGACGCGTACTTGCTCCACCCCCTGACGAGCCTGATCGCAACCTCGGTCTGCCCCGTCCGCGTCGTCGTGAACGACCGCGAGACGCTGCACGGCGGCGTGTGGTCGCCGTGCAGGAGGTTTTGCACTTTGTCGTCCTCGACGGCGATGCCCACGGGTTTAAACAACTTCACCTCCGGCGGTTTAAACAGTTGGCTGTTCGTCGTGGATTCCCTCTGCGTGAACTTTATCCCCGTGGGCTCCCACTTCCTCGCCTCGTGAACCTCCGGCGGTTCCGGGGCGTATCCGGGCATGAGCTGGTTCGACGTCGTCTGCGAGCGGTCCGTGAATTTGAGCCCGTTCGGCAGCCACTCCTTCCTCGGCGGCGGCAGCTCGACGTGCATCTCCGGTTTCTGAAACATCTGGTTGTTCGTCGTCGAGCTCCTCTGCACGAAGTTGATCCCCGTGGGCTCCCACTTCCTCGCCTCGTTAACCTCCGGCGGTTCAGGGGCGTATCCGGGCATGAGCTGGTTCGACGTCGTCTGCGAGCGGTCCGTGAATTTGAGCCCGTTCGGCTGCCACTCCTTCCTCGGCGGCGGCTTCTCGGGCGTGACCTCGTACCGCGGATACAGCGCGTTCGTCGTCGTGCTCTCGCGCTGGGTGAACTTCAGACCGGTCGATTCCCACTTTCTCGGCTCGGGCGCCGGCCTGCGGGGGAGGGTTGGCGCGGACGAGCGACGGAGGAGGTGAGTTCGTTGGAATCGCGAGTCGCGACCAAATTCGGCATTATTATCTTTCGAAGAATTACGAAGTCGAATCGCGCGGAAGGTTCGGTCGCGGGGCGAACGAGGAGAGGCGTTCGTTGACGCACTGCACTTCCGGCTGCTTCCATCCCATCAAGTCGCCGTTCGTCGTGCGCGTCGCGATGGGCGTGTACGCGGAGTTCCGCGGGCGGAGCTCCCGCCCGACGTACGCGGCCGGGTCGTTGCTGATCGCGTCGCTGCGGAACATCCCCGTCCGCGTCGGCGTCGGCGCCGTCGGCGTCGGCGCGAACGTCTGCCCGGCGAGGGCCGGGTTCGCGTCCTCGAACGCGACGCTGAGGTTGCGCCGGTCGATGGGATCGGGCACGGGCGGCGCGGCCATGGTGGAGGCGAGTCGTGGACGCGCGTCGCGGAGTGCGTGGAAGAAGCGTGTCGAGGCCGGTCTCGAAATGCGAATATCTGATTTCGAGAGTCGCGCCTCGCGCGTTTTTTCATCGGAGCGTTTCAAAGGCGCGCGCGATCAACGTTGATCGGCATCGTCGAAATGCCGATGGCCGAGCTCGCGAGGATCGGGCGATGACGCGTCAGCCTCAGGCCAGCCTCGCGTCCGCGCACTCTATCCACGCGCGAGCGATGACGACCACGGCGCTGTCCTCGTCGCTGACGTCCACGCCCGCGCGATGCGTCCTTAGCCGCCGCGCGCGCGCGCGCGCCGCGCACCCCGCGCGTCGACGCCGCGTCGTCCGCGCGCGCGCGAGCGACGACGCGGACGCGGACGCGGACGCGGACGCCGCGAAGACGAAGACGACCGCGGACGGCGAGCCGGACGCGATGGCGATGGGCAAAGGCAAGCGCGCGGGCGGGCAGGTCAACCTCTTCGACCCCGCCGCGAGCGCGTCGAGGTTCATCACGCGAAGGTTCGGGTTCGGCGGCGCGCTCGTGTTCATCGGCCTCCTCGCGAGCGTCGAGGGCGGGGAGATCGTGAAGGCGGTCCTCGAGGACGTCACGGAGAAGACGGGCACCGGCGAGGAAGTCGTCACCGAGTCGGGACTGAAGTACGTGGACTTGAAGATCGGCGGCGGGAAGTCCGCGACGAAGGGCGATTTCGTCGGCATTCAGCTCAAGTTGAACGACGCGAACGACCCGTCGAAGGTGTTCGTGGACACGACCGCGAAGGGCGGGAGGAAGATCGCGTTCGTGTACCAGCGCAGACCGCTGCTCTCGCCGGTGTTCCCGGGGCTGGAGGAGGCGGTGTCGGGGATGAAACGCGGGGGGACCAGGCGTTTCACCGCGCCCCCGGAGCTCGGGTACGGGAGCGAAAAAGTTATGCTTCCGGACGGCACCGTCGTCCCGGGGGGGACGACCCTCGCCGTGGAGGTGAGCTTAGAGGAAGTCAGCGCGATGTACGTCTGAAAGAAAGTATTCGTCGTTTTATAAGATGTGCTCATCTTCGTCTCGCCGGCTGGATCTACGCTCCTACCGCGCTCCGTCGTCATCTCTCCACGACCTCGAACTCTATTCCGTCCGCGGTCGCGTAGTCGTGCGTGTTGTGATCCACGACGTTCGTGTCCGCGAGCTCCAAGTTGTAAAAGTCGATGTGCGTCCCGACGTCGTCGTCGCAGCGAAACAGCGGGCCGGCGTGCCACGTCCCGACGTGCATCTTCACGAACACCCCGGGGGGCACCTCGAACACCCGCAGCGTGTCCTCCGTGGGGTGCGCGCGCACGTCTAACGTCGGCTCGCCCACGGCCATGTACCACGCGCGGTTCGTCCCCAGCGCGCCCAAGCACTGCGTCACCTTCCCGTGGAACGTTATTCGATCGAACCGCAGGTCCTTATCCCGCAGGCGCATGATGTAGAACCGCGGCGTCCCTCGCGAGAGGTCGAGCTGCGCGTCGTCCGGGCCGAAGACCGCGCCGTCTTCTTCGGCTTTGACGATCTGTCCGAACGGCGCGAAGGACTCGGGGGTGAGTTCTTCCGCGGCGAGGCTCACGACGCGCCGCGGAGGCGCGTCCGCGGTGGACGACGCCCGGGGCGACGTCCGACGACGTCGACGACGACCACGACGACACCGCGCGGCGACGGAGAGCCGCGGCCCGACGAACGCGGACGTGGACGCGGACGCCATCGCCGTCCGCCTGCCGCTGTTTCGAGGAGCTCGCGGTGGCGCGAACGGCGACGGCGTCCGCGCTCGTCCGACCTCGTTCGCGTGCCGCCGGCGGGCGAGAGTGACGAAGCTCGTCTCGCGCGTCGTCGTTTCTCTCTCAGATCATGTCCTGTCAGCCCGCGTTCTGTTCGACGCGCGCGTGCCTACCTACCCTCTCGTGATGATAACAAAACCAACCCACCACTCGCTAAATAAATCTACGTCCCGCGCGCGCGTCGCGGGACCCACCCCGACCCCAACCCCATCGCTCATCATATCACCTTCGCCACCTTCCTCTTCACCCGCTTCCTCGTGCTCGGGCACTCCATCTCGTCCCACTGCGCCGGGATCATCGGCTCGCCCGTGAACGGCGACCGCGCCCTGACCACCCCTAGCTCGTTCTCCGCGGTGCTGACGTAGTACGACCGCGCGTCCCCCAACGATATGATCCGTCCGCGGATGATGTCTCCCGGGACGAAGCAGTCGTGCAGGTCCAGCTCCGCGGTCTCGCTCGCGCGAATCTCTGAGACTCGCACGATCCCGTTGAACGGATCCGCGCACGCCAGCCCGTTCACGCACACGATCTCCACGTTCGCGAGCTTCGGGTTCGTGCGCGTGACCTTCGCGAACACCTCGTCTCCGATCTGCGGCAGCAGCAGCCCGCCGACGCGCTCGCCGTCGCCGCCGCCGGCGTCGCCGCCGTCGCCCGCGACGGCGGTGCCTCTTCTGACGACCTCGATCGTCGGGCGGCGATCCTCGGCGTCGTCCGCCGCCGGGACGACGCGCGCGTCGCCGACGACCGCGGCGAGGACGTGCTTATCGCGGACGTACGTCCCGGGGCCGGGGAGGAACTCCTCCGCGAACCGCAGGCGCTCGCCGGGGCACACGGACGCGGTCGCCGTCATCGCGTCGACGGCGCGGGCGTGAATGCCGCGGCGACTCCGAGAAAACCGCGGGAACAGAAGGTCTCGGCCGCGGGCGCAAAAACCGCTGATGTCATTATCCGAAGCGCGACCTGCGCCGCGCAGGTCGCCTTCGTTCGTATCGCCATGACGCGCGCGCTCGCGATCGCTGTCGTACTCCTGGTGCGTCGCGACCGCGAGTCCGCGCTCGACGCGTCCGCCCCGCGCGTCCCCTCGCCGCGTCGACGCGTCGCGTGAATATTCCTCCCGTCGTTTGAAATCTCCGCTGACGCGCGCGCCCGACCCGCGGTCCCCGCAGGCGTTCGCGCCCACGTCGTGCGACGCCGCGCGCGTGATCTTCCCGTTCAACCTCCTCCTCCGCGCTCCCGAGCCCGACGACACGTCGTGCGCGCGCGCGGGCGCGGAGTCGCACTCCGGATGCGAGAACCCGATCGAGGACGGAACCCCGTTCGATATGTGGGAGCTCGCGCGGTCGTGGACCCCGGGGTTCTGCGCGTCCGGCGGGTCGAGGACGTGCGCGAAGAAAGAGTGCGCGCCGGACGTCGTGGACCCCTCGCTGACGCTGCACGGGATGTGGCCGTCGTTCTCGAAGCCGGTAGACGCGAGCGACGCGGGGTCGACGCGGAAGTTGTCATCGCGCGAGACGTCAGCGGCGCTCGCGTCTCGCGGCGGCGGCGGCGGCTGCTTCTGGCCGCAAAACTGCGCGCAGCCGCCGTGGTGGCCGCCCACCGCGCCGTGGGGCTACGACCCCGCGTTGCTGCCGACCGACGAGACGAGCGCAGCGCTCGCCCCCGCGTGGTACGACGACGACTTGGGCGCGCACGAGTGGAGTAAACACGGCACGTGCGCGGCGTGGTCGGACGCGAACGGCGCGGAGAGAGGGCTGGACCAAGAGGCGTACTACGACGCGATGTTCGAGCTCGCGAAGAAGGAGGGTACGCCGGAGATGTTACGTAACGCTACGGGATCGAGCGTTTCGTTGAAATCGTTACAGGACATGTTCGCCGCCGCCGGAAAAGTCGCGCTCGGGTGCACGCCAAAGTGCGAGCTCGCGCAAGTCGTGACGTGTTACTCCCGCGGCGGCAAGCACGGCGGACCGGGCGAGCGCGTAGACTGCCCGTGCTTCGGCGTGAGGGACTCGCACTACGACAACAGCTGCGCGGAACTGCACGCGTGCGAGGACGTGAAGGTTTTGTCCGCGGCGCAGACCGGCTGCGGCGGCGGCGGACCTCCTCGGCCGGGGCCGGGGCCGGGGCCGGGGCCGCATCACAGAACGTGCCGCGACGGCGCGCGGTGCTGCCCCGACGTGCGAATCCGACGCGGACTGCGAGACGCAGAGCGGCTGCCGCAGGTGCTCGCACAGCAGCAGCGGCGGCCACCGTCATTGCACGGTCGTCAAAGGAGAGTGAGACGACGCGACGTCGTCGAGTGTGCGTGTAGAGTGTGCCATCACCGCGTTGTATGAAGATGTTGTACGAGTAAACTTACGAGGAACGAAGGGATGCATCGTCATCACTCGGTCTCGCGCTTCCGCCGCCGCCTCTTGCGCTTCTCCCCGTCCTTGCGCTTCTCGCCGCCGCCGCCGTCCTCCTCGCCGCGTTCTCTATCCCGCTGTTCGCTCTTCTCGCGCTTCTGCTTCTCGACAAACCGCTTCTGCTTCCCGCCCTCGTCCCGCCCGCCTCCCTTGTCCCCGCGCCACCGCTTTTCCAAATCCCCCGTCGTCGCCGCGGACCCCACCGCGGCTTTCATCCCCTCCAACAACTCCGCTCGAATCTCCTCCGTGACCGGCCACCGCCGCGCGCCCGCGGTTGTCTGCAAGAAAAACACCCCGGTGTCGTACGAGCTCACCCTGTGCCGCTCGCTCGGGGACCGAATCTGCTGCGCGCCGTCGCAGTACCCGTGCGCGCTCGCGGGGACGATCAACGCGTCGCCCCGCTTAAACGCGCTCTTCTCGAGCGCGGTCCACATCGGGACGTCTCTCCACGCGGGGACGACGACGACGAACGACAGTCTCGAGTCGCTCTCCTCAGCGGTTCGAAGTAACTTCTCCGCGCGCTCCGCCGCGGCGAGGAGCACCTCCGGGACGAACGGCGGGTTCATCTCGAACGACCCTCGCGTGGGCGCGAAGTCGAAAAACGACCCGAGGGATCCGAACGGGCCGTCCACGTCTGGAAACGCGCTGCAAAACCGGCCGTACCGCGCGTTCAGCGGCGACGCGAACGCCTCGCATCCGACGCCGACGCGCTTCTTCAAGACGTCGAACGCCTTCTCCCCGAGCGCAGCCTGATACCCGGCGCCGCCGCACGCGTCGTAGCGCGCGAGGAGCGCGAACACGGACGCCGCGAACGCGGCGTGCTCCGAGCTCCCCTCCGGCGGCAGCGGCGCGCCGCCCAACGAGTGTCGGGAGTACAACGCCCTCAGCTTCCCCATGTGCTGCTTCGAGACCTGCATGTACGGCTTCTGCGCGTTCACCTTGAGCGCGAGGAGCGGGCCGGCGTCGTCCACGGTCACGACCGCGTCCGCGTCGCGCGGCGCGTCGTCGGCGGCGTCGGCGTCGGGGGGCTCCGACAGCTTCGCCGCGAGCGCGGCGGACGCGTCGGCGAGGTCGCTCGCGGCGGCGTCCGCGGCGGCTAGATCCTCGACGCCCGCTCGGTGCAGGTCGCGTCCCAGCCCGCGCCCGGCGTCGATCGCTGGGAGCATCGGCGTCGGGATCGCGTCGCCGCCCTGGAGCATCGCGCGCGCGAGCCACCGCTCGAACGCGAGCAGCGGCGGGGGTATTTTCAGCCCCGCGCACGTCAGCGAGAATTGGTGTCGGAGCCGCTTCACGAGCTTGAACCGCCGCATCTCGAGCGCGGCGAGCGCGGCGGACGCTTCCTTCGTGGGCGCGCGCTGCCCGGCTCGGCCTTGGGCGTGGTAGTCCCTCGCGCGCTTCTTGTTGATCCCCGCCTCTCTCGCGCCGCCTCCGCCGCCGTCGCCGCCGCCCGACGACGCGTCGTCGAACACCCACTTCACCGTCGGGTCCCATAAACCGCCAAAGTCGGACGGGCCGCGGCCGCGGCCGCGCCCGCCGCCGCGCCCGCCGTCTCGACCGCGTCCGGGGAACCGCCCGCCGCCGCGGCCGCGCCCTCCGCGTTCTTGATGATGTGGACTCGACATGCCGGTGCCGCGATTTGTGAAGGAATTCGGGCGCCGACATCGCGAATAGCGAACGACCGCAAAAGAACTTTCTCCGCTAGAACTCGAAACTCGACGCGCAGTCTTCACCGCGCCCGACGCGACGCGACGCCGACGACGGTTCGTCGCGTCGCCATGCCGATCGGCCGCGTCCTCTGCGTCATCATCACGTCCGCGACCGGGCACGTCATCATCGAGCGGTTCTACGACCGGCTCGGGGAGAAGGACCAGATGCGCTGGCGCGAGAGACTGAACGAGGCGTCGTCCTCCTCCGTCGGCGTCGGCGGGTCCGCGAAGCTCTCCGTGGACGAGTCCGACCGCGTCGCGGAGGCGTGCGGGACGTCGCGGCACGAGGACGAGTGCTTGGCGTGGATCAGGGTCGGGAACGTGCGGTTCTACGCCGTCGGGTCGGGGGAATACGACGAGCTCGCGCGTGCGTCCCTCCTCCCGATCCCGCCTGACAATCGCGATTCCGTTTCGTTTTTCAAAACCGCGACCGCGACCGTCCTCGCCTCGCGCGACCAACCTCGCTCCCTTCGTCCTCTCCTCGCAGTCGCGGAGGTGTTACAAGCGCTCGTGACGTCCACGAAGGGCACGGTGAAGAAAGGCGGCCTGGACGACGAGCGTCTCTTCGCGCAATACGGGATGCTGTGCCTCGCACTGGACGAGATCGTCAGCGACGGCGTCGTCGACGCGATCGACTGGGACACCGCGCGACGAGGGACGAAGCTCAAGATGAGCGAGACGCACGAGTAGCCGAGAGAGTCATCAGTCGTGTTATCCTATAGCTAAGTGATATTAATTAAGTAAGATCTCGCTATCGACGCCCGCCGACTTGCTTCCGCCACCACGCGTCGGCGTCCTCGACGTAATTCCTCTCGAAGTGCGCGCGCATGAGGTTCATCGTGCTGAACGTCCGCCCGTCGATGTCGCACAGAAACTTCCTCCGGCCGAGCTGCTGCGACCGCGCGGACATGAACAGCGACAGTCGATCGGAGCCTTTCCCGGTGCCGATTATCTTCGTGATCTGCTCCTGCGCGCGGCGCGTCGGCGACGTGAAGTTCGCCAGTCGCCCGGCGGCGTCCTTCCCGAACCCGAAACCGTCGTCGTCCGACGCGTCGTCGTCGTCGTCGTCGTCCGATCCGCCGCCTCCGCCGCCGCCGCGACGACCTCCGCCTCGAGCGGGCAAGTACGCCGCGAACGGGTCCGGCCCGCGCTCGCGACGGAGCATGTCGCTGAAGTCCGAGCCTCTCGGGTACGGGTACTGCGGCTCGTGCGGCGCGCGGCGGCGGAGGGCGTCGTTCGCCGCGCGCGGGTCCGAGGATCCGAACCGCCCGCCGCCGCGGCGGTCGTCGTCGTCGCGTTCGTCCGGGGACGACGGGCGCCCCCGATGCCGCGCCCGCGCCCGCCCGCGCGCGTCGGGTCTGTACGCCGCCTCCACGGCGGCCGCGGCGGCGTACACGGACAGCGCGTGGTCGCTGCTCGACCCGCCGCCGGCGGCGGGGTACTGGTACTCGTACGGGGGATACGGCGCCGGCGCCGGCGGAGGCGAGCCGCCGCGCGTTCCGTACATCGGCGGCGGCGGAGGCGGCTGCTGCCAGTGCGGGTACCCGTACTGCGGCGGCGGCGGCACGGACGGGCTACCGTGCATCCCATACATCTGCGGCGGCGGCGGGGGGGGCTGGTACGCGTACGCGGGCACCGGCACCGCGACGGGGATTTTCGACGGCGCGTCCCTCGGAGGTTCGCTCGTCGCCGCCGCGTTCGTGACCTCGCCCAGAACGCCGCGCTCGCTCGGCGTCGCCGCTGGGACCGTCGGCGTCGGCGTCGGCGTCGGCGTCGGCGTCGCTTCGCCGCTCACGACGAGGGTCCGCAGTCGCGCGAGCTCCTCCTCGAGCTCTTCCACGCGTTTGATCGCGTTCGAGTGCGCCTCCGCGGAGGACTCGACATCGAACGCGCGCGACGTCGCCGCCGCCGCCGCCGCCGCCGCCGCCGCGTTGGGAACAGGCGGCGGCGTCGCGTTCTCCGCGCCGCCCTCCGCCGCCGGCTTCGCGCGCGCGTTCAACGGCGAGCGGTACGCCGCGGCCGGGCCGGGGTGTCCATCCCCGACGAGCGCCTGATCCATCGCCCACTGGTGCACGAGACCGCCAAACTTTTTCGCGACGTGCACGCGCATGATGCTAAACTTCGACAGCGTCTTTCCGTCGAGGACGCACCGGTACTGGCGGTTCCCAAGATACTCCACGTGCGCGGAGAGGAACGCGTCCAAAGCGGACTCCGCAAGACCGGGCCCGGGCGCGGCGTCCGCGTCCGCGTCCGCGCGCGCCTCCTCTTCGTCGTCTTCGCGCGGCGGCGACGGCGCCGACGCCTTCGCGAGCGCCTCCGCGAGCGGCTCGACGACGGCGGGGGCGACGTCGATCGGCGGCGGCCGCGGCGACGTCTCCGGGGAGGACGAGAACGACCCCGCGTGCGCGGAGAGCGGCGTCGCGGATCGAACCACCGCGGCCGAGATGTTCGCCGGGGTGTTCAAAGGCGACAGCGCGACGTGCAGCGGGTTCGCTTTCGCGGTCAACGCCGCGAGCACGCCGTCGATGGACGCCTGCGCGGCGTCCACCGCCCCCGCGGCGGCTTCGACGTCCGCGTTCATGACCTCCCAGTCCTTCGGCGGGGACGCGAGCGCGGCGGCGGCTTCCGCGGCGGCCGCGGCCTCGCGTTCTGCGCGCCCTGGGGACTCAGGGAGGGCGGGTTCGGAGATCTCCTGCGCCTCCGCGGGCGTCTCCGTCTCCTCCGCCTTGGCCTTGGCCCGCTCCGCGGCGACGGCGGCGGCGTTTTGGAAATCGCTCACGCGCCGCTTCGCCTTGAACGCCTCCTCCGCAGCCTCTCGCTCCGCGGCTTCCTTCGCCTCCGCCTCCGCCGCGGCCATCTCCGCTTCTTGCGCGGCTTCGACCGCGGCGATCGCGTCCTCCGCGGCTTTCCTGCGCGCCTCCTCGTCGTTCGCGTCGTCCTTCTTCGGATCCGCGACGACGACTCCGTCCAGGCCCGCGTCTTCTCGCATGTCCGATATCGTGTCTAACCAATCCCTGCAGTTCTGCGAGTCCGGATGCGCTTCTCCCAGGGCTTTCTCGCGAATCTCCAACGCCGCGCTGAACAGGATGTGCGCTTCGTCTAAATCCCCGACGTCCACGAGCAGCGCGCCGAGGTTGCTCATCCGCGTCGCGAGCTGCGGGTGCTCCGGCCCGAGCGTCTTCTTCCCAATCTCGATCGCTTGCTCGTAATACAACCGCGCGTCCTGGAGCTTCCCTTGCGCCTTGTAGAGCAGCGCGAGGTTGTTGAAATAAATCGCCATGTCCGTGTGGTCCGCCCCGAGCGCGTCTTCGTTGATGCGCAGCGCGCGCAAGTACAGCGGCTCGGCTTTATCCAACTCCCCGCGCGCTTTGTACAGTCCCGCGAGGTTGTTGAGGTAAATCGCGACGTCTGGGTGGTCCGCCCCGAGCGCGGCTTCGTCGATGGCGATCGCGCGCTCGTAGTGCTCGATCGCGTGGTCCCACATCTCCTTCGCTTTATACAGACCCGCGAGGTTGTTCAGGTACGTCGCGATGTTCGGATGCGTGCTCCCGAGCGCGGCCATGTCGATCGCGAGCGCGCGTTGATACAGAGGCTCCGCCTCTTGTAACCGGCGTTGATCGCGGAACAGTTCCGCGAGGTTGTTTAATCGAATCGCGATGATCGGATGCGTCACGCCTTGCGCGGACTCGTCGATCGCGAGCGCGCGCTTGTACATCGGCTCCGCCTCTTGGAGCCTACCTTGGACTCGGAGTAACTCCGCGAGGTTGTTCAGATACGTCGCCACCTCCGGGTGCGACGTCCCGAGCACGGATTCGATCACGAGCAACGCTCTCTGATACAACGCCTGCGCGTGCGGGAGGTCCCCGCGCGCGCGGTGCAGCTCCGCCAGCGCGTTGTAAAAGTGCGATATGTGCAGCGACTGCGGACCGGTGAACCTGTGCGCGAAATCCAGCGCGCGCTGGTAGCAAAACTCGCTCTTCTCCCATTCCCCGTGCGCTTTATACGACGCCGCCATCTTCCCCAAGTGTTGCGCGACTTCCGGGTGGTCCGGGCCGAGCATGTACTCGAGCCTCTCGAGCGCGCGTTCGAGCGCCGCCTCCGCGGGGGAGCCGCGGTTTAGTTCCTCGCACACGTCGGACAGCCTAACGAGCGCCTCGACGAGCGTCGTGACGTCGGCTTCTTCGTACCCGGCCGCTTCCGCGGCTTCCCAGACGCTCACGGCGTGCGCCGCGAGCTGCCCCGCTTGCTCGTGATCGCCCTCTTCTCTCTTGACTTTGCACAGCTCCCCCGCGATCTCCGCGACCATCGGGGTTTCGCTCCCGACGAGGAGCTGCTCCGCCGCGAGCGCCCTTCGAAGCGTTTCCTCCGCTTCGAGGTGTAAACCTTGACGCGAGAGAGCGCGCCCGAGCTTGAAGTTGACGCTCACCGCGGCTAAATCCGCGGCGTCGCCTTTCGCCTCGGATAACATCCGCAGAATGAACGCGGCGTCCCCGGGGAACCCAGCCCACATGAGAAAATCGGCGAGGAGCTCTTTGTACACGTCCGGGGTGATGAGTCCGTCCGCGCTGGGTGGGGATTTATCCGCCTGAAGGTCGTACTCAGCGACGACGTCGCGTCGTTTACGCATCGGCGGCGGGTTGAGCATCCCACTTCTGGAGTTGTAGATTTTCCGCTCGCCTTCCAGGAGCGCTTCCCATTGGTTCGCGAGGTCGATCTGCGAATCTTCGTTCCACAGCAGCGCGTGCACGCGCGGATCCGTCAGCGCGCATCGCAGCCCGCCCCACTCCTCCGCGAGCTCCATGTTCCACATCGCCTCGGAGATGTGCCGATGCGCCGGCGGGAGGTTTTTATCCGAAAACATCACCGCCAGGCGAAAGTGCTGCCCGCGCTTCTCCGCGCCCGCGGAGGCGTACCGTCGTATCGCCCAAGTCGCGATCTCGTGCTGAAAGAAGCACGTGACGGGATCACCGGGCAGGCGGTCGATCGGCCAGCAGTACGGCTCGAGCTCCGATTTCAGGCTCGCCCACGTCCCGGGCGGCATGTTCGACAACGACGCCGCCTGCCGCAGTAACTTTTCAATCTCGTCGTCTCGTAAACCGCCGCGACTGCACGCGATCAACGTGCTCGCTTCCGCGACTAAGGTCGTGCCGAACCTCCGCTCGAGGCGCTCGTACAGCGCCCCGCCCACGAGGTCGATCACGCTGTCCGGCAGCGCGTTCGCTTCCTCGTAGAGCGCGTCCAAGCTCTCCGCCGTTTTCGCTCGTTGTTTAATCTCGTTCGCGGCGACGAACAAAAACAACGGATTGCCGCCGTCCTCGCCCTGCGTCAGCTTCTCGAGCTTGCTCACGTCGATCTGCCCATTGTACACGCTCGCGAGCCACTTGTTCATCAACGCCTTGCGCTCGTTCGCGGACAGAGGCCCGATCTTGACTTCTTTCAGGAGCCGGCCGCTCCGTTGACGCATCTCGTTCACGGCTCGACACCCGGCGGAAGATATGAACACGCGCACCGCGAGCGGCAGCGACGCGGGGAGCCAGTCCTCGAACTCCACGCCCTTCAACTCCGCTTTGTCTAGGCCGTCTATCACGAGCACAATCTTGCTGAACAGCGCGGCGTGGGCTAAGAACCGCGGGAGCGCGGTGCCAGCTTCCTCGAGCGTCGTCGGCGGCTCGACGTAGATGTTGAATCGCGACTTTAATTCGAAACACAACCGCAGGAGGACGCGTCGAAAGTCGTTCGACTGCCCGGGTAATCCGAACGTGTGCGTCAGGACGTACACGTCAGGCTCGCCGCTCGTGCTCGCGCTCGCGCTCGCGTCGCCGCCGTCCGCGGCGAAGCTCCCCAGCACGCGCTCGGACTTGCCCCGAATCTCCCCCGTCTTGCTCTGAATCTCGCTGACCAGCGTCGCGAGCGCGGTCGACTTCCCGCACCCGCTCGGCCCCGTCAGCAGCAACGGATTCGGGTTCCCGATGGCGCCGACGTGCGCGTGAAGCTGGTCGACGACGTCCCGTCGCGGAATGCTCCCGGCGCTGTGCTTCTCCATCGCGACGACGTGCAGGTATCGCTCCAGCTCCGCGGGCGTCCAGTCGGGCGCGAAATCGGGCACGGGGAGCGGGTCCACGCGCGGCTCCGGCCGTCGCTTCGGCGGCGGCGCGCGGCCGACGCGCCCGGGATGATGCGTCACCGCATCCCGGGGGTCATCGAGATGCCTCGCCCCGGGCCCTAGCGCGAGCGCGTCCATGACGCGCGCGCTCCTAAGTGATGGACGTGGACGACGACGACGTCTGAATTCTATGCATTCGAGCGCACAACGGTCGTGGATGATGCGTGAGATGAGCTGAAATGCTGTCAGCTCCCACACTGCACGCCGCTCACAGCGTCACCGCGCCCCTTCCCCGCCGTAACTTCACGGCGTCTATGATCCCCGCTAACTTCGCCGCGGTGTCGTCTAACTTCCCCTCCGCGTTCACGAGCACGTAATCAAACTCCCCGACGCCCCGCGCGGTCTCCTCTCGCGCGGTCTTCACGCGCTCCGCGAGCTCGTCCGGAGTCTCCGTCCCGCGTCGCGCGAGCCGACGCGCCAGCGCCGCCTCGCTCTCGGCGCAGACGAAGACCGACGTCGCGCCGGGGATCATCTCGCGGACGGTCGCCGCGCCTTGAACGTCGAGGCGGAGGATGACGTCCGTGTTCATCGCGAGCTTCTCGCGGACCTGCGAAGAACAGAGGGGAAGGACGGGAGGGGGTGGAGGGAGCGTCACGGGGCGGGTTCGTTCGGCGGGGCGCGAGAGAGAGGACAAGATGAAAAGGCGAAAAGAAGAAAAGAGCCGCCGCCGCCGCCGCCGCCGCCGCCGCCGCCGCGCACCTGTTTCTTCGGGATGCCCTTGTACTGCCCGTACACGACCGCGTGCTCGATCAGCTCGCCGTCCGCGATCATCTTCTCGAACTCTTCCGTGGAGACGAAGAAATAATCCACGCCGTCCTCCTCCCCCGGCCGCGGCGCGCGCGACGTCGCGGTGACGACGAAATGCAGCTCCGGTCGCAGCGCGCGCAGGCGACGCACGACCGCGTCTTTGCCGACGCCGCTCGGGCCGGAGACGACGACGACCGCGGGGTGCGGCGGGGGCACCGTCGGTTCTTCGCTCAGGGTCACCCCGAGGCGGTCTTGCACGAGTCGCAGCGCGTCCTCGGCGGCGGCGCTCGACGTGGAGCGGACGAGGACGCCGCGCGGGCGCGAGCGGAGGTGAGCGGGGATGGCGCCTCCTCCGCCTCGGTGACGCGATCGCGAGCGGCGGGCGCAGCGAGCGGACGCGCTCGCGTCGACGCCGGCGCCGTTCCGCTCGACCGCCCACGCGGTGAAAGAGGAGGAGGAGGACGTCGACGACGCGCTGAAGCGCGAGGACGACGCGGACGACGCGAACGCGGGCGGCGCGGGCGCGGCGTCGCGACCTCTCGCCGCGAGCGACCAAACCCTCGGTCGGAGGCATCGGTTCACGAGACCCGCGCCGACGCCGCGCGCGCACGCGGACGTGAACACCGGGGACATGGCGATCTCGTCGGAGAACGGACGCGCGTTGGTGATACGAGCCCGGGATGCGGCCGTTCACGGTGGCGACGCCAGTCGCTCGCCGCGCGGAGTGACGAGCCCTCGCGTAACAAATTGCATCCGTCGTCCGAAACCCGCGCGAGCGATGCTTGCGGTGTCGGAGAAGGAATCATCGATGACGTCGTCGCGCACACCACGCCGAGCAGGACGGGCGCGCTCGCGATGATGGACCCCACCTGACCCCTCCGCGACCAGCAGCAGCGCGATCGATGGCGGCTGCGGTCGGGACCGCGCGACAAGCCGCGGTCGTCGGCGGCGGGTTCGTCGGGATCTCCTGCGCGCTGCACCTCCAGCGCGTCGGGTTCGACGTGACCGTGTTCGAGGCTGGCGACGCCGTCGCGGGGACGCACGCCGCGTCGAACGGCAACGCGGGGACGTTCGCGGCGTACGCGAACACCCCGATGGCGAAGCCCGGGATATGGAAGGACCTGCCGAAGATGTTGATGAACCCCGACGGCGCGTTCAAGCTCGCGCCGACGTCGCACCTGCTTCGCATGCTGCCGTGGGGGCTGGGCGTGCTGGACGCGTCGCGCGAACTGGAGTGGCGAAAGAACGCGCTCGCGCTCGGGACGCTCCTCCGAGACGCGCAGGAAGGGTACGACATCGCGTGGGCGCACGCGGGCGTGGACGTCGACGCCGCGATGGGCGCGCACGCGCCGACGACGGCGTCGCGCGGCGACGCGTTCGCGTCGAGGAACGGGTACCTCATCCTCCACAAAGACGCGACGTCGAGCGGCGTCGCGGCGACGGCGCGGTTACGCCGCGACGGCTTAGGCCCGTCGCTTCGCATGGAAACCCTGGACCAGTCCGCGATCAAAGAGTTAGAGCCGTCTCTGTCGGACGACGTCACGCGGGGCGGCGCGCACTGGTTCCCGGACGCGTGGTTCGCACGCGACCCGGCGGCGTTGTTGCTCGCGATGACGGACGGGTTCCGACGCCGCGGCGGCGACGTCCGCGTCGGGGCCGCGGAAGGGACCGTGACGTCGCTGACCCGAGCGCCTCGCGGTCGTCGTGTTAACGACCGCGTGCGCGTGAACGTCGCGCGCGGCGATGGTCGTCGCGACTTTGACGTCGACGTCGCCGTCGTCGCCGCGGGGGCGCACAGCGCGGGATTAGCCGCGGCGTGCGGCGACGTCGTTCCGCTTGACACCGAGCGCGGGTACCACGTGCAGTTTAATAACGCCGCGTCGACGTCGGTTACGGATTCGGATTCGGATTCAGACTCGACGCCGCCGCGCCCGCTTCGACGTCCGGTGTGCTCGCCCGAGGGCGGGTTCATACTCACGCCGATGTCGCACGGTCTGCGCGCGGCCGGTCTCGTCGAACTCGGCGGTGATCGCGCCGGCGCGACGCGCGCGCGATTCGAGCAGCTCGAACGCGGGACGCGCGCGCTTCTGTCCGACGCCGCCGCGCGCGAATTAGGTCCGAGAGACGCGCGGCGCGACTGGTTAGGGTTCCGACCGACGCTCCCGGACTCGTTGCCCGTGATCGGACCCGCGTCCGGGATGGACGGCGTCTTGTACGCGTTCGGACACCAGCACGTGGGGTTCACTCTGGGCGGCGTCACCGGGAAGGTCGTCGCGGAGTTGGCGGCGGGGAGGGCGCTGAGCGTGGACCTCTCGCCGTTTCGCGCGGACAGGTTTAAGACCAAGGCGTGGTGGAGGCCGTTCGCGTGACGCGTTGCGAACGACGCGCGAGGGTTGACGTATTTATGCGGTATCGTATGCGATGTGATAGAATGGTAGGGGCGCGGTCCTCGTGGAAGACCGCCGCGACGGACGGGCGCGCGAAACCCTCGCGGCGAGGGCAACGGTTCCCCGTCGCGTTTTCTCCTTCTTCCTCTTCACGCGTCCACCTCCGGGCTCTCCTTGTCCGACAGCACCTCCGCATCGTACGCCGCCCTTACCGCGGCGAAGTCCTTATCTCCCAGTCCCATCTGCCGCGCGCGGATGTACTGCCCGTTCGCCGCCGCGCTGATCGGCATCGGCACGCCCAACTCGTCCGCCAGCTGTAACGCGAGCCGAAGGTCCTTCTGTTGGAGGTACACCTGAAAGTTCGGAGCGTAGTCCCCTCTCTGCATGAGCTTCCCTTTCGCCGCGCAGAGGTGGTTCCCCATCGCGCTCTCGCCTAAGATGTCGAGAACGCTCCCCTCGTCGAGCCCGGACGCTCTCGTCATCGCCATCATCTCCGCGAGCGAGCCGACGACGTTGCCCATCATTATCTGCAGCATCAGCTTCGCGCGCGCCGCCTCCGCGGGGCCCGGCCCGAGCAGCCATCGGCGGTGGCCCATCGCGTCCAGGCCGAGCGGGCCGCACGCGGCGTCGAAAGCCGCCCGCGAGCCGCCGCACAGGAACAGGAGCTTCCCGGACGCGGCGTCCCTCCACCCGCCGCTGACGGGCGCGGCGAGGAACCTGCCGCCGGATCGCTCCACGGCGTCGCCGACTCTGACGCCCGTGCGCTCGTCCACGGTGCTGCAGTCGACGTACGTGCTCGCGCTCGCGTTTGATCCTCGAGACGCGATCCCCGCGACCGCGCTGTCCGGGCCGCCCACGGCGACCGCCTCCGCGGCTCTCGGGTCCGCGAGCATCGCGAAGACGACGTCGCACGTGGACGTGACCTCCGCGGGGGTGCGCGCGACCGCGGCGCCGAGCGCGCGCAAGGGTTCCGTCTTCGCGACGCTCCTGTTGTACACCGTGATGTTCGCGCCCGCGCCGACGAGCCTGGACGCCATCTGCGCGCCCATGATGCCGAGGCCGAGGAAGCCGACGCGCGGTTGGGAGGACATGGCGTGAGGAGACGCGGCGTGCGGTAGAGCGCGTCGAGGGTTGTGATGACGGAGATCATTTCTGGGACGGACTCGACTCGTTCGCCTCACGCACGGGCGCACCATACCATTCGCCGCATGCACCGCGCGCTGCTGATCGCCGGGACCGCGGCGCCGCTGGCGCCGCTCCCGCGCCCGTCGTCGTCCCTCCGCGCTCGCCGCGCCTTCAACAAGCCGCTCTCGCGCGCGTCCGCCGTCCTCGGAAGCGACCCGTCGTGGCCCGGGTTGAGCGAGGTCGAGGTAAATCGCGCGCGCGCGGAGACGCCCGCCTACTGCGACGACGGCGACGTCGCGCACTTCAACAGCGCGGGGTCGTCCCCGCCGCCGAAGCCGGTCCTGGACGCGCAGCTCGAGTACCTCGCCGTCGAGGCCAACTTGGGCGGGTACGAGACCGCGGAGCTGAGCAAGAGAGAGCTCCGCAGGCCGTACGCGGAGCTCGCGACGATGCTGGGCTGCGAGAGGGACGAGATCGCGATCACGCAGAGCGCGACGTCCGCGTGGCAGCTCGCGTTCTCGTCCCTGGAGAGGACGTTCGCTCGCGGCGACCGCGTCCTCGTCGCGCGCGCGGAGTACGCGTCCAACTACATCGCCTACCTGCAAGCGTCGGAGCGCACCGGCGTCGTCGTCGAGGTGATCCCGAGCGACGCCTACGGACAGGTGGACGCGGACGCGCTCGACGCGACGCTCTCGGACGCCTCGAAAGGGAAGTGCAGGCTCGTGTCCATCGTGCACGTGCCGACGTCGAGCGGGCTCGTTAACGACGCGGTCGCGATCGGCGCCGTGGCGAAGAAGCACGGCGTGCCGTACCTCCTGGACGCGTGCCAGAGCGTCGGACAGATGCCCGTGAACGTGAACGAGATCGGCTGCGATTTCCTGTGCGGCACCGGGAGAAAGTACCTCCGCGGCCCGCGCGGGATCGGGTTCTTGTACGCCCGCGGCGAGACCGTGGAGGCGATGAACCTCGTCCCCGCGTACATGGACCTCCACGGCGCGACGTGGGAGGAGACGGAGACGTACGAGCCCGCGGAGGGGGCGAAACGGTTCGAGCAGTACGAGGTTTCGTTCGCCGCGAAAGTCGGCCTGGGCGCCGCCGTCGCGTACGCCAACGCGATCGGCGTCGACGCGGGGTGGCGCCGCACGCGATACCTCGCGGAGACGCTCCGCGTGGGGCTGCGCGACGTGAAGCGCGTCGTCGTGCACGACCAGGGCGAGGTCCAGTGCGGGATCGTGACGTTCACCGTCGGCGGGGTGTCCCCCTTCGACGTCCGCAGGCGACTCGCGAGGGACGGCGTGAAGGTGTGGACGTCGAACGTGAAGAACAACACGAAGCTGGAGCACGAGCGGGAGGAGGGGACGCCGGAGGTTGTCGTGCGCGCGAGCGTGCATTACTTCAACACCGAGGAGGAGATCGGGAGGCTGATCGCGTCCGCGGGCGGGGCGCGGTTGGGGAAGAACCCGGACATTGTCACGTCGACGCTGCGGTTCTTGTACTCGCTGTTTCTTCTTCTCGAGGCGTCGACGTCGTCGACGCGTAAGAAGAAGGATTGATGATAGGGATGAGGGGGTCTTGGGCGGTTTTATGATTATCTCAGTGGGCTGCGTGGATGATGTAAAAAGAATTTCTCTTACAACAACATGCGACGGACTACTGTTCTACATTTGATTTTTTTGGTTTCGCCGTCGCCGCCGTGTTGGATTCTTGTCACTCGTACAGAGTTACTCGTACAGCCGACACGCTCAGGGCGTCTCGTTGATCTTGGTACATTGTCACCACCCTCTCTCTCTCCTCTCTCTTTGTTTTTGCTCGATAGTTTTCGCAAAAAAATGTGTCGTCTTCTCGAGACGACGGTCGTCGCCGCGGGATCCATCACAAATCCATCTCCGGCTCGAAGCCTTCGAGGTAATCGTCCAGCAGCTTCTCGTACTCGACCATGAACCGCTTCTCCAGGCGTTCGGTGCCGTCCAGCTCCTGCCACGCGTTCCCGTCGCCCTTGCCGTTCATCGGCCGGTGCACGACGAGCCCGTCCTCGGCTCTCACGCTCGCCGCCGCCGCGGAAGCCGCCCGCGACGTCAGCTTCTCGAGGTCGGACATCCGGTTCGGCATCGGGCGCGACATCATCCCAGCGATGTCCGCGGGGCAGCACCCTTGCTTCGTCGCGCGCTTCAGAAGCGTCGTGCACACGCGCAGGACGCGCTCGCTGGAAGGCAACAACTCGATCCCGTGCTCGCGCAGGAGCTCCACGTCCGCGTCGACGTCGATCGCGGCGACGTACGCGCGCGTGTCTTCGCTAAACGGCACCTTGGCTTGCGGCCAAAACTCCCACTCGAAGCACACGTCCTCAAGCGTGTGCGGGAGCGAGTACCCGTGGTCTATCGGGACGAGCTTCATCGTGTTCGCTTCCTTCTGCACGAGAATATTCCCCGCGTTGCGGTCCGTGTTCGCGAGCCGGATGTCCAGCTGCGCGATCTTGTGTACCTCGTGCACCGGAAACAAGCCGGGGCCGAGCTCCTCCGCCTCGGCGTCCGCCCTGACGTACGCCTGGAGCGACCCGAGCTTCCCGCCGAGGTCCTTCCCGCTGGACGAGCGGCGCATCTCGCCGAGGTGCGCGAGCGACGTCGCGGGGACGCCCGCGAAGCCGCCGTGGTCGAGGACGTACGCGGCGACCTCGCGGCTCGCGCCTTCGCCGACGCGCGTGCCCTTGCGCAACCCCTCGCCGTTGGCCGACGTGTTGGCGTTGCCGCGCGGGTTGTTCTTCGCGCACGGCTCCTCGTCCGCGGGCTTGAACACCGCGCACGTCTCGCCGTCGCGGTCGCGCAGGAAGTACGCGCCGCCGGTGCCGCCGCTCGCGAGCTGCGGGCGTTTTCCCATGAGAAGCCCTTGGCGCGCCATGTCGAAGGACCGCGCGAGGTCGGGCGAGCCGACGTGCACCGGCGACTCGCCGAGAATCTCGCCCTCGTACGACCCGGACCCGCCGCTGTCCGACGTTCCAGCCATGCTGCCGTTGCTCGGTATCGAGACGGACATCGACGGCGTGCCGTTGGTCAGCCCCGTGGACATGTTCGACATCCACGACCCGGGATTCCCGGTGGAGGACATCCCGCTCTTCCACCCCGGGTTCGCGCTCGCGTTCCACGAGTGCCGCGCGCGCGTCGCCGGGTTGATCGGAATGGACCGCGCGGCGGTGAACGGCCTCAGTTCGAGCGTGGACCCGTCCGCGATGCCGTACATGTTCAGCGGGCCGTCCTTCAGCTCCTGGCCGCCGTAGAAGAGCTGCGAGTCCGTGGGCTGGTCCACGCTCAGGACCGCGAGCTTCGCGCGGAGGGACTCCGCGGTCTCGTTCGCGTTGAGCGTCACCTCGAGGTCCTTCGTCCCGCACATCTTCACGGTGATGTTGGCGTCCTTCTTGACGAAGAGATGCACGACCGCGTTGTGCGTGAGGCCTTCCTCGGACACCGTGTGCGAATCGTCGAGCGCCCTGCCCGCGTGCACGATGGACAAGTCGCTCGAGGACTCGGTCCCGGCGAGGAGTCTCAACCCGTCCGACTCGAGCGCGTCGGCGCCCGAGACGAGCGTCTTGAGATCCGCCACCGTCTGCTTCTCGTCCAACGGGAGCCAGTACTCGCGTTCGGTGATCTCCCCTGTGTCGGACACGTCCACCGCGGCTTTGATGCAGATGAACTGAAGGTCGCACAGGCGCATCATGAGGTTCCGATACTCCGCGCTGTTCTCGCACCCTGCGGCGGTGGTGGAGGACCGCGTCCCGGTCGGGGCATCCTCGCCGCCCTCGGCGGACAGCTCCTCGAGCTCGTTGATCTCGGGCAGCCTCTTCGCGTCCGGGAACAGGAGCTTCCGCGTCGTCCCCATGCCGCGCATCAGCGCCTCCCTCGCGCCGTTCAGGTTCATCCAGTCCGGCTTCAGCTTCAGCGTGAGCGACGTGACGACCTTGTTGCGTAAAACCTCGACGGGCGCGGCGCCGCCGGAGGCGAGCATGATGCGAATGTCCTCCGCCGGCGGCGTCTGCGATCGCCCCCCCGCGTGCGTCTGCGCTTGCGACGCCGCGTGCGACGGCGACGTCACGAGCTCTAAATTACCCGCGTACGAGCTCCAGTCAGGCGCGCGGCCGTACGTCCCGTGGTCCTCGTCGTCGCTCTCTTCTTCTTGAAGCGCCTCGAGCAGAGACTTGTGGAAGCCGTCCGTCGGCGCCGTCGTCGACAGGCGATGCAGCGACGGGTACGGATCCTTCGTCGGCGGCGGCGAACGCTTCCGACCCGCCTCCCGCGACGACGTCGGCGTGGACACCGCGGGGAGGTCTAACGGGATCCCAGGTGACACCGCGCGCGGTTCGATCACCGTCGCGAACATCTCGGCGAGTTCGCTCGGTCGATCTCTCGGTGGGGCGCGCGGGATCTCGATCGTGACTGGAACGCGTACTGTAGGCCTACGCGTACGTTCTCGTGACTGTCAGCGGTGTGTCGTGGACCGTCAGCGGTTCGGTTCCGTTGACGCGAATTCACGCTCGGCGGTCTCCTGAGCGACGATCGTGGAAGGTTCCGGGAGGGCGCGCGTCAGCGTCGCGGGTCGGGGTCGACGTGGGCGTGGGGCGCGGGAACGACCGGGGATGAAAACGACGCGACGCGCGCGCGGGGGGGGGGGCTCGAGGTGGACGCTCGGGCGATCGCGGCCGCGGCCGCGAGCGCGCGCGAGGCCGCGTCGGGAAAAGCGGTCGAGATTCCGCGCGAAGCTGACAGGGTGTCACTTACCGCGGGGGTGCCAGGAATGAGGCCGCGACGACAGCTACGACGCGCGTGTCCTACGCGCGCGCGATTCAACCAATGCGGTTTAACCTGCGTATTGAGGAGGAAAAGAACGCGTGATCAGAGAATCGCGATACGATCGACGACGGAGGACTTCCTCGCGGAAACCGGGGGGAGGGATGATGACGCGGCGAGAGATGCCCAGTTTGCGGGAAATTTCATTTCTCCCGAAACACCGAGCCGCTCGGCCGCGCCTCGACGCGCGCGCGCGACGGGCATCGCGCGAACCCGGGGGGGGTTACGCTGCAGATGGTCCAAAAGACGAGATCTGGGGCGAACCCGCGGGGATACGCGCAAAAGGCGCGCGCGTGGGGCGGTTTCCCGGCGCGAGAAAGAAGGCGAAAGAAGGGCACACGCACCTCTCCGAAAAAAAATGAACCCGCGGCTTCCTACCTCCGGAAACCCGCGCGCGTGGCGTCGTGCGTGACCCTCTCCCTCTTCGCAGCGCTCGAAACGAGTGCAGGGACAACAAAGGGCCGCCGCCCGGACGCACTTCGGCCCACCCGGCCGTGTGGGGTGCTACAAACTATGACGAGCGTGACGACGTCGGGAAGACTACGATGCGAAAAGTCGCGCGGTCTCGGCAGAACGTGAAATTCCGTTCTCGACACCCGTACGGAGTACAGTTTCACATTAAATGCTCATACGCGTGTGCCGGTTTTACGAGAGAGTACGGCACTATCCAGACTGGATAGCATACAGTTGCCGACCCCCTCTCCGTTTTACGCGCGAAAAAGTTCTCCCGGCAGCCCGGATATCTCATGCCGGAGTTCAACTGCGCTTTTGCCAAAAGAATCGCAAGCGCGCGAGACAGAGCCCCCCGCCCCGCGCGCGTCGCTCTTCGGCACCCGCGCCTCGCTCGCGCTCGATATCGAACGTCATCATGCTCGCGGCGGCGATCACCGCGCCCGCGGCCGCTGCAGCGACGCCCCGGGCGCCGGTCTCGCGCGCGAGATCTCGCGCGGGCGTCGAATTCCCCGCGACCGCCGCCAATCGTCGGAGTGCCCTTCGGCGCGCGCGGATCGCCCCTCCTCCCCGCGCGTCCACGGAGAAGGACGAGGTCAAAGACAGCGTCGAACGAGCCGCTGACTTGCTGGATAAGATTATCAACGAGACCGTCCAGGGGATCTTCATCGAGGAAGCCGTCGAGGAGGTGTCCGACGCGCAGGCGGCGTCGGCGGACGGCGGCGACGCGCCGAACGGAGGGACGAAAATGACCGAACGCCCGGGCGTGAACAAGGAGGTCGTCCTTAAGAACGTCGTCCTGAAGTACCTCCCCGAGCTCGACGGCTCGTTCCTCGCCGCGGTCGGGGCGTACGTCCAAGTCGCGGAGAGCTCCGGCGACTTCGCGCTGCTTTCGTTGCTCGCCGCAATACGAGAGGAAGTCCTCGCCGCCGTGTCCGGCGAGATGCGACCGGACGTTCAAGTCGTGCAGCTCGTCTCGAGGCTCAAGTCCCCGGAGGATCGACTCGAGGTTCTGAGAGCCGCACACAGGGGCGGCGGGAAAGCCGCGGGGTACGACGTCCCGAACGCGCCGATCGAGAGCGTGGAGAACGCGGCGGCGAGGGTCGTGGACGAGCTGGAGATGAACGAAAACGTTCCGTCGTGGCAGCTCCTGTACCAGCTTCTTCTGACGCGCGAGACGACGCGGCAGCTGCACCCGAACGCGGACGAGCTCGGGGTGTACTCGAAAACGGTCACGTCCGGGTCGTTTTCACCGAGCGAGATCCCGCGCGCGGAGGCGAATCTCATCAAAGAGCTCAGCGTCATCAACGACGCGTTCAAACGACGCGCGCACCTGAGCGCGATCCTGGACGAGTGCCGCGGGCTCGACGAGGAGGCCGCGAGCAGCGCCGGCCGCGCGAACGGCGGCAAGGTGAAACTGAAGCGCACCGCGCGCGGGTTCTCCCCGCCTGGGCTCGTGGAACCGGGCGCGGGGGGCGGGGGCGAGGGCGGCGGCACGCTGAACGTGTTCGACATCCGAGACATCCGCCCGGGGCGACTCATCGACTCCGTATTGAACATGCGCGTGGCGCTGATGCGCGACGACGGGGACGAGCGCGTCATCGGCAGGCTCACGGAGCTGTACTTCGAGTGCTGCGACGTCGTCTTGGAGACGTGCGACAGGGAGAACGCGCAGTTGGAGGAGAGAGCGGCGAAGGAGATGGCGGACGCGGATGACAACCCGTCGACGCAGTCGCGGTGAGAAGTGCCACGCGACGCGTCCCATAGCGCTCGCACGTCGTGCTAATATAGTAATACATAGCAATACGCAATACGCGCCTATCATCCCCCTCCGTCTATAAGCGGAGATCATTTATTTACCCCCTCCGACGTGTTCCCCTAATAACGTGTGCGGCGACGCGTCCCCGTCTATCGTGCTGTACGGCGAACCGGTCTCCGGACACTCCACGAGCGGCGACAGGTGGTCGTCCTCGCCGCCGCCGCTGCCGTCCATGACGCTGTGCCGCCGAATCCTCCGTATCCCGTCGTCGCTCAGTTCCATGGTATCGTCACCATCGACGTGCAGACTCTCTAGCTCCTCCGAGAAGTTACTGAGGTGCCCTAAGCTGAGCCCCTCGCCGCCGCCGCCGCCGCCGCTGTGCGGGTTTATGCTCCGCACCCGCTGCAACCCCGGCGACTTCTTCGCAGCCTCGTTGTCGCTTTTCAGCGCCCTTTGAAGCTCGGACAGGCCTTCGTTCGATATCGTCCGAGAGAACTGCGATCGCGGCGGCGCGATCCTCGCGTGCTCCGTCGCTTTGTCCGGGGGTTTATCCCGAGATAAACACACGACGATCACGCTGACGTTATCCGCGGAGTCCCTTCGCAGAGCTTCATTACACAGCTCCCTCGCCGCGATCTCCGGGTCGTTGTGCCCTCGCAGCGCAATCCGCGTGAAGTCTATCGCGTTCTGCGACGAGAACACGTCCCACAGACCGTCGCACGCGAGGACGATGAACTCGTCTTGCGTCGTGAGCGTGCGCGTCTCCACCTCCGGGGTCACGATCAACGGCCCGGGCTTTCCGTCGGCGCCGCCTTTCAAGCCGTCGATGTGGAAGTCCCCGAACGCGCGCGCGACGCCGAGGTGCCCGTTGATGTAGCCGTCCTCGACGTATCCCCCCGCGGCTTCTATCCGCGCGCGCTCGACCGACGTCGACGGGCGCTGGTCCGCGGACAGGTCGATCGCTGTCCCGTGTCGCGATAAAACCGCGCGGCAGTCCCCGGCGTTCGCGACGAAGCATTCGCTCCCGCTGACGCACAGCGCGAGCGCGGTGCTGCCGCTGCACTCGTCCGCGTCCATCACGCTCTTGAATTCCGCGTCCGTGCGTGAAAACGCGTCTCTCTGTGGATGGGAGGGAATGTGGATCATGAGAATCGAGCGACGACGGGTAGAAACCGTCGGGAAAATCGTTCGGGGCGGGATTGCTTGGAGGAACCGCCGCAAACATCGCGAATTCCGTAATCCGCCGTCAGGGCTCGCACCATCGCGACGCTCGGGTCTTTCCTAAACCTCTCGTCCGCGGTGATGTTCTTCACGAGGTACTTCGACACGTACTCCGCCGCCGCGGACCCGCCGTGGCCGTCGCATATGACGTAAAACGCGAGCGGACCGCCGTCGTCGCCGCGACCGGATACGTCGACGTCCTCGACGCGCGCGATGGCGTCCTCCATCGAATTCCGCCGGCCCATCTCGCCGTGCTCGCCGCTTCGAAGCGCGGTCGGCGCGTGCGGCGGGAACGCCGCCTCCGATGACGACGGCTGATCCGGGGTCAGTCGCGCCTCCTCCATCGCGGTCTCTTATCGACGGTCCTCGCGTCGTCCCGGACAATTACAATTCTCTCGGAAGCAGTGCTGACGATGACCGCGACCCTGCTCGCGATGGGTGGATTCCCGCGGCCCTATCTCCGTCGCGCGAGACGCGAGAAGCGGCGGCACGCGCCGTGCGGACGCGGTCGGCGCGCGTTCCCGGTCTTCTAAGGAACGCGCGGTTCACGTCGGGGAGTTACCGCCTGGAGACCCGGGCGGACGCTCGCGCGCCACGCGGTTTTGGCGCGTTGCCTCGGGAATCATCGACGACCCTGCCTCTGTCTATCTGTGGAGACACGGGATGTGACTTGACCGCGATTCTGAGAAGGGCTGGCCGGTGTCGGCGGCGACGGGGACGGCCACGGCGTCGAGGATACTCTGCACGCCGACGAAAAACGCATGACTCAAACGCGTTACATATCTAATAGACCGCTACACGACGTAGAATCGGCGCGGTCGCGGGTGAAGACGCGGCGTGACGACGAGATATCCGCTGCGGTCGCGGGTGGAGCTTTCGTCGCGTCGTTCACGATGAAGTCGTCGGGACCCGCCCCGCTCGCGGCGCGGAGGCCGTCGCCCCTCGCGCCTTCGCTCACGCGTACTTGGCCTTCAGCGACTCGACGAGCTCGACGTAGTTCTTCATCGCTTCCTCCGAGGACACGCCCTTGCACTTGTCCCACGCGTCCCACTTCGCTTTCCCTTTCGGGTCGAACATCCCGGGGCGGGCTGCGGAGAGAAGCACGGAACAATATGATGAGAGGGTTGGGTGGATCGATCGAGGTGAGCGACATGGACGGGGATTGAGCGCCGCGCGCGCGATGCGATGATGACGATGAAAGCGTGCGCGTGCGCGCCACATGACGCGCGATCGAGCTCGAGACGGGCGGAACGACCGCGCGAGCGGCGTCGATCGGAGCGCGGATCGCGCGCGGACGGCCCCGGGGGCGGGGCGCGAACCGATGTTGCAGTCGCCGACGTTCGCTTGCTTGAACCAGCCGTACAGCTCGAGCTGCTCGTCGTTCGTGCACTTCGTGATCGCCTTGACCTCCTCCGCGGCCTTGTCGAACTCCTCCTTGCTCACCATGGTTACGTTGCGTTCGGGCGTGCGTCCGCGTGCGTCTGCGTGTGACCGCCCCGCGGCGCCGATCCCGGGGTGAAACGACCTTGAGCAGCTTGCCTCGTCACCCGCCAGCAACAGAAAAGACCAGCAAAAGACGCCAGCCCTCGTGTCGTGGCTTTCTTTCCTCGCGACGCGCGACCCCTCGTCGCGACGGACGACCTCGCGCGTAGCGATACCAAGGCGTCGACACGTCGTCGTCGCTCGCCAGACGATATCCGCGGCCCGCGCGCGTGGACGATACGCGTGGACGGCGACGCGGCGCGGCGCGGCGCGGGGACATCCCCAACGACGTTACTTTTCGCGTTGTTATTATCGCGATCGCCGACACTTTTCCGCGGAAGCGACGCGAGCGAAGAGCGTCGCCATGCGGCCTCCGAAGCGACGGACGCGGTACGACGCGAGTTACGCTCCGGCGAAGAAGAATTCTGGCGACCTGAAGCCGACGCGCGCGCAGCCGGGACGGCCGGGAAAGACGACGACGCCGCCCGCGCCCGCGCGCGATCGCGCCGCGAGACGCCATGACCCAGCGAAAACCGCGACCACGACGGTTCGCGCGCAGCCCGCGCGGGCGCGGGCGGTCGCGACAGCTCACGCGGAGAAACCGAAGCGCGGTAGGGGGAGGCCGCGAAAGACACCCCCGACGATCGCGCGCGGCAAGCCGTCGCCGTCGAAGCCCCCGCGCGGCGCGATTCCCGCGCCGCGGTCGCAGCAGAATCCTCGGACGGAGGCGGACGCGAGAAAGAAAAAGCCGACGACGACGGCCGGGCGAATGCTCAAGGCGCGGCGGAACGCCATCGCGAGAGCGAAAGAGCAGCGAGCCGCGGAGCGCGAGCGCGAGAAGCGCGCGCTCGCGTCGCTCGTCGGCCGCCGCGTCCGGGTGTACTGGCCCGAGGACGACGCGTTCTACCCCGGGACGGTGACCAAATACGACGCGCGCGGCGCCGGGAAACATCACGTCCGATACGACGACGGCGACGAGGAGGCGCTGGCGTTGCATCGCGAGCGTCTGCGATGGTGCAGCGTCGGGGACGACGCCGGGTGCGAGGGTGTGAAGTTGATCGCGAAGAAGCGGAAGGAAAAGGAAAAGGAAGACGCGGGGGAGGCGAGCGGGGACGCGGCGACGAAACCAGAGAAGCCGGCGCCGAAGAACCGGGCGAAGAAGCCGCCGCCGCGAGAGCTGGAGCCGGAGCCGGAGCCGGAGCCGGAGCCGGAGCCGGAGCTGCAGCCACAGCCCGATCCCGAGCCGCTTCCCGCGAAGAAAACGTCTAAAATTCCCGTGGTGAGCCCCCTGCGCGACGAGATCATCCGCGTCCTCAAAGGCTGCGACCCTGCCGGGATGAGCGCCGAGGACATCGCCGCCGCCGTCGCGCTCGCAGGAAACGTCACGATCGCCGCGAAAAAAAAAAGCCACGCCGTCTCCGGGTGCATCAACCGCAACTACACGACGGGCGTCTTCGTACGCGTAGCTCACGGCCGGTACGCGCTCGCGGAGGACGGCGCGGTCCCGATGCTCGTGGTCGAGCGCGATCCTCCGCCGCCGCCGCCGCCGCCGCCGGTTCGGGTGCTGTTGGTCGTCGTCTCCGGCGACGGCGACGACGACGACGCGCGCGTGTGCGTGTTGGCGATACCGACGCTCACGTCGCGCGTCTCCGAGAGCCGCGGCGAGCGTTTCGGCGCTAAAGCGCTGAAACCGCCGCTGCGTTCGTGGGGTACCACGCGCGTGGGGTGCCGGACGGTGAGCAGCTGCGCCGGGTCCGGCGTGTTCGCGTCTTTACAGCGACGGAGACACGTCGCGAGGCTCGACGCCGTCGTCCGTGAAATACGACGCGCGCGAAAGACGAGGAAGGCGGAAGCCGAACGCGCCGCGGCCGCGGCCGCGGCCGCTCCTGCCCCTGGCGCGACCGCAATCCCCCCCGTGGCGGTGTCGACGCGCACGCCGTCGGCTCCGGGTGATATCCGCAGCTTCTTCGGCGTCGGCGGGGACGCGTTCGAGTACGACTATCGACCCGACGAGGAGCCGCCGCCGGCGTCGGCGCCGCCAACGCCGCCGCCGCCGCCGTGGCGTCCGGCGCCGACCGCGATGGAACTCCAAAGCGCGTGGGCGACGATGTCCCCGTTCCCGCTCGACGGCGCGGTGCACGGCGCCGGGGCCGCGATCGAGGCGTGGGTGTGCTGCGACGCGCCCGAGTGCGGGAAATGGCGGCGCGTGCCTTCCCTCGTCGCTCGCGAGATCGGCGACGACGAACCGTGGTTCTGCCGCCTCTCCGCGGACGCGAAGCGCAACGCGTGTTCGTTCCCGCAAGAGCTCGAGAACGACGACATCGATCGCAGGATCGAAGCCGCGGCCGCGGCGGAGCGCGCGAAGAACGAAGCCGCCGCGGCCGCGGCCGCGAGGTACAACGCCAAGCGCGAGGTCAAGCGACGACGAGACCGCGAGTACCGCCTCCGGAAAAAGGCGGAAGCGGCGGCGATCGCCGCGGGGCTGCCGCCGCCGCCGCCGCCGACGCGACAGAAGCCTCCGAAGCCTTCGAGGCTTCCGAAGCCTCCGAAGACGTCAAGAACATCGCGGCGGTTCGAGAGTAGGATACACGACGCGACGATATGGGCCTCCGTCGCGAGGACCGCGGCGTTGATGCGGAAGAGGATGACGCTCGCCGCCGCCGCGGATCCGACGGACCGGGTCCCGGAGCTCACGTCGGGGATGCGCGCGTTGGACTTGTCCCCCGCGCCGCCCCCAGCGTGCGCCTCGCCGTCCACGTCCGCGAGCGACATGTCTGGTTCTCGTCGATCGCGTCGTTCGGGGTCGTGGAGGCCGCCGTGGCGCGCGATCGCGAGCGCCGCGCGAACGTCGTCGAGAATCACGGCGCGGGGGGAAGTCGCCGTGATTCTCGCCGCGATCGACGGCGACGGCGTCGACCCAGGGCGCGTCTGCGTGTTCCTCGCGACACGGGACGACCCGGACGACGTCCCGATCGCGCGGCTGTTCCGCGGCGAGACGTTCCTCACGCCGAACATGGCGGCGGCGTTGCCTTCCATCGACGGGTTCGCGTACTCTCGCGTGAGCCCGACGCCACCGCCGTTCGCGCCAAACTACGCGGCGTGGGACGCGGCGGCGGCGGCGGACGACGACGCGGAGACGGAGGAACGTCCACGTCTCCCCCCGACGCGGTGGGGCTCCGCGGGGCCGCGAATGAAGCGCGTCAGAGGCGATCGCGGGCGACGACGGCTGTTGGGTGTCGCCGCGCGCAACGCCGAGGCGGTCGAGCGCGCGGTGATCGCGAGCGAGATGGACCACGATCGCGCGTGGGCGGGGTGGTTCTCGATGCCGGAGCCGAGGCAGCCCCCGCCGCCTCCCGCGCCGAGGGCGATAACGTTCGAGGACGTGGCGTTCGTGGTGCCGCCGCTTTGGGCGCACCCGCACTGGGCGCTGGGAGGGATCGGCGACGTCGCGCCAAAGGCGAAGATGAGGAGGAAGATTCCGAGGGTGTGGCGCGGGAAGGACCTGGACATGATCGTCTACGGAAGAGACGAAAGGCTCGAGTGGGCGCGAAAGACGGGAATGTTCTTAGCGCGCGCGAGGACCGCGCTCGGCGACCGACGGCTGCACCGCGACGCGTGGGGTGGTAGCGTGCTCGACAGCGTGATCGGCGCGATGCTGACGCAGAACGTCAGCGACGTCTTGTCCTCGTCCGCGATCATGAACCTCGCGGCGAGGTTCCCCGGTCCGCGGATCGCCGAGTCGGTCGCCGTCGAGGAACCTCGGAACGACCCTCCGGAGACGGCGCGAACGCCGGAGCGCCCGCGCGTGGACGTCGATATCGATCGCCGCGAGGGGTCCCCACCCCTAGAGGTCCTGACGCCGCCAGAGCGCGATCGCGAGCCGCCGCCGCCGCGCGCGACGTCGCCGGCGCCGGCGCCGCCGCGGAACGAGGAGCCGTCTTCGCCGTTCGCGTCGCCGCCGGGGTCGCCGCCGCGCGAGGCGAACGACGCGAACGATCCCCCCGCCGCCGAGACGACGATGAAAACGCCGATAGAGGACGCCTTCGCGACGCCGCCAGAGTACCTCCCGCACGTCGGGTTCATCAGCGCCGCGGTGGGGGCGCAGTGGTACCTCGCGAGGCTCCGGGGGCTGCGCGCGAGCGACGCCGCAGCCGCCGCCATGGCCGCCGCGGCGGCGCCGTCGAACGTCGAGGACGAGATCCCGGAAGTAACGCCCATGGCACCTGCGTTTCACGTTCCCATCGCCGCCACCCCTGTTATCAACACCCAGAACGACGCGTCGACACCGCTCGCGGAGCCTCAGCCGCGAGCGAAGAAGAAGACGAAGACGCAGATCGTCCGAGAGGAACTCGCGGCGCTCGCGGCGGCGGCGCTCGAGACCCCGGACCCGAGCCCTCGTCCGCCCTCCACGCGCGACCTGATCGACTGGAACGCGGTCCTCAAAGCGCCGATCGAGGACGTCGTCGAGTGCATCCGATGCCGCGGGATGCACTTCATGCTCGCGAGGCGGATCAAGAACCTGCTGCGACGCATCGCGAGCGAGCGCGACGGCGCGTTGTCCCTCGAGTTTTTACGCGACGTTCCCACCGAGCTCGCGCGCGGGTACCTCCTCTCGCTCGAAGGCTACGGCGTGAAGACCGTGTCGTGCATCCTGCTCCTCGCGCTGTACCGCGCGGACTTCCCCGTTGACGTGAACGTCGGCCGCATCATGGCGCGCCTCGGGTGGGTGCCGCTCGAGACGGAGCAAGCGCTCGAAGAGCTCAGCGAGTACGCGCCGGAGCCCGCCGTGTACACGTTTTTACGCGAGCGGCTGAATTCGTTCGGGTTGCAGACGTTGTTCGAGCTCCACTACCACATGATCACGATGGGCAAGGTGTTCTGCGAGAAGCGCACGCCCAACTGCCGAGCGTGTCCGCTTCAGGACATGTGCGAGTACGCGAGCTGCGGCGGGAAGCGACAGGTGAACGCGACCGCGACGGGCGGTCCGGCCGCGAGCTCCGCGCCGGCGGCGGCAGCGCCGCCGCCGCCGCCGCCGCCCACCCCGGCGCCGCCGCCGTCGCGCGTCGAAGCCGCCGCCGCCGCGGAGATCATCGCCGATGTCGAGGACACCCAGGGGACGCGGACCGCAGAGTCGATCGAAGAAACCCTCGAGGCGGTCATCGACGCCGGCGCGGCCTGGGACGCCGCCGGCCGCCCCCCTGCCGGCGCCGCCGCGGCGTTGAGGCTCGACCCGGGCGCGAGCTGGACCGACGCGAGAGCCGCGCACGCGAAGTTGTCGCGCATCACGCACCCGGATAAGTGCGACGACCCGAGGGCGGCGCGCGCGTTCGCGATCATCACCGCGGCGAGGAACGTGTTCGCGCCCCCGCGCGCGAGGACGGACGACGACGACGTGTTGGGGGGATGGGAAGCGACCGCAGCGGCGGCGAGGGACGACGCGATCACGGTTGAAAACGACGAGGTCATCGTCGGCGGGGCGTCGCGGGGGGCCGACGGCGCCGCCGGCGGCGGCGGAACCGACGGCGTAGGCGAGATCGAGGACGTCGGAGGCAGCGTTGGGCCTACGAAAGGCTTCGCCGCCGCCGCCGCCGCCGCCGCCGCGTCGATCGCGTCGTCCCCGCTTCAAGTCCAAGTCCACAGGGCGCTGAACATCAACAGAATCCGCCACGAGCTCACCGCGTGGTCGCTGCCGGCGAGCATGATCCCGACCGGGCTCCGCGCGCGACTCAACTCCGTGGACGAGACGTGCTACCTCGGCGTCCGGAGCGAGCTGCCGTCCGCGGTCGCGGCCGCGTCTCGGGCGTCGACGCGCGCGGGCGTGGAGATCGTCCCCGTCGCCGTGCTCGTGCCGTGCCGCGCGGCGATGTACCGAAAATTTCCCCTCCACGGGACGTACTTTCAAACCAACGAGGTCTTCCTAGACAGCGAGACCGCGGTGCGGCCGGAGCTGTGGCCGATACACAAGCTCTCGCCGCTGCCGACGGTCTCCGTGTACTTGGGGACCTCGGTCGCGAGCATATGTCGCGGGATGTCGCGCGCGGAGGTCGCGATGTCGTTCGGGGATAAAGCCGTGTGCGTGCGGTCGTGGGACCGCGACACGGGGCACCCGCGGCCGCTGCCGCGGTGGGCGTGCCCGTTCTTCCCTCGGAATGGTGCGACCGCGCTTAGCGCGCCCGGGGAGGAGGAGTACGCCGTCGGCATTCGCGTCGGCGACGGCGGGAGAGGATCGATCGTTTTCGACGGAGGCGAGGGTAATGAGACGCCGCCGGCGGCGCGCGAGGCCCCGCCCGAGGAGGCGCCGACGCACCCGTCGTGGGTGGCCGCCGCCGCCGCGGCCGATCTCGCGCCTCCCGTGAACGTCGAGGACGACGACGAGGACGGCGGGGACGACGACGTGGACGGCACCGGACCGGTGAACATGGACGAGCAGTGGGATCGGTACCTCGAAGAGGACGAGTTCGAGGACGCCGACGGGGAGATTCTTCCGGACGCGTCGCCGCGGCCGTCGCCGCCGCCGCCGCCGCCGATGCGACCGTTCGCGGACGGCCCTCCCCCGGACTGGAACTCGAGGGTGCTCATGGAGTACGCCGCGCGTCGCCGCGCGGTCGCGGAAGCCGCCGCGGAGGCGTCGAAATTGGAAAAGAAGGCGTCGCGGAAGAGAGCGCGCGCGGGGGGGAACGGTCCCGCGGGCGGCGCGGGCGGCGCGGGCGGCGGCGGGTCGGCCGCGTCCGACGCGAGCGGCTCCGTCGACGCCGGGTCCGGGTCGTCGTCCGGGAGCTCGGCCGGGAGACGACGGAAGCGGAAGTGGGCGGACGTGCAGGTCGTGAGCGTGACTCGGTTCTTCTCGCTGGGGTCGCCTCCCGCGTAGAACGCCGCGTGATAAGATACAAGACAGTACAACGTAGAGACGGCGTGAAGTCGCCCGCGGCGACAGCCGATACCCGACTCGAACGAGCCAAAAAAAACAAGTTCATCGGTCAGTTGAAACTAGATGCGATCAAATATTGAAACCGATTGATGGGTGAAAAACTTTTATTTGAGCGCACGAAGATATCCCGCACTACAGTATTCCGTCCTCGTCATCGGCAAGATAACCTCCGACACGACGCGCGCCGCCGCCGTTCGAGCGCGCGCGCGGTGTCGAGGCGAGCACGCGCGGCAGCGATGGCGAGTATCGCGCTCGGCGGAGGGATCGCGAGCGCGGGAGCGCGGACGCGAGCGTGCGTCGCGCGCGGGGTATCGCGTCGACCGCGCGTCGTCCATCCTCGATGGGAGCTGAGGAAAAGGGTGACGTCGGCGCCGGCGACGCGCGCGACGGGGCCGAGCGCGAGGGCGGGACGGACGCGACGGACGCGACAGAGCGCAGATCGCGGACGATCGCGTCGCGACGCGGTCCCGAAGACGACGGAGACGACTCCGGCGACGACGACGTCGACGTCGGGGACGCCGCCGTCGATGGATCTCGTCGACGACGCGAAGCCGACGATTTCGACGTCGACGAACGAAAACGAAAAGAACGACGACCCGGACTCCACGCGAAACGCGGCCGCGGTCGCGGGCGTGCTCCCGCTCCTCGCATTCGGCGGCCTCGTCGCCGCGGGCGCGCACTACAAAGACGAGATAACGACGTTCCTGTACGCGTTCAGCGACGTCGTCGAGGGCTTCGGACCGGTGAAGGGGCCGATGGCGTTCATGGGCATCTACGTCGCGCTCGAGATCCTGGCGGTGCCGGCGATCCCGTTGACGATGTCCGCGGGGGCGATATTCGGCCCGGCGCAAGGCACCGCGATGGTGTCCGTGTCCGCGACTGCCGCGGCGACGATATCGTTCCTCATCGCGCGGTACGCGCTCCGCGAGAAGGTCACGGAGCTCGCGAGAAAGTACCCGAAGTTCGCCGCCGTCGACGACGCGATCGGCGAGGACTCGTTCAAGGTCGTCGCGTTGCTTCGGCTGTCCCCGCTGCTGCCGTTCGCGTTGTCCAACTACCTGTACGGCCTCACGAGCGTGAAGACGAAGCCGTACGTCCTCGCGTCGTGGCTCGGGATGCTCCCCGGGACGTTCGCGTACGTCAGCGCCGGCGCGGTGGGACGAACGCTCATCGAGGCGGGGGAGAGCGCGGCGAGCGGCGGCGGCGCGGGGGGAGAATGGACGCACGCCGCGCAGGTCCTGTGCGGGTTCGGGTTCGCGGTCCTGTCGGGGGGGTACGTCACGCGGTTAGCGACGGAGGCGTTGAAGGAGGTGGAGGACGAGATGGAGCGCGTGGAGAGGGAAGCCGCCAAGGGCGAGTGAACGTGGAGAGGGAAGCCGCCGAGGGCGAGTGAACGCGAGACTGACGAAATACACGACTCACGAACCGAACACGACCTGACTTACTGACTCATAACCTCTGACTCATCACACTGTTAGAACTGTCTGCGAAACGCGACGCGCGAATCACACAAATCGTCGCGCGATGGGGTCAGGGTCGCGCTATCCCCCCGTCAGGCCTCAGTACGACCTCGTCACGCACGCGAGGCTCCCGCAGTACAAGTACTCGCCCGACGCTCCCGAGAAGCTCGCGGGAGGGGGGCAGACGATCGTGCCGTTGGCGGACAGCGGCATCAAAGCGCTGGGGGGCTGTCCCAGGCGAGTGCGGAAGAATTCCGCTTCCGTCCCCCTCGGTCGTCGACCCGACCGGGCGCCGTATCCCTCGAGCCCGCCGACGTCGCCGCCCTCGGCGTCGCCATCGCACCGCCCGTGCATCAATCACCGCCGCTGACGCCGTCATCACCCCGCTCTCCACCCACGCAGCGTCGCGCTCCCCGAGGGAAAGACCACGAACTCGGGCACCGTGATCCGGACGTACAAGCACCTGAACATCCGATCGAAACTGGAACCGCACGAGCGCTTCTCGAAGCCGGTCACGTCCTCGATGGAGGTGGGGTGGGGGATAACACCTAGGTGATGGGCGACGCGCGACGAAGAGGAGCGGCGCGAGGTTGTCGTTCGTCTCGATGTAACTGATGTACAACACTACTAGAGAAGGGCAAAGGGAAGTTCCGCGACTCCAAAGCCGCGAAAAAGATGAACCAGTGGGCGGGCGGAAGCCTCACGTAGAATACGGTAACCTTGCCATAGAAGAGCGACGTTGATACGAACGTCAGATGCATATGCTCGCGCTCAAGAACCCTCCGGCGTCGCCGCCCGCGGCGTCCTCGCGACGATCGCTCCCGCCTCCCTCCGGATCTCTCCCGCCTCCCTCCGGATCGCGCGACGCGATGAACTCGCGGTACCGCGCGTCTAACCGCCTCGCGCGGTTACACGCGCCGCGCAACTTCTCGGGCGGACACACGTCGCCCGCGGCGCCGCTGATCTTCGCCGCGAAGCTCCGGACGATCGCCGCGCACACGGTGCTCTCGTTCAGTCCGTACGTCTTCGTCCACGACGGCCTGACGCACCACCGCCGCAGATACCTCTCGATGACCTTCCCATTTGAGTACGCGGAGAACCCGTTCGGCCCGCCAGGGGAGACGTCCGCGAGACCAGACTCGAGCAGCGACTTCGCCGTGTGAACAGCCCCGGCGAGGATGAAGTCGCACGGGTCCGGGTCCGAGCCGGGGGCGAGGAACCCGCCGTCTCCGCGCGCTTCGCACGCCACCAATACGGTAACGCACCTCGAGATGGCCTTTCTCACCGCGGTCCGGCACGCCTCGCGGATGTCGTCGGCGTTCACGTCCGGCTTCGCGCCGTCGTCGTCGGTCAACGCCATCGTCTTCACTTCCTCCTCCCCGAGCGTCTTTTTGAGCATGAACGCGAGAATCTTCCTCCCGCGCGGCTCCCGCGTGCCGAGCATCCGCGGCGCGAGACCGCCGAAAATGAGCGGCTCCGCCATTTTCGCGACGGCGTCCTCGGACGTCTTCGATTTCACCACCGCGCGCCGCGCGACGTCGCCGTCCGCGAGAATCGCGTTCGCCTTGCACACCGCCGAGCCTCCCACCCACGCGTCGAGATCGTCGCGATCGCCGCCGGGGGTTCCTTGCATCGCGGGCGCGTCCGCGGGCGCGTACGCGCGCTTATACCACTCCCGCGCGCCTTTGACGTAGTCGATCCTCACGAGCTCCCAGTCCACGCCGCCCTCGGCGAGGAGCAAACCTATCCTGGAGCTATACGGGCAATACGGCACGAGAGGCGACCGCGGCGCGCCGTTATCGAGCCCGCCGCGTTCGCCGTACGACGCGCGCGCGCACCCGCACGTGAGCCGCGGGCATCCGGGCGTTGGCGTCGTCGTCGGCGCGGCGTCGCCTTCCATCGCGTATTCACCCTCTTCGACGTCGTCGACGTCGACGTCGACGTCGACGACGTCCGTCCCGTCCACGCGTCCGGCGCGGTCGCACTCGCGCGCGGCGTTGAACCGTTCCCACGCGATCTTCGGCGCGCCGGACCTCTCGTCGACCGAGATGACGTCCTCGAATTTCCCGCCGAACACCACGCTGCCTTCGCCGTAGGACGCCGTCGCGCACACGTCGCCTTTGAAGACGTCGTCGAATGCTCTCAACGTCGCGTGAAGAAGCATCCGGCCTCCGTCGCCGTCGCCGTCCTTCCCGAACGCGCGCCGCAGCGCCCCACTTCGTAACACCGGCAACAGCGGCGACGTCTCGTCCACGTCATGCACGACGGTGTGCACGCCGCTGATCACGCTCGGACGCGCGACGTTCAACGCGACTCTCTTTGAAAACGTCTCCCCCTCGCGCGTTACGTGCCGCCGCAGCAGCGCGAGCGATATCTCGTTCGGGAACAGCTTGTTGCATCGCAAGTTTCCGACCCTAAACTGCAGGCTCGGAACGCCGTCGCGGCATCGCACGACGCCCACGGAGGACCACACGATGTCCCCGCGCGGGGATTGAAACTTCGCCACGATCGCGGACAACACGACGAGGTTCACGCCGACGCCCAACATCTGCTGCGCGACCGCGATGAAGTGCCCGAGCGTCGACACCGGGACGACGTTCCCCGCGCTCATCGTCACGACGTGCGCGGACGCGAACCGAAGCGCGAGCTCGAACTGCTCGGGGTCGTGCCCGCGCGAGTCCTCGAGATCGTCGTTCACGTTCACGAGGTCGAGTCCCGTCGCGACGACGCCGCAGAGGAGTATCGCGACGGCGTACGCCGCGGACGCGAGCGCGAAGCAGAGGTACCAGGACCCTTCGAGGACGAGGAAGTAGAGGTACGTCGCGGAGAAGCGCGCGGACGCGCGGCTGTGCGCGGCGGACGCGGGTTTCGTCTTCGACGAGTTAACATCGCCCCGCGAGGAGGAGGAGGAGGACGACGCGGGCGCGGCGCCGCTCGTTAGGTGCTTGTGACTGCTCGCGCGCCGCGCGGACGCGAGCAGCGCTTTCTTCGAGCTGCCGACGCGCTCGACCGCGCGCGCTGACGACATGAACGAGGCCCGTCGCGCGCGCCTCACGAGTGGGTGGGGCTCGAGAAAGATCCATCGTTGTCGTTAAAAAAAATTCACTCCAGTCAGCGCCACGACAGCAGTCGGCGGGCGGCCCTGGCCGCCGCCCCCGCTACCACCTAGGTGATGGGCGACGCGCGACGAAGAGGAGCGGCGCGAGGTTGTCGTTCGTCTCGATGTAACTGATGTACAACACTACTGTACGAGCACGCGGGCGTACGCTGAATGTGTCGAGGGCGTTTTGGTTTCCGCGCCGCGTCGACCGCCGTCGCTCCCGGTCGCGCGCGCACGACGCGACCACGACTCCAACAGACCATCTACTCTACTCTTCCTTCGCGCCCCGCGCGTCGCCGCCTTCGGCTTCACCGCCGCCGCCGCCGCCGCCGCCTTCCTCCTCCGCCATCGCGCGAAGGACGTACGACCCGACGACGCACTGCGCGGCGGCGACGGCGCACAGGCCGCTGACGGTGGCGTGCCTCTCCGCCTCCTCCGCCCACACCGACCATCCGAACGCGCTCGCCAAGCGCGGGAGGACGAATCGCTGCATCGTGACGTACGTCGCGAGCGGCGCGACGACGATAGCCACGGAGTAGAGCAGGAGCTTCCGGATCGTATCGCCGCGCGGCGGCGGCGGCATCGCGACGCGCGATGCGATGCGTCGCCGTCGCTCGGTCCGAGGGTCGACGCCGAGCGGATCGCGGCCGCGCCCTTCGCCCGTCCCCGTCCCCGTCTCCTACAACAGATGGAGCTTGAACGCGAAGATGAGGACGAACGCGACGAGCGCCCACGCGATGTATATCGGCCACGCGAAGTCGTCCGCGGGCTTGGGCTTGTGCGCTCTCCGCGCGCGGTCGCCTCCGAGCGATTCCTCGTCGGGCTCGGCCGGCGCGTAGCCGCTGACTATCTCCTTGTTGATTCGACGGCGTCGCGCCCCCATCCACGAAGACGGCGACGGCGACGGTGCGCGTTCCTTCGCCGCTCGAGTGCGCCCGGGTCGCGCGTCGACGCGGGGGTCGTTGTGGCTCCCGCCTCCGCTTTCTCGCGGGATCTGAAAACAACAGAACAATCCAATCTGAAAACCGCCCCGAGCGCGAGCGGGCGTTCGAGGAGGCGGGCACTCGTCCGGGCGCGCCCCCGCGCGAGTCCCCGGGTTCTTCCATCCATGACGACGGCGGAGGAGGACCCGCCCGCGATATCCGCGCCCGTCGCGCAGAAGGCGGTCTCGTTCGATCCCTCGAGCGCGAAGCTCCTCGAGCTCGAGCGGAAGCTCGCGGCGAAGGACGGCGTCATGAACGAGGGCGTCCTCGCGACGCTGCAGCAGTACGTCGCGAGCGGCGGGAAGCCCGCGGCGGCGATCGAGCTCCTGTCCGAGAACTACCGCGGGTACGCGCAGATGACGTCGCTCGTGTGCGGCTGGCTCGCCGCGACGGAGGAGGGCGACGGCGTCGGCGGGGGAGGGAAATCGAAGCGCGCGTCGATCGGGCGAGGCGGGAGCGCGATCCCGAGCGCTTCCGCGGCGGCGTCCCCGAGCGCGCACGTCGCGAACTCAGGCGCGGCGAAGAGGGAAGGTGGCGTCGGCGATCACGGGGACGATCACACCCCGCAGGGCGGCGCGACAACAAAGCCGCGGACGCCGTTCTCGCGCGACGGCGACGGCGGCGATCGCGCGAACCAAGGATCCGCGGGGAATCTTCCGTCGCTCGCGAAGGAAGCGGCGGCGAACGCGACCGCGCACGCGCTGAACGACTGGCGCACGCGCGTCCGGCACGACGAGATGCACTTCCTCGAGCAGCTCATCAAGAAAAAGTTTGACACGAGAAGGGTGGACGCGGTGAAAGGCCGCCCGCAGTGGCTCCAGCGTCTGCTCAACTCCGATCGATGCCGCGCCGTGCTCTTCGCGCTCGCGGAGGCGCACCCGAACTGCCTCCTCATCACGATCGCGATCCAGCACGCGTGGCAGCACGGCCACGCGGACGAAGTCCGCGCGCTCGGCCCGGCCGCGGCGTCGTACTTTAGCATCTTCCACGAACTCCTGGCGTACCACTTCCGGTCGTTGATCGACGCGGGGGACGACGAAGAGAAACGCGCGCTCGCCGCGGACGCGATCAAAACCGCGTGTTGCCAGTCCCTCGCGACGTACTTATTCGCGCAGATGATGCTCGCGGACCTCGCGGGCGGCGGCGACGCTGGCGTGGGCGGCGGGGGAAGTTCTAATTCGCAGGTGAGGGCGCTCGCGGTGAGGATATCGCAGGAACTCGAGACGACGGCGGCGGCGGCGCACGGGTTGAGCACGGTTCGAAAAATCGCCCCGCTGCTGTGCGCGTCGGACGCGGACGCGGCGGCGACGGAGGCGGCGGGGGAGCTCCTCCTCGCCGCGGCGGAGACGAGGGAGAGGCAGGAATTCGGCGGAGCCGGCGGCGGCCTCCCCCAGGGCATCCTTCGAAAGTTCCACGACATGTACCTCGGGGACGCAGACGCGGCGGGCGCGACGAAGCCGTCGAAGGCGCCGCTTCGGCACCCCGACCTCCTCCGGTCGCTGTTCGACGACGCGTTCCGGTGGGCCGGCTCGGGCGGGGTCGTCCGCCCAGAGTCGAGGGACGCGTGCGTGGATCTCCTCGTCCTCGCGACGACGGTCGGCGACGACGAAGCGACGACGACGAAGGCGGCGCTGACGGAGACGTTGTCGACGTGCGAACGCGCCGCGCGCGGCCAACAACCGAACGTCGCGGCGCTCGGCGAGCTCGTGCAGATCCCCGCGGTCGCCGCGGGGGTGCTCTCCTGGGTTCGAAGCGGGTTAGGAAGCCCGGACCACTACCGCGACCCGGTCCGCGCGAAAGCGTCGAGCGCCGCGTACCTCTCTTTGGCGGAGACGGTGGCGAAGCGTTCGCCGCGGTTTCGCGCGGAGGTTTTGGACGTCGTCACCGTGGCGTTGAAAGCGATGGGGAAGGCGCAATCCGAGGAGCTGCACCTCGCGGTGATGGACGTCGCCGTGGAGGTGGTCGCCTGCGGCGTCGTGCTCCCCGCGCTCGAGGTGGCGACGAAATCGTGGGCTTCGCTCGTGGATCCGTCGCACTTGCGGTATTTCGTCGGGGAGGTGTTGGAGTTCACCGCGCCGCCGTTTAGCGGGGATTTCGCGGGGAGCGTGCTTCGGTTGCTTCGCGCGGCGGGGACGCGGCGCGGGATGCTTCCGTCGATCGACGCGTTCGTGAGCGAGCTCGTGGGTCAGAGGATGAAGGGGGGGTTGGGGCCGGGGTTAGGACGGGAAGAGGGCGCGATTTTGGACGCGCTGCGCGGGGTTCGGCGGTGAGCGCGGGGAGGTAGCGTGCACGTAGCGTGCACGTAGCGTCACGCTCGGGGTGCACGTAGCGTTGAAAGGTGATCTGGGGTGAACTCGACCCTAGATACGACGTCGGAACCGATGAACCGTGCGACGCTCGCGATCAACGCGTTTCGGATAAAAATTTTGCCTTCCGTGCGCTTTCTCGAAAGCTGCTCGAAACGCCGTCTTCGCGCACACATCCGCTCGCCTCACACGCGACACGGTACAAGTCGAGTCATCATGGCCTCCCTCATGATGTCTGCGTTCAGCTCCAAGTGCGTCCGCGCCCTCGAGTTTTTCCCCGAGTCGCTCGCGCGTCCTGCGCGGCGCGTGCGGCGCGCGATTCCGGCATCGCGGCGATTTCAGGGATGTAGGGCAATTTAGCCGCAACGCGGCGAGGGTCGGAATGCGCCGCGCCACGGCGCGGTCGTCCGTCCATCCCACGTCGCGGCGGGCGCCCTCATCCTGTTCGATCCCTTCCACAAAGATCGTCGCGTCACTTCGCGACGCGCGCATTCGAACGCGTCGCTGACGACATCCTCGCCCCCGTTCCGAACGTCGAATCTCTTCTCCGCAGGACGGCGGCGCCGATGGGCCTGCCCCGCCAGGCGTCCTCCAAGCTTCCCGGTGCGCGTTCGCTCGCGTTCGACGTCCCCGCGATTCACTTCCGCGACGCCGTCGTGTTCATCGCGACATATTAGACGCGCGTCTCGCGTTTTACGACGCGCGGAGACGTCGCGCGCGCGACGCGCCGCGCGTTCCGACGCGTCCGCGGACGCCGCGTTTCGGCGCGCCGATAAAAAAGAAGGCGGCTTCCATTCCGACGATTCGATTCGATTCGATTCGCGACCGAAGACTGACGCCCCGCGCTCCCTTCCCCCAAACCCACCCGCAGCGTCCTTCCCCGCGCGCCGCGCCGCGCGCAAGGTCAACACGACGACGACCGCCGCCGCGAAGAAGCTCTACTTCAACGCGGACGACGGCGCGGCGCTCAAGAAGATGCAACGCGGCGTGGACAAGCTGGCGCACGTCGTCGGCGTGACCCTCGGCCCGAAGGGCCGCAACGTCGTCCTCGAGTCCAAGTACGGCTCGCCGAAGATCGTGAACGACGGCGTGACGGTCGCGAAGGAGGTTGAGCTCCAGGACCCGGTCGAGAACGTCGGCGCGCGTCTCGTGCGTCAGGCGGCGCAGAAGACGAACGACCTCGCCGGCGACGGCACGACGACGGCGACGGTGCTCAGCGCGGCGATGATCACGGAAGGGATGAAGATCGTCATGGCGGGCACGAACCCGGTGCAGCTCACCAGAGGCATGGAGACCACGGTCAAGGAGCTCATCGGCGTGCTCAAGGGTCTGAGCAAGGAGGTGAGCGACGAGGAGCTCGCCAGCGTCGGCGCCATCTCCGCGGGCGGCAACATGGAAGTCGGGACCATGATCTCGGACGCGATGGAAAAGGTGGGTCGCTCGGGCGTCATCACCCTCGAGGAAGCGCGCAGCGTGGACAACAACCTCATCGTCGTCGAGGGGATGCAGTTCGACCGCGGGTACGTCTCGCCGTACTTTGTGACGGACTCGGAGAGGATGACGTGCGACTACGACAACTGCAAGCTCCTCCTCGTGGATAAGAAGATCAAGTCGGCGCGCGACATGATCACGATCCTCGAAGAAGCCATCAAGGTTGGATTCCCGCTCCTCATCATCGCGGAGGACATCGAGCAGGAAGCGCTCGCGACGCTCGTGGTGAACAAGCTCCGCGGTGCGCTCAAGATTTGCGCGCTCAAGGCGCCCGGTTTCGGCGAACGCAAGTCGCAGTACCTCGAAGACATCGCGATCCTCACCGGCGGCACCGTCGTGAAGGACGAGCTCGGCCTGTCCCTCGACAAGGTTGGCGTCGAGGTTCTCGGAAACGCCGCGCGCGTCGAGCTCGGCAAGGAGTCGTGCACGATCGTCGGCGACGGCTCCACGCAACTCGAGGTTGCGGCGCGCGTGAAGCAGATCAACCGCCTCATGGAAGCCGCGGAGGCGGATTACGAAAAGGAGAAGCTCAACGAACGCGCCGCGAGGCTCTCCGGCGGCGTCGCGATCATCCAGGTCGGCGCGCAGACGGAGACGGAGCTCAAGGAGAAGAAGCTCCGCGTCGAGGACGCCCTGAACGCGACGAAGGCGGCGGTCGAGGAGGGCATCGTCATCGGCGGCGGCTGCACGCTTCTCAAGCTCGCCGCCGCGGTTGAGGACATCAAAGCCGCTCTCCCGAACGAGGAACAAAAGCTCGGCGCGGACATCATCCGCAAGGCGCTCGCGTACCCGATGCGTCTGATCGCGTCCAACGCGGGTGACAACGGCTCCGTCGTCGTCGAGCGCGTCACGAACAGCAAGGACCCGGACTTTGGGTACAACGCCGCGACGGGTAAGTTTGAGGACCTCATGGTCGGCGGGGTCATCGACCCGACGAAGGTGATCCGATGCGCGCTCGAGAACTCCGTGTCCGTGGCGAAGATCTTCCTCACCTCCGACGTCGTCGTGTGCGAGATCCCGGAGAAGAAGGTGGCGGTGGCGGGTAACGCGATGGACAACTCTGGGTACGGCATGTAAAAAGAGAGTTGGCGAGGAGGTGACGTGGAGGGTGGCGGCGGTTGAGGAAGGACCGCGCGGAGACGATGTGGAGGCGACGAGATGAAGAGAGGCGTTTAGCTGTTTGTGTAGCGGGTGCTGGCTACGCACTGACCCGATCGATATTCTTTGATAATACTGAACACGAGACGGGTGCGACATGACGTGATGACGTCCTCACGCGACTCCTTCCCACCGCGGCCGGCCGAGTGAAAATTTCTTGGACGCAGCGCTCACTCGTACGCTTCCGAGAAACCTTATCGAGTCGTGCTCGAAGCAAGCCGGGCACTTTCTCTCGCGCCCCGCACGCGCTCGCGCCATGAAGGAGTGGTACAAGTGGTGGTTCTGCGTCGCCGCGGTGCTGGCGGTGCTCGCGCACTGCGCGTCTCCCGTCGCGGCGACGTACTACGGCACTTACTGCGTCGAACCGGCGGTGTGGTACGACGTGGACGGCGTGTGCGTGTATCCCGGAACCCCGCAGTACACCGTCGTGGTCAACCGCCCGGGGTACGTCGGCGCGGGCGCCGTCGGTTTCGCCGCGGGGAAGGCGTCGAACTACCGCCCGAACTACGGCCGTCCCGATCGCCCCGGAGGTCCGGGCGGCGACCGTCCCGGTCGCGGCTCGGGGGGACCGAGCACGAGGCCGAGCGCCGGTCGCGGCGGCGGAAGCGTCGGCGGCGGTGGCCGCGGCGGCGGCGGCCGCGGCGGCGGCGGCCGCGGCGGTGGCGGCCGCGGCGGCGGCGGCCGCAGAGGCTGATGGATGTTTCTCTGCACACCACGTTCGTTCCGAGGAGTACGACGTACTTCGCAAGGGTCTACGCGCGCGTTCGCGTTGCTTTGTCGCGCGTTAAATCAAACTACGCGTCACTTCGCCGCCGCCCTCAACGCGCCCAGAAGCTCCTCGAACGCGTCTGGAACCGGCGCGCTCAGCGTCATCGGCTCGCCAGTCACCGGATGCTCCAAGCGCAGCGACGTGGCGTGCAAAAACATGACGCTCCCCGGCTTCGCGCCGTCCGCGGTCAACGCGGCGGCGGCCGCCGCCGGCGTCGCCGCCGGCTTCCCGCGTCTATACAACGGGTCCCCCACGAGCGGCGCGCCCAAGATCGCGCCCATGTGACTCCGAACTTGGTGCTTCCGTCCCGTGTGCGGCGTCACCTCCACGAGCGAGCACGTCGCGTCGGGGAGATTGAAGATCTCCAGCACTTTCCAGTCGCTCTTCGCGGGTCGGCCGTCCGCGGGGGCGTCGACCACGCCAAAGAGGTGGTCCTCCGTCTCCGCGTCTTCCCCCTCGGCGTCTCCTCTCCGCTTGGGTCGCCTTCGTCCGGGCACGCCCTCGACTATCGCCCAGTACGTCTTCTGAACCTTCCTCTGGTACCACGCCGTCACGAGTAACGCGTGAGCGACGTCCGTTTTCGCAATCACCATCACCCCCGTCGTCGGCTTATCTAACCGATGGACGATCCCCCGGGCGTCCGCGCCGTTCAGCGCGCTCACGTGCTCGTCCCCGAACGCGTCCAGCGCGAGGTCCACGAGCGTGACCGAGCGCTTGTCCACGCTGGCGCCGCCGGTAGGATGCGTCAGTATCCCCGCGGGTTTGCTCACCGCCGCGAAGTGGTCGTCCTCGTAGACGACTACCAACGGCGCCGCCCCCGCGCCCGGTCGCTTGCTCGCCTTCTTACTCTTCTTGCTGTTCGCGCGCTTGCCCGCGCCCGAGGCTTTCGACGCGGCGGCGATCACCTCGCTCGCCCTCGCGTCGTCCCCCGCGCGGACGCACGCGGCGGCGGTCAGGGAGTAGCTCACAACGTCTGGGCTCACCCCGCGCGCGGGCATGCGTTCCAACGCGATCGACGTCGCCGTCGCCGCGGCGTCGTCGCCGCCGCGCATCGCGAGCGCGCTGAGGACGACGTTGAACATCCCCGCGGCTTTCCCTCGCGCGGAGGACGTCGCAGGGTCCGGTCGCGATCGCGATCGTTTCTCGCCGCCGCCCTGCTTAGGGCTACCCTTCGCGGCGGCGGCGGCGACGGCGGCGAGGCCGCTCGCGCGCGTCACGATCTCCGTCAGCGACGTCGAGTCGTGCGACGAGAGCTCGTCCCACGCCGCGATGGACGCGTCCACGCCGCGCGCGGCGTCGTCGTCGCTCAGCAGCGGCTCGAAGTGCGCGGGGTACGCGGACGCGAGGTATCGAAGGAGCGTCTCCTCCGGCTGCTCCCGCGTCGCCTTGGCGTCGCGCGTCGTCGATTTCTCTGTTGTCGCGCCTTCCGACGATTCGACGCCGGCGACCGCGCGAGCCGCGGTCGTCGCCCATCGCGCGCGCGCGCCGCCGCCGTGCGCGCATCGCGCGCGCGCGCGCGGCGCGACGCGAACCCACGCCGCGCTCGCGAGGGCTGCCATCGAGCGAGCGCGTGACATAGAGTGCGGTCGACGAGGCTCGCGGCTCGGTGAAGTCGGTTCGTTCGTCCGGGTAAACCAGCTGATGGGAGTTAACAATCGCTGGTCTACAGTACGAGTAGACTACTTCCTCCTCGCCTGGACGTACCCCGCGCGCTCCCGCAACGTCCTCGCGTTCGACGGCCCGTCGCACCCGTACGGGTACACCTCCGGGGCTAACCCCCCCGCGTCGATGTACTTCAGCAGCGGCGTGAACACGCTCCACGCGGCGGCGAGCTCGTCCCTCCGCACGAAGTGCTGCTGGTCGCCGTTCACGCAGTCCAAGATGAGACGCTCGTACGCCTCGGGTATGTACGTCCCGTCGTACTTGCGCGTGTACAGCAGCTCGAGCTCGCTCTGCGCGAGCTCGACCCCGAGCCCGGGCTCTTTCACCGTCATGAGCATGTATATCGCCGGGTCCGGCTGCAACCGGACGACGAACTCGTTCCGCGCTTGTCTCCCCGCGGCGCGTTCCGTCGAGAACAGATCCCCGGGGACGTCCTTCAGCTGCACCCTGATCTCGCACTTGTGCTCGTCCAGCGCCTTCCCCGCCTCGACGATGAACGGCACGCCGTCCCACCGCTCGTTGTTTATCCGCATCACGCACATCGCGAACGTCGGCGCTTTACTCCCAGCCGGCACGGTGGGGTCGTCCAGATATCCCGGCTTGTTCGCCGCCGCCTCGTCCCCGCTCGCGCCGTACTGCCCGAGCGCGACGTCGGACGTGCTCACGGGCTCCATGCACCGAAGCACTTTCAACTTTTCGTCTCGGATGTCCTCCGGCGACAGCGAGCACGGCTTCTCCATCGCGACGAGACACAACAGCTGCAGGAGGTGGTTTTGGATGATGTCGCGAATGATGCCGTACTCGTCGAAGTATCCGCCTCTTCCTTGCGTCCCGAACGGCTCTTTGAAGACGATCTGCACGCTCGCGATGTTGTCTCGGTTCCACAGCGGCGCTAAGAAGCGGTTCTTGAAGCGCATCACGACGAGGTTCTGCGTGAGCTCCTTCCCGAGGTAGTGGTCGATGCGGTACAGCTGCGACTCGTGGAACAGCGTCGCGATCTCGGAGGAGAGCTTCTCGCTCGACTCCAGATCGCGTCCGAACGGCTTCTCGACGATGACGCGCGTCCACGCGGGCTCGGTCGTCGCGCACGAGGCTTTGATGTTCGCGCACACGGGCGGGTACACGCTGGGAGGGAGCGCGAGGTAGAAGATCCGGTGCCCGACGCCGTCGTCGCCGCATCGCTCGCGCTCGAAATCTCGCAAGCGCGACGCGAGCCCGCCGAACACCGGCCCGGTCGCGCTCGCGTCGTCGTACTGCCCAGCCTCGTAGAAGCACGCGCCCAGGAACTTCTCGATCATCTCCGGGGTGCCCTTGAGGAAGTCGCGGACGCGGGATCGCAGGCTATCGTCGTCCATCTTCGAGCGCGCGTACCCGAGGACGATCGTAGACGGCGGGAGGTGCCCGTGCGTGAACAGCGCGAACAACGCGGGGTACGTCTTCTTCTTCGCGAGGTCGCCGCTGCACCCTAAGACGGTGATCGTGAGGCACACTTTAGGGTCCTCCCATCGCGTGTGTTGACGCTTGGGAGGGAGCATCGCGGCCGCGGGGGGGGCGGGGCGCTCTGGAGGATTCGCGCGTTAACAACGTGGTTTTCTGTTCACACCAGACAGCAGTCTGGCAGTCGTGGACCTTTTAGGTTCTCTCCTCGAAAACTTACCCCCGACCCTTACAGTACGCGTACGCACCCTTCGCTCATCCATCATTCCAGCGTGAACGTCGCGTCCTCGCGCGGCCTCGACACCCTGAACCCCCCGCCACCGCCCCCCAACGCCTCGCGGATCAGCCCGGCGTCGCCCTCGCCCGCCACCTCGAGCGCGGCTCGAAGCGCCGCCTCCGGGTCGTCGGGGTTCCGCTTCGCCGCGGCTTCGCGTAACATCCCCACCGCGGCGCCGATCTCCTCGCGGGTGTACGACGGCCGCGCGATCTCGTCTCTCAGCACGGCGGTCCCGCCGCCGCCGCCGCCGTTACCGCCGCCGTTACCGCCGCCGAGGAGCCCGTTCAGAAGCTTCATCACCTTCTCCTCGCTGACTTTCGCGATTTTTTTCCCGACCTTCGCGGCGGCGGACACCTTCCCGCCGGGGGTGTTTCTCTGCGCCGCGAGCCGCACCTTGCGCTGCGGCGAGCTCTCCCTGGAGTACGACGTCGGCGAGGGCGAGCGCGAATCTTTCCCGCCGCGGTGCTTGAACCGGCCGCGGTGCGTGCGCGCCTCGTTCACGAGCTGCGCGAGGTCGGTCATCTCGAGCGCGCCGCCTCCGCCGCCGGCGCCGGCGCCGCCGGCGCCAGACGCGGATCGCGAGTGCGTCGCGGACCGCCCGCTCGCGGCGTCTCGCCTCGCCGCCGCCTTGCGGCTCTTCTTTGACGCGCGCTTTCTTCCGCCGCCGCCTTCGACGAGCCTCGCGGTCTCCTTGTTGCCGATGCCGTTGCCCCAGTCGTCGTCGCCGCCGCCGCCCTCTTCTTCGTCCCAGTCCTCTTCCCAGTCGCCGTTGCCCCAGCCGCCGTTCTCCTCGTCCCAGTCCGAGCCGTCGTCGTCCCAGTCGTCGTCCCAGTCCTGCATCTTCGTGAACCGACCTCCGGTCTGGTTGTTCTGCTGAAACGCGCGGTATCTCGCCTGCTGGCGTCGCGCCTCCGCTTGGAACACCGCGAGAAGGGACAACGCGGACGCGATCCACGCGACGATGAGAATCGTGATGAGAATCGCCCCGAGCGCCGCCGCCGCTCGCATGTGCTGATTCGCGAACCCGCTCGCGTCCGCGGCCTCGATGTTCTCGCCGATGACGCCGGTCTGTATGTTGCGCCAGTGCGACAGGATGAACTTCTTCGTGTCGTCCGAGTGCGTCACGACGAGCCCGGTCGCGGCGGTGATGAAGATGAACGTGACGACGCACATGAAGATGTGAATGATGAGACCGACTTGCGAGCCTTGCGTGACGCCGATGAAGCCGGCGACGGAGGTGAGTATCACGACCGCGCCCGCGCCGGCGAGGATGGCCGCGGCCCAGCGCCCGCCGATGGCGTGGTCCGCGCCGAGGCGGAGGTTCTTCACGACGACGTCGTCGGGGGTGAGGAGGTCCACGGGCGCGTCGTCGAAGTCTTTCCCTTCCACGTCCAGCGACTCCATGTGGTTCCCGGCGTTTATGATTCGCTCCTCCACGGACTCCGTCAGCGTCGCGTTGATGTCCTTCCCGCTCTCGGTGTCGGACACGTTCACGCCGCTGAAGGAGAGGGTGAACGACAGGAGCGTCCCGCCGTCGGCGTCTTTAGGGGGGTAGACTTCCTGGACCCACATCGCGCCCTCTGGAACCTCCATCGCCGGCGGCGGCGGCGGCGGCGGGGACGGGGCCGCGGGCGTGGGAGGGGCATCAGGGCCTGGGGGAGCCGCAGGCGCGGGAGGGGCATCCGGCTCCGGCGGGGCCAACAGCCGCCGGCGACCGATCTGCGAGTTCGGCGGCGGCGGCGGCGGCGGCGGCGCCTGCTGCACAAAGTAGTACTCCCCGAAGATCCGCTCCGGGTGCTCGTTCAGAGTCGTCGTGAACACGTTCACCGCCGCGGTGACGTTCGGGATGTGCTCGCTCGTGCGGAACGTCACGTCCACGTCCAGGGTCACCGCGTCGGGGATGTAATAATCCTTCCGCGCGAGCACCGCGCACAGGACCAACACGAAGAGACCGAACAACACGCCCGCGAAGTTCGCGCCCGCGCCGACGCGCTTCGCGGTGTACTTCAGACCCATGACCTGCGCGGAGGTCAACAGCGCGAAGACGATGAACACCGCGGCGGCGATGAGGACGCCCATGGCTTTGTGGAAGTACCTCCGCACGTATCGCTCCGTTCGCGCCCGGTCGAACGTCTGAAGGATCTCCATGTGCTTCGTGAGCAGCGTCGTCGCGTTGCCGCCGTTCTCGTCGCCGCCGAGGGCGACGCCTTTGTGCATTTCATTGTGGAACGTCGAGTTAAACGCCTTCATGAGCTTCCCGTGCCTGGAGTGTAAGTCTTCCGGGGAGAGTTTCCGCCAGTACGATCCGATCATCTCGTCGGATTCGTCGCGGTAGATCCCCATCATCACCGCGCAGTACACGACGCCGGTGAGCAAGAAAAGGCACAGGATGTGGTACGACAGCAGCAGCTGCCTGTTCCCGGTCAGCGCGCCGAACAGACCCTGTCGATCGCGCGCGCGGAGGAGGCGGGTGGGGAGGGGGGTAGGGGGCGGGGCGTGAACACTCGCGACGTGATATTTTCATTCCGGTGTCGACTGGAGGAGGGTTGCCAAAATTATCACGCGGCGCGGGGCGGGCGGCCGGGCGCGAACGGCGCGACCGCGCACCTGGACGGAGATGAACGTGATGAACAACCCCGCGAGCAGCAGCGCGGAGTCCGGCTCCTCGAACGCGGCGACGGTGAGCCCGCCGTGCTGGTACACGTCGTTTATGAGGCTGCTGTAGTGCCCGTGCCGCGTGCTCATCACGAGGAGCGTCACGCCGAGGCCGAACAGGACGAGGTTTAGCGCGAGGAGCGCGACGCGCGCGACGAGCGCGACGAGCGGGTGCGGCACGATCTCGTTCTTCATCGCGTCGCGAGCGCCCATGGCGATCGTGGGCGGTTCGCGCGGACGATCGCGGGCGCGGGCGCGGGGAAGGAAGGACGCGCGGCGGACGGAATGAGCGATCCGGAACCCGCGCTGGTCTTTCTTTTTCCGACGTTTCGAGACTGGACGACGGGCGGGTGCGGGTTCTGTTACGACGGGTCTTCCCCGGGCCCTCCCGTTTTCGTCGACGGCGTCGCGCGCGCGCACACGCGGTCGCGCGCGCCCGCCGCAGACACGTTTCAAAGCGTCAAAATGGTCAACTTGAACGCGGCGCTCACGTACGTCTTCTCGCTGATGATGTTCATGGCGGGAGCGAACAAGGTGCGCATCGAACGCGGCCCCCCATCGCGAGCGACGGATCGAATCTCATATTCTCCGGGCCTCCAACGACAAGAAAATGACATCCATCGGTCCATCCCGCCCGCCCGCCCCCGCCCCCGCAGGTCACGGACTCCATCGCGCCTCCCGTGCACGCGGACCTCCTCGCGCAGTTCACCGTGTTCGCGAAATCTCCGTGGGGGTTCCTCCGCCTCTCCCCGACGCTGTTCATGTACGTCGTCGGATACCTGGAGCTGACGTGCGCGTTCGCGATCGTACACGCGCAGCGAAACGGCGGCAACAAGAAGCTCCCCGTCTTCGTCCTGTTCTGCGTCCTGTACTGCGCGGTGATGACGCACGCGTGGCACCAGGACGGGAAGCACTGGCCCGCGTTCATCCTCGCCATGGTCGCGGCGTTCATACTCACGGAGGACACGAGCGGCGGGAAGGCGGTGAAGGCTGCGCGCGAGGCGACGGCGACGGCGACGGCGAACGAGACGAAAAAGTCGAAGTGAACGAGCGGAATGGAAGGATGAGAAAAGTTCGCGCGTCTTCGACTCGCTCTACGCGTCGACTCGGCAGAAACACCCACGGCGACCGAACGCGCCGCCCTCCCTCCCTCCCTCCGCGCCTACTTACCCGTCCACGTAATTCACCTCCACCTCGCTCCAGTTCGGGTACATGTAGTCGTCCATGTCGAGCAGCCACTGGTAGTATTCCCGCGCGCGTTTCGCGCTCTTCGCGACGACGACGACGGCGTCTTTTTCGTGCTCGGGTCGCTTCTCGACGTACGCGTCGCGGATCGCGTCCGCGGCGGTCTTCGCGTACTCTGGTAAACAGATGGCGACGCAGCACCCGCGGAACCCGGCGCCGCTGAACCGCGCGCCGAGGACGTTCGGCGTGCCTCGGCAAATCTCCAGAAGGTCGTTCATTGGAGGACACCCCGCGTCGTAGTTTTCAATCGACGACGCGCCGGACGCGTTCACGAGCCGACCGAACGTCTCGAGGTCGCCCGCCCTCCACGCCTTGCAGCCGTCGTGCACGCGCTTCTGCTCGGAGAAGAAGTGCGTCGCGCGCTTGCGCTCGGTCTCCGTGAGTCGATCCTTCCACCGTTCGAAAACCTCCGCGGGAACGTCGCCGAGGCGCGGCCGCCGCGCGCCCGAGGAAGACGCCTCCATCGCGTCGATTTTTTGATTTTGGTTTTCTTCCTCCCCCGCCGCCGCCGCCGCCGCCGCCGCCGTCAGCGCTTCGGCGGCGGCGTGGCACTCCTCTACCCGGTCCCCGTACCCCGTGCCCGCGAGCGACTCTCTCACGCCGGAGTGCGCGATTAGGAACACGATCGGCAGCCCTTTCCCCTCCAAGATCGGCTCCGTGAGCTCGTCCGGGGACCAGTGCTTGTGCCAGCGCGTCGGGTCGTCCAGATCGAAAATCACGCGCGCGTCGGTTTCGCTCGCGCAGTCGATCAACGTCAACGCGCCGGGCGCAGCGCACGCGCACGTCGCTTGGTCGAGAACGCCGCTGCGAAGACCGAGGGAGTCGTTCTCGCAGGCGCGGCCGACGCGCGCGATGTCCCAGCGCGTCGGCGTCGGTCGCTCCTTCTCGGGGTCCGGGACCGGGTGCTTCGGCAGCGACGCGATCTCTTCAAACGTTCGGGCAGCCTTCTTCGCGTCCTCTTCGACGTAAAAATCGCCGTCCGCGCCGCGCAGATGTTCCGAGTGGTCCAGGATCTTCACCGGCGCGGGCGGAGGCGCGTTCGCGGACTCCAGCGCGAGCGCGATCGCGACCTCGAGCGCGGCGGAGGACGCCAGCCCGGCGCGGTCTAAACCGGGAGGGTGCGCCTCGACGCGTCCGAGGATCCCGCGAGCGAGCGATTCGCCGTTTCCGTCGGCGTGAAATTTCTCCAGCGCGCGCGCGACGCCTCGCGCGTAGGCACCCCAGTCGTCGGCGTCGTCGCATCCCGCCGCCCCTCGCGGCGGCGGGATCGCGCGCAGGTCGAACCGGACGTCGCCCTCGCGCGCGTCGGACGTCAGCGATACCGTCGTCGGCGTCAGTTTCGGCGGCGGCGTCGCCGGCGCGCCCGAGAAGGTGGGCGGAGGCGGCGGCGCCGACGCGGACGACGACGCGATCGCCACCTCGGTCGGCGCGGGGACGAACCCGAGGAGCACGCCGCAGTTCAGCGCGACGCCCGCGACCGTCCCGCCTTGGTGGTCGATGTGCGCGCCGAGAGGGCACACGCGGTACGGCGCGGCGACGACGCGGACGTCGATCGGCTCGACGTCCGTCGCGCCGCACGCGCGCGCGTGCGCGAGCGTCGCGTCGCGGCACGCCTTGAGCTGCTTCACGGACGGGAACCGATCTTTGAGCTCGGTGACGTGCGTCGGCGGCGGCGGCGGCTCGGGGGGGTACAGGTCCGGCCGCCGGCTTCTGGGCGGCCGCTTCGACGCCCCTATGCCGCCTTCGGACAAGAACCCCGTCTGCATCGCGTCGCGGCGAGCGCGGGGGCGCTGTGACGCGCGAGCTTCGACGGCTCCGAGGAAACAAATCTGATGAAAGCAGAGAAAAAAAATCAGTCGCGCAAACACGTCGAAAAACACATCACCCCCGCGCGCGGCACCGCACCGCACCGCACGGTCCTCCTCGCCACGATGACCGCGCCGACGCTCGAGGCGATCCGCTACGCGCGCGGGTCGCTGCAGCTCCTGGATCAGCTCAAGCTCCCGACGTCCACGGTGTTCATCGACGTCCCCGACTGCGACGCGTGCTGGAGTGCGATCAAAGAGATGAACGTTCGCGGCGCGCCCGCCATCGCGATCGCCGCCGCGCTCGCGCTCGCGGTGGAGGCGCACAAGACGCGCGACGCGCTCGTCGCGAGCGGCGCCGCCGCGGTCGCAACGTTCGTCACACAGAAGATGGATCACCTGTGCACGTCGAGGCCGACCGCGGTGAACCTCGGCGAGGCTGTGATCCGCCTGAAGGCGCTCGCGGACGCCTCCGTCGCGGACGGCCTCGACGCGGCCGCGGTCGTGGACGCCGTCGTTCGCGCGTGCGAGAAGATGCTCGAGGACGACGTCGCCGCGAACATGGCGATCGGCGCGCACGGAGCGGACGCGCTGTGCGCCGCCGTCGCGTCAAAAGCCGCGGACCCCGCGCGCGCCAAGCCCGTCGGCGCCGCGTTGCGAGTTCTGACGCACTGCAACACCGGCTCGCTCGCCACCGCCGGGTACGGCACCGCGCTCGGCGTCGTCCGCGCGCTGCGCGGCCGTAACCTGCTCGAGCACGTGTACTGCAACGAGACGCGGCCGTACAACCAGGGCGCGAGGCTCACCGCGTACGAGATCGCGTTCGAGAAGATGCCCGGGACGCTAATCTGCGACTCGGCGGCGGCGGCGCTGATGGCCAAGGGTAAAGTCGACGCCGTCGTCGTGGGCGCGGACCGCGTCGCGGACAACGGCGACACCGCGAATAAGATCGGGACGTATAACCTCGCGGTGTCGTGCGCGTATCACGGCGTGCCGTTCTTCGTCGCCGCGCCGTCGACGACGCTGGACGCGAACACGGCGACGGGCGCGGACATCGTCATCGAAGACCGCCCGTCCACGGAGGTGACGCACTCGTTGGGCACGCGCGTCGCCGCGGAGGGGATCGACGTGTGGAACCCGAGCTTCGACGTGACCCCCGGGTCGCTCATCGAGGGGATCATCACCGAGAGCGGCGTCGCGAGGAAGAACGCGGACGGCGCGTTTGAGATTGGGAAGTTCATTCGAGACGTCATCGGCGCGGGCGGGGAACCCGCGGCGGCCGCGGGCCCGCCCGGGTTCGTCGCCCTGGACACGGCCACGGTCTTGGACTACTGCGCGGGGAAGGCGAGTATCGCGGACGCGCTCGGGGGCGCGAGCACGCGGAAGGAGTGGTCCGCGAAGGAGGTTGGCGACGGGAACATCAACTTCGTGTACATCGTCACGGGCTCGGGAGGGAACGCCGTCATCGTGAAGCAAGGGCTGCCGTACGTCCGTTGCGTCGGCGAGGCGTGGCCGTTAACGCAAGAACGCGTGCGTTACGAAGCCGAGGCGTTGCAGACCGCGCACGGGTACTGCCCCGCGCACGTCCCGGTCGTGTACGAGTACGACGCGCCGATGTCCGTCATCGCGATGCGGTACCTCGAGCCGCCGCACATCATCTTACGCGGCGGGATAATCTCCGGGACGATCTACGCGAACCTCGCGTCGCACGTCGGAGAGTATCTCGCGACGACGCTGTTCGGCAGCAGCGCGCTGAAGGTTGGATGCGAGGCGCAGAGGCGCGCGCGCGCGGCGTTCGGACAAAACGAGGCGATGTGCGCGTTGACGGAACAGGTCATCTTCACGGAGCCGTACGCGAAAGCGGAGAACAACCACTGGACGTCCCCGCAGCTCGACGACGCCGCGAAGGCGCTCAGGAGCGATAACGAGCTGAAGGTTGCGATATGTGCGCTGAAGAACAAGTTCGCGTCCGACGCCGCGGCGCTGCTTCACGGGGACTTGCACACGGGCAGCATCATGTGCACGATGGACACGACGTTCGTGATCGATCACGAGTTTGCGTTTTACGGCCCGATGGGGTTCGACGTCGGCGCGTTCGTCGCGAACTTGCTCCTCGCGTACTTCGCGCAGGACGGATACGACGGCGACCGCGCGAAGCAGCGCGAGTGGTTGCTGTCGTGCGTGAAGGAGACCTGGGGGGTGTTCGCGTCGCGGTTCAGGGAGTTGTGGAACGAAGAAGGGATCTCGTCCGATACCTCCGGGCTCGCGCCAGGGTCGTTGTTCTCCGCCGCCGCGGGCGCGGAGGGCGACGTCGACGCCGCGCTGAGGGCGCACCAAGATAAATTCATCGACGACGTGTGGAAGGACACGTTAGGGTTCGCGGGGGCGAAGATGACGCGGCGTATCGTCGGCATCGCGCACGTCGCGGATTTAGATTCGATCGGAGACGCGGACGCGCGCGCGAGGTGCGAGACGAACGCGTTGCGATGCGCGCGGCGGATGATCCTCGAGGCGGGGTCGCTCAGCGTGGACGACGTGTGCGCGATGGCGAAGGAGTTGAGGGGAGGCGCGTGAGCGAGTGAGGTGTGTGTGTGTTTGAGCGGTCTTCCGTTGACCGTGTCGACTCCGAAATAATAATCCAGCTTCTCGAGCGCTCTCACAGCATTGCTAACTAACCTGTACAGTAAAACTTCTGAAACCTGCTCGAGACGCGGTCGAGAAGAATTCCGCGGCCCCGACACTTCCATCTCGCGCGACCGCGGGCGTGCCGCGAAGAGGGTGAGGCGCGCTCGCGTCGTCCGCACGCCTCTTTCGGACGTATCGTTCGCGGCCGGCGCCGAGGGGACGACCCGGGCGCGCGCGAGAGGTCGCGTCTGACCCTCGGGGACGATGGCGAAGAAGAAGGCACCGAAAGACGGCGGCGGCGGCGGCGGCGGCGACGCGAAGGCCGCGAAGACGCCATCGAAGCGCGCCGGCAAGCCGAATGCGAAACCGAAAGAGGACACCGTCCTCACCGGAACCCCCGGCGAGGGCGGCGACGTCGTCGATTTCGGGTTCGAGCGCACGGAAGCGCTCACCGGGCGACGGCTGAAGGCGGAGAAGAGCTCCAAGGCGAAGAGCAAATCCGGCGGGTTCGAGGCGATGGATCTCCTCCCGGACGTGTTCCGCGCGATTAAACGGAAAGGCTACCGCATCCCCACCCCGATTCAGCGCAAGGCGATCCCGGTCGCGCTCAGCGGCGCGGACGTCGTCGCGATGGCGCGGACCGGCAGCGGGAAGACCGCGGCGTTCCTCATCCCTGTGCTGCACAAACTCCGCGCGCACTCTCTCAAGGCGGGCGCGCGCGCCATCGTGCTCTCCCCCACGCGCGAGCTCGCGCTGCAGACGTTCAAGTTCGCGCAGGAGCTCTCGAAGTTCACGGACCTGCGATGCGTGTGCATCGTCGGCGGCGACTCCATGGAGGCGCAGTTCGAAGACCTCGCGACGAACCCGGATCTCTACGTCGCCACCCCCGGCCGTCTGCTGCATCACGTGGAGGAGATCGACGGGCTCACGATTCGCTCGGTGCAGCACGTCGTCCTCGACGAGGCCGATCGCTTGCTCGAGATGGGGTTCAGCGATCAGCTCAGGGACATCATGCGGCAAGTCTCGGACGTGAGGCAGACGTTGCTGTTCAGCGCGACGATGCCGAGCCAACTCGCGGAGTTTGTCCGCGTCGGGTTGCGCGATCCGCAGGTGATTCGCTTGGACGCGGAGATGAAAATCTCGGACGACCTGAGGCTGTCGTTCGTCGTCACGCGAGCGGACGAGAAGATCCCGATGCTTCTGTACATCCTGAGAGAGGTCATTCCGGATAAGCAGCAGACCGTGGTGTTCACCGCGACGCGTCACCACGTCGAGCTGCTCATGGCGGTGTTGGAAGAGGAAGGCGTCAAGTGCAGCGCCGTGTACGGCTCCATGGACATGGCCGCGCGTAAAATCAACATCGGGAAGTTTCGCGCGCGGAAGAGCGAAGTCTTAGTCGTCACCGACGTCGCCGCGCGCGGTATCGACATCCCGCTGTTGGATAACGTCGTGAACTTTGATTTTCCGCCGCGGCCGAAACTCTTCGTGCATCGCGTCGGACGCGTCGCGCGCGCCGGGCGGTCGGGCGTCGCGCACTCCATCCTCACGAAAGAAGAGATGGGCTTCCTCGTCGACTTGCATCTGTTCTTAGGACGGTCGTTAGTCGCCGCGTCGACGACGCCGCCGGACAACCGCGAGGAAGCGCGCGCGCTGTGCGAAGACGCGGACAGAGAGCAGCGAAGCGTCGTCGGCGGTGCTCCTCCGACGTCCCTCGACCTCGTGCAAGATCGCGTGCGGGACATCTTCCAGTCGAAAGTCGAGATGGACGGCATGCGAAAGGCGTGCGATAACGCGTACAAGCTGTACCAGCGAACGCGAGGAAGCGCGGGGAACGAGTCCGTGGCGAGAGGCGCGGAGCTCTGCGAGTCCATGGGCCCCTCGCCGGTGTTGTGCGCGGCGTTGAAAGAAGGGCAGCACGCCGCCGCGGGGCTCGCGGAGATCACTCAGGCGATTCGTAAGTACCGACCCGCGGCGACGGTGTTCGAGGCTGAGATTGCGAACGCGGCGAAAGGGAATGGGCTGCTCGCCGCGGCGGCGAGGAACTGCAGCGCGATGCAAGCGAAACGCGCGGCGCACGATAAGCACATCGACAAGGCGAAGGAAACGGGGCACGGGCTCGTCGCGCGGCGGCGGAAATTGAACCGCCCGGACGCGGACGACGGCGGAAACGGCGGCGGCGAGGACGGCGACGAGGACGACGAAGAAGAGCACAGCGACGGCGCGGACGACGACGACGAGTTCGGCGCGGACGACGACGACGACGAAGAGGTGGAGGCGGTCGAGAAGGAGACCCACCGCGGCTGCGGCGGCGGCGGGAAAAACAAGAGGAGAAAAAAGTCCACGTCCGACGCGGAGGAACCCGCGGACGCGTTCAACGTCGGGAAGTTCCGCGACGACGAATTCTTCCTCGACGTCACCCCGCGAGGCGTGAACCACACCGAGCTCGGGTTGTCCACGATGGAAGACGCTCTTGGACGTCCGATGCAAGACCACATGTCGTTGGACGCGTCGTTGAAGCAGGCGACGATGGACATCGTCGAGGAGGACGGGAAAGGCATCCAACGTCAGAGGAAGGTTCGGATTTGGGACAAGAAGAAGCGGAACTACGTCCAAGTCAACGCGGACGAGGTCGACCGCGTTCGCGGCGGGAAGCGAATCAAGACCGAGTCCGGGGCGTACGCGAAGAAGGACGAGAAGGCGATCGGAGACATGTACAAGAACTGGACGCAGCGCACGCACAAGAGCGTCAACGCGACGGGCTCGCAAGAGGACCCGCTGTCGTCCGGCGGCGGCGGGAAAGGACGCGGGCTCGGGCGGTTCAAGTACCGGCACCACAAGTCCGCCGAGGACGCGCAGGGGGCCGGAGGACGAGGCGGCGGCGGTGGATGGGGCGGCGGCGGCGGCGACGACGACGGCGGCGAGCTCAAATCCCGCGACCAGATCAGGAAAGAACGCGTCGAGGCGAAGAAGAAGAAGGGCCGCGGCGGCGGAAGAGGCGGCGGCGGTCGAGGCGGCGACGACGGCGGCGGCGGGCGCGGCGGCGGGAGAGGTGGCGGGAGAGGCGGCGGGCGCGGCGGCGGGAGAGGCGGGCGCGGCGGCGGCGGTCGGGGTGGCGGCGGAAGAGGCGGCGGCGGCCGAGGCGGCGGAAGAGGCCGAGGCCGTCGATGATCGACCAGACGTCGCGTTGGGTTTGGAAAAGTTTCTCTCGGATCATCAGGGCTTCCCTCCTTCTACTTCACCCCTCAGCTCCTCCGCAGCCTCCGCGGTCTCCGCGTCCACGCCGCTCTCTCCCGCGGCGACCGCGTCCGCGCGCTCGTCTAAGATCCCTAACGCGTTCTCGTCTAACCGCCACAGCATCGCGCCGCCGCATTCCCACGCGACGGATCCGTACCTCGTCTCAATCTCCGGCACGATCCCTTTGCTCACGACGTAATTCACGCCCACTTGCGTCGGCGATTTCTGCACGCCGCCGCCCACCATCGAACCTAAGAACGCGAGGAGGCGGCACTGCGCCTGGTCGCACTCCGCGTGCGTCACGTTCGTGACCCTGGATCCCTCGCCCAGGGGATCGACCGCGAGCACGCCGACGCCGCGCGATTTGCACGCGTCGACGTCGCCGTTTTCCAACGCCGATCGGTCCGCGAGCGAGAACGCGACGCGATTGAACGCCACCTTGATCTCCGGGGTGTCCTTCAGCGCGTCCACGAGCTTACCGACCGCGTCCCCGTTGAACCCGTCCACGGCGATGACGTTCCCGCACGCGCCGAGCTCCCACGCGGCGACGATCCCCTCCGCGAGTCGCGCGACGTTTTCTCCATCCTCCCCCGGGTCGGCGCGGAGGCAAAACACGTCCGGCTCGCACCCGCCCGCGGCGATCGTGTGCGCTTGGAGGATGTCCTTCACCGTCCCGCCGCCGCCGCTCGCGTCGTCGACGTCGACGATCGCGTACGTCATCGGCGCTCGCACCCCGGGCAACTCCGCGGCCTCGGAGACGGACCAGTACCCTTCGTACTCTTTCGCGAGGCGCAGCTCCTCGGGGGACGCGGCGCCGATGAGCAGGTACCCGCGATCGATCGCGGCGACGTACGCGTTCGCGTCGTCGCTCCCGCCCGTCCATCCTTTCACGCTCAAGGCTACCGCGGAGACGTCCAGAGGGCCCATGGTCACGATGTCGTAGTCCGGGAGCTCCGGCGCGTCGTCGTCGTGCGGGTTCGCGCTCGCTTGCGTCGCGGATTTCGTCGCGACGCGCTGTTTCCCTCGCTCTTTCTTCGATCTCCCCATGGCGAGAAGCGCTCTCGACGGGGACGCGAACGCGCGGGAGGAGGTTACGCTGCGGATGCGGGCGGAGGTCGCGCTCGTCGTGAACGACGCGCGCGCTCCGAGCATCGCGCAACCGGGTGGCGCGACTCGAAATGAGTGTGAAATTGACCTAACCCTGAAGATATCATATGACTCGAGTTCTCCACGTCGATCGCGCTCACTCGTTAGCGCGCGATACGAGCGACGCGCGCGCTCGAGTGAACTCCGCACATCGCACCGAATCGCTCGGCGTCGTCGTCGTCCCACGACATCGACCCGCCGCCGTCATGTCCGCGGCGCGCGCGGTGTCGAGCGGCGTCCATCGCGCGGCGTCCGCGCGCGCGTCGAGATCGTCGTCGTCGTCGACGGCACCGTCGACGTCCTCTCGACCTCCCCACACGAACGACGCCGCCCCCGCGATCCCTCGCCGCGCCGCGCTCGTCGCGATGACCACCTCGCTCGCGATCCACGCGCGTCGCGCGACCGCGGAGAAGCTCTCCGACGCCGCGGAACTCGCGAGGCTGGCGTCCTCCGAACCCGACCCAGAGGTCGCGATAGACCTATGGGACGCCGTGATGGACCTCGCGGCGGCGTCCGGGGAGGCGTCCGCGCCCGCGGGCGGCGCGTGGGCGGCCGCTCGCGGCGACGTCCTCGCGTCGTTGCGACGCTGGCGCGACGCCGCGGACGCGTACGCGTCCGCGGCCGCCGCGCTGTCGAAAGGCAAAGGCGCGGACGGCCTCAAGACGGCGATGGCGTACGACGGCGAGTCGCTCGCGCTCGGCGCGCTCGGGGACTGGACCGGCGCGACGGACGCCAGCCGCCGCGCGCTCGCCGCCGCGGGGCTCGCCGGGGTCGCATCTTCATCCGCGGACGTCCCGACGACGGCGCCGTGCGCGGGGCTGCGAGGCGGCGCGCCCACGATCGCGCAGCGGCTGGACTTCAACGCCGCGATGGCGCGGTGGGGCGCCGGGGACGTCGCGGCGGCGGCGGCGGCGCTGCGGCGGCTCGACAAGGGCCCGGAGCCGGACGCGGGGTACCCGCAGTTTTGGGAAGCGCGCGCGGCGTTGACCGCGGCACTGTGGGCGTCGAACGCGAAACCGGCCGCGGAGGCGGAGTGGGTCAGCTTCTGTCGACCGGTGAAGGCGAACCCGCCGGCGACGCCGTCGAACGGCGTGCGGGCGGCGGTGAACAGAGCGGCGCAGATGCAATTCGACGGGTACGGCGCGTTGATGGATAAACGGTGCGAGGACTTCACGTCGGGGACGCCGCTGCCGTGCAACGACGCGGGGATTCCGGGGAGCGCGGGGTCGAGCGCGCCGTGCGCGATATTCACGCCGGAGGAGGCGCGGAGTCGGCTGTGGCCGCCGGAGGCGGTGGACGCGTTGGCTGAGTTTTTGAAGGAGGGACCCGAGTATGTCTTGCGGGCGTCGGAGATGGCGAGGTGAGGTGTTTCGTTGAGGTAGACTACAGTATCATACGTTATGATGACTACGCGCGATGCGAAGCTCGCTCGCGTTAGCGAGAGCGCGAGCGTCATTCCTTCCTGTCCGGGACCTCGAGCGCGTGCAGTTTATCGTCCCGGCATCCGATGTAAATCCGCTCGACGAATCTGTCGCCGCCGCGGAACGCGATCGGCGCGGGGGATGAAAACACCGCCGCCGGTAACGTCTCGATCGCTCGGAGCTTCGCGACGCCGCCCTCATCGAACGTCACGACGCCGACCTCGCCGGTGTCCCACGCGGCCACGATGTCCATGAGTAAATGATTCTCGTAGCCGGGCGCGAGAAACGCCGGCGCCGCGCGAATGCGGCCTTTGCGTTGCACGCGCCAGATTTCATCCGGGTCCTCGAAGGTGTGGTATCCCCCGTCCGAGTAGTCCTCGTACGGATTGTCCGCGTACCCGTAGTGGTCCTCTGAGCCCTCGCCGTCGTCGCATAAGTAACCGATCAGCGACCCGTGCGCGGTGGCGACGATGAGCATATTGCGAACGCTGAAACCGTTGCCAAACTCCTCCATCGAGGCGAGCGGGGCGTATATCGGCGCGCCCGTTTCGATCTTCCACGCGTGCGCGGCGTGTGGATCTTCTGGACGACCTCCGAAACCGTGTTCGGTCGGGAAACCCTCGATCACGCCGTCGACGTTCGCGACGGCGACGATGCCGGTGTGTTTCAGAAACACCGGGGACGAGAACACGGGCACAAAGTCCCCGCCATCCTCGAAGTCGGACCAGTGCGCGCCCACCGCCCAACGCACGGCGTCCTTCGGTTTCTTTTCCCAATACTCGGGGGCGGCGCACTTGAAGACGACGTCGAGGCTGACGGCGACGACCACGCCCGCCAACGTCGCGAATACGACGCAGTCGTTCGACGTGTTTCTCCAGCCTTCGCGGTCGACTTCGCCGTGCACGCACACGCACGGCGCGGCGACGCCGACGAAGTTCTTCACGTGAAACTCGCCCTCTCCGTCTGGGCCGAGGCCTTTGCCGAGCGCGCTCAGGCTCCATATCGCTCGACGTTTCGAGTGACTCAGCGCGAACGCGGCGCCGCCGTGAGACATGCCAAAGACGAGATAATCTCGCGTGAGATTCTCGTCGTTTGGGTCGTTCGAGCCGACGATCTGAATGTCTTCCGGTTTTCGTCGATACCCCGTGAGCTCGCCCTTGCACTCGCCGCCGGTGTCGTACGACCACAGAATTTCGCCGTCGGCGACGGCGATGAAGTACACGTGTCCATCCAGACACGGCACCGCGACGACGGTGTTCTTCGCATCCGCGACGCAAGCGCCGGCTTCCACGCGCCCCGGGAGGTTCGTCCGCCACAACACCTCGCCGTCGAACGCGCGCGCGCACACGACCTCCGCGCTGTGCGAGCCGATGACGACCCTCCACGTGCCGTCGCCGGATTCGCCCGCGACGCGAAACACGAGCGGGCGCGCGTCGACGCACCTGCCGAGCTTCGCGTCCCAGACGTGACGTAAAGGCTTCGCGTCTTCTATCGTGGTGTGCGCGGCACCGGGAGGCGGCGGCTCGTCGACCTCTTCCCACGAGGAATCGTCACTCCCGTCGTCGTCGTCTTCGTCGCTGTCGGAGGCCCAGGAAGGTTTCTCAGGTTTCTCCCTCATTCCAATGGCTAAATCGGCCTTCAAAAATGCTGCGATCGCATCGGCTCGACGTAAATCGTACACTTTCAAAGCGTCGATACGAAGCATGTGCGCCAAAGCCGCGGCGTCCGGGGAGGCGGCGCCGAATTCGAAAAAATCATCCAACATTCCGTATTTGTCGTCGCCCAGGATTTTACGCATCATCTCCAAGACCTCGTCCGCGGTGTTCACCTCACCGATCTTAAAATTCAGAGCGCGCGCGAGATCCGGAAACGGCAGCGCGGCGCGATCCACCTTCCCGGACGCGGTCATCGGCAGCGAATCGAGCGTCGTGATCGCGTTCATCGTCGGCGTCGCGATTCTCGGAACGCCGCGAGCGCGACACGCCTCGATGACGCGTCGCGACATCGCATCGCTATTTCCTCGCGTTCGTCCACGCACGACGATGTACAGCGCGACGAGTCCCCCGATGTCCCATCCCTCGTCCCAATCCCCTTCGTCGTTCCATTCCCCTTCGTCGATCGCGCGAAAAAACTTCGCGACAGCGCGCTCCACCCCGTCCACGCTGCTCGCCGCGGCCTCTACCTCTCTTAAACTCACGCGCTCGCCGAACACTTTCACGATGTCGTCGCTCCGGCCCTGAAGGGTGATACACGCGCCGCCGCGACCTGTAGAAGACTGCTTGAACATTCCGAGGTCGCCCGTGCGAAACGCGCGAATGCCTGCAGCGTTCTTATCGGGCAAGCCGTCCCCAAAAAGGGCTCCGAGCGTGGTGAATCTCTCGTCGTCTTCGTCGTCTTTGTCATCGCCATCCGCTGGAAGGTACCCAGCGGCGACGCAGTCGCCCGCGACGACGACCTCGCCGGTTTCGTTCATCTCTTTGACCACGAACCACCCGTTCGTTTCCTCGTCTTTCTTCATGAGTAAGACGATCGAGCATTCGCCCATTCGCATCGGGTACCCCACCGGCGCTTCCTCGGGGAGTTCCCCGCCGTTAAACGAGGTCATTTCCGCTTCGAAGTTGTCGTCGTCGCGCCCGAACTGCATGAATTTATCGAAACTGTGGACGTCACTACTTCTGGAGCAGTAGAACCCGCATCCGAGGGCGTCGCCGGATACCTCCGTGGAGCCGTACAGGTTGTACACGGTGGGCCCTTTTCCGTCTGCGACGTCGTACAATTCATTCTCCTCCCAAAAACTCCACCACTGTAATTTGGTGATCTGCAGCGGCTCGCCGCTCGACACGACCGTGCACAGCTGCAAATGATCAACAGGGTAATCGCCCATTTGTAAGACCATTTGCAGAATGCGGAGCAGCATAGTCCACATCGACGCTGTCACCGTCACGCGCGTGACTCGACCGTTTACCACCGCTTTCGCGAGTGTCGTCGCCTTGAACCTGGCGTCGCCGTCGCCGCCGCCGCGCGTGAAGAATCTAAAAGTCACGTCTCTCGTAGTCATGGTTTCCACGTCCTCGTCGCACAGGAACTTGCACATCGCCGCTTCATAGCTCGTGTACTCCCAGTTCACGACGACGGAGACCCGACCGCGCAGCAGCGGCGCGAATATCTCGTTCACGGAGTCCACGAACCCCACCGCGGTGCTCAGACACCCGCGTTCGCGCCCCTCGTCCGGCGCGCGCGGCAGCTCCCACGCGGCGCGCGCTAACACCCCGCGGTGCGTCCCGAGCACGCCCTTCGGCGTCCCGGTGGACCCGGACGTGTACATTACGTAGCACACGTCCGAGAGCACGACGTCATCGCCCTCCGCCGCGGACGCGAGCGTCGCCGCAGCGGCGCGCGCTTTCGCCTTCGTCACCGATTTCGGCGCCCGCGTGGTGAACGTCGCGACGTTCGCCGCCGGCATCGACGTCGGCGCGAAGACGTCGCACGCCTCGTCGCGCGGCGCGCGCAGGACGATCACGCCGTCCACGCGCGCGCTCTTGACGACGGCGCGAAGCCGCGGCGTCGACCACCCCGGGTCGAGCGGCACGAACGCGGCCTCGCAGGCGAGGATCGCGATCAGCGCGGCGACGTACTCCGCGGAGGGATCGGCGTAGACGCCGACGAGCGGAGGAAGCGCGCGGCCGTCGCGGTCGCGTCGCGCGGGCGTCCTCGCGCGCGCGCGCGCGAGGATCGGCTTCAGCGCGTCCACGATCGACGCCGCGTGCGACCATACCGCGCCGTGCGTCACGCGCTCGTCGTACGCGTCGTCGGCGTCCGTCGCGCATCGCAGGAACAGCGTCGATTCCGAGGATCTTTCGCCGCTCGAGAGGAGCGCGCGAATCGTCGCCCCGACGGTCGCCTTCGCGTCGAATCCGTCCGCGGCGGCGACGCGCGCGTCCGTGGTGGTCCTGGGCGACGTGGGGACGTCGTCGTCCCCGGCCGCGCGCTTACGTCGCTTCCGCGCCATGGCGACTGAAGAGAGAGGCGTGTCGTGATCTCCCCAGGCTTTCGTAAAGTCGACTGCGTGTGCCGACTGCCGATGACCGACCGACCACCGCTCGGTCAACAAAAATGATTCGTTGAAGCGACGCGGTCAAGCGACGCGGCTCATCTCGCGCGCGCGCGTCGATCGCCCCCCCCCCACCCCCCCGCCCGCGCGGCGAACGGTGCATCGCGAACGGCAATAGGCGAGGATGTCGGACGGCGAGTCGTCCGAGTACGAGGAAGTCGACGCCCTGGACGACAGCGACGACGACTTCGCGTACGAGAACCTGAACGTGGAGGAATTCGACGAGCTCGACGACGAACTTCTCGCGGACGATGACGACCTCGAGAGCGCGATGCGATCGCTCAGAGGGCTCACCGGTCTGGACGGGACGATGGTCGGCGGAAGAGACACTGCCTCGCCGGAGATGGCCGCGAGCGAGGTCACGAAGCGACCGGAGGTGCGCGCGCTCGGTCACGCGCGCGGTTGCCTTTTTTAGGGCGAATCGAGGCGATTCTTTGTTTTTTCCGTTGCCCGCCGGCGACGCCCTCGTCGATCCGCGCTCGCGTCGTCGTTCTGACGCCCCCGCGCTCCCATCCCATCCCGCGCTCGATCACAGGTGATGGACGACTTCGTGAGGAACTTCCTCGTCCGCGCCGGGATGACCTCGACGCTGGAAAAGTTTGAAACGGAGTGGTACGAGCTGGAGGCGACGGGGAAGCTGAACAAAGACGCCCTCGGTCCCGTGCCGGACTTGTACAACTCGAACCAGGACCTCAACGACCGCCTGGCGCGGATGCGGCACGACTTGGAGCAAGCGCGCGATGTCGCGGAGCGCGCGAGCGGGACGTGGGATAAGTTTCGCAAAGAGCGCGACTTTCATCGTTTACATCACAAGCGCATCGTCCAGGAGAAGAACAAACTTCTCGCGGACATCAAACGTCTTAGGAAGCACTACGCGCAGTACGAGCCCACGATCGTTGAACTGAAGCGAAAGTACGAGCTCGCGATGAAGAGCAAGATGCTGACGCAGCTCGAGAGCGACAAGATGTCGGCGAAAGTCAGAGAGTTTCAGAGCGCCGAGCAAAAGAAGGAGAGCGCCGCGGCGTCGAAAGAGAAGAAGCGTCTCGCCGAGGAAGCGCGCGCCGAGAAGGCCAAGAAGGACGCGATGCGATCCGCCACCGCGGTCGCGGAGGAGAAGGCTGCGCGGGCGTCCATGAGCATGACGATGACCGCGAAGAACGGCGACGCGGTGATGAAGACGACGTTGAGGGAGAACCCGTTCGCCAACGTCGAATTCGACCCGGTGTCCGTGGAGCACTTCGCGTTGGAGAAGACCTTCAAGGGCCACATGATGTCCGTCTCGAACCTCGCGCTGCACCCGAAGAAGTCCATCGTCGCGACCGCGTCGGACGACGCGACGTGGAAGATGTGGGACCTGCCGAGCGGGGATTTGATCATGAGCGGCGACGGCCACAAAGACTGGGTCTCCGGCGTCGGCTTTAACCCCGCGGGGACGCATTTGGTCTCGACGTCTGGAGACTGCACGGTGAAGATTTGGGACTTCAAACAGAAGCGATGCACGGTGACGTTCGCGGAGCACGGGCAGGCGGTGTGGAACGCGTGCTTCCACGACAGCGGCGACTTCGTCGCGTCGTGTTCGCTCGACCACAGCGCGCGCCTGTGGGACCTTCAATCGAACCGGTGCAGGATGGCGTTTCGCGGGCACGTGGACTCGGTGAACGAGGTGTGCTGGCAGCCCTTCACCAACTGCCTCGCGACCGGCTCTTCGGACAAGACCGTGAGCACTTGGGACGCGCGGAACGGCCGCTGCGCGCAGACCTTCTACGGCCATCTAAACTCGTGCAACCACCTGTCGTTCAACACGAAAGGGGACAAGCTCGCGTCGTGCGACGCGGACGGCGTCGTGAAGCTCTGGGACGTGCGCATGGTCGCCGAGCTGCTGACGGTGGACTGCGGGCCGCACCCCGCGAACAAGGTGGTCTTCGACCGCGCCGGGGAGACGGTCGCTGTCGCGAGCGACGACGGCACGGTGAAGTGTTTCGGCGCGGATCACGGCGAGATGGTGGCTGAGCTCGCGGGGCACGACGACGCGGTGCAAGCCGTCGCGTTCGATCCGCACGGGAAGTTTGTCGTGTCGTGCGGGAGCGACGCGACGTTCCGGTTGTGGAACTGAGCCGAGCCGCGCGTCGACGCTGCCATCAAAATTAGTCTACCACGTGATGAGTACACGTGAGCGACGCGCGGGCTGTGAATATCGAGCTCCACGAGCGTCGCCGAGAATATGTCTCCCGTAGTACACGTAGGTCGTCGCGCGAGCTACCGCGCGACGCGTTCACTTCGCGTCGTCCTTCTTCGCCTCGGCGGCGTCCCCGCCCTCCTCCTCCTTCGCGCTCTCCGGGCCTTCCTTCCCGTCCTTCTTCGGGTTCGCCGCCGCGGCAGCCGCGGCGTCTAGCTCCTTCTCCTTCTCTTTCATGATCTGCTTGTTGTTGATCAGATCGTGCAACGCGATCACCGATCGAATCAACGACGAGAGGTACGTCACGAGCATCATGTCGTTCGTCTTCACCGCGAACGCCTTGACGTACGACTCCATGTTCAGGTTCGGGAGGAGGTTGAAAGCGTCCTGCAGGTGCCCCAAAATTTCGTGGTTCACCGGCAGCGTCCCGTCCACGACGTGGTCCATGTACTTCTTAATCTCCCTCAGCCGCGTCTCTAACCCGTTCAGCGAGTGAATCTTTTCGCTGACTTGCGTCGCGAGCGTGCTCACCGTGTTATCCTTCACGTCCCTCAGCAAGTGCTCGACGCCGATCTCCTCCGCCTCGAACGCTTCTATCGACGACGGCAAGTGCGTGAACGTCTTCTCCTCCTTCTGCGTCCCGTCGTCCCGGATCTCTTGCTCCGCGGCGTACGCGGACGTCGGTATCCCGACCATGTCCGGCCGCACGTCGACGATCACAAACACCGGGTTCGGGTGGTAGTCCGAGATGAGCGCCTGGATGTCGAGGTCGTTCGTTCGGATCTTCGGGCCGGTGCTGTACCACCCGACGATCTTTTCTTTGGCTGTTAACAACAGAGGATGGGCACGACAGAGCAGAGGGTGGGCGGTGAGGGATGGTCAGCGCGGTGCGCGGGCGGGCGGGCGGGCGGGGGGATCGCGTCGCGTCGCCGCGCCGATCGCTCGTCGGCGTCGACGGTTTTGAAAAGGAAAAGGACGGCTCGCCAGATCTGAGGATCGACGCTGAGGGGGGGCGCGGACCGTTGATCCTGCGGAACATCCCGCACATCTTCTCCAGGTACGAGTGATCGAGGAACCAGATGCTCGGGTCGTTCTCGTCCTCCTCGAACGGCACTGCGCGCGTGTGCGGCGAGGGGGTTGGGAAGCGGCGCGCGTCAGTTGCAGGACGCGATGAGAGCGACGGGGTTCGAGAGCCAAGATCTGAGACGACGAGCGACGACGACGGGCCACGGCGGGGATCGAGCCGGGGCAATCGAGCGCGGAACGCACCCGCGAACGAGCTCGTCACGTCCAACCGCCCCTTCCTCGCCTCGCCCAGCAAAACCCCGATGACCCGCTTGCTCTCGGTGTCATCCTCCTCGACGCGTCGGAAGTGGTCCACGACGGAGAGGAGCACCAGAGGGTGGACGACGACTTCTTCGTACAGCCCCTTCTTCACGACCTGGCCGTCCATGATCGCCGTCCTTCGCGCGATCCTAGGTCCTAACTTCGATGTCCTCGGCCGCGATCGCGCCGTTACGCGCTCGCGTCGCGTGTTGTGGCCGCGCGGGCTCTCCGTCTCCTCGTCCTTTTAGGGAAAAATGGCATCGATCGCGCGGCGAACGGGCGGAAAGACAGGTCGGAAAGACCGACCGCTGCGGCGGGCGTGACGACAGCGACACTACGATCCGGCGGGCGATCTCGCGCAGACGCGGGCGCACGGCGCCACGCACGGGGAGACACACGAAGCGCACGGGCACGCACGCACTTCCGAAGACGAGGTCGCAGTCCTCCACACGCCCGCCGCGCTTTCACGCGCTTGAGGACCGCGCGCGCGCGCGCCGAGGGAGGTCCGTCCCGGGAGAGGTGCCGATTCCGCCGCCGCCGAATCGTCCGATCGATCCTCCTTCGCGATGGGAGTCCCCGCCTTCTACCGATGGCTCAGCGAGAAATACCCGCTCATCATCAAGGACGTGATCGAGGACGAGCCATGGGACATGGACGGAAACACGTGCCCCGTGGACTGCAGCGCGCCGAATCCGAACGGGCAGGAGTTCGACAACCTGTACCTCGACATGAACGGGATCATCCACCCGTGCTTCCACCCGGAGGACCGCCCGGCGCCGACGACGGAGGAGGAGGTTTTCGAGTGCATCTTCGACTACATCGACCGCCTGTTCGCGATGATTCGACCGAGGAAGCTGCTGTACATGGCGATCGACGGCGTCGCGCCGAGGGCGAAGATGAACCAGCAGCGCAGCCGTCGATTCCGCGCCGCGCAAGAGGCGCAGGAGAAAGAAGAGGAGGAGGAGAAACTTCGCGAGACCCTACGAGCGGAAGGGGTCAAAGTCCCGGATAAGGTGAAGAGCGAGGCGTTCGACTCGAACGTCATCACCCCCGGGACGCCGTTCATGGGGAGACTTTCCGCGGCGTTGCAGTATTACGTCCATCAACGCTTGAACACGGATCCGGGATGGAGGGGCGTCAAGGTCATCATGTCCGACGCGTCCGTCCCGGGCGAGGGCGAGCACAAGGCGATGCACTACATCAGACAACAGCGAGGCTTGAACGGGTTCGATCCGAACACGCGGCACGTCGTGTACGGCCTAGACGCGGATCTCATCATGCTCGCGCTCGCGACGCACGAGCCGAATTTTCACATCTTACGCGAAGTCGTGTTCCAGAAGAACGCGCCGCCGCCGGACGTCCCGTCGACCCGGGATCAGATCATGGGCGAAGTTCCAAAGTCGAAAGTCTCGATCGCGAGGAAGCCGTACCAGCTCCTGTCCGTCGCGGTCTTGAGGGAATACCTCGCGCTCGACTTGAGGCCTATCTCGTCGCACGGCGGCGCCGTGGAGCTGCCGTTCAAGTTTGACGTCGAACGCCTGTTCGACGACTTCATCTTCATGTGCTTCTTTGTCGGGAACGATTTCTTGCCGCACTCGCCGACGCTGGAGATCCGCGAAGGCGCGATTGACCTCATCATGACGATATACCGGCAGAATCTCGCGCACTTGGGCGGGTACCTGTGCTGCGACGGCAAGCCCGACTTGGGAAGAGTCGAGAAGTTTGTCGCAGCGGTCGGCGTGCACGAGGAAGCGATCTTCCAAAAGCGCGCGAGAACGGAGGCGAGACAGAAATCCCGACGCGAGCGCGATAAGAACATGGGGAAGCAGTTCTGCCGCGAGTTCCAGCGCGGGCACTGCTCGCGAGGGGAGTCGTGTAAGTTTATGCACGCGGCGATTGAAAAGAAACGGCTAGGCGGGTCGATCAACGCGTCCGATCGCGCGCCGCAGGCCGCGCCGGATCAGCTCCCAGGGGGCATGCGCGCGCTCGGGAGGAACGCGCCGCCACCGCCGCCGCCGCCGCCGAGTTCGAAAGGCCCCGCGGTGCTCGCGGCGACGGGGGAGGCGAACAAGAGCGCCGCGGATTCTTTACGCGCGGCGCTGCTCGGGAAGGGAAAAAGAACCGCCCCGGAGGCGGACGCCGCGAAGGATGAAGGCGGCGACGCGGAGAAGCGCGCGAAAGGCGATGGGTCGAACGACGTCGGCGACGCGAAGCCGACCGGCGACGCCGCGACCGCGTTTTGGAACGAGCTCGCGGCGGTGCCGACCGCGGACGACGTCGCCGAGGATGGGAAAAAGGCGGAGGCGTTTTTGTCCGAGATGGCCGCGGACGAGTTCAAGAAGAAGCTCGAGAGCACGTTGAAGGATAAGAACGACCGGATCGACGAGATGGACAACGACCCGGTGAAGCTCGGGCAGGACGGGTGGAAAGGGCGGTACTACGCGTCGAAGATGCACGCGACGCCGGAGACGAACGATAAGATCGTTCGAGGGATGGTTGAAGAGTACGTCCGCGGTCTGATCTGGGTGTGTCGGTACTACTACGAAGGCTGCGTGTCCTGGAACTGGTACTACCCGTACCACTACGCGCCGTTCGCGACAGACCTCGTGAACCTCGCGGACATCAACCAAGACTTCGAAGAGGGCGAGCCGTTCCGACCGTTCGAGCAGCTCATGGGGGTGTTACCCGCGGCGTCCTCGCACGCGCTCCCGCCGGCGTTTCACCCGCTGATGAAAGACCCGGACTCCCCGATCGTGGATTTCTACCCGGAGAAGTTCGAACTGGACATGAACGGGAAGCGATTCACGTGGCAAGCCGTCGCGCTCTTGCCGTGGATCGACGAGAAAAGGTTGCTCGCGCAGACGCGGTGCCTCGACGCGACGCTAACGGGCGAAGAGAAGAGACGGAACACGATCAACATCGAGACGTTGCTGTGCCACGTCTCGCACCCGCTGTCGAGAGAGATTTACGAGCTCGAGGACTCCGCGGGGGACGCGAGAGGGGCGTCGCGGTGTAAGAAAACGAAGCAGATGACCCCCGCGGCGTCCGGTTCCATGAACGGCACGATGGTGCTCGTCCCGGGGGAGACGTGCCCGGCGCGAATGAAATCGCCGATGAAATCTAAGCCGGACGTCGAGAACAACCAAGTCCTCGCCGTCGGGTACAAGATCCCGAAACCCCTCGAGCGGTTCGTACCCCCCGTGCTCATGCCCGGCGCGAAGGTCCCGGATCCTATCGTCAGCGAGCGCGACGCGCCGCCGCTGCCGAAGCTGTGGCACGAGGACCAGCCGCGGATGGGCGGCGCGGTGGAATACCCGCACCCGTCGCGCGGCGTCTCTCAGGGCGCGCCGGGGTCGATGTACGGCGGGAACCGCGGCGGTCCCGGGCCTGGGTTGTCGCAGGGCGCGCACAGGCTGTTACAGGCGAGCGTGCACGCGGGCGTCGGCGGCGGCGGCGCGAGCGGCGTGATGCAGTACGGTCACCACCCCGGACCCGGACCCGGAGGGATGCCGCTGGGGGGACACCGCGGGCCTTACGGCGGCGGGCCGCCCCTGGCGCAGCAGGGGTACCCCGGGCCGCCGCCGCCGGGACCGCCGATGATGTACGGGCATCAGGGGCAGCAGTACCCTGGGCCGCCGCAGATGGGAGGGTTCCCGGGTCCGCCGCCGCGCGGGCAGCAGTATCCGGGGTATCCGGGGCCGCCGGGGCCGCCTCGCGGCGGCGGGAACAGTTTCGCGGCGCTGGGGAACCTGCCTCCGCGCGGGGGGAACAACGATCCGCGGTATACCCGGCGGTGAGTGGTCGCGCTGTCTCGTGATGCGATAGACGCGAACGTGTTCGCGCGCGTGTTGTAAAAGAGCTACTTGCTATGCCTTGCTATGTCTCGAGACGCGGTCCTTCCTCCCTCGCTCGCGATGGCTCCCGTTCCCCACCCCCCCACATCTTCGCCTACTTCGCGAGGTTCGGCCGGTTCCGACTCGCGGTGACGAGCTCCGCGAGGAGCTTGATCCGCTCCGCGCGGCACACGGCGACGATGTCTATCAAGTCGATCAGCCGCTGGTTCACTTTCCGTCGCACGCTCTCCGCGGCGACGCCCGTGTTGCTCTCCCTCTCCGACGGCCCTCCGCGCTCTTGCGCGTGAAGGATGCTGTCGATCATGTCTCGCGTGTCCGTGTTGTACACCGGCGCGCCCACGGTCAGCGCCGGGAGTAAATGCTCCGCGCCGACCTGCGAAACTTGCTCGGTGAGGACGCCGAGGAGGTGGAAGTCCTCCGCGGCCTGCGCCTCGGACGCGGTGACGACCTCCTTCACGAATTCTTTGCACTCCGCGAGCGTCGCGCACTCGCCTCGCGCGTGCAACGACTTGAGATGGTCCTTGATCTTCACGAGGTTCTCGCTGTGTTGCGACGTGGACGTCATCGCGAGCGCCGCGGTACCTCGCGCGACGGCGTTTGATGCCGCGATCGTGCGACTCGCGCGACGACGACTGACGGCGCGGGCGCGAAGTCGGGCGGGCTCTCTGTTCTCGTGAGTCAGGTATCAGGTGCTCTGTTTCAAGTTGGAGCAGATCGCGGCGCCGGGCGGCGCACACGCTCGGGGCGCAGCGGCACGAAGCAGGATCCGACGATGGCGGCCGCCGTCGCGTCCGCGCCGAAACTGAGCGTTGAGTACGACGCCGAGCCCCCTCGCGATGACGTCGCGTTCTATGGGTCCCTGGACGCGCGCGCGGCGTTGCCTTACCTCGCGGTGAGCGGGAACACAGGTCGCGGGATGTGGATCGGGTCCCCGCCGGAGCCCCCCGAGGACGACGGGGAGACCACGGACGAGGACTCCGACGAGGACTCCGACGACGGCGCGGACGTGGATTTACAGGTGCGCGCGACGCCCTGACACGTCGTCGTCGCGCCGCGCGCCGCCGCGCGGTTGATCGGATCTCGTCCCGCCTCTTCGTCTCCGGTCGCTCAGATCGATCTTTACCCACCCCTCCCCATCACTCGCCGACGCCCACCCCCGCCCCATGCCCACCCCCCTCGACGTCGTCGCAGGACTGGCAGGTCGCGAAGCAGCGCGAGGAGAGGAAGGACATCGCGCTCGAGATGGCGAGGCTGTGGAAGGAAAACCCCAAGCAGTGGCTCATAAAGTCGAAAGTCGCGTGGGCGATCCGGCACGAGTCCAAGCGAAAGCGGACGCGGCACGACATCCCGACGATCAACGCGGACAGAATTCCAGCGGGCGAGTTCGTCAAGGGCGAGGGACGGACGACGAAGAACTCCGAGCGCGCGGGAACGGTCGGCGCGCCGAAACGCCCGGCGCGAAGCGGCGTGCCCGGACGGTCCACGGTGTCTCTCAAGATGCTTGTCGACGACGGTAAGTGCAACCCAGGGCACGACGCGCTGTGGATCACGTACCAGAACCAGACGTGGAGCGGCGAGCTCAGCGCGGACGGGATCATAACGTTCCAAGGGAAGACGTTTAACTCGCCATCCGCATGGGCGATCTACGTGAAGAGGCTCGCGAACCCTGGGAAAAAAGCGGACGACGGCTGGAAGTCGGTTCGCTACGGGCACGAGGAAGGGCCGATGCTGGACGACCTGAAGCACGAGTACCTCCGCGGCGAGTCCGGGGCTGGGCTCAAGGGCTCCTCGGGCGGCGGCGGCGGCGGCGGCGCGGGGATGGCGACGAAGCCTCAGCAAAGGGGGGCGACGGCGACGCCGGAGACCACGGAAGCGACGGCGACGCCTGAGGCCACGGAAGCGACGGCGACGCCGGAGGCGACGGCGACGGACGACGGCGGCGGCGCGGTGAGCGGCGGAGGGACGAAGCGCGCGGCGGAGGACGAGGCGGAGGGCGGAGTGGCGGCGAAAGCGCCGAGGACGGACAGCTAGAGAACGACCACGTTTAAACGAGTTGATTTTTTCGCGCGCGTTCTCAGCTGTTACCTTCGTATTAGTCACTTCACTTCCGCGCGACCGCAGCGCCCGCGCGGCGTCCGTCATGAGCGCGGCCGCGGCCGAGACGTCCACGCCACCGACGGAGATTAAGCGTGGACTCGGACTCGGCGCCGCGCGCACGCCTCTGTGGGACGATCCGTGCGCGACCCCTCGCCTCGACGCGCAGCGCCGACGCCTCTTGGCGGACCTTCGCGCGAGCTTCCCGCTCCAAGCGGACGCGGACGCGTGCAGTGTCGTCCTCCTGTGTGACGATATGCGCGTCGACGACAAGGACTGGGCCGCGCTCGTCGTGGCGGAGAAGGACGACCGCGCGTTCTACGTGAAGCCCCTGGACATGTCCGTCGCGCTCCCTCGGACGCCGCCGAGGGCCTCTGCAAGCTGTAAAGGCGCTGAGACGGCGTCGGAGCCGCGCCCGCTCGTGACGCTCTCCGTGTCCGACTACCCGGTCTGCGCCGTCGAGGGGTGCTGCATCATGGATCGCATGCGATTCAGCTCCGCGATACGCCAAGCGACGGTGGAAGAGCGGCCCGGCGCGAGCGCCTACCCCACGGCGCTGAGACGCGTGTATCACTTCACGCGAGAAGAAACCGCCGCCGCCGCCGCCGCCGCCGCTGTGGACGAGAAGGACGAGACCGAAGACGAGGACGACGACGGCGTCGTCGTCGAGGAGGGCACGTTCGCGCATCACAACCACCGGGGTTTGCATCGCGCGCCCGCGCCGTCGCCGCTTCGACCGAGACGACTCGACGTCGCGGACGCGCCCGCGGCGGCGGCGGCGGCGGCGGCGGCGGCGGCGAACGCAAAGTCGGGAAAGGAGAACGTCGCCGCCGCCGCGTTGGGCGACATCCCCGAGGAGACCGGCGAGCGGGACGGTCACGAGGACGACGACGCGGCGGCGGAAAGCGGTGCGGACGCGTCGACGCCGTCGTCCGCGCCGTCGAACTGGGCGCACTCGATGTTCGGATCCGACGCCGGCGCGTCGAGCGGCGGCGGCGGCGGCGGCGGCGGCGGCGGCGGGTGCCGACGCGCGAGTCCGGTGGAGACGCTGAGACGAGCGCTCAGAGGCGCCCCGGAAGGCGCGGTGCTCCTGTCTCTGCCCATCGCGGACGTAGAGATGGTTCTGAACGAGGTCGAAGAGCTGCGACGACGGGTAGCGTGAACGATGTTCCGAGCTCGAAGAGCTGCGCGCGAACGCATAACGACGACGACGTCTCATCATTCAAACCACGGATAAGTCTAAACAAAAGTTGCGGAGTTCCGACAGATCCGACGAGAGTAGCGGGCACCTTTCGCAAGGGACACAACCGCCCGCGCTGCCCCTCCCGCGGGCGGCATGGCCGACCCGTCGTGCGATGGCGCCGACGTCGACCAATCCGCGCGCGATACGAAGATCACCGACCTCGACGTCACGACGCTCTCGAACGTGCTGTCGCATCTCTCCACGGAAGACGTGCTCTCCCTCTCGAGCGCGAGCAAGCACCTCCGCGAGTGCGTGGACGAGAGCGTGTTCAAGCGCCTGCTGCTCAAGCTGTGGGACGAGCCGGTGTGGGAGGTGACGTCGTACAGAGAGCTCTTCCTCGCGCGGCATCGCGCGCTGGAGTTCATCGCGCGCGTGGGCGCCCACGACGGCCCGGAGGACTGGGGAAGCGACGACGCTTCCAGATCGTTCGCGAACGCGAAGATCGCGTGCGACGAGCTCGCGTCCGCGGTGAACGCGTCGTGGCGCGTCCCGAAAGACGGCGCCACGGACAGCACGATGGGTCGCGAGGACATCGAGCGCGCGCTCGTGACCACGCTCGTCGCCGTCGACCGCGGTAGCGACGCGAGCCGCCGCGAGGACGCCGCGCGGAGGGCGGCGACGGCGCTCTCCGTCTGCGCGTGTCTCGGCGCTGTGGCGACGCGGTGCCCGTCCGCGCGCGCGCGGTACCTCGACTGCGCGAGGGAGGCGCAGCACGCGAAGGCGTTGGATCGGTTCTTGCGCGCGCCCGGAGGAAGTCCGACGAGCGGGGTGTTCGCGGAAGGATTCCGCGCGGCGGGCGGGGCGCCGCCCGCCCGCGCGTCGGCGGCGGCGCCGCCGTCGCTCGACGCGCTCGCGGCGTCCCTCGGCGGCGCGCCCGCGCGGGACCCGCACCCGTTCCCCCCGAACGACGGGTTCAAGCCCTCGATCGACGCCGCGACGGCGCTGTTCTACGTCCCTATCGTGTTGTACGGCCGACTCGGGCGGGTCGACGCGCGCGGCGCGCGCGCGCGGTCGCACCCGTTTCTGGATGCGGATCTCCTCGACGACGCGTCGGTCCCTTCCCCGCCGTCGCTCCCCGGGCGCGGCCCGTACCCGCGCGGCGGCCGCCCACCGCACGGGCAACGCCTGCGGATGGAGAGCCAAGCCAAGGCGCCGGCAGTCGGCGCGATGGCGGGCGCGTGGGCGGGATGCCGCGTGCGCGTCTCGCCAAGCCTCGACGCCGCGGGCGCGGGCGCGGGCGCGGGCGCGAAGCAAAACGCGCTCACCGTCGAGTCCGTCTTTCGAGCGACGATGAGCGTCACCCCGGACGGGCGCATCTCGGGCTGGATCGCGGACACGGTCGGGAACCTCACGATGCGCGGGCGCGTGGACGCGGCGGAGAACGCGGAGGGAGGGCGCGCGGTGGTCATCGACGCCGCGTACGACGATTGCGGCGGCGTGCCCGGCGCGATGTTTCGCGCGGCGTCGCACGGCGTCGCGAGGACGCGCTTGGCGGGGTGGGTCACCGGCACCGCGGTGGGGGGGGAGTGGTGGCAGTGGAGCGCGGGGGTCGTGAGCAAAGGGATGTTTCTCATGTGGCCGAACGACGCGCCGGGGGTGTCGAGCCGGCGCGTGAGCATGGATAGATAGTCTAGTCTCTAGCAGATGACGCGCACTGTGACATCTCCGGGCCTGTCCTTCGCTGGCGCAATTCTCTTTTTGTTTCTTCGAGCGCTCGATTCGTCGACCCTCCGCCAGTGTCCGCGCGCGCGGAGTCGGTCGGCGCGAGTCCGCGACTTCGCGCGTTCGTCGTGGAACGGCGCTTTCGTCGCGCGTCGCCGGCGGCGCGCGAGAGGGCCGGCTCCGGAGCCTTGGCGCGGTCAGGGACGCGCGGAACGGAGCGCGGTTCGCGAGAGGCCGCGCGTCCGACCGTCTTGGGGTTGGGACCGGCGCGACCGTTCCGCGGCCATGGGGGCGTGCTGCAGCGTCCCGGTGACCGGGGATGGGACCACGGAGACGGACAATCGCGTGGTACGCGCGCTCGCGTGATTCGCACCCCGCCGCTCGTCTCGCTCGAGGCCGCGACGGCGCCGTCCTCGCCGCCGCGTTCGCGTTCCTCCCTCGCGCACAGCTGTGCGATTTTCCTTCTCACGATTCCGATTTGGTCCTCCGACACGCCCGCTGACCGTCCCCTCCTCGCTCGCTCGCGCAGAGACGGGAGCGGACGGAGAACTCGCTGTTCTGGAACGACGACAGGCTGATCGTCTACGGTGCGTCCGCGCGCGAATCACCCGCCCCCTCGCGCGCGCGCACGATTCGACCCCTCGAGCGCGAGAACAGAAAAACACCGATCGATCGAGCGCCACGATACGACGCGCGAGCTCCCGCGGCGCGCGCTGACGTCCTCGCTTCCCGCCCACAGGCATCCTCGCTCGCGCGGACGCGAAGAACAGGAACGGCCGCGTCTACCCGAGGTCCCTCCTCAAGCGCGAGACCGTGGCGTTCGAGAACGCGCACTTGCGGCACGACCGCGCGCTCGGCGAGCTCGACCACCCGCCGCCGACGTCGCCCACGTTTCGCTCGCTGAATCGCGAAAACATCTCGCACCAAGTCTTGGACTACCACTGGGAGGGCGAAGACCTCATGGGGCACGTCGAGGTGTTGCCCACGAAATCCGGGAACATGCTGCGGTCGCTGTACTTGGCCGGGCACCAGCTCGGGATGAGCTCGCGCGGGTGGGCGACGCTGAAAGAGCGCGAGGGGTTCACGTACCTGGACAGCGACTTCGAGCTCATCACGTTCGACTTCGTGTCCGACCCGTCCACGGAGGGCGCGTTCTTGCGCCCGCTGCAGCGCCGGTACGAGAAACTCAAGCCGCAGATCGACATCGACGAGAAGTTCGAGTCGTTCATACGGTTCTGCGCGGACGTGAACGAGCACGGCGCCGCGCCCGCGCGGGTGAAAGGCGACGAGGCGCACTTGCCGCGGGGGAGGAACGCGCCGGCGATGAGCGCGTCGTCGTCGTCGTCGGCGGCGGCGATGCGCGCGGGATCGGTCCCGAAAGAGCTGCCGCCCGTGCCCGGCGCGGTCGCGATCGCGTGCGAGGAGACGGGCGGCGAGGTTTTGATGACCGGGAGAGAGTTCATGGACGAGACCGCGTGGGACGAGGAGAGTTACTACGAGAGCGAGGAGGAGGAGTGGATGCCGAGCCCGACGCCGCAGGAGCTCAGGGCGAAGGAGGCGGCGGCGGCGGCGAGAGGGGGGTGGTGGGGGAGGAAGAAAAAGAACAAGGTGGTTCCGTTGAAGCCGACCTTATCCTTGCGGGATAGCTTCGATCGGCTGCCGAAGCACCGTTAGCAGAGAAACGAGCGCGACATGATAGCACGCGCGTAGCACGCGACGACGACGACGTTTATTAACGCGAAAACCGTTCGCATCTCGGCGTCACAATTTCGCGAAGATCGGCTTCCGTCTCTGGAACTTCGCGCTCATCGCCTCCGTGAGATCCTCCGACGTCAACCGCGCGGAGTTCATCACCGCGACGTGCTCTAACCCCTCGTTCACGCTGTGATCCCGCGCGTGTAACATCGCCGCTTTCGTGCCCTGCACCGCGAGCGGCGACTTGGCGGCGACGGCGATCGCCGCCGCCGACGCGCCCCGCGACAACTCCCCCGCGTCCGCGAACGCGCGCGTCACTAACCCCACCCTCTCCGCCTCCTCGCCCGATATCTCCCGCGCGGTCAGCGCGAGCTCGGTCGCGACGCCGTGGCCAACGATCGTCGGGAGGCGCTGTAACGTTCCGATATCAGCCGTTATCGCGAGGTCGACTTCCTTCACGCAGAACCGCGCGTCTCGCGTCGAGAACCGGACGTCGCACGCGGTGACCAAGTCGACGCCGCCGCCGAAGCACGCGCCTTGGATCGCGCATATCACGGGGACGCGGCACCGCTCTACGGACGTGAAGGAGTCCTGCAGCCTTCGTATGTGCCTGCGATGGAAAGTGGTCGTCGGGGACTGGTGAGAATCCGCAAGCGCGTCGGTCGTCGTCTGATGAGAGTCCCCGTGCGACTACCCTGTAGCTACTAGGGTTGATCGATCGTTTTCGGAGCTCCGAGATCCGCGTCGCGCGCACCGGTACAGCGCCTCGGCTTTCCTCCCCGCGCACGCCCCTTTCATCGCGTTCGACTGCCCCAGCTGCGAGGACAGCGACTCCGGCGTCGACACGTCGATCCCCGCGCAGAAGTTCTTCCCTTCGCCCGTCAGCAGCACGCAACGGACGTGCTCGTTCTCGTCCAGCCATCGCATCGCCTCCGGGACCTCCCTCCACATGTCGCCGTCGATCGCGTTCGACTTGGACGGGCGGTTCAGCGCGAGCGTCCCGACGTGCGTGGCGGCGTTCACGCCGACGATGAGCGTCTTGAACGCCGGCGGTGCGGTCATGACGCGCGGCGTGCGAGCCCTCGGAGGGATACGCGCGCGCGAAGAGTGCGGGGGGAATTCCTCGGCAGCGCAGCGTGCCGACTGGACATCAGCGGTCAGATCGACGCTCGCGAGCGGCGGACGGCGACGCAGCGGTGACACGTCGACGAGTCCCCCGACGCTCGCGCGCGCGCTCGACACACGCAACGCGCGCGCCCTCCGTGACGCACGCGCCCGCTCCTCGTTCGCCTCGAGCTCGGCCTCTCTCGACGACGCGCGCGCCGCGCTCGCACGCGCCTGCCGCCGCGCTCCCGCCGCGTCGTGGACGCTCCCTCCCCGCGCCCGTCCATCCCGTCCAGCTGGCGACGGTTCCCGCGCGGACTCGACGACGGGACGAGCGCGGAAGGGAGATAAAACAAGATGCGCGCGTCGTCGCTCGCCCTCGGGGCGTCGTCGCACGTCGCCCCCGGCGCGCGCGCGCTGCACCGTGAGCCGCCCGCGCCGCGCCGCGCGCGACACGCCGCGCGCCGCCGCGGCGTCGGCGTCGCGCCCCCGCGCGCGATGTTCGACCGCTTCGACGGCGACGCGGTGAACGCGGTGAAGGACGGCATGGACGAGGCGAAGAAACTGCGGCAGAGCGTCATCAGCACGGAGCACCTCCTCCTCGCGATCGCGCGGCAGCGCAACGACACGTCGTCCGCGATGCACCGCGCCGGGGCGACCGAGGACGCGATTCGCAAGGCGTGCGCGAAGCGGGCGGGGATATCCGAGCTCGAGCTCATGAACCCGTTCAAGCAGACGGGAAAGACCGCGGACGGGCTGCTCCCGCTCTCGGACGACGTCAAGCGGCTGTTCGAGCGCGTCGCGACCGAGGCGGAGGCGAAGACGGGGGACGCGCAGGTGACGACGAAAGAGCTCGCGCTCGCGATGATCAGCGACGTCACGTGCGGCGCGAGGACGGTGTTAGAGGATGACCTCGACTGCGATCTCGGCGCGCTGAAGAACGAGATCGACGGCGCGAAGAAGGAGCTCGTCGGCGCGGGGAAGAAGCTCGGGAAGAAGAAGAAGGGCTCCGCGCTCGCGGAGTGCGGCGTCGACCTCACCGCGGACGCGCGCGCGGGGAAGCTCGACCCGGTCGTGGGAAGGGACGAAGAGGTGGACCGCATCTTGCGGATTTTAGTGCGACGAAGGAAGAGCAACCCGTGCCTCGTCGGGGACCCGGGCGTGGGGAAGACGGCCATCGCGGAGGGGCTCGCGCGTCTGATCGTCGCCGGGGACGTCCCCGAGCGCCTGAAAAACAAGCGCGTGATCTCGCTGCAGCTCGGTCTACTCCTCGCGAACACAAAGTACCGCGGCGAGTTCGAGGAGCGCCTGAAGAACGTCATCGAGGAGGTGAAGGCGGCGGCGGATATCATCCTGTTCGTCGACGAGCTGCACATGCTCGTGGGCGCGGGCGGTACCGGGGAGGACGGCGGCATGGACGCGGGGAACCTGATGAAGCCCGCGCTCGCGCGCGGGGAGCTGCAGTGCATCGGCGCGACGACGATAGAGGAGTACAGGAAGCACATCGAGAAGGACGCGGCGCTGGAGCGACGGTTTCAGCCGGTGAGGATCGGCGAGCCGTCGCCCGCGGCTTCGCTCGAGATTCTCAACGGCCTGAAGGAGACGTACGAGGCGCACCACGGCGTGACGTACGACGACGACGCGCTCCCGGCGGCGGTGCGTCTCTCCACGAGGTACATCACCGACCGCTTCTTGCCGGACAAGGCGATCGACGTCATTGACGAAGCTGGCGCGATGGTTCAACTCAGAGCGTCCGCGTCCGCGGCGGGCGGCGGGGTGGCTGACGTCGTCGTCGACGCGTCCCACGTCGCCGACGTCGTCGCTCAGTGGACGGGCGTCCCGGTGCAGCAACTCAGCGAGGACGAGAGCAAGACGCTCTTGAACATCGAGGGCGCGCTCTCGAAGAGGGTCATCGGGCAGACCGAGGCGGTGAAGGCGATCTCTAGGGCGGTGAGACGCGCGCGGAGCGGCCTCGCGGACGGCGGCCGCCCCGTGGCGTCGATGATTTTCGCCGGACCCACGGGCGTGGGGAAGACGGAGCTCGCGAAAGCGGTCGCGTCGTCGTACTACGGCGCGGAGAAGGCGATGGTGCGGATCGACATGAGCGAGTACATGGAATCCTTCGCGGTGTCCAGGCTCGTCGGGCCGCCGCCCGGGTACGTCGGGTACCAAGAGGGCGGGCAGCTCACGGAGGCGGTGCGAAGGAACCCGCACACGCTCGTGCTTCTGGACGAGATTGAAAAAGCGCACCCGGACGTGTTCAACGTCCTCCTGCAAGTCCTCGAGGACGGCCGCCTCACGGACAGCAAAGGAAGGACCGTAGACTTCACGAACGCGATGCTCGTGATGACGTCGAACGTCGGCTCGAAGGCGATTCTGAACTCGATCGACGCGAGCGTCGACGGCGACGCCGCCTCCGACGCGGCGGCGTATCGCCAAGTCCAGGCGGACGTCCGCAGGGAGCTTCAGGTGACGTACCGCCCGGAGTTTTTGAACCGCCTCGACGAGATCATCGTGTTCCAGCCGCTGACGCGCGCGGAAGTCGGCAGCATCGCGGAGCTCATGCTCGAGTCCGTGCGCGGGCGCGTCGTCGGCCGCGGCGTGACGCTCGCCGTGGACGACGCGTTCAGAGACCTGCTCCTCTCCGAGGGGTTCTCGCCTAAATTCGGCGCGCGGCCGATGCGTCGCACGGTGCAGAGGCTGCTCGAGAATCCGCTCTCGGAGTGCCTCCTCGACGGGTTCGTCTCCGAGGGCGACGCGATGACGATCTCCTCCAGCTTTTCGGACGCGTCCGTGACGTTGACGAAGGACGGGTCCGGGGAGTCGCGCGCATTTTCCTTCGACGAGCTCGGCGTCGGCGAGGGCGGGATCGAAGAGGGCGAGAGGAACACGAGGAACGAACACGCGAGGAACGGTTCCTCGGGGGCTGGGGCGGGGGACGGAATGGACGCGTCCGATCTCCCGTTGCCGGGGTTCCAGTCCGTCCCCGCGCGGTAGCATACAGTAGTACCGCGGCGGTCCCCTGGCGGTGGATTGATCGCTAAAAGTTTTAATTCGAACGACGCTCAGCTAAAGGGCCTACTTCTTCGTCCCCGCGAGACGCTCTAATCGCGCGGCCTCGTCCTTCAAGTTCACGACGACCGTCCTCACCTCTCCGCTCAACCGCACGAGCCCTGCCTTCGCGCCCGCGGGCTTACTCACCTGCCGCGCGCGCACGAGCGACACGGGCGCCTTGCCCGTCTTGGTCGACTTGCTGTTCGCCGCCGCGAGCGTCGCGGCGTCCACGACGGTCTCTCTCGGCAACGCGTCGTACTCGCTCGTGTGTCGTATGACGACGTGCGAGCCCGGGCACCCGGCCGCGTGCATCCACCAGTCCCGCGGGTCTCTGCACTCCGGCGACGTGGACACCTCGTCGTTGTCCGAGGACGTGCGACCGACGCGGATGTCGATCCCGTCGAGGGACACGAACGTCCAGTACGGTTTCCGCGGTCCCGCGTTCTCCTGCTTCTTCTTCTGTTTCTTCGGCGGCCGCGGCGGCCGCGGCGGCGGGGCGTCGCGCACGCCCAGGGCCGCCGCGCGCGCGTACGCGTCGTCCGCGAAGTTCGGCGACGACACGCTCTTGCACGTCTCGAGGACGTCGTTCAGCGCGTTGAGGTCCGCGAGGGTTCGCTTGCACGCGGACAGCTCTCTCTCGATCGCGTCCACGTCCGGGCACGACTCCAGCTCCGCCTCCGTCGCGTCCGCGTTCGCCACGAGCGCGTCCACGGTCTCTCTCGCGACGCGCAGCTTCGTCGTCGCCTTCCCTACTTTCTTCACCTCGCGCTCCACGCGCCGCCGCGTCTCTTTCTTCAGGCCGGCGAGGTCGACGTCCGCGGGCGACGGCGGAAGCGACGGCGCCGTCGTCGACGCCGCGGCCGTTTCCTCGTCCGTCGCCGCGCGCGCGACGGACGAGGACGACGGCGCCGTTCGCATCGCGCGGTGGCGACGCGCGGGGGAGGGGGAGCATCGCCATCGCGGCGCGACGACCGGCGACGCGAGAGCGAGCGACATGGCGGCCCGGCAGCCGGCGGCCGCTGTGCGCGTGGATAATGGAATTTAGACGCGCCCGGAGCGGAGCCGGATCCTGTCGAGAGTTCCGATGACGATGACGTGCCGACGCGCGCACTAGTCGTCGCGCGAGCTCCACGCCATCGCGCGCGGCTTATTTCCTCTCGTTCTCCACGTCGTTACATGCACGCGAGTCTCTCATCGAGCCGCCCTCAGGTCGTCTCCGTGTCCGCGCGCGCGTCGCGCTTCCTCGGGCGCCGTGCGCACCCTCTGGGTCCGACGATGAAGCGCCGCATCGCCGCGGCGGCTGGCGGCGTCCTTCGCGCGTCCTCGCTCGGCCGCGCGCGCGATGCCGCGCCGTTCCTCGCCGCCGCGTCGGCGACGCAGACCCCTCGCGCCGCACTCGGAGCGACGTCCGCGCGCGCGAGGGTCGCGTCGACGTGGACGCTCCGCGCGCGCGCGCTCCCCGCGCGCGCCTCGTTCGCGGCGGCGGGCCGCTCCGCGGGCGAATCGTCGTGGCTCGAATCCACGTCCACGCGAGCGGTGCACGCCTCCGCGGCCGCCTCCGCCGGGAACGCGCCGACGACGGTCGCGTTCAAAGACCTCGGCCTGTGCGACGCGTCGTTGCGCGCCATCACGGCGGTGAAGAAGTTCGAGTTCGCCACCGCGGTGCAGGACCAGACGCTGCCGCACATCATGGACGGGAAGGACGTCCTCGCGCGCGCGAAAACCGGCAGCGGGAAGACGATCGGGTTCCTCCTCCCCGCGATCGAGGCGCTCGCGCGCGACGGCGGCGCCGCGAGGAGAGGACGGCCGAGGGTGTTGGTGCTGTCTCCGACCAGGGAGCTCGCGACGCAGATCTTGGACGAGGCGAAGGCGCTTCTGACGTTTCACGACGGCGTCGGCGCACAAGTCGTGTTCGGAGGGACAAACTTCAACTCGGACCTGAGGAACTTGCGGGATAAGCGGTGCGACATATTGGTCGCGACGCCGGGGAGGCTGATTCAGCACCTCGAGGACGGCGACCGGGATTTACTGCGCGACGTGAACGTGCTCGTGCTCGACGAGGCGGACCGGCTGCTCGACATGGGGTTCAAGCCGTCGATCGAGAAGATTTTGAGATCCGTCCCGCAGGACCGCCAGTCGTTGATGTTCAGCGCGACGGTCTCGGACGAGATCAAGAAGATCGCCGCCGCGGGTCTGCGTCCGGGGCACGTCTACGTCGACTGCGTCGGCGAAGAAGAAGGCCCGGACACGAACGCGCAGGTGAAGCAATCCCTGGCGGCGGCGCCGCTGTCGCACCAGATGCCGACGCTCGCGCAGATCATCGACGACCACGCGGCGACGACGCCGAACCATAAGATCATGTGCTTCTTCACGACCGCGCGCGGGACCGGGTTCGCCGCGGAGCTCTTCCGATCGTTCCGCGACGACATCGTCGAGATCCACTCGAAGATGTCGCAGTCGAAGCGCACGAAAGCGACGGATCAGTTCCGCGCGGCGAAGAGGGCGGTGATGATGACGTCAGACGTCACCGCGCGCGGGATCGACTTCCCGGACGTCACGCTCGTCGTGCAGATCGGGATCCCGGCGAACCGGGAGCAGTACATTCACAGGCTGGGGCGGACCGCGCGCGCGGGAAAGAGCGGCGAGGGGATTCTCATGCTCGCGCCGCGGGAGGAGTTCTTCGCGAAGAAGGACGTCGGGGACCTCCCAATCGTTCGCGCGACGTTCGACGTGTCCGACGAGAACGTCGCGAAAATCTCCCGCGCGATGGACGCGGTGTCGGACAAGACGAAAGCGCAGACGTACGCCGCGTGGCTGGGGTACCACAAGCCGTTCATCAAGAAGATGGGATGGACCCCTGAGACGCTCGTGAGGGAGGCGAATGACTACGCGACGGAGGTGATGGGGTGCCCGGAGCCGCCGCCGATGATGAAGAAGACGGTCGGGATGATGGGGCTGAAGGGCGTCCCGGGGTTGAACATCGTGTCCGCGCTGCCCGAGTACGAAAACGGCGGCGGCGGCGGCGGGCGAGGCGGCGGGCGAGGCGGCGGCGGGCGAGGCGGCGGCGGGCGAGGCGCCTCCGCGCGCGGCGAGCGCGGGTACGGCAGCGTCGCCGGCGGCGGTCGCGGCGGTCGCGGCGGTCGCGGCGGTCGCGGCGGTCGCGGCGGTGGCCCGGGCGCGGGCCCGGGCGCGGGGAGGGGCGACGTTCCTTCGGGGACGAGGCGTTACAGGACGACGACCGCGAGGACGTCGAACAAGTGACGGACTTCTATTCTTTTTGTGTTGTATCTGAAAATCGCGTTGGCAAGTGTGAGTGGAGTTTCGCGAGCGCGTCGTCGTCGTCGCCCGTCACTTTCTCCGTCGCCCCGAAGGCTCGAGAAGAGACCGAACTCCTCACAGAAATGGGTCGTCGACGCGGTGGCGGCGGTGGCTTCGGCGGTGCGTCCTCGATCGCGCGCGCTTCCCCCGCGCGTCGCTCGAGATCTCGTCGCGGATATTCTCGCTCTTTCGCCCCCCTTCCGATCGCTTCATCGTCGACCGACGCGTTCCTCCCTCCCCTCGCCCTCGCAGGTGGTCGCCCTCGCGCGCCCCCTCCTCGCCCGGCCTCGAGCCACGGCAACGCTCCCCCCCCCGCGGCGCAGCAGCGCCAAAGCGGCGGCAGCATGATGGGCGGCTTGGGATCGATGGTCATGCAAGGTTCGCGTCCCACCGACGACCGCGTTCCCCCGCCCCCACGACGCCTTTCATTCCTCGTCTGTCTTCGGATCTCGTTTCCAGCGAATACTGACGGCTAGCCCTCGACCTTCGCGTCGCAGGCATGGCTTGGGGCACGGGAAGCTCCATCGCCCGCCACGCCGTCGGCGGCGTCTTGGGCAGCGGCGGCGGCGGCGCCCCCGCGGAGGAGGCTGCTCGACCTATGCAAGACGCGGCGCCCGCGCGGAACCCGTGCGCGACGCAGATGAAAGCTTTCAGCGCGTGCCTGGAGCAGAACGTGGACGACATCAACAAGTGCCAGGTGTACGTGGACATGCTCCAAGCGTGCAAGCGCGGGGATTTGGCGTGATCGAGACGCGCGGTGTGTGTAGTCGACTGGCGGACAGTCCGCCGACGCGGCGTGTGTTGTGTAAGAACAAAAACCATGAAAAAAAATGGCGGGCGACGAGTGCACGCAACGCGACGTGAACTACGATGGAACTAGTAGAACTGAATTACAAACTTCGAAGGTGCTAACCCCCTTCACGTCCTACGCTTTCGTCTCCGGAGGGATGACCTCGGTGATGACTAAGAGAGAGAGGAGAGAGGGGTTGGGAGGGTCAGCACGCGCGCGGGTACAGAAAAAAAGCCCTAAAACTCGACTCGAACGAACGATCGGACGCGCGGTCGGGTTTAGGACGCACCAGGCGTCCCCGGCTTGCCGTCCGCCCACTTCGTGTGCTTCATGTACACCGCCTCGCGGGGCTTGGCCTGAGGAATACGAGAAGAGACGGGCGCGCGCGTCAGTCGATGGACGAAAGGTTGGCTCAAACGATCAACGGGCGCGCTCGAGACGCGGGCTCGAATTGATCGAGACGAGCGGTCGCGCGACGTAGATCGCGCGACGCGCGGAGAGAAGGCGCGCGTTCGCACCTTGGTAAGCCACGGCTCCTTCAAGCACCCGCGCACGACCTCGGCGCACATGTTCGAGTACTTCAGGTAGCTCATGCCCGCGATGCGCCAGTACGCCTGCGGGAGAAGGAGGGAGGAGGGGCGAAGGGACAAGATCGTCAGCGACGAATTCACGCGGCGGGGCTTCGAACGCGTCGCGCGATCGCGCGGTAACGAGAGGCAAAGCGGGCGACGGAACTCACCGCGGAGTTAGCAGCGGCCGACATGGTCACTGATGCGAGATCGTTCGTTCGACGCGCGAAGAAGATGGCCTCCGCGCGGCGCTCCGAGCGATTTTTAGGGTCGCAGAGGCCCAATTACGTGACCTTGAAGGACTTTTAAACTGTTTGCCCATACGTAACCTGGGGAAAGCCTCCTGGGGAAAGGGCCCACAAAAAATCGTTTCGAATGCCGATTTTTTTGCAATGCCGATGCGATGTTACAGTACACCAGACGCGTTCAAGGCCAACGCGGTTCGCCAGTCGCGAGCCGCCCGCCTCACGCGGCGCGCGCGCGCAGACCGTCGCTTCGAGATGTCGCAGTTCGACCCCAACAGCGGGGTCACGCGCCCGACCGCGAGCGAGACCTTCGGGAGCGCGTTCGCCGACTTCAACGACGGCGTCTTCGACGCGGGGATCCCGCAGTCGTTCGTCTTGATTCTCCTCACCGAGATCGGCGACAAGACGTTCTTCCTCGCGATGATGCTCGCGGCGAGGCACGGGAAGCTCCAGGTGTTCTTAGCGTCCATCTCCGCGCTGTTCTTCATGACCCTCGGGAGCGCGCTCGCGGGGTACTTGGTGAGCACGAGCGCGGAGATGCTGCACTCGAGCGTGAAAATAATGGATTGGGTCGCCGCCGTGCTCTTCGTCCTCTTCGGCGCGCAGATGCTGTGGGACGCTCGAAAGCTTCACAAAGAAGACGCGAAGGACGAGGAAGTCGCGGCGCTCCTAGGCGGCGAGGGCGCGAGGTCGTCGTCGCACGGCGAGAGAGCGGACGCGGAGGAGACGCTCCGGGAGAAGGACGAGAAGAGTCCGCCGCCGTCCACGCGGTGGGAAGCGTTCGCGCGCGTCTTCTCCATCATGATGGTCGCGGAGTGGGGGGACCGGAGCATGTTCGCGACGCTGACGTTGGCGACGAAACATAACCCGGCCGGGGTCGTCGTCGGCGCGATGGCCGCGCACGCGATCGCGAACGCGCTCGCGGTCGTCGGCGGCGAGCTGCTGTCGAAGCGCATCAGCGAGAAGCTGATGGCGACGTTGGGCGGATTGTTTTTCGTGGGGTTCGGCGCGCTCACCGCGTACGAGGCGTACACCGGGAACGAACTGTTGGGCGGGATCGGGGGATGAGCGTCGTACTGTACGTCGCGTGTTGTGTTTGTTGTCGCTGGTGCTAATAAGGTTAAGTTTATTATATCGCTGTGCTATCGCGGGTCGGTCTAGGGTCCGTGAGAGACGAAACCCGCGCCGCGACCCGTGATGTCATAATTCGTCCTCGTCGCCCGCTCTCGTCCTCCGTCGCGCCTTCGCCGCGACCCTCCGCAGCTCCTCCGTCACGAGCTCGGCGACGACTCTCGGCGAGAACCGCTCCACCATCGTCCGCCGCGCGTTCTCGCCCTTCGCCTTCGCCTCCCGCGGGTTCGACGCGACCGCGCGCATCGCGGCTCTCAGCGCCGTCGCCGACGGCTGCGCCCATTTGTGCGTCCGAAACGCGCTCTCCTCCGGCAGCGCGACGAGCGCGTCCTCGATCCGCACCGGGTACGAGTTCGCCTCGGTCATGAACTCCGTCGGCCCGCTCCAGTTCGTCGCGATCACGGGCAACGCCATCGCCATCGCCTCGACGTGCGGCCGCCCCCAGCCTTCTCCGCGCGAGGGAAGCACGAACGCGTCCGCGGCGGCGTACAACGACGGCATCTCTTCGTCGGATGCTCGAGGGAGAATGAACACTCGCGGCGCGCGCGATCGAATCGCCGCGTCGACGCCTTCGCCGTCGGGCGTGCCCCAAAGACGCTTCCCCTCCGACTTCGGCGTCGCGTGGAACGCGTCTTTCGCGGCGGCCACGACGCGCTCGCGCACCAAGTCGCGCCCGTCCTCGTGGAACAGCTCGCAGCGAAGGAACAACGCGACGGCGTCCGACGCGGAAAACTCGCGAAAGTACGCATCGAGCAAAACCTCCGGGGCTTTCCGCGCCTCCCACTTGAACACGGACAGGAACTTCGTGACGCCGCTCGCCGCGTCGTCGTCCAGGCGCGGGCCCACGGCGAGGACGCCGTTCCCCGTCGCGTCGTACGGCGCGCGGTCTCCTCCTCCCGTCGCGGTCGAGAACGCCGCGGGGTCGAACGCGTCGACGTCCACGGCTTCCGGGACGACGCGGATCTTCTCCTTCCTCACCCCGGCCGCCTCGAACACGCGCGCGCTCCACGACGTCGGGACCCACACCTCGCGCATCCTGTTACACCGCCGCACGTGCTCGTCCTCGAGGCGGTCGGTCTCGAACATCGTCCGTCCGATCACCGCGAGCGCGCCGGCGCGGCCGTATCCCTCGGGCGGGCACCGCGTCGTGTGATACCGCGGCGGGTCCCACGCCCCGGGCTCGGAGTGGCACACGACGACGAAATCGCGCGCGGGGAGCGGCGGGCGCGGGCGCATCGCGGCGTCGAGCGCTTCGCGGTAGTGGTCTGGGAGGCCGAGGTAGTGCTCGGTCGAGATCGCGTCGCCGTGATGGCTCACGCGCACCGCGCTCGGTTTTTCGTCCGCGGGGAGGACGTTCACGAGGCCGTGCAGGAGCGCGATCGCTTCCGTGGAGTACCCGCCGCCGGACAGGACGGGGGCGAAGTACCATAGAGGCGGCGGGGGGGGCGCGGGGGCGCCCGCGCAGAGGGCGGCCCACGCGACGAGGAACAGGAGGACGCGCATGCCGAACTGATTGATTGATGTTGTTTTGTGGGCACCCTCTCTTCCAAGAACAGAAAAAACCGCCAGCTCGCCGATTCATTATTTTGAAACTCGCGGAGAGCGACGACGGGTCACAACGCCCGCGCACGCGTCGACGGACGTCCCGGGCGCCCGAGGTGGTCGCACACGACGTAGAGACGATATCGCGCGCGTGAAAGATGGTCGAAACGCGCGGCGCACGCGGAGGACGCTGACGTCGGTCGAGAGGATCTCGTCGAATCTGATCGAATCCCCGAGAGCGCGAGGGTTGCCACGATGCCGTTCGAGATCGCGGACGACTGGGACGACGACGCGCTCATGGGCGTGGACGTGGACGCGATAGCCGCGGCTCGGACGTCCGCGCCGCCCGCGGGTCCTTCAGATCGCGACCCCGCGCCCGGGCACCGGCCGGCTCCGCGTCAGCCCCCGCCCGCGACGCATCACCATCGACCGCAGCAGCAGCCGAACCGCGCGACGGCGGCGGCGCCTCCGCGGCAGCGTCACCCGCCGCCGCAGCAGCACTTCGACGGCGGCGGCGGGCCGCCTCACCCCGCGAACGAAGGGTTCAGCGGGCACACGGGGTACAAGGGCGGGTTCAGCGGGCACGGCGGCGGCGCGCAGCAGGGCGGGAGGCAAGGATGGCAGCGGCAGCGAGGCGGCGGCGGCGGCGGCGCGCGGTGGAACGCGAGCGACGCGAACCACCGCACCGGGCACGACGCGGTCGACCGCGCGCTCGCGTCGAACGCGCCGCGCTTCACCGCGAACAACCAACCTCCGGTGAACCAGAGGACGGTGACCACGATGTTCGCCGCGAAGGGCGGGCCGAAGCAGACGTTGTTCCGCCCCGGCGTGGAGGAGAAGCAGCGGACGTTGGACTCGATGTTCGGCGGGAGCGGCGGCAGGGGGGGCGGGGGAGGAGGAGGAGGAGGAGGCGATGGAGATGGCGATGGCGGCAGCGCGGACGTGCTCCCGCACCAGCGTCCGATCGAGATCGACGGCGACGGCGACGCGTGGTGGAGCGCGCCGCCGCCCGTCGCGGCTGCGGCGGCGGCGGCGCCGCGACGTCAAGCCCCGGCCGCGGTGCACCACCACACGCACCCGTCGAAGTGGCAGCCCTCGCAGCACGTCGCGTCGACGCCGGAGGGGCAGTACGCCGGGCGGCTCACGCCGTCCGCGATGGGCACGCCGAACTCGCAAGGGTTGATTCGTTGCTCGGACGCGAACGGGATGCTTCTCGATCCTCACGCCGCGCAGTCGTACGTCTACCCCGGGCAGCTCGTCAGACGAGACTACCAGTACAACATCACTCGAGACGCGCTGACGACGAACTCGCTCGTGTGCTTGCCGACCGGTCTCGGGAAGACGCTCATCGCGGCGGTGGTGATGTACAACTTTTACCGGTGGTTCCCGAAAGGCAAAGTCGTCTTCTTAGCCCCGACGCGGCCGCTCGTGGACCAACAGAAAGCAGCGTGTCGCGACATATGCGGCATCCCTGAGAACGACATCTGCGTCTTGATGGGAAGCACGAAGAAGGACGAGAGCGGCACGCGAAGGGCGTTCTGGGACCAAAAGCGCGTGTTCTTTTGCACGCCGCAGACGATGGAAAACGACATCGCCTCGAGCGTGTTACCCGCGAAGGACGTCGTCTGCCTCGTCATCGACGAAGCGCACCGGGCGAAAGGGAAGCACGCGTACTGCGGCGTCGTTCGAATGTTGTGGGACAGGAACGTGTCGTTCCGGCTGCTCGCGCTCACGGCGACGCCCGGGCACGACATCGCGGACGTGCAACAGGTCGTGAGGAACCTGAACATAGGGAGGATCGACTTTCGGTCGGATAAAGACGTGGACGTGAAGCGTCACACGCACAACCGTTCGATCCAGCTCGAGTCCGTGAAAGCGACGCGCGCGATCTCGGAGGTCCAAGACATGTTACGAGACGTCCTGCGACCGATGCTGAAGACGCTGACGTCCATGGGGGCGCTGCCGACCGAGGGCGTGAAGATGGCGAGGTTCGTGGAGGGGACGTCGAAGGACATTCCTCAGCCGTTCACGATCCAGCTCGCGCAGCGCGACCTCCAGAACGGGAACACCGCGGTCCCGCCGGCGAAGAAAAACTACGCCTTCTCGCTGTGCCTCCAGTCGTACTTCATCGCGCGCCTGAACGCGCTCCTGAGCGGGTACAGCGCGCAACAGGCGGTGGATTACGTCGAGGACCAAAACACCAAGGGGTACATCGGCGCGCTGTTCGGCGCGTCCCCGGTGATGCGCGAGGTTCTGGACATGCTGCGGTCGATGGCTGGACACGGCGCGCACCACTCGCCGAAGCTCGCGCGCTTGACGCAGATCATTCGAAGGCACTTCGCGACGAATAATCCGGCGACGCGCGCGATCGTGTTCACGAGCTATCGCGACTCGGTGCGGGACATCGTGAGAGCGTTGCGAGAGGTGACGGTCACGACCGGCGGCGGGAATAACTTGGGCCCCGGGGATCCCCTCGTGGACCCGGAGAAAGGGCAGAAAACCGTGACCGGGATGTTCAGCGCCGCGTCCGGCAGCGGCGGCGGCAGCGGCGATACCGCGGGGGTACCGCCCGAGGTGCCCGACGGCGCGGAGTGTCGCATAAAAGTCGCGGAGTTCATCGGCCAGGGCGACAGCAGCAAGGGCGGCGGCGGCGGCGGCGCGAAAGGCGCGGGCGCGGCGCGAGGCACGAAAGGGCAGTCGCAGAAAGAACAGAAGGCCGTCCTCGACGCGTTCAGGCACGGGTCGCTGAACACGATCGTCGCGACGAGCATCGGCGAGGAAGGGTTGGACATCCCCGCCGTGGACCTCATCGTGTTCTTCGACGTCGTGGACACGATCCGGACGATCCAACGCATGGGGCGGACAGGCCGGGCGCGGGACGGTAAGGTCGTCGTCCTCGCGCTCGAGGGGAGAGAGGCGGAGAAGTTCAGCAAAGAACAGGGGAAGTACGAGCACCTCCTGCGATCGTTGTCCGACCCGGGACGGTGCTTCCAACTGTGCAACGACTGCCCGCGGATGCTGCCGGCCGGGCTGGACCCGCGGTGCGAACTAAAAGAGCTCGGTCCGACCCCGGAGGCGCTGAAAGCGAAGCGCGAGATGGAAGCGAGAGGGAGCTCCGGGAAGAAGCGCAAAGGCGCGCGCGGGGGCGCGGGCCGAGGCAACGCGAGCGCGTTCTCGATCCGCCCGTGGGACGCGCCGCTGACGACGGTGGAGCACTCGCTCTTGCAGGCGTACGACTGCGCCCCCCGCGCGATGGGGCGGATAGACATGCAGAACGCGGCGCCGCTTCAGCGGCGCCCGACGCCCGTGTTCTCGGTCCCACACGGGCGGATGTGCGTCGCGCTGATGCGCGCGATGTCCGCCGCGCAAGGGCTCCCGCCGCCGCTGGACGTTCGCGGGGAGTCGATAGAAGGCGGCGCGATCGCGCGCGAAGAGAAAGCGAAAGCGGACGCGGAGGCGGCGAGGGATAGGGCGCACGCGGAAGCGAACGCGGACGCGCCGACGACGGCGTTTTACGCCCCGCCCGTGGAGTGGGACGATGACGAGTGGGGCGACGGCGGGTTCGTGCCCGCAGCGTTCGACGACGACGTCGGCGGCGGCGGGATCGACGACGACGACGAGCCGCTTCGAGCGAACTGGGACTCGCAGCGGTCGCACGGGTACGAAGCCCCCATCCTGGACGCGAGCGCGGTGAAAGACGACGGACCTCGCGCGTCGGTGAGTCAAGCCCCCACGGAGTTGGACGAGCGCGCGGCGTGCGAATACGACGACGACGACGTCACGCGATCGATCGACGCGAGCGGTAGTCACGGCGGATTCAACGGAGTGGGCGGCGGCGGCGCGCACACCGGGGCGACGCAGCGGTTGGATTTCACGGCCACGCTCGTCGACCCGTCGCCGCGGCGCGTCGTCGCGAACGAGGCCGAGCCGTGCGAAAACCCCGAGTGCGCGGTGATAGGCTGCGATGACCCAAAGCACGGCGCATCGAGGAACGATCGAACGCCGCTCGCGCAACTGACGCCGCCGTCGCAGCGACCGGGTTCGAACGCGATGAACACTCAGGGCGCGAGCGTTCACGGCGACCCGCTGTGCGGCGAGGAGAACGACGACGTGTTCGCGACCGCGCCCGCGCCCGTGGCACGACCGTCGCCGTCCGCGGCTGAATCCGCGCGCCAGCGCCTTCGCGAGCGCCTGTCGCAGCAGTCGCAGCAGCAGCGCGCGCACTCGCAATCGCAATCGCAATCGCAATTGCGACGACAAAACACGACGCAGCCGGAAGCGCAAGCGGACGTTCCCGACGACGACGACGAGACCATCGCGGACATCGCGTTCCACATCAAGCAAAAGAAGCTCGCAGCGGCGGCGAAGAAACGCGCGACCGCGTCCGCAGAGAAGGCCGCGAAGGCGTCCGCGTCGAAGTCGAAGTCGAAGTCGGTTTCCGCGTCTCAGATGCCGCCGCCGCCGCCGCGCGCGACGGTTCGCGAGGCTTCGACCCCCGGGTTCGACGTCGCGCCAACCGTCGACGACGCGGTCACCCCCGGCGCTGCGGACGGGTGGTGGGGTACCGGCGACGCGCAGGACGACGCGGTAGGCGGGTGGGGCGGTACGCAGAGCGGCGGCGGCGGCGGCGGCGGTTGGGGTGTGTCGCAGAACACGCAAACCAGCGGCGGAGGGTGGGGCGCGCCCGCGACGCAGGACGACGCCGGCGTCGGCTGGGGCGCGTCACAGGGCACGCAAGATAGCGCCGGCGGGGGTTGGGGCGGGGTGAGCGACGCCGGCGGCGACGCCGGTTGGGGCGGCGGCTCGCCGTCGCAAAACGACGACGACGCGGAAGGCGGCTGGGGCGATCCCCCGGACGAAAACGACGCGCGCGGAGGCGCGCCAGGGACTGACCCGCCGCCGGCGCCGCCCGCGTCGACGCCGGTTCAACCGACGCCGGACTCGGACGACCTCATGGTCCTGAAACGTCGCAAGCGCGTCGCCGCGCCCGCGCCGTCGCCCGCGGTGGAACCCGTCCGACGTCGACCGCCGCCGCCGCCGCCGCCGTCGTTCGCGCCCGCCGGCGACGACGACGACGACGACGGCTGGCGCCGCGGCGGCGCGACGAAACGCGCGGACGTCCTCGCGGCGAAGCGAACGAAGCGCGCGAACGCGGCGAAGCAAGCCGCGGTGCATAGGTTCATGGACGACGTCGCGTCAGGGGACGACGACGACGACGACGACGACGACGGGTGGAACACCGAGGACGAGGCGTTCGTCGCCGCGACGCAAGGCGACGCGTTGGACGCGTCCGGGGACGAGCCCGCGCTGATGCACCAACAACTCGCGCTTCTCGCGGACGCGCACACGCCGCTCGACGTCGCCGGCGTCGTCGGTCGTCGGTTTGGCCCGAGGGTGCGTCGCGACGTCGCGGACACGCCTCCTGGGACGACGCCCGGGACGGGGCGCTCCGGCGGCGGCGGCGGCGACGCGGCGAGTCAATACGGCGGGAGCTGGATCGACGACGACGAGGAAGCGACCGTGCTCGAGACGCAGTTTGGGGACGACGACGACGCGTCGGGCGAGTTGTTAGGGTCGGACGGAAACATGGAGCGGTGCGCGCGCTGCGAGCGCGGAGGCGTTCTCGTGTGCTGCGACGCGTGTCCGGGGGCGTACCACTTGGCGTGCGTCGGCTTGGCGGAGACGCCTCCGGGGGCGTGGCTATGCCCGGCGTGCGAGCGACGGTGACGGGCGGGACGACGAGAAAGGAATGCTTAGTAGATAGTTATATGCCGTCGACGTGCACGACGTGTGATGAATTCCTTAATGTGGTTACCAGGTAAACGCAGTGCTAGCTAGCTAGGTCTACGCTGGAACGCTCAATCGTTGTCTATCAAACAGTATGTGTCATCGAGGGGAATGTTCAGTAGGGTGGGTGGCTCCGGCGAAAGACTCGTGGATCTTTCCTTTTTCTCCTCGCCTCCCTCATCCTCTGCGCGTCTGACGTCCCTCCGTCGTCGTCCCCCCTCCCGCCGTTTCAGGGGTCGCGAACGACGTGCTCGCGACCACCGGTCGTCTCGGGGAGGGGGCGCGGACCTCGGTTCGTCGAGCGCGCGCAAGAATAAAAAATCATCTATCGGTCCATCACACTCACATCGCGAGCCCGAGCTCGCCGTGAATGAACTCCTGCAGATTGCGGTTCGACGTCGACGGCGACACGATCGCGGTGTCGACCCAATCCTCCTCGACCTTGTTCGTCGGCGCGGACGCGGTTCCGTTGCAGTACGCGATGCCGGCGGTATCGTAGTTGTAATAAAACTGCTGCATCGGCACCGTCTGCATCGCCGGATACATCACCGGCGCGCCGTTCATCGGCGGCGGCTGCCCGTAGTGCACGTACACGGGCGGGCCCGGCTGCATCTGCATCGGCATCATCTGCATCGGTTGCATCGGTTGCATCGGTTGCGTCATCGGCGTCGTCGGCGCGGCGATCGTCGCGGCGACCGCGGGAGGTCGCCCTCGACCGCGTTTCGCTCGTTTCGACGTCCCGGATCCGTCCTCGCCGCCGCTGTCGTCCGGCGACGACGAGCGCGTCCGCTGCTCGCGCTGCGGGCTATAATTCTGCGGCGGCGTGTTCGGCGGCGTCTCCGTGTCGCTCCCCATCGCGTACTCGTCGTCGTTCGGGCACGGCACGAACAGCGGCTGCGTGGCCCCGCCTTTGGCGCGGTGATCGTGCGGGCCCCCCGGGGTCTTCTCCAGCAGCGACCGCAGCTCCTCCACGGAGCTCCCGAGCGCGTGGAGGACGTCGACGTCCACGGTGTACCCTTGCGTCTTTCCGTTCACGAACATGCGCTTGAGTAAACTGCGCGGAGGCGCTCGCGGGACGCGGTGCGGCGACGCGAGGCGAAGGATGGCGTGAATGAAATCCAGCACCGCGTCTTCGTTCTTGAGCTTCGCGTACCACTTCGAGCCTCGGGCGATGGACCCGCCGAAGACGTGCTGGAGCTTGAAGTCGTTCCTGGGCCACTCCGAGGTGTCTGCGATGGATGAATAGACGCGCGCGAGGGGCGACGGAGAGGTGAGCGCGTCGTCGACGCGATCGCGCGACGGTCGCGCGGCGGGTTAGGGAAACAAGATGAAGCGCGGAAAAAGCTGCCGCGCGCGCGATGGATGGCGGACGGGATGGCGCCGGGACGCACACTCGTGCAGGCCCAGGCCCCTCAGATGCCCGAGGCCGGAGTCGCGAAGCAGGCAGGTGAAGTACCGCAGCACGTCCCTGCGGAGACGCGGAGACGGACGAGGGGCGATCGTCAGCGCGCGTCGTCGGCGGGTCGTCGCGCGCGGGTCCAACGCAGAAAAGCGGAGACGACGAATGAGAAAAGATTCGGCGACGCGGACGCGCGCCTTCTGTAGTAGATTGGGCGCGCGGAGGACTTCTTCGGCTGCGGCGGACCCGGGTCGTCGCCGGACGAGGATCGCGCGCGTTTTTTCCCCACGGGGGACGGCATGTTCGAGGTCAAGGCGGCCGTCGGAGCGGCCGCGCGCGGAGCAGAATCACCCGCGGGGAGGCGGACGCGCACGTTGTTGCTTTTCCGCGGCTCGCGTGCTTCGGATGCTGAATCAGATTCAGAGATCATGCGCGTTGCGCGGACGACGTCTGCTCGTAAAATTTGGCGCGAAATTTATCAGTGTATGCGCGGACGAAATTTTTTTGGAAGGCATCGGATACGGCTCGTATGGGCTTTTAGTCACCTATTTTTAGGTTTTTACGTCCGTTCTAGTAGTTCAACCTTATTAGTTCGGGATAGCGTACGGTCTTAATTTTCGGTCGGGCCTTCACGATCGCTTCCACGCTCACACGCCTACCTACTCACCAGCGCCTCGAAGTCGACCTTCTTCCCGTCCTTCCCGCCTCCGCCGACGTCGCCCGCGCCGCCGCCTTTCCCTCCGTTCTCCTTCGGTCCGTACAGGTCCGTCCGCCCCGCGATCTTCATGAAGTGCTTCGCGTTCGCGACCAGATCCGGCGAGTGCCCCATCAGCGACCCGCCGATGAGAAGCAAGACGTCCTCGCCGTAGACCTCGTTCATCGCCGCGACGCGCTCCATCGTCATCCCGCCGCCGGGGGACGGGAAAATGTCCGGCATGCCCCCCATGGGCCGCCGCGCGCCGCGCGCGATGCCCTCGCACTCCTTCACGCTGAACCCGAACCGTCCTCCGAAGGACGGGAAGATGGTGGCGTCCGCGCCCGCGACGCGAGGGAGCGCGCCGAGCAAAACCTCGTGCGAGAACCCGCCGACGCGGTCGTACGACCCGCCGCCGAGCATCGCGCCGAGCATCGCGGGGTGGCAGATGATCGGCAGGCCGAACGACTCGTCGTCCGCGAGCTCTCGCATCGTGTCCAGCCCGGTGATGCCCGGGATCATGAGCACCGCGCCCGCGCCCGCGGCTTTCGCGGCGAACGCCCGCTTCGCAACCAGATGCGCGGGGGCGTTGACGCACGGCGCGTAGATGCACCGCCGACCGGTCTCCTCGTTCGCGCGTCGCACCGCGGCCGCGCACGCGACGACACGCTCGTCGTACGGCGAGTACGGCTGGTCCGCGAGGCCGTGGTCGTCTTTGACGACGTCGATCCCGCCCTTGGCGAACTTATACGCCATCTCGGCGAGCGCCGCCGTGGAGCTCCCCATCGGCTTCAACGCGGTCATGATAATCGGCCCTCTCGGGACGCCCAGGAGCTTCCGCAGTCCGCGGACGCCAAACTTCGGGCCCGGGTACGCCGCGAGCACCGACGGCGGCGCGATCAAATCCGCGACCATCACGCCCTCCTTCATGGACGTGTTCCCGAAGACGACGTTGATCAGCTGCGAGATCTCGTTCCCCGCGGTGTCCGTGTGGTAGCTGATCTCGCACCGGTACGACCCTCTCAGGCCCGCCCTTGGGGTGAGCTTCTCCAGACGACCGACGACGTTCTCGCGGATCCACGTCCCCTCCGGGACGAGGCTCGCCGGGAGCTCCACGGTCTGCTCGAGGCAGATGGCGAGGACCTTCTCGCGGCACTCCGTCTCGTCCGCCGCGACGACGTCGTAGACGACGACGAAGCGGTCGTCCCCGTACGGATGCGACCCTTTATTACCACTCGTCGTCGTGAACCCGGGGAAGGAGGAGGAGGACGCGCCGCTCGGGGACGCGCGCGCGGATGCCGCGCGGAGCTTCGCGAGCTGCGCCGGGGACGCCGCGAACATGTCGTCGAAGCGGCCGGGGTCCGCGGCTGACGCGTCGTCGATCGACGCGCGATGCTTCTTCCCGGACGCGCGCGCGTCGCCGCCGTGGGGGTGGTCGTCGCGCGCGCGCGACGCCGCGCGCATCTTCGCGAGCGTCGCCGGGGACGCGGCGAACATGTCTGCGAAGTCCGCCGCGGGCGCGGGCTCCGCGCGAGTCGCGTCGTCGCGGGGCGATAACGAGATCGTCGACGGCGCCGGGTGCGGCGACAGGAGTTGCCTGGATAGATGCCTCACCGAGCTCGACGTCGGCGTGGAGGACTCCCCGTCGTGCCTTTCGCGCATCGTGACGAGGTTCGCGGGCGACGCGGACATCATCTCCGCGAACGCGGCGCCGAGGGCCGCGGCCGCGGAGGGATCGATCGTCGATCGCTTCACGGGCGACTCGAAGACGCGCTTCTCCTCGCGCGCGGCGGCGTCGAACCGCGCGCGCAGCTTCGCGAGGCTCGCGGGGGAGCCGTCGAGCATGTCCGCGAAGGACAGCGCCGCGGGGGGCATCGTGCCGGGGGGGACGGGGTGGATCGCGCGCCGTGCGGCGGCGGGTCGAACGACTGGCGCGCGAGGCGCGATCTGATGAGAGGTCGGCGCGAAATTTGTGATAAAAGAATATTTCGGGGGCGAGGCGTTGTTTATTGTTCTGTCCCACCTGAGCCAGCCTCTCCCCTCATCCTCCGTCCTCTTCCGCCCTCACCAGGGTTTAGACCCTAATCCTCTTCCTCTAGCGGAAGCTCGAACGGACTTCGATACGGGTACAACGTCTCTAGGAGCTCGCGCACCTCGGTCAACATGCGCGCCCTCTCGTCCGGCGGCAGCGCGACGTCTAAATCATCGTTCAGGCACATGAACTTTGGCGGCACCGCGCGGATTTTCTCCAAGTCGTTCATGATCGCGCTCTTCGCGTCTCGTATCATGTAAAAACGCACGTCTGCATTTGTAGGGAAGCGGCGTGAGTGCTCGACCGATTCGTGGAGACAAAGTGGGCGAATGTGTGGACGAGGATGCGTGTCGTGATTCAGGCGCGCACCGTCGGAGTCCGCGTCGAGGATTTCGTACTCGTATTTTTTCTCCTTCGCGACGATCTCGTCGATTTTCGCCGCGACCGTTTCGTCCCTCAACAACGACTCGACGCGCACCGGAAGTGGTTCATCTCGTCCGCGACCGCCCTGATCAGAATCGAGCCCAAAAGACATGTTTAACGACGACGAAAATATATGAGTCATGACCGCGTCGAGATACCTCAGCTCCCGTTTCGAGAGCTCGCCGTCGCCGTCGGCGTCGAACGCGCTCGCGAACTCGAACGAAGTCCGCCCTCTCTTCGCGTTCATGAGATAGTACAGATACACGCTCTGGTACTGCAGGTCCATCGGGTGACGGAAGTAGTGCGAGGACGTCCGCTCGTGCTCCTCGCGCCACTTGTTTACCACCTCCTGCATTATCTCCACGTCGACGAGGTGCGGCGCGTGCGCCGGGACTTTCCTCTCCAGAGGCGCTTCGCCGAACGCGTCGTCCAACAGATAATTCGCGTACGCGAGCGTCTGCCCGAACACGTCCATTTCAAAAGACGACGCCGGTCGCGGTTCCCCCCACTTCCCTGCTCTGATCTCGTTCTTACATCCGTCGTCGCACGGCGGCGCGTCCCAGGACAAATACACCTTCGTTCCCTTTGCCTCGGTGTAAAAGTCGTCGTAGCTCACGTCCGCGCCTAAGAAGAAATCGTCGTTCATGTACAGAAACGTCTTCGATATCCCCGGTATCGAGTGCAAGTGCATCTCGATCGCGTGCGAGGAGAACGTCGGGAGGTGCTCCGCGTTTGGGAAAATTTCTGCGTGCGTGACAACCCGCACCTTGGGGTGCGTCAGGTTCAACCAGCTCGGGATCTGGCCATTCGTCACGACGATCACGTTCCGGATCCACGGCGCGTGCATCCACACCGAGCGGAGCGAGTAACGCAGCTCATCGTGGTCGTCGAACCGGTTCTTCGTCAGATTGCTCGCCGTGAGGTTCGCAGCGACGTCCCTCCTCTTCGCTCCCAGCTCGTTCTCGTCGCTCGATTTCGCGCCACTCTCTCCGTTGCCGTGCCCGTCTCCGCGTTTCTCTGCGTCAACTAGCTCCCACTCCGCCTTGCGTCGCGCGAGAGCGTCACGGAACGCGGGGTCGGATCCGTTCACCCACGTGTACACGACGTCGACCGCGCGCGCGGGGGCGAGCGACGACCGCGCCTCGAAGACCGCGCACGGTAGGCACGGGGATTCGCGCGCGACTTCTTCGCGGTCGTGAAGGTCTTCTTCGGAGGCGTGATAGCTCAACGCGTTGAAGGTGATGAGGAACGACACGACGAAAATACCGATAACGCGAAGATACCTCCGCGCGCGCATCATCGCCTAAGGTCATAAGGTACGCATCGTTGCCCTCGCGCGCCTCCGGGAGTGCGCGGGCGCGCGCGACGGAAGTACTTTCGAAAGTACGATCTCGTACCATTCTGAAACTGAGATGGGGAATCAGACAGAATGCAGGCGCCGCCGCCGGCAGTCGAGAGGCGCGCCCCCACCGCACGCGCGATGGCGTCCACGAAGAAGCAGAAGACGTCCCACGACGGCGACGGCGACGACGCTGGCGCCATCATCGCCGCGGACGTCTACGCGAACGTCGCCGCCGCCGCGGAAGAGTACAAGCGCGCGACGCCCTACGCCCACGGCGTCGTCTCCCCGCTGTGCGACGATTCGATGCTGCGCCGAGTGCGCGCGGAGATGAGGGATAACCTCAGCGCGACGTTCAAGGAGACGGACCTGTTCAAGGTGCTCCAGACCGTGGACTTGGTCACGATAGACGACCCGGAAAAGGGCGGCGATCCGGCGATCGCGGCGAAGATCCCCGCGCTCCTCCGCCTCCGAGACGCCATCTACTCGCAAGAGTTCCGCGACATGGTCCAGACGATGACCGGCTGCGCGCCGCTCACGGACCGCATCGACTGCAGCGCGAACGTGTACCCTCGCAGCGGCCACCTCCTGTGCCACGACGACGTCATCGGCACGCGATGCATCTCCTACATCGTCTACCTCACCGACCCGGACGACGCGTGGACGGAAAAGGACGGCGGCGCGCTCGAGCTGTACCCGGTCGAGACGCCAGGGACGCCCGCGGTGGACCCGACCGCGCGCTTGATCCCGAGGTGGAACAGCATGGCGTTCTTCACGGTGCAGCCCGGGCGGAGCTTCCACGCCGTGCAGGAGGTGTTCGCGGAGGATAAGCCGCGGCTGAGCATCTCCGGGTGGTACCACGCGGCGACCGCGCCGGAGGGGAGCGAGAACGCGACGCTGACGCAGCTGCAGACGCGAGCGAGCGAGGACGACGACGTCGCGGGGTTCGTGCCGTTTCAGAGCGCCGTGGACGCGGTCCTCGCCGCGGCGGCGGCCGCGAAGGAGGACGCGAAGGACGACGGCGACGGCGGCGGCGACGGCGGCGGCGGAGAAGAAAAAATAGAAGAAGAAGAAGAAGAAGAAGAAGAAGAAGAGGAGGAGCCGCTCGGGCCGGACGAGGACGACCTCGCGTACCTGTCCCGATGGGTGAACCCGGAGTACCTCGTCCCCGAGAACGTCGCGAGGATACGCGCGAAGATGGAGGAAGACAGCAGCGTGCAGATGCGGGAGTTTTTAAAGCCCGAACTCGCGAACGCGATTCGAGCGGCGACGCGCGCGGAGGACGCGCGCGACGCGCTCGGGCGCGGCGCGATCCCGGCGCGGACCGCGGGCGTCGGGAAAGGATGGCGCGCGATCGGGCCGACGCACAAGCAGCGGTTCTTGCGGTTCGACGACGACGACGACGACGCCGGCGCCCCCGACGAGGCTGGCGCCGGGGCGCTTCTGAGGAAACTGAGAGCGGACGTGTTCGCGTCGGAGGCGTTTGCGCGTCTGCTCACCGCGCTCACGGGCTGGCGCCCGACCGCGCACAAGGGCGACGTGCGACGCTTCCGCCCCGGCCTAGACTACACCGTCGCGCACCACGGGATCCTCACCGTGGACCCTCGGCTGGACGCGACGCTGTGCGTGGTGGACGACGAAGGCGAGGACGACGCACAGGCGTGGGACTTTGGCGAGTGCGGCGGGTTCGAGTGTTACATCGCCGCGGACGAGAGCGGCGTCGCGTCCGCGGCGGCGACCGCGGAGGTGTACAAAGCCGCCGAGGAGGACGACGAGGACGAGCTCTTGAGCGTCAGCGCGACGTTTAACACGCTGTCTCTGGTCGCGAGAGACGAGGGGCTGATGCGGTTCGTGAAGTACGTCTCGCACCTCGCGCCGTCGAGTCGGTGGGACCTCGCGATGCAGTACACCGTCGTTGCCGTGGACGACAGCGACAGCGAGGACGACGAAGACGCGAGCGAGGAGGAGGAGGAGGAGGAGGAGGAGGAGGCGGTAGAGGAGGAAGAAGACGAGGGCGGGCGCATAGAGTGTTGAGATCGCGTCAAGACGCTCGACTGACGATTAGAAAACCCTGAACCTACTCGTAATACGTAATAAAACCTACTTAGAGCGCCGACAACACGGACTGACACTTCGACGCGAGCACGTTCACCGCTTCCTTGAAGATCAGCTCCGGCGGCATCTGCCCCGTGCTCTCCACCGTGAATATGAAGTGATCCTTCTTCTTCAGCAACTGAACCTTCTCCTCCCACCCGGGCTCGCCGCTCAGCGCCCGCACGCGTTCGACGCAAAACTCGCACCCGCGTTCGTTCTTCGCCACCACCCTCCTGTCGCTCCCGACGCGCTCGTAGCACGCGTGGGCGTCGTCGAAGTCCGCGCATTCGCGCATGAACACGTCCGCGTCCTCGCCCGTCAGCGGTCCGCTCGGGAACGTCACCTGCGGGACCATGCGGTACCACGTCGTCCCCACGGGGGACCACTTGGCGTGTTCTTTCCCGTCGCCCTTCGTGCAGTGCGCCTCGAGCTCGATCTCTTGGCCGGCGACCATCTTCACGAGGAGGATGTCGTCGTGCACCGTGGATATGACGTTTGGGTCCTTTCCGTTTCGGTTGAAGTACTCCTTCTCCCCCAGTTCTTTGCTCTCTTTGTTCCGTTTCTTCAGGTACTCGCCCTGGTCGCACGAGAATTGCGTGAACTTCGTCTCCTCGTCCGGCGGCAGCTCGCTCCCGTTCGGCAGCCACACCAACGAGTCCGTGTACACCTTGTCGTTGATGAGCGCGCCCTTCGTGCCGTCCGTGGTCTTCTCCCGCGTGCACTTGACGCACATCTTAAACACGATCGTGTTCTTCTCCGTGGGGGTGTCGCCTTCGCCCCTCAAGTCGAACAGCCGCGGGTCCGCGCGGATCGGAATCAGCCCGAGCCTGTGCGCGAAAACCTCGTCTTGAATCACGGACGTGTTGTTCACCATGAACACCTTCTCTATCGCCATCGTGGGCACTTCCGCTATCAAGATTCTCCTGAACGCGTTCGCGATCGCGGGCGAGAGTCCTTGCATCTCGAACTCCACCTTCTCGTCGTCGAGGTGCGTCACCTCGAGCTTGAACTCGTCGCGGAATTTCTCCGCCGTGAACGCGGAGTCGATCCCTAACGCCGCGTACGCGCCACTGTACGCGTGCTCGTTCACGTGCTTGTTCTCGTCGCTCGCGCACGTCACGAACGCCTTCTGTTTCTGGATCGTCGCCGCGATCTCGTCTAAGGGGTCCTTCTTCGCGGACGCGGCGGATCCTTTCGGGGGCCCCGCGGGCGGCTTTTTGGCGGCCGCTCGCTTCGGCGGCATGCTTCGCGAATCGATCGGACGGATCGGGCGACGCCGGCGCGTTCCGCTCGGGGGGCGCTTCCCACGTCCGTCGGGCGCGCGCGATGGAAGGTCTTCGCGCGGGGTGGGGGATCGCGCCGAGCGCGCGCGGGGGCGTGCGACCGACCTCGCGTCACCGCGAACGCGCCGCGAGCGTGGACAGGTTCTGATGTCGTCGCGCCGCGCCGCGCCGCGCCCGCCACGGCGCGGCGGGCGGAATTTTTTCGGCTCGGCGAGTACGTTCTGTACAACGTACGAAAGTACGTGCGAGGACGTACTCGTCAGACTGACTCACATACGAGACAAAAACCCCGGGAAAAAAGGTCACAAGATCGCGACCTTTGACGAGGATGGACGAAAGCGAGGACGTTTGACCTACAACGCCGCGCGCGCTCCTCGAGCGACGCGCGCACGCGGCCGGCGGGTCCTTCTCCGCAACCTCCGCGAACGATAAAATGGCCTCCGTCGAGGACGCGGGCGCGAGGTGCGTCGCCGTCGCGACGCGAACCCCCCGTCTCCCTTTTCGAAAAGAGCGCGCGTCGCCTTTCCTTTCGCTCGCGCGATATTATCGCCGAGACGACCGCGCGGATCTCGCGGCGCGCCGCCTCGTCTTCGCCCGTCCCCGCCCTTCGCCGACGCGCTCCCCACCTCCACCCGCAGCCCTTCGACTCGCGAGCGCGACGACGCGAACGCGAGCCGCCTCGCGAAGCGCCAGCGCGTCGTCGTCGCCGCGGACCGCGCGCCCGAGTCCTCGAAAGACGAGGCTTATCGCCAACGTCCGTCTTCGTCTACGACGCGGACGCTCGCGCGCGTCTGGCGCGTCCCCCCGGGGTCGCCGCCGCCGCTCCTGTCGAAGGAGCCCAGGGCGTCGGAGAGCGCGAGCGACGGCGCGGAGGGCGCCGGCGCCGGCGGCGGCGACGCCGGCGGCGGCGGCGGCGCGGCCGCCGGCGACGACGCCGACGCCCCCGCGGACGAGATGGACGGCGACGAGGCGTTCGCGCGTAAGCTCCAGGAGGAGGAAAACGCGCGGTGGCGCGCCGAGCGCGAACGCGCCGCGGAACGCGCCGCGGAGTGGCGCCGCTCGCAGGAAGCGCTCGAGGCGACGCTCGCGGAGGTGGACGACGAGTTCGGCGACTCCGACGACGACGGCGACGACGACGACGACGCGAACGGGTTCGACCTCGAGAACGCGCTCGCAGACGCCGCGGCGGGCGCCGGCGGCGGCGCCGGCGGCGGCTCCGCGGACCCTGAACGCGCCGCGAGGGACGCGCGACGACGGACGACCGCCGCGGCGAGACGCGCGCGAGTGATGCAACTCCACCAGATCATGGGCGCGCTGCATCAGCGCGTGTACGCGCTGCAAGGTGTCGCGGGAGCGCGGCCGGAGATCGCCGCGCTCGCGATGAGCGACAGGGACTTCGACGAGGACGACTACGAGAGGCTGCTCGCGCTGGACGACGACGTGAAACGACGCGGGGTGTCCGCCGCCGCGCTCGCGCGCATCCCGGTGTTTCAGTGGAAGGAGAATGGGGAGGAGGAAGCGACCGCGGTCGAGGGCGCGACGGCGCCGGGACCAGGTCCGGGACCGGGACCCTCGGAGGACGCGCCGGCGCCGGCGCCGCCGCCGGCGAAGAAGGCGGTTCGCGTCTGCGAGACGGACGCGAGGTGCGCCGTGTGCCTCGAGACGTACGTCGCCGGGGATGCGCTCCGCAGGCTGCCGTGCCTGCACGCGTACCACAAGGACTGCGTCGACCAGTGGTTCGCGCGCAGCGTGGAGTGCCCGGTGTGCAAGCACGACGTGAACCAAGACGACGTCGCGGCGTGAGCGACGACAGACGCCGAAAACCAAACGCGAGGGACGCGTTCATTCTTTCTCTTTCTCTTCGCTGAAGATGTTGTACGAGTACGATGTACCGAGTAGCCTACGTCTCCGACGCCGTCGGAATTTTATACGAGACGAGTGTACCATCAAAGATCGCGTCGCTTCGTACGCGCGCCTCGACCAGACGAAGTTTGTCGAAGTCGAATTCGTTCGTCGGAAATCGTTGGAAAACGCGCGTCGCGTCGCTACTCTATATCTCCCTATCCCCCCCCCCCAAATCCCATCACGTCACGGAGACGACACCGCGGACCCCGCGCTAGATAAGATGATCCCCACGATCAACCCGTACAGCGCCAACGCCTCCGCGAAGATCAAGATCAGGATCATCCCCGTGAACAGCTTCGGCTGCTGCGCGTTCGCTCTCACCCCCGCGTCGCCGACGATGCCGATGGCCATCCCCGCGGCGAGCCCGGAGAGCCCGCACGAGAGCCCGCTTCCGAGGTGCGCGTACCCTTGGAACAGCGTGTACGTCCCGCCCGGGCTTGTGTTCGTGCTTATGATCACCGCGATGATGAGGCCGTAGATCCCCAACACGCCGGCCATGACGACCGGGACGATGCTCTTCATGACGAGCTCGGGGCGAAAGACGCCCATGGCCGCGATGCCGACGCCGCTCTTCGCGGTGCCGTACGCCGCGCCCATGCCTGCGACGCGACGGGGAGGGGTTCGCGTGGGCAGATAGAGGCGCGATGATGAAGCGTTCGAAGGAGCGTTCGATCGTTGAGCGAACGAACGACGTTGTTATCCAGATGCTGTGTAGATTTCTCGGAGAGATGCATCGCGGATCTGAAGGTCGACGCGCGGCGGGGAACGCTCGAGAGGACGCACACGAAAACAAGAGCGCGGCCATCGCGCCCATGAACCCGAAGAACGGCGCGACCGGGTCGCCCCCGCCGGACGCCGCGTCCGCGCGGGTCACCGAGCACGACAGGACGAGGACGAGGACGAAGAAAACGCTCCTCGTCGCGCTCGCCGTTGCGCCGACGCGAGACATCGCGCGCGCGCGGGCGAAACCCCGGAAACGCGTCGCGAGTCTCGAGGGCTTCCTCCAGGAAGCGCGCGCGCGGTTCAGACGCCGCGCGCGGCGCGAAGTGTCCCCGCGTCGAGTCGCGCGCGCGGGCCAACGACAGCCACGCATTCGTCCAGAGATTTTTTTTTGAGTTTCCGACAGCGACACGCGGCATGTGTTTTTCAACGTTCCGCCGCGCGAAGCGACGCCACTCATCGCTCGCCGCACCGCACGCCACTCATCGCTCGCCGCACCGCACGCACGCTCGACAACACCATGTCCGACCCCGCGCCCGCTCCCCTCGCCAAGAAGCTCTCGAAGGCGGAGACCAAGAAGGCCGCGAAGGCCGCGAGTAAAAAGGCCCCCGAGGCGGCCCCGGCGCCTCCGCCGACGCCGCCGAAGCCGACGAAGCCGGCCGCCTCGGGCGGCGGGATCGACGGTAAGGTCCTCGGCGCGATCGCGGCGATCGCGGCGCTCGCGTTCGTCGTCCTCGGCAAGAAGGAGCCCGAGCCCGTGCCGGTCAAGGGCAAGGGACGCCGCTAGGCGAAGAAGAACTCGGCGGGGACGTGTTTCTGCACGTCCCCAGATCATCCGCGCCGCGCGCTCGCGCGCGAGCGTCTGGTAGACCCCGCGTTGACTACATGGCTTCTAGCGTTTTATTCGATGATTACTGAACGTTTTCCACCGTCTTCGCGCGCCCGATCAACCCGCGCGCGCCCCGGTCCCGCGTCCGCGATCGCTCAGAGCCAGGGGGATCAAAGATCGGCGCCCGCGCGAAAAGCTGACAGATTTAACAGAAAACAACGACCAATCGAGTTCGCGCGAACACGCGTACGGTGAAATTTATATATTTATGTATGAAGTCTAGTCTCAAAAAGAGCCCAAAATCGCGACGATCACGCGCATCCAAAAAAGCGCGCCCAGAAAATAAAAGCGCGCGAGCCGTGGACCGGTTTTTTCGCACGTGTGTCACCGCCGGCTCAACCGCTCGCGCGAGGACGGGACGGGAAAAGCGCCCGGGCCGCAGCCGACGAACGCCGCGCGCGTCGTGGTCTCCCGCTCTTCCAGGCCCACGCCGAGGCGGACGGTCGTCGTCGTCTATCTATCGTCACCCCGCGCCCCCCCCGCGCGCCTGCTCCCCCCCCGCGAGTGCGCCTTCGCTCTGCTTCCCCGCCCCCGCGGCGTCCGCCGCTCTCTGTTCGCCGCCGCTCGCCCGTCGTCGTCGTCGTCGTCGTCGTCGTCGTCGTCGTCGCCGTCCCCGAGCGCGCGCTCGCGCTCCCTCGCCGCCGCCTCCGCCGCCGCCGCCGCTTTCCTCACGCGCTCGTCGTGCGCGCGCATGATCTCCTCCGCGTCGCCGTGCGCGCCGAGCATGTACGCCTTGAGCGCGGCGAACACGGGCTCGAACGCGAGCTCCACCGCGCCGCCGCCGCCGCCGCCGCGGTCGCCGTCGCCGTCGCGGTCGCCGCGGTCGCCGCGGTCGTCGTCGCCGTCCTCGTCGAACATCGCCGCGGTCTCGAACACCGCGCGCGTGACCTCGGGCGGCACGTCCGCGCACGTCAGCGTCGCCATCGCGTGCCAGTCCTCGCGCTTCATGCGCGTCCCCAGCCTCGCCGCGCCGGACGCGACGCGTTTGAACGCGTTGACGAACGCGCACTTGTTTCGCGCGGACGCCTCGACGAAGTCCCACTCGCGCCCGTGGACGTGCCTCCCGACCGCGACGGCGTGGAAGTACTCCGCCGCGAGCTCGATGTGCGCGCCGGGACTCGGCTCGTCGTGTATCGACGCGGAGGACGACCGGGGCTTGAGGGCGCCCGCGTCGTTGGCGGCCGCGGAGCATCGCGCGACGTGCTTCAGCGCTTCCACGACGAAGAGATCGAGATCGTGCTCTCGCGCGTACGCCGCCGCGGACATCGCCATGCGTCGCTCGTCCGCGGCGCGGCGCGAGCCGAGCGCGGCGAACCCGCGCGTCGCGTCCGCGGAGGCGGGCGCGGACGCCGTCATGCCCGCGCGGCGGCGCGGTTCGAACTGACGACGACGCGTCGAATTGAAACTCATCGACTCGTCGCGGTGCCGTCTTCAGTGCAGTTCCACATCGTTCTCGGACGACGCGACGAGCCGCGCTCATTTCTCCAATGCGCGTCGTGCTCCTCGCGCTCGCCGCGCTCGCGCTCGCGAGCGGCGTCGACGCCGCGACGCCGACGCCGACGCCGCGCGCGCGCTCGAGCTCGTCGCCCACGCCGGTCGTCCTGTGGCACGGAAGTGCGTCCCGACGCCGCCCCTCTCTCGCCTCTCCCCGTCGGATCTCGCGCTCGCCGTTCTCGTCGCCGACGCGCCCCCGTCCCCCCCACCGTCGTCTCGTCGTCGTCCGCAGTGGGAGACAACTGCTGCATGGGCATCCGCGGCATCGGCGAGCTCATCGCGAGAGAGATCCCGGGCACGCACGTCCACAGCGTCATGCTCGGCTCGAACCCCGCGGAGGACGCGTATCGCGGGTTCGTCGGCGACGTCAACGCGCAGGTGGAGAGCCAGTGCGAGACGCTCGCGCTTGACGCGCGCCTCGCCGGCGGGTTCCACGCGATCGGGTTCTCGCAGGGCGGGCAATTCCTCCGCGCGCTCGCGCAGAGGTGCGGCGATCGTCTGAACGTTCGGTCGCTGATAACGTTGGGCGGGCAGCACCAGGGCGTCGCCGCGCCGCCGCGATGCGGCGGGGACGCGACCGCGGCGGCGGCGGCGGCGGAGGAGGAGGAGGAGGAAGACGACGGCGAGGAGGAGGAAGACGACGGCGCGTCGTCAGCCTCCGTAGGGGCGCTGTGCAGAGCGATGACGGACGCGATCGCGCGCGGGGCGTACGCCCGATTCACGCGCGACCGGATCGTCCAGGCGCAGTACTTCAAGGACGCGAACGACCTCGCGTCGTACAGGAAGCACAACCCGTTCCTGCCCGACGTCAACAACGAGCTCGTCGATGACGGCGGGGAGGAGACGAGAAACGAAACGTACCGACGCAATCTGTTGAGACTCGAGAAGCTCGTCTTGTTCAAGTGGACGGACGACACCGTCGTCGTCCCGCGAGAGTCGTCGTGGTTCGGGACGTACGCGGAGAACGACCGCGGCGGCGCGATCGTCCCGCTGCGCGAGCAGAGGATGTACGCGGAGGACTGGCTCGGGTTGAGAGCGCTCGACGAGGCCGGGCGACTGAAGCTGTTGGAGATACCGGGCGATCACATGACGTTCACGCGGGAGTGGTTCGTGACGAACGTGATCGACGCGCACTTGCGCGAGGGCGGGGGCTTTAAAGGGGCGGCGGGGAGGTGGTGGTTGGGAGGTGGCCCCTGGCGCGGTGGGGTACGGGCGTTCGCGCGGTGGCTTCGCGGCGCGACGACGCGACGACGCGACGACGACGACGACGACGACGACGACGACGCGTACGGAATCGAATAACCTTAATGAATGATGAGAAAGAGGGACAGCCGACTCGTGGTGGACGTCGTCCGTCACTCCGCCGGAACGATCCCGCCGCACCCGTTCGTCATCGTGTTCGCACCCCCCAGCCCGCACCCCGCGACGTCCTTGAACAGCGCGTCCGGCCCGGTGTCGGACAACCGCAGCACGGTGATCTCGTACGTCACGACGCTCCCCCCCGGGATGAGCGCGAACGGCGATCGCGTCGCGGCGTCTCCGAACCCCGCGGCGGGGGCCACGCGCACGGTCTTCACGCCGCCCACGCGCATCCCCTCCACCGCGCGCTTCAACCCCGCGCACTGCCCCGGGACCGGGTCGATACCGTTCACCCGCACGATCACCGGCCTCGGCTCCGCGGGCTGCACGGACTGCTGCGCGCCGTTGGTGAAGAACTTCTCGCCGCCGTACGTCGTGTCCACGAGCGTGTCGTCGCCGACCGTCGCGACGTAGTTGACGAGGACCAAGTCTCCGGTCTTCGCGGTCTTCGCGCCGAAGCCGGCGGTCTCGGAGACGACCTCGAGGTCGTCGTCGTTCGCGCGCGCCGGGGACGGCGCGATCGAGGTCGCGAACAGCGCGGCGGTCGCGGAGACGCCGAGGACGCGGCGCGGGACGATCGGATGGACGTCGATCGCCGGGATCGCCGACGACGACGCGTCGGTCGCGTCGGGGACGGACGCGCGGACGGGGACGACGCCGCGGCGCGCGGCGACGGAGACGCGCGGTCTCGCGGGGACGAGGAACGCGGCGGAGACGGCGGAGGGGACGCACGCCATGGCGACGGCGGGCGTGGCGCGCCTCGGAGTGGACGACGTTCCGAGACGGCACGTGGCGTGTTTTCCCTCAGCTGCGAGCTGCAGTGCATCTCCGCCAACAGAACTGATTCATCAGTTCTTCCGTGCGCCCTCGTCCGTCGCGCGCGGAGGAGGGGCGTCGTCGCGCGTCATGGCGAAGCGCGCGGGCGGCGTCAGCCTGTGGCGCCGCGTGACAAACTACGTCAAGCACGACCTGCGCGAGATCGTCTGGCCGAGGCCGATGGACGACCCGCCCGGGACGACGAGCGTGTTCGAGGGGCTGACCGCGAGGGATCACGCGCGCGTTTGGTCGAACGCGTGGCGCGAGTACAAGCGCGGGTGGCGGTGGTACTTCGGCGAGCCGGAGAGCGACCGCGAGGAGAGAATCGCGAGGGAGAAAGCGGAGGGGACGCACGTCGAGGACGAGTACGAGGCGCTGGACCGGGAGGAGTTCGAGGCGCTCAAGGAGGAGGCGGGGAGGATGGCAGCGGCGGGGAAAGCGATGGGCCATGACGGGTGGAAGCATCAGCTGCAGATGTTCTACAGGACGCGGGGGAAGGTGTACACGCGATCGATAGCGGAGTTCGTGAAGGGGTACAGAGAGGGCATGGCGGAGTCGACGCTGAGGTCCCGGATGGCGCAGCAGGGAGAGGAGGAGGAACCGCCGCCGCCGCCGCCGCCTCGGAAGTGACGAGGAAGGATCGTTTATCATAGCCAGGATCGTTTAGCAGCTCTCATCAGCTCGTCACTCGAACACCTTCCCGAGGAATCGCTGAAATCTTCTCGAGTACCGCACCGGATCGACCGCGGATATCGCCCCTCGCCCGTGCAGCGACCCCCGGAGCGCGCTCTCCATCCGCTTCGCGCCGTTGTACTCCTGAAGGATGTCGATGATCCCGAGGTGCAACACGACGTCCCTCGCGGCGTCCCTCGCGGCGCGCGCGTCGGCCAGCCCAGGCCCAGGCCCCGCGCCGCCGCAGCCGCCGCCGCCGTCCTCTTCGACGCGACCCTCCGCGCGCGGCTCGTCCTCGTCCTCGTCCTCTTCCGCGACGGGAGTGGGCGCGCGTCGAAGCGACGACGGCACCGCGACGGCGACGGTGTTCACGCCGAGACGAACTTCTTTCTCTCCCGCGGCGAGCGCGATGTGGTCGCCGCCGCCGAACGCGCCGGGGACAGGGCGCGCGTCCGACGTCCTCGTCGGCGCGGTCGAGAGGACGTCGTCCAGGTGCCCGAACGAGCGGCGTCGCTCGCTGCTGCTGCTGAGGGCGGAGGAGAGGCGGCGAAGCGCGACGCACACGTCGCCGTCGCCGTCGCCGTCGTCCGACGGAGGGGTGAGAGGACTCGTCGCCTCTTCGTCGTCGTCGCGCCTCGTCGCGCCGCCGCCGCTCCCTGACGACGCGTCGTCGCTCTTCACGTCTCGAAAGTGCACGCCCACGAGCAAGGAGTAGTCCATCACCTTCATCTCCTCGAGCAGACGGCAGTCCTCCCGCAGCGTCCGCGACAGCTTATCCCTCGCGCCGACGTCTAGACGAAACGCGTAGGCGAGGTCCAGGTCCTTCAACGTGACCCCCGGCCCCGCGCTCGACTCCCCGCCCTTGGTGTACCGCCCGTGCGTGCTTCCTTTGAGGTCGTACACGCGATGGATCGGCAGCTCCGTGCGGAACAAGTTCGCCATGACGATGAACCGGACCTTCCTTCCTTTCGGCGTCTTCACGCGGTACAGGCCGAAGAATTTCGTCAACAGCGTCGACTCCGATTTCGATACGTGCGCGTGATACCGCGGCAGCGCTTCGATCAACGTCTTCGCCTCGTGCTTCCGCATCGTCTTCACGATGAACTTGTCGTCGTGCGAGAGGTAGAACACGCTGCCGGACTTCCCCGGGGACGGGAGCTCTCTGAGCGCGGCGTCGCCGCAGAGAGAAAGCATGAAGTCGCCGACGTCGATCCCCCAACGCTTTCGAAGCGATTTGAACGTCCCGGGGGCGTAGTCTTTCCACTTGAAGTCCCCGGCTGGGTGCGGCGGCGTCGACGCGGACCCGCCCCGCGGGAAGCTCTGCTTGATTTTGCGCGTCGCGTCCACGGCGGGCGTGATGAGTTCCGCCGTCGTCGCCGCCGCCGTCGCCGCTGCCGCGCGACTCGGGGCCTCGCCGCGGCCGATGCTCCACCGCACTCCCACCTGCAACTGCACCATGAGCTCGTAGCTCTTGTGCCCTTTGTATATCGTCTCCCCCGCGAGCGGCGTCCTTCGCGCTTGAAGCCACCCCATCTTCGCCCTCGGCGCGGTCACCGCGGCCGCGGCGGCGAACACCGCCTCCGCGGCTCGGTACCGTCCCCCGCCTTTCGACGCTCTCTCCGCCGCGGCCATCCCTCCGACGACGTTCACGCCGCGGACGACGTCCGCTTCGATTATCTCCTCGCGTATGAGCTTCCCGTCGTCGTACTCGCACAAGAGGAGTTTCTTCCCGCGGTGGCGGTGTTTCACCACGGGCGCGCCCGCGGCGAGCGCGCCGATGACGTCGTCTTCGTCGATCGAAACCGAAACGCCGCCGCCGCCGCCGCCGCCGCCGCCGCCGCCGTTCTCCTCCTCCTCCTCCTCCTCCTCCTCCTCGGTGTCCTCGTCGGTGTCGACCTCCCCGGTCACCTCCTCCTCGGAGGGCTCGAACAACCTTCGCGCCGCCGCGCTCCCCGGGGTCTTCCCGCCCTCGATGCTCCCGGCACGTCGCAGCCGCGTCGCCCGCTCGCCCGCGCGTTTCCTCTGCTTCTTCTTCCTCTTGTCGAGCGACGGCGCCCATATCCCGACGCCGTGCTTCTTCCCTCGGCGCCACGTCCCGCTGAACGTGGCGCCGGTATCGTGCCACGTGTACACGCCGTTCCCGTGCTCGAGTCCGTCTTCCCACTCGCCGTCGTGCCGGTCCCCGCGTCGGTCCCCGCCGCCGTCGCCGCCGCCGTCGCGAAAAAACACGAGCGTCCCCCACCCCGACATCGCGCCGTCCCTGAACTCGCCGTTGTACTCGTCCCCGGACGCCCACGCGTACGTCCCCGGGCCGTGCGGGACGCCATCTTTCCACAGGCCCTCGTGCGCGTCTCCGTTCGCGAACGTTTGCCTCCCTAACCCGCGCTTCTCGCCGGCGAAGAACGACCCTCGGTAGGCGGTGACGCCGTCCGCGGAGACGAGCGCGCCGACGCCGTGCATCGCGCCCCGGAACCACTCGCCGTCGTACCTCGCGCCGGAGCGCCAGGCGTAGACCCCGCGGCCGTGTTTTTTGCCGTCTTTCCACTCGCCGACGTACGCGTTGCCGTTCGAGTATCGACGCGCCTGCGGCGGCGACGCGACGGGAGAAGGTCGGGGATGAGGAGAGAAACGGACGCGTCGCGTCGACGATCGGATCAGATTCGGGCGTTACGGATCTCGGCGCGCGCGGCGACGGGGTCGCGACGCCGCGGAATTCGCGCACCTCGCGCTCGGCATCGCCGTCGCTCGGCCGCGTGGTGGATGTCATGCTCGCGCGCGGTCGCGACCGCGGAAGCTCGCGCTCGCTTCCGCGCGTCGACGCTTTGCGCGACGTCCTTGACGGGACGGGCGGACGTTCTCGCGACGCGTAAACTTCCTGTCGTCGCGTTCACAAAACAGAAACCGGAGGCGCACGGCACGACGCGCGCGCCGTCGCTCGCGATGTCGCCGCCCCCCTCCGACGGCCCCAAGCCGAACTTCGTGTCGAACCTCGCCGCGAGCGCGTTCGCGTCGTGCTTCGCGGAGGCGTGCACGATCCCGCTCGACACCGCGAAGGTGCGGCTGCAGCTCCAGGGCGCCGCCGCCGCGGGGACGACGCCGCGATACAGAGGCATGCTCGGGACGATCGCGACCGTCGCGCGCGAGGAGGGCGCGGGCGCGCTGTGGAAGGGGATAACCCCGGGGTTGCATCGGCAGATTTTGTTCGGCGGGCTGAGGATCGGTCTGTACGACCCGGTGAAGAACTTCTACGTCGGGAAGGACCACGTGGTGCGCGCGACCGCGACGCTCTCTCCGCGTGGATTTGAACGTCGTCCGTCCGTCGTCGCGTCGCGTCGCATCGTGTCAAAATAGACTCCTTCCGTGGACGCCCGCCGCGCCGTCCCCTGACCGCCTCCTCTTCCCCCCGCCCCCGAACCAAACGCAGGGCGACGTCCCGCTGCACTTAAAAATCGCAGCCGGGATGACGACCGGCGCGCTCGGCATCTGCGTCGCGTCGCCCACGGACCTCGTGAAGGTGCGCCTGCAAGCCGAGGGGCGGCTTCCCGCGGGCGCCGCGCGCCGGTACCCGTCCGCGGTGGCAGCGTACGGGATCATCGCGAAACAGGAGGGCATCGCCGCGCTGTGGACGGGACTGACGCCGAACGTCGCTCGCAGCGCGGTGATCAACGCCGCGGAGTTGGCGTCGTACGACCAGGTGAAGGAAGTGTTGATGGGGTCGTTCGGGATGGAGGACGGCGTGCCGTTGCATCTCATCTCCGGGTTGGGCGCCGGGTTCGTCGCGGTGTGCGTCGGGTCGCCGGTGGACGTCGTGAAGTCGCGCATCATGGGCGACAGCGCGGGGGTGTACAAGGGGTTCATCGATTGCGTCGTGAAGACCGCGAGTAAGGACGGCGTCGGGGCGTTTTACAAGGGGTTCGTGCCGAACTTCGGGAGGCTGGGGAGCTGGAACGTCGTCATGTTTCTCACGCTGGAGCAGACGAAAAAGGCGATGCGCGAAAACGGGTTGATGTGATGAGCACTTCGCGCGGTCGACGCGCTAGCCAGAGTTGATTATCGAGTAGATTGATTTATCCGCGACGTGCGCGACCACGCGCGCGCGAGATCGAGTCGAGGGTCGAGTCGACGTGATTTAGGAGTCGAAATCCTCCGTTACAACCAAACCAGTCACCGAGCTAAGCACCCATCGGCTATCCTCGCCATGAGCCCATCGCGAGGCCCGCCTAACAGATCTCCCGATCCCGTTTACTCGGCGGCCGCGCGCTTCTTCGACTTGGCCACCGTGCCTGAAGAGAGAAGACGCGAAGAGGGGGCGATGCGATTCGGTCAGTCGTTCGTTCGCGTCGGTTTCGCGCGCGAGTCGAGCGCGCGGGTTCGGGCTGAAGCCCGCCCGATTTCGAGGACGACCAGGCTGGCCGTCGCGTCCGCGAGCGTGGAGACGTCCACACCGCGAATGCGACGGCGGCGACGCGCGTCGCCCGCGAACGAGCGACGCGCGCGTCTCCGTCCTCGCGTTCAAACAGCGAAGCCCCCGGTGAACGAGGAGAAAATGTGGTGTTCGCGCGCACCCTCACGGAAGCCGTTCTTGAAGCGGCGGGGGAGCGTCTTGAGGTATCTCATGCGCCCGGTGCCCGTGGTCCTACGGCCGATGGCCTTGGTGGACCAGTTGTCTGTGGAGAGGAAGGGAGAGGGGTCGCGCGCGTCAGTCTCGCGTCCGGCCGGCGTCCAACCCTACTCGAGAAGGATGCGCTATTCTATTTCTTTTCTCGCGCGGAGAGATCGAGCGTGGACGTACAGTTACGCTTCCGCGCGGAGGGGTAGCCGCACGCGCCGCACGTGGCCTTCTGGATGTGGTAAGACCGACGACCACACCTGTTTCGTGATTCAGCGTTGAGAAAGGAGAGGGATGTCAGCGTTCAGCTCGACGGGACGACGAGCCATTACGCGGCTTCGGAAAAACCCTAGAACGCGAGGAAGATTTCGTTCGCCGGAAAGGGAGGGGTGGGAGGGCGTGCGCACCTGCGGCACATGGTGTGAGACTTGTTGTGTCTCTTACCGAACGAACCGGTACCTTTCCCGATCTTACCCATGGTGCTCGAGGGACGTCGTCCGCTTCAAGCGCAGCGAAAAGAGGGACGGTGCCCGCGATGCTCGCGACTTTTGCAGCTCGATGCCGGGCGTTGGCGCTTTTAGCGTGTCGATGTTTTTCCAGTGTTTTTCGGTTCGTAAAAAACTGCCTCCTTAAGAGCTACCTTCGTATGAGACCTATAGTGCTACTACTCCGCGCGTTCATCACTCTACTCCCCCCGCGTCGCGTCCGCGTCCGTCCCGTAGAACCCGTTGAAGTCCAACCGCAGCCGCAGCTCCGCGAGCTCCGGAAACGCGCCGATGCGAAGCTTACTCTCGACCACTCGCAACACGTACGACCGCGCCCGCCGAAACGCGCTCGCCAGCGCCGCCGCCTCCGCCTCCGGAACCGGCGCGTACCCCGCCAACGCGGCCGCGTTCGTCGCCGCGGACGTGTCCGCGAACGCGGGGAGCCGCCCGATGACGGACCGCGACGGGTCCGGGTCGAGGTCCGCGGCGGCGACGGACGCCGCGCGCGCCGCCTCGCGTCGCGCCGACGCGAGGTCGCACGCGACGGCGAGCGCGGCTTTCACTTGCCCGGACAACAGCGTCCACGTCGGGTCCGGGGAGGACAGGCACTGCCTGCCGCACGCGTCAAGGAACGCGTCGTGCGCGGCTCGAGCCTCCGCGGGCGACCGCGCGCTCGCGATCGAGGACGACAGCTCGCGGCTCGCGGCGTGTAACACCCTCGACGCGACGTGCTCGTGCAACGCGTGCGCGAAATGACGGAGCTCCGCGGTGAGCTGCCGCGCGTGCTTGCCGCCGCCGCCGCCGCCGCCGAGGGCGCGACGTGCGGCGGGGCTCCAGCCGCTTCGCGTGACGTCGTCCAGCGACGCGCGCGCGCGTCGAATCTGAAGCAAAAACACCCCCGCGGCGTTATACTTTTCTTGGCACTCTCGAGAGAGCACTATGGACAGCGGCCACGGGATGTTCACGCGCAGCTTGAGCTTCGCGAGGGCCTCGAGCTGCGCCGCGCCGGGAGACGACGCGTCGCCACCGCCGCCTCTGGATCTGGAAGACGCCCTCCGCGGCGTTCCCGGCGTGAGCGACGTCGTCGAGTCGACGACGTCCACGAAGACGTCGGACGCCGCCGGGAGATCCCCAGACTCGTCCGACGCGATCGCCTCCGCGAGCGCGGCGGACAGCTCGCTCGGGTCCGCCCACGCGCCGCCGTCGTCGTCGTCGTCTTCGTCTTCGTCGTCGTCTTCGCCGCGCGCGCGCCGGTCGGATCGTCGCTGCTCGTGCGCGTCCAGACGCGCGAACACCGCGCGCGAGAACACCGACGCCGCCTCCCCCGCGCCGCCGAGAAACACCGCGCGCAGTCGCCTCGCGCACGACTCCAGCCCCCACTCGCCTCGCAGGCGCGTCATGAGCGCGCGCGCGACGTCGTCCGCGCGCGCGAGCGCGGGGGCGATCACCGCGCGCTCGACCAGCGCGCCGACCGGGCACGTCGCCGGCGACCGCGCGTCGGCGGACGACGCGAGCCACGCGTCGAGGTCCCTCGCGGCGAGAATCGCGCGCGACGGCTCAAACGGCGCGCCGGACCACTCCAGGACGTCGCCCGCGTGCGCGCGCACGCGCGTCGTCGTCCCCGCGAGCCCGGCGGCGACGAGCGCGGAGGTCTCAGATGCCGCGGAGGACCGGCCTCGATGCGGGACGAGCCCGTTCGAGGCGGCGCGCGCGGGCGGGGGCGGGGGCGGGGCTGCGTCCGCCGCGTCCGGTTCCGGAACCGGCTCCGGTCGCGACGGGCACGGCGCCAACGACGCGCCGCTCAGCATCCTGACGCTCTCGTCGTCGTCGTCGCCGCCGCCGCCGCCGCCGTCGATATCCTTCACCGCGACGGCGTCGGGCATGTCGACGTCCTCCGGGGTGGCGCCGCCGCCCCCCGCGCCGGCTTCGACCGCGGCGCGGATCTCCTCGCAAAACGCGACGCACAAGTCGCGCGCCATCTCCGGCGGCGGCGGCGCGGCGGATCCCCTCGTCCGAGACGGACGCCACGGGTCGTCGCCGTCGCCGTCGTCGTCGCCGTCGTCGTCGTCGCGCGAGCGGTGCGTCAGCCTGAGCAGCGCGACGGACTTCCCCGCGTCCAGCATCTCGTCCGCGACGCCGCGTAAAAACTCCGGCGCCTCCGCCTCCGCGGTGAGTCCCATCGCGGTCTCCTTCCTCCGCACGACGTACGCGTCGTTCCAGTGCGCCTCCGTGCCCACCTCCGCGCCGAGCCCCGGCCCGGGCGCGATGAACAGCTCCCCGCACGGGTCCGAGAGCTCCCCGGTCTCGAGCCATTTCGACAGCGAAGAAAGATACGGCTGCGCCGCCGCGGCGAACAGCCGAAGAGACGTCGCGAACCCGTCGCCGCCCACGTCCGTGGACGCCTCCGCTTGGTGCGACGCCGCGGCGCGGTACAGCGCGGTGAGGCACCGGGACGCGGCCGCCGCGTGCGCGGTGCGCCGCGACCGCGCCGGAGGCGGGAGCGCCGCGGTCGCGAGGGAGTCGAGGACGCGCGCGCGCGCCGCGATCGCCTTCGCCGCCGTCCGAAGCTCCAAAAGCGTCGGCGCGCCCTCCTCGCCGACGCCCGCGGCGCGACGCAGCAACGGCGCGAGCTCGTCGCGCAGTTCCCTCACGCAGCGCGTCAATCCCGCGGCGAACGCGCGAATCGTGGGCCCGTACCCTTCCCGCGCGTCGTTCGTCGGCGTCGGCGCCGCGGCGACGGCGACGGCGTCCGCGCGCTCGAGCACGCGGTCGAGCATCTCCGCGGCGTCCGTCGCCCGCTTCAGACCGCCTATCAGCGCCGCGCGCGAGAGGTGCGGCACGACGGCGTCCTCGCATGCGCGCGCGGGCGCGAGCCCGTGCAGCGCGTGCAGCGCGGCGCCCACCGCGGCGGTCTCCGTCGTCGCGGCGGCGAGACTCGCGCCGGCGACGACGCCGCTCAACTTCAACGCCGGCTGCAGCCTGCTCGCGGCCTGGACGACGCGCGCTCCCGCGCCGTGGCCTCGACGCGCGAGTCCGCCGTCGTCCCACCGCCACTCCACCTCTTTCTCGTCTTCGCGCGTCGCGTCGTAGTCCGGTTTGGCGTCGCTCCAGGAGAACCCGAGGCCGTCTTCGTCGTCGTCCCGCGCCGCGCGCGACGCGCTCGGACCGTCCGCGAGGTCGCCCGCCGCGCGCGCGTCGTCATCGATGCCGTCGCGCTCGTCTTCGCTCCACTCGCTCAGCGTGGACGCGGACCGCGCGTCGTCGTCGTCGTCCTCGTCGTCGTCGTCGTCGTCGTCGTCGTCGTCGTCGCGCTGGAATTTGAAATCTAGGACGCTCCGCTCGCCCTCGCGTCGTCCCGTCCCCGCGTCGTCGTCCTCCCCGAGCGCGATCGCGGCGTCGATGGCGGTGTAATTCGACTTCAGCGGGTCTCGCGAGAGCCCCAAGAGCAGCGCGAGGACGCGCGAGTGCACGTCCGGGACGTCGGACGCCCACGCGCGCGATCGGAACCGCGCCACGAGCAGGTCCAGCGCGCGCTGCTTCTCCAGCTGCGCGTGCATCCCGAATCGCTCGCGCAGCGCGTCCAGGGACGCGTTCACGGCGTTCGGGTCCGTGTCCGGGAACGAGTGGAACTGCGTGTGGTACATGCAGTAGTTGTGCGCGATCGCGTGGTTCTCGTCATCCTCCTGGCGTGCGACGAGCGGGGTGGAAGGGAGCGGTCAGAGGTGCGCGTCGTGGTTTTTTTCTCGCGCGGTCGGAGGCGACGACGGGAAGAATCGCGGGGACGCGCGCGGAGGGGTCGAGGGCGCGCGCACCGTGACGCCTACGAGTTTCTCGACGAGGCGCGAGAACAGCGCGTCGACGTTCTCGCTGCGCTGGGCGCCGAAACTCGACGCCATCGCCTCGTTTCCCCGCGCACCCGCGCACTGACGCGAGAGGATTTTGAACAAGAGTGATGAAGAAAAAAGCACTTCTGAGAGCCTCGTCCACTCACTGCTAAAGAAAAACTACTGAGCACTACACCGCACCCTCGGCGACATCGACACTGCGATGCGATCCCGCGCTCAAACCGAATTGATCGCCGACACAAACCTCTGACCGAAAGCGTCGCTGCCGTCGATGGTCCCCCACTGCGACACGCAGAGCTCGCCGTGATATGCGCACGCCTCGTTTCGCAAGCAAAAACACCCGGTGTGTGGCCATAAATCCCACGACTTCGTCGGGTCGGTAACGGCGGAGTTTTGGTCGACGCAGACGAAGGCGTAGCCCTCGCCCTCATCCGCGAGAAGGGCGTTGGTCTCCGCGGCCTGTGCCTCCGTGAACAGGACCTCGCCCGGATACTTCCCGCACGACTCCGGCGACATTTCATACAGGAGCATCTCTATCGTCCTCGCGAAGCCGTACAGAACCGCAGCGCCGAAGGCTAACCGCTCCACGGGCGAGGATGAATCCATCGGGACCTTGGCTGCGCCTCTCGTCATTGTTGTCTCGTTACACGCGGCGACGACCCACCACGAGATCTCGTTCGCGCTCGCGGTGGAGTGGAGACCCATCGCTTTATCGTGGAACAGTTGGAATTCACGGAACAAGAGCGGTTCACATGATTGAATAGCCGAGACCGTGCCCCCGCCACGACGCATCCGATCCATTATCCTTCGCCATATGCGAACGACGACGCCGAGGAGGAAGGCCACCCCCGGCCCCGGCTTCCAGTCGTGCTCGCGCGCGATCTTCTCGACCGCATCCAGGACCGTGCAAGTGCCCCGGTGTACCGAGATCACCGTCATGTCTGAGCTTATCTCCTCGTCCGATGACCCACTGCGGTATCTAAGCATCGCTTCCTCTGTGCACGTCGCCAACTTGTCCCTCCAGCGCTGTGTGAGCGTCTCGACGACGTGCCTCACTTCATCAGCGCTCCCTTGGAGGTCCCCGCTCGGGGACGTCGTGAACGCGTCGTCGGCGTCGTTCTCGAAGAACCGCGCGCGCGCCATGACGTACCCGTCCTGTATCCGTTCCGAAAGAACCTCGCACCGCCTCCTGCCCTCGACGATGATGTGGAACCGCCCGTCCGGCTGCGGGTCGCACCGCAGGATCTTCACCTCGCACGCGTGCGCCGAGTCCGGATGCTTCATCCCGAATCGCCGCGATCCGCTCTCCATCGCGCGACGAATCAGGAGCCTGTACCGCGGCTCGAAGATGTTCAGACCGAACCTGTCGAACGGCATCACGTCCGACATGACGAACAGAGGGATGTTCCCCTCGAGCGCGTCGCCGTTCGTCTCCGCGGACCCGGCGAGCAGCTCGGCTTCCTCGGCTTCGCGCCGCGCGCGCGCCCGCTCCGGGAAGAGCTGCGACACGAGAGCGCGCAGCGTGACGTTCACGGGCGTCTTCGCCGCGCTCGAGACGAGCACGACGCTCCTGCAGGTCGGGCACCTCGGGTCGTCGCTGTGGTCGAGCGCCCTCGCGAGGCAGCGGCGGCAGAACGTGTGCCCGCACGGCGTCGTGACCGGGTCGCAGAACAGCTCCAAGCAGAGGACGCACTCGCACGTCTGCGCGATCGCGGCGGTCGACGTCGACGGCGACGGCGACGGCGACGGCGACGGCGACGTCGCGCGCGCGGTCTCGTCGTCCTCGGGCGCGCGCTCGCGTCCGCGCTTCGCCCCAGGGTTCGCGTCCGCGGTGTCCACCGCGTCCGCCATCGGGACGTCCGCGTCGTCGGACATCGCGACGCGCGCGCGAGGGGCGCAGTGCGTCGGCGCCGGCCGCGACGACGCGCGAAACGCGTTCACGGGACCGACCGACGTCATCGTAATGAGGTTGTTCCGAAAGTTTGGATTTCAGTGCGCGCGCACGCGAAACGACTCGGTATCCACTACACGACTAAATCGATAAGGTTACCATAAGTATCATAATAACACACGCATCGCGCGTCGCGTCGCGTCGCATCCCGGCTTCTGTTCTCGTCGAGGTCACTTGAGCCCGTACGCGCGCGTCGCGCCCTCGAGCGTGTTTTGCAGCAAAATCGCGATCGTCATCGGCCCGACGCCGCCCGGCACCGGGGTGATGTACCCCGCCACCTTCGAACACTCCTCGTAGTCCGCGTCGCCGACGAGCCGGTACCCGTGCTTCTTCGACGGGTCGTCCTTCGCGTTGATCCCGACGTCGATCACCGCCGCGCCCGGTTTGATCCACGACCCTTTCACCATCTCCATTCGACCGCACGCCGCGATGACGATGTCCGCCCGGCGCACGATCTCCTCCGAGTTTGGCGTCTTGCTGTGCACGATCGTGACCGTCGCGTCGCGTCGCTGCAACAGCAACGCCGCGGGGGTGCCGACGACGTTCGAGCGCCCGACGACGACGGCTTCCTTGCCCGCGATGGGGACGCCCGTGCGTTCCAGGAGCTCGATGCACCCGCGCGGCGTGCACGGCACGAAGAGCGGCTCTCGCCCTCTCTGCGATAAGCGACCGATGTTCAGCGGGTGGAACCCGTCCACGTCCTTCTCGTAATCGATCGCGCCCAACACGCGCTCTTCGTCGATGTGGTCCGGCATCGGGAGCTGAACTAAGATGCCGTGCACGTCGGGGTCCGCGTTGTACGCCTGCACGACGGCGAGGACCTCGTCCTCGGTCGCGTCCCCGGGGAGGTCCGTCCCGAAGGACTGGATCCCGGCCTCCTCGCACGCCTTCTTCTTGCTTCGGACGTACGTCTCGCTGTCTTTGCGGTCGCCGACGAGGACGACGGCGAGGCCCGGAACCTTCCCGCCCGTCTTCTCCTTCATGGCGGCGACCGCGAGCCGAACTTCCTCGCGCACGTCCGCGGCGATCGCTTTGCCGTCGATGACCTGCGCGTCCGCGCGGATCGTCGATCGGACCGGGCGCGAGACGCGCGCTCGGGGCGCGGACGCCTTGAGGGAGCTCGCGAGGGAGGCGCCTCGGAGGGCGGGGGCGTGCATGGCGTGCATAGTAGCCGGCGGCGCGGCGCGGTGGTCAGTGATGAGAAGGTTTTTTTCAAAGCGAGCACTGAAAAAAGCGGGCGGCGGGCATGGGCACTCAGGGGGAAATAAACAACGAACGCCCGCGCCCGCAGTCCCGGGGCGCGCGGTGGAACATCCGCGCGGCCCTCGGCGCACGCGCGGCTTCGCGCGCGCCCTTCGACGGGCGTCGCGAGACCCGGCGAGGGAGCATGGCGGACCGCGCGCGGCTCCTCCCCCGCGCGGAGCTGCTTCATTACGGCATCGTCCGAGCCGCGGGAGGCGCCGACGCCGGCGACGCGGTGCTCCGCGTGGACGTCGCCGGGGACAGGCTCGTGGAGGTCGTGAACGGCGTGGACGAGAAGATAATATACTTCGAGGACGTCGTGTGCTACGCCGTGGACGACGACGACGGGCTCGGGACGACCTGGGACCGGGACGGGGACGACGACGACGACGACGCGGAGGACGAGGAGGACGAGGATGAAATCTCCGTCTCGCGGACGACGATCACGATAACCGTCCGAACCGGGGAGGGAACGTCGTCGGACTCGGAGTACTCGGACTACGGCGACGACGACGAAGACAAGGACGAGGAGACGATCGACGTGGACTACAGGCTGCAGACGGTCGCGGACGTCCGCGCGCTGCGTCACGTGCTGGAACGCATCGCGAACGGAACGCTCCGCGACGACGACGAGGACGACGACGACGACGACGGCCCGTCGACGTCCTACGCGCTCGGCCCGTTCGCCGGACTCGACCGCCGCGTCGTCCGCGGCGGAGTCCTCATGCGGCGCGAGCGCGGGGAGTGGAAACGATGCGCCGCGGCGGCGACGCGAGGGAAACTCTTCGTCCTCGCCCCGAGCGCGAAGGGGGACGGCTTAGTTGTCACGACGGCGGTGTCCCTCGCGGGCGCGCGCGTCGTCCCGCGCGGCACGCGTCTCGGACACGACGCCGGCGAGTTCGACGTCATCGCGCCGCCGAACGTCCGGCTCGTCCTCGCCGCGCGCGGGGGATTGGAACGGAATTGCTGGGTCGACGCGGTCCAGCGCGCGATCGACGCGGCGTCTCCGCGCGGGCCGCGTTTCGGCGGCGGCGCGATTTCAAACGCGCGCGCGGATAAAGAGAACGACCTGGTGTGGTCGAACGGGCGGCTCGCGAGCGAGGTTTTGGACGAGGACACGAGAGCGGCGATCGCGGAGGCGACGCGAGTCGCCGCGGGGCTTCAGGCGGCGAAGGGTAACGCGCACGACGCGATCGTATCGCCGTTGAAGCGAGGAAGCGGTCGCGGCGGCGGCTGGGACGACGACTCGGACGACTCGGACGATTCGGACGACCTCGAGGAGGAGGGCGGCGACGGCGTCTTCGTCCTCGGGCGGTGCTGGAAACGTCTGCAGCTCGGTGTGAGCGAAGGATACCTGTTCACGTTCGCCGTGGACGCGCTACGGCCGCGATCGGTCGCGGTCTCGGGCGACGACGACGCGTCGATGTCCTCCGAGCGCGCTACCGCGACGCGAATGACGCTGCGGGTGGACGTCGACCGCGGCGTCGTCGAGGCGTACAAGGAGGGGAGAGGGAGAGGGAGAGGAAAAAAGGCGCGGGGGAAGGGTTCCACGCCGTCGACGATGTCCGAGACGACGCTGATCAAGACATTGAGCGTCTTCGAGGTGACCCCGGCGCCGCCGTCGCGAACGCGCGTCGGCGCGGACGCCCACCTCTCGTGCGAGCGGTTCATCACGCTCGAGATGATCCCGTCGTTTTACCGCGACGACGACCCGATCGAAGTCGCGACGTTCGCGTTCGACTCGAAGGAGGACCGCGACGTGTTCGTCGCCGTGACGAACGACGTGCGACGCGGGACGTACCTCTCCGCGGATAAGTATCAGCCGCGCGGGATCATCAAACGCGGCTCGGAGGTTTCGATGTCGACGTCGCGGCGAGACGGCGGCGGCGGCGTAAAAGGCGCCGGCGCTCTCCCGCCGCCGCGGTTCCTCGTTCTGATCCCCGGGAAGCTGTTCGTGTTGACGACCTCCTCCCCCCCCGCGCCGCTGTTCACGGTGAGTCTGACGTCGCCCGCGTGCGCGTTTGAAGCCAGGGCAAAGGACGCGGACGCTGTCGTGATGGTGTCCGTCTCGGAGACGCGGCGGTATTTCTTCCGCGTCGGGTCCGTCGACGACGCGCGCGAGTGGGTCGCCGCGCTGTTGGAAGCGTCTCGCGGCGCGTCCGCGAAGAAGAAGAAGACGACGACGGATGGGACGGAGAGCGAGCCGACGCCGAAGCACCCGCCGCGCCCGTCGCCGCCGCGGTCGCCGCGCGCGTTCGCGTACTCCCCGTCACCCGCGTCTTCGCGGTTCCGACGGAGACTCATCTTACAAGTCGACGCGAAGACGAGAGCGGAGGAAGAGGAAGCGAGAGCGGCCGCGGCGAGAGAGGAAGCGACAGAGAAGAGGAGCACGTCCATCTTCGCCGCGTTTTCAAAGCGCAAACGCGTCCGCGTCCCGGAGACGGCGGAGAAGTCCGCGGAGGAGGGCGCGGAGAAAGCACAAACGGCGCAGAAGACGTCCGCGCGCGAGAAGATGCGAGCCGCGGTCGCGAAAGAGCGCGAGGCGCGGAAGCGAGCGGAAGAAGACGCACGCGTGTTCGCGGAAGGCTACGCCGCCGCGAAGGCGAAGCAAAAAGCCGCGGAAGACCTCGCCAAGGCGGCGGACGAGCGACGCGTTCGCGCGGAAACCGAAGCCCACGCCGCGGTGTCGGAGAGGGCGGAGAGAGAAGCGCGCGAGAGCGTCCAAGCCGAGCTCGCGCGCGTGAAAGCCGAGGAGCTCGCGGCGAGGAAGCGAGAGGAGGAAGCGGACCGCGAGCGAGCCGCGGCGGCGGCGGCGGCGGCGATCGCGTCGGAGAACAAAACGAGAGAAGAAGCCCGGCGGAGGGCGGAATTCGACGCCGCGCTCGAAGCCGCGCGACGGGAAGAGCAGCGGTTAGAAGCCGAGGCGGAGGCTGCCGCGGCGGCGGTGAAGGCGGAGTTCGAGCTGGCGGCGATGGAGGCGTCCAAAGCCGCGGCGGCGGCGGCGGCGGCTGAAAAGTCCAGGCTTGACGCGCGAGCGAAACTCGAAGCGAGCGAACGCGAGCGCGTCGCCATGGAGGCGGCGAAGAGAGCGGCCGCGCGCGCGGAGGAGGACCGCCGACGACGCGCGGAGGAGGACGCCAGACGCGCGGAGGAGGACGCCAGACGCGCGGAGGAGGAGCGACGAGAGAACATCGCGCGCGCGACGGCGAAGGAGGCGGAGGAAGCCGCGAGGATGGCGGCGATGGTTCAAAAGGAAGCCACCGCCGCCGCCGCCGCCGCCGTCGCCGCCGCCGCCGCGGAGAAGCTCAACGAGATCAGCGCGAGCGGCGCCTCTCCGGAGTTTGCCGGGTTCGGCACGAGCGCGAGCGGCGTCGGTCCCAACGCGGACGGCGGCGGCTCCGGCGAGGGCACGCCTCGGCTCGGGAACTCGCCGCCGCCGTCGCCGCCGCCGTCGCCGCCGCGTCCGCCGCCGTCGTCGCCTTCGCTTCCGACCAACCCGGCGAACTCGGCGGCGGGCCGCGTGACCCCGCGGTCGAACTACTGGGCGTCGTTCTCAACGCTGCAAGCGCAAGCCGCGGCGAAACGGCCGCCGGCGAAGCAATCGCTCGCGTTCGAAGACCCGTCGGAAGACCCGCCGCGACGCTCGCCGCCGTCGTCGCCGCCGCCGCCGATTCGGCCGTCCCCCGGGCACCACCGCCGGACGTCGTCGATCACGTCCATCGGTTCCTTGGACGAGACCTCGCCGCCGCAGGGGACGACGACGACGACGACGACGACGACGACGACGACCGCGGAAGTCGCGAAGAAGAAGTCCACCAGGAGCAAGTGGCTGAAAGGGCTGTTCCGCTCGAGCTCGAAGACGAAGCCCTCGTCAAAATGATAACCTTTTATCGATAGAACACGCTAGCTAGAAGATGACTACCTCATCGCACGACGCGAGGTCTACTACTGTACTACCTACCTCACGCCGCCGCGTCGCGGTACGGTTTCCCCGTCGCCGGGTCCACCATCCCCTCCTTCGTGCCGTCCCACCCCGGCGGCTGCAGCGTGGGCCAGTCTCCGCGACACCCCATCTTGTTGTAAAACGTCTTCTTCCCCGCCAGCTGCTCGTCCCCCGCGAGCAACTCGCCGAGCGCGGCGACCACCTGCGACGCGATCCCGATCGCCTCCTCCTGGGTTTTGACCTCCGACGTGCTCATCACGAGGTGCGCGTCCGCGAACTCGTACGCCTCGCGCTGCGGCGCCGCCGCCGGGTCCGCCGCCGCCGCCGCCGCCGCGTCGACGTCGTCGAGCCAGATCACGAAGTGCCCGAAGAGATAATCCCAGCACGCGCCTCGCGCGGACGCGCCCTTCCCTCCTCCGCTCGTCGAGATGACGCACCGCAGCTGCGTGCTGAGCTGCTCGAACACCGCGTTCTCCGCGATGACGAGCCCGCCCTCGCCGTCGCTCTCCACGATCTCCGCGCGCGTCTGCCCGGTGATCTTCTCCACGAGGTCCGGCGTCGAGAGCGGGACGTAGCCCAGCGCGGACGCGAGCGCTCTCCCCACCGCGTCGTTCGCGCCCTCGCTGTCGCCGACGAACGTCACGGTGACGCCTTTCAAGTCCTTCGCGATCGCTTCCGCTTTCAGACGGAGCGTCTTCGACGCGTCGGACGGGCCGCCTTCGCCGTCGGACGACGACGTCGCGGACGCGGACGCGGACGTCGTCGTCGCGGCGGCGCGATCGGGTCGAAGACGACGCCGGCGGCCGCGACCGGGACCGGGACCGGGACCCGCGCGGAGGAGGGCGGGGGCGCGGCGCGCGCGCGACGCGAGGCTCGCCGCGCGCGCGAGGGACGAGGTCGCGGACGTCGACGCGACGGTCGACATGACGACGGAGGGCGAGACGCGCCGACGAGAGTGGCGAGCGCGGAGGCGCCGCTATCCAGCAGACTTCCGGAGTCGAGTGCGCTTTTTCATCACTGCTGGAGCTGGCCGTCATACCTCATCAAGCAGCGGAGACGGTTCAGGGAAAAAAGTGCATCGGTCAGTTGAAACGGGACGCGATCAAATGTTGAAACCAAGCGGTGGGTGAAAAACGTATGCTCATCCGTCGAGGACACCCGACTACCCCCCTATGAGGATTGAACTCATGACCAAAAAAATGGAGTCTCCGTTGGCGCGAAAATGATTGCTCATCCGTCCTCCGTCACGTACTCCCTACGGGATTGAACTCATCGGCGTCACAAACGCACGCGCGCGCGCACGAGTTCGCCTCGTCGATCGCCTCGCACCGTCGATCGCCGTTCATCGCGCGCGACACGCACGTCCGAGCCTCTCTCCTCGGTCGCGCCGATCCGATTCCGATTCGCGTTCGCGCGATCGAATTTAATTTGAGCACCCGAATTAATTCTTCTCGATCCACGACCGACGACGATCCGACGACGACGATGCGCCTCCTCAAGTTCCGCCGGTCGTTCGTCCTCGCCGCGATCGCGGTCCTCGCGACGCTCTCGCTCCCGTCCGTCCGCGCGCTCGAGCCGCTGCCGTTCGTGGAGATCCCCCTGTACGTCGGCGAGTCCAAGCAGACGCTCGGCATCTACGAGGGCGACAACGTGAACGAAGCCGTGGACGCGTTCGGCGCGACGCACGATCTCTCCCCGGACGAGCTCAAGACGCTGAAGGAGGAGGTCACGAAGCGGTTCGTCGCGATCGCGGACGTCGTGAGAGCCGGCGCGAGCCCTGGCGCGTCGTTCGACGGGAAAGAGCCGCTGTTCCAGTTCCCCGTGGGCGTCGGCGACGGCAAGGTGGTGCCTCTCAAACTGTACGAGGGCGACAACCTCCTCCGCGCGGTGCAGAAATTCGCCAAGAAGAACGGCGTCCCGGAGGACATCGTCCCGTCGCTGTTCCAGCAGATCCAGCTCAAGGTGTACGGCGAGAACTTCGACGACCCGACGATCACGCCCTTGGGCGGGGGCGCGCCCGGGGACGCGTCCGCCGACCCGGAGGCGCCGCCGCAGCTCCTCTACGAGTTTCCCGTGGACGTCGACGGCTCCGGGGACAAGGACAACTTGACGCCGTTGAAGTTGTACCGCGGCGACGTCTTGGGCGAGCGCGTGAAGGCGTTCGCGGAGGAGCACGCGCTGGACGACGAGGCGAGCGATAAGCTCGTCGCCGCGGTCGCGGAGCGCATCGCGGCGACGCAGCAGGCGGAGAAAGCCGCGGAGGAGATTCGCGCGAAACGCGAAGCCGAGGCTTTGGCCGCCGGCGAAGAGGGCGGGGAGCCGCCCGAGCCGCTGTACGAGATCCCGATCAACGTGGACGACGACACGTACCCGCTGAAGCTGTACGAGGGCGACATCTTGCGGACCGCGGTCGAGGCGTTCGTCATCGAGCACGGGTTCGAGATCACGTCCGTGCCGATCATCGTCGACGCGGTGTCCAAGCAGTTCAACAAGGACGACGCCGACGCCGACGCCGCCGACGACGACGGGTCGCCGAAGCCGCTCGTGTCGTTCGCGGTGTCCATGGACGGCGGCGACGGCAAGCCGCTGCCGCCGATCGCGCTGTACGACAACGAAGACGCGGACGTCGTCGCGAACGAGTACTGCGAGAAGCACGGCCTAGACGTGAAGGTCACCGCGCCGCAACTCGCGGACGCGTTGAGGAACTCGCTCAAGGAGAAGACGCCGGCGGAGAAGGCGGAGGCGCCCGCCGCGGCCGCGACGGAGGAGGAGAAGGGCGACGCGACGACGGGAGAGGATAAGGAGCTGTGAGGCGACGACGGGAGAGGAGAAGGAGCTGTGAGGCGACCCCGCGATCGATCGTAGCCCTACTGTATGTCGTGACGAAGCGCCGAGGATATCAGTCTGCGCCGCTGAGCGCTAATCTAATCCCATAGCCGCGCGTACGGCGCCCCCGCAACGCACTTGGCCACCGCGTCGTCGGCGACGGCGCGACACGCGGCGTGGACCTCGTCCACGGTCCCGGTCGCGTCCACGATCGTCCACCAGTCCTCTCTTAGCTTGTCGAAGTTCGCCCTGACCGCCTTCTGCAGGTCGGACGTCTCGTAGCGCTCCTCGCCGAACCCTCCGCGCGCCGCCGCGGCTTCGACGGGCATGTTGAGGTACAGCACCGCGTCCGGGCGAAGGAGGCCGACCTCGGGGGATTTGCACCACTCCAAGTCCAGCCCCGGGATCCCTTTCGCGGCGGTGAACGCGACGCCGCTGTACGAGTACCTGTCTACGACGAGGGTGACGCCCTCCGCGAGCTTCGCCTCCATCGCCGCGCGCTTCTCCCAGCGGTTCGCGGCGAACAGGAGGTGGATCGCGCCGTCGTCCATCTCCGTTTTCGACTGCAGGTAGCTGTTGATCATCTGTCCCATCGACGTCGTCCTGTCGGGGTACCGCCACAGCTCCGCGTTCACGCCGCTCGATTTCAGCGCCTCGACGAGCTTCGTGGACTGCGTCGTCTTTCCGCACCGATCGACGCCTTCGAAGAGGATGAACGCGCCTCTCGCGACGAGGCTCGCCATCGTGGTTTATTTTTTCAAACGCGATCGACCGTCGACTCGCGGTGGCGAGCTCGCGGGGAGGCTCGCGCGCGCGAGGCGGGCGAGGATACGCTAGGCGTTAGCGAGCTGTCGCGGACGCGCGATGCCACCCGGTCGCGGGCGTGCGTGCGGCGCGCGCGCGGAGTGACGGGACAGTTCGTTTTCGAGAGCGAAAAGAACAGCTCTAACTGAACGAACAAGCTCGTTTGTTCCAGTGTTGAGGTCTTTCTCGTCGGACGCGCGCAAGGCTCCGGTCTTCCTCTTATCTTATAGGTACTCACTCTCCGCGCCGCCACGTTCACACGTCGATCTCGACGACGTCGTTCGCCTCTTTCCGCCGCTGCGCGATCCCGCGCAGTCGCTTCAACACCTCGACGTAATCGTCCCACCGCTTCGAATCCCTGCCCTCGAACCCGTCGCGTCCCGCCCCCGTCCGCGAGTGCCCGCGATTGTTACCCGTATTGTTGTTGCACGGCGGCGACGCGCACAGCACGTGCGGCGGGCCCCACGTCTCGACGAGCCTCTTCAGCGCGGACTCCGTCGCCCAGTGCTTCGTGTCGATGACGTCGTTCGCTCGCCCGCCGATCGTTTCATCTCCACGCCCGCGACCCAGTTCCCTTGGGGGACTTGCCCCTGCGGAGAAACGAGGTGCTTTCGATCGTACTTTTCGTCCGTGACGGAGCCCATCTGAAGCAGCGACGGACCGGACTGCGAGGACGCGCGCGCGGGGGGGGGCTTCGAGAAGATTTCCTCCGCGCGGACTTTCTTCGCCTTTACCTCCGGCCCAGTCGCCCACGCCTCGACGACTTGATTCAGGTCTTTCAAGATCTCCGACCCGAGCATCACGCGTACCTTTTGGTTTGCGCGTCGCGCGACGTTGTGAAACGCAACCTCGAACGCGCCGACGCCGTTGAACAGGACCCAGATCGACCACCCCCCGGACTTTTTCGGGGACTCGCACCCGCGCATCCTCCAGTGCGCGTCGTCGTCGTACAGCTTCACGAGCGGCTCGAAAAGATACTCCAGGACGTTCACCTGGATGCACTCGCCCATCGCGGTTTTTTTCTTCCCACTCGTCGCGAGCACGGAGAGGTGATGCGCGGGGAAACCGAACAGGTCCTCGACTAACAGCGCCTCCGGCGGGTTCTCCAAGCGGTCTGACCGCAGGCGCGAAGGGACTAATCCGGAGACGCGGCAGAACGACGCCGCGGTCTTGCGGTGTTTCCCCGTGGACACGTACACCTTGGCGAGGTCCGCGTTTTTCGCGATGAGCTCGTTGATCTCGCCGAGCATCTTCCCGTCCACCTCCCGGGCGTTCACGCACATCAGGTAGTCTTTCGGTTTCCCGAGGTTTTTCGGCCACCACGACGTCGGCCCAGACCCGAGCTGCGTCACCCCTAGCAGCTCTTCCATCGTCTTTTCCACGCGACGGTGCGACGCGAGAGCGCCGTGACCGCTCCACGTGAGCGCGAACAAACGCTTTCGCAGCATCCTCGCGAAACACGGATACGCGTTCAGAGGGACCAACTTCCCGACGCCGATCGCGTCCACGACGATCTTCTCGTGCCGTGCTCTCTCGTCCAAGTCGAACGCGAACTCGACGCCCTCCCAGATCGTGTGCGGGCCGTGGGACGTCTCCGCGTTTCCCGCGCATCCTTCGCAAGGGTTCTTTCCCGGGGAGGAGTCCCAGCGCGCGACGGAAGTCACGGCGGCGTCGCGAGAGGACCGCGACGCGGCGGATCTGCCGCTCCCTCGCGCGTTTCTTCGCCTTCCGCCGACGCCTGCGAAGTCCACGTCGTCGTCGGATTCAGAGTCCTCGTCGTCGTAGTAATCTCCGCACGTCATCGCGATCGCCGGTTTCATCCGAGCGCCGACGGCCGGTCGCGACCGTTTTCTGCTGGAAGGACGATTCGTCGTCATCGCCGCGAAGTTTGAGATCAGCGAGTCGCTGATGATCAGCGCCGTCCCGGTCCGTAGCTTCGTGTCCTTGCGCCCGTGCTCGCGCTCGAGCTGCTTCCACTTCTCGTGTGGAATGCCCATCCGCTTCGCCGCGGACGCGAGCGTCTCTCCGTCTACTGGGTTATACACCATAAACTTCGTGTTCCCGAGCTTGGTGCTCGTCCCCGGGTCCGGGAGGTCCGCGTTCGTCGCCGCGTCGTCGTCCGCGGGCGCGGAGACGCCGGCGTTCTCGTCGCCGTCCTCGCCTCCTTCGTCCACGTCGTTGACGAGCTCGTAAACCCTCAGCTTGAGCTTCGCTTTCCAGCCCTCGCGCAGGAGCGGCGCCGTCTCTCCGAGCGTTTCGTCGCTGCGTACCTCCGCGGGGCACCCGTTTCTGTGATGTGCCCATTCCTCCCCCCCCGCGTCTGCGTTTCTCGGAACGACGCGACACAGCGGGCACCGCCACCGCCCTCGGAGGTCGTTGTGCCGGTCGCGATGATCCGACATGAACACGGACGCCAAGCACTTCTCGCAGAACTCGAGCCGGCACCGCGTCCCGGCTTCGCCGCACGTGACGTGCCCGCACTTTTCGTCGCAGTGCACGACGCTGTCTTCGTTCGAGTCTCCGCACGCGGAGCAGTACGAGTCGCAGTATCCGCCCTCGCCGAGATCCCCGGGGACGTCGTCGTCCGGCTCGCGCTCGTACCACGAGTCATACTCCTGCCTCCAAGGGTTCTTCAACCCGCTCGCGTGCCGCTTACACACGCAGAAGTCGAAGATCGGGTGCGGTTTCAGCTGCCCCGGACAGAGCTGTTTCTTCTCGTCGCACAGCTGGCACAGCTGCGCGGAGTCCCCGCGAGTGAACCCGGTCGCGTCGTCCTGCTCCCTCTGAAGCAGCTGCGACCGCTCGACGTCGTGCGCGACTCTCTCGTCCTCCGCGCGCATCGCTTCGGCGGCGTCCACGTCCGCGGCGGTGCTCGCCGACGCCGCCGACGCGTCCTCGTCCGCGACGCGCCGCGCGAGCGCGAGGATCGCGCCGGAGCCTCCTCCGCGCACGTCCGCCGGTGCGCGTCGAACGCGTCCCACGGTATCTGCTCGCCGCAGTGCTCGCACGGGACCGTCTCGAGGACGTCGTCGTCGTCGTCCGCGGGCTGGATCTCCGACGGCGGTGGAAGCGTCGGGGGCTGCGGCGGGGAGGGACGGCGACGGTGAGCGGGCCGCGGCGCGCGGCGTCGGATTGGCATTTTGGCACCCCGCGATTAGGCGAGGTGCCTACGAGTAAACGCGCTCGAGGACGACGAGAGGACGACGGACGCGCGCGAGGCGCACCTCGACGGACGTCGGCGGCTGATGAAACGTGGACGCCGCGTCGTCGCGCGCGTCGTCCGCGGCGTGGTCGATCGCGTTCCCCGGATCCTCCCCGGACGCGGTCGCGGCGACGTCCTCGTCGCGGTCGATGTCGTCGTCTTCCTCCTCCGACTCGTCGTCGTGGTTAATCTCGTCGTCGTCGATCTCGCCGCGGTCGTCGCGCGGGGGTGGGTCGGGCGCGTCCATCGCGTCGTCCGCCGCGGGGACGGGCACGTCGTCGCGCGGCGCGTCGCCCATCGCCGGCGCGATACGACGCACCGGGTGAGGTGCGCGGCCGCGCGCCCGCGACACTGATCCTCGTTCGCCGTCGTTCCCGGCACCGCCTGCAGTGTGAATCGGTCGTCGGCGGTCGCGGTCGAGCTCTCAGTCCGCCTGGAGTCGTTTGAACGAGTCATCTCAGAGGGGCGGTCATTGCGGTCAGCGCACCGACGCACGCAGCCATGTCCGGGGTCACGCCGACCGACAAGTGCAAGGAGGAGTTCGCGAAGCTCAAGCACAAGCGCGCGTACAAGTTCATCACGTTCAAGATCGACCAAGACGCGGGCACCGTGGACGTGTTGGACCTGCACGCGAAAACGGTGCGCGAGCCGCGGATGTTCTCATCTTTCTCTCCTAGCTAGTGTGCCAACCCGAGGTGGATGGCGCGACGCCGCGATCGTTCGACGCCGCGGACGACACCTCCGCGTCGCGTTTCCGAGTAGCACGACCACGTCGCGCCTCCCCGCGCCGTCGCGGGAGCGAGACGTGCCGTCCGACCCCGCCGCGCGCGCGTCCGCGCGGGGGAACGTCTCTCGCTTCATCGGTCGGGCGGGTCCGCGAAAACCAACGGTTCGCCTCGACGAACACGCCGTCGTTCGCGCTCGCATCCTGACGTCCTCGCCCCCGCGACCGCGACGTTCCCCCGCACAGGACGCGTTCGAGTTCCAGATGGTCCTCGACAAGCTCCCCGCGGACGAACCGCGGTACCTCGTCATGGACTGGGACGTCGAGAACGACGACGGGTGCCAGATGTCGAAGATTTTTTTCGTCAGCTGGGTGCCGGACACGTGCAAGGCGAAGACGAAGATGTTGTACGCGTCCAGCAAGCAGGCGCTGAGGAACGCGCTGGAGGGCGTGCACCTCGATCATCAGGCGACGGATTACGACGAGATCACGCCCGCGGAGTTCAACGATCGCTCGCTCGGGAAGTGATGACGCGTCGGCGACGACGATTCGGCGAGAGGCGCGGACGCGGACGCGGACGAGATCTGGTCGACCGATTGATTACGATAGAGCGCGCGACGGGGTTGGGTCACGAGGAAGGGCGATTTAGGGGGCGTTGAGGGGCGTGAAGCGCGGAGGGGGGTGTCGTGCCGTCGATGTCGACGGACGAGACGAAGCCTCCCGCCGCCGTCGACATTTAGTTGTGAACGAAAAGAGCACCAACACCAATTCGATTTCGAGAGTTCCTTCATCACACGCACCAGCGCTTCCGCACGACCGTCCGTCGTCGCGCGCATGCGTCGCGCGAGGACGCGATGACGACGCCGAGCCGCGAGAGTCTCGGCGTCGTCCTGAACGACCTCCCGCCGGTCGTGCACGCGTTCGCGTACGGATCCGCGGTGTTCCCTCAGCCCGCGTCGTCGTCGTCGTCGGAGCCGTCGTCGTCGCCCGTCCGCGACGGCGAGACGCGCGCGCCGCGCGCGTCGTCGCCGCCGTCGACGTCGAGACCGAGCGGATCCGTCGTCGACTACGTCCTCGCCGTGGACGCCCCGGACGAGTGGCACGCGGCGAACATGGCCGCGAACCCGTCGCACTACGCCGCGCACCTCCGTCTCCTCGGGGCGAGATCCCCGGGCTGGATCGCCGATCGCGTCGGCGTCGGCGTGCACTACAACACGCTCCTGCCGTGGCCGTGCACTACAACGCGCCCGCACGACGGCGCGCGGTTGTACAAGTACGGCGTCGTGAGCGTCGAGGCGCTGACGCGCGACCTGACGCGGTGGAGCGACCTGTTCGTCGCGGGGCGAATGCAAAAGCCGACGACGACGCTGACGACGACGACGGCGGCTTTTGCGGCGGACGCGTCGCTGCGCGCGGCGTCGGAGGCGAACCTGCGAGCCGCGCTCGCGGCGGCGCTGCTGATGCTCCCGGAGACGTTCAGCACGCGCGAGCTGCACGAGACGCTGTGCGGGCTGTCGTACGAGGGCGACGTGCGGACGGCGTTCGGCGCGGAGGACGTCGGGAAAATTCCGCGCGTCGCCGCGGGGAGCCGAGCCGGGCTCCGGGAGATGTACGCGGACGCCATCGCGCGCTTTCGATCGAACCCCGCGATCGGGTTGACCGCGGTGGGAACCAGCGTTGATCGCGGCGATTGCGATTGGGGGCAGGATAAGAGCGCCGCGGCGAGGAGCGCGCTGCTGGAGACGCTCCCGAGGAAAGCGCTCGCGCTCGCGGCGGTTTCGGCGGGCGCGGGCGCGGAGGCCGCCGCCGCCGCGATCGCGTCTCGAGCGTCGCCCGAGCGGACGCGCGACGTCGTTCGGCGCGCGATCGATGCGATCGTGTTTCGGTCGTCCGCGCGGCAGTTGATGTCCGGGATCCTGAGCACGAGCCCGAGGAAGTCGTTGACGTACGCGCTCGGCAAGGCGGTGAAATCCGTCGCGTCGCGCGCGCGGTGACGCTGGGGGGCGGGATAGAAAGTGTGGTGTACCGTAGCAGCGCGTGAAATTAGAATGTAGCGTCGGTCGCGAGGAGGCGGCGAGTCGCGCGGCGAGTGCTCGCGCTCGCGTCGGTCTTTTTCGTTTGGACATTATCCTTTCTCGCTCGTATTCACACGGTTCGTTTGGAAAATCTAACAGCGCACTGCCGGTGTGTTTCCTCGAACGCACAACTCGTTGCGCGCGCCCTGGCCAAGACGCGCGCGTAATACCCCCCACGCGTGACAGTCACCGCGGAGCACGACCCATCCCGGGACGTCCTCTCCGCGACTCTGCCGACTATCGCATTTAACAATTTAAGCAACGACAATCTCGTTCTTGATCGTGTTGATCTGTCCCTGGACCGACATGTCGATGAAGCCGGAGCCGTCCTTGCCGTACTTCACGACGAAGCCGCCGAGGAGGGAGGGGTCCACCTCGGGCTTGAGCTTGATGTTCTTCGCGCCGGTCATCTCCTGGATCTTCTTGGCGATCATGAACTGCTGCTCGTTCTCGAGCTTGACGGCGGAGGTCACGGTCGCGATCTGAGACGAGAGGGGGAGGGAAGAGGGAAGCGGCGGTCAGCGTCGGCTTCCAGGCGGCGGGCGAGTGGATAAGAGCTCGCGGCGGAGGAACGATCGCGACGGGGAGCGACGCGCGCGACGCGACGCCGTCGCGCGCGGGGGCGCGCCCCGCGAGGCTGCGAGGACCTCGCGAGCGCGTCGCCCGCGTCGAAACGACGCCGAACGCGCGCGCGACAAGGCGCGCGCTCGGTACCCCCCGCGCGCGCAATTACAAAGACGACCGCGAAAAAAAATCTGAGGCCAAGCAAGAGGCGCACCTGCGTGTCCGTGGAGTCGCAGTACAGGCTCTCGAACTCCTCGGCGATCTCCTCGATGTTGCCGATGCGCTTCTTGTCCACGAGAAGGTTGAGGAAGTTCTTCGTGAACGGGTGGAAGTCCGCCTCCTTGCCGAGCTTCGCGAGGACGTCCTTCTTCTGAGGCGCCTCCATGGTGGGGTTGGAGAGGAACGTCCCGACGGAAGGGTTCGCGGCCATGTACGCCGTGATCGTCTCCATGTCGCCGTGGACGGACTCGAGCGCCTTGGCGTCGCCGCACGCCTCGACGAGCGCGGAGGCGTAGCCGGACGCGACCGCGGAAGCCTGAGTGGGGGAAAGAAGGTCGGAATCGTCAGAGGACGTCGGAGGACGGGGAGGGACCGAGGGGCGGAATCGCAGACCCTACGCCCGCACGTGAAGCGGAACGCTATCGAAAAAACAATCGCGATGTGGCGACGCCGGCGCGACGCCGCGACGACGCGCGCGACCTCAACATCGCGACGCATCGTCTCGGGATGTCGTGTGAACGCCTCGGAGAAAGCGTCGCGCGCGTCGGGGCGGGAACCGACGCGCGCGCGCGCGTAGATCGCGAGCTGAACGCACCGCGGACACGACGAGAGCGCCACGGCCCTTCGCGTTGGTCATCTTCACGGCCCTGAGGTTCACCGCGCCGCGGGCGCGGGAGCCGGTCGCGGAGCCGGAGACGACACGCGCCGCGAGGGCGGAGCAAGAGATAACAGCGGCCATTGTGCTGTAGAAGTGACGGGTTGTGCGAACACGGGCGTGCGGATGTGACCGCGCGGGGGCGTTCGCCGGCGCTCTCGTTCGCACGCGGAAAAAAAAGCCACTCGCCGCGACCATATCCAAATCTGCGTTCGAGAGGCAGCGGACGCTCGACGCGGGGGTTGCAGTTCGTGAGTCTGAATCGAGCGACGCGATTGGTCGATTTTCACCCGAGCGCGCGAATTCGCGTTCGACCGACTGCGCATTTGTACGCAGTTTAGACTGGCTACCGGACTAATCGCGCACTGCCCCGCGATTTCACTGACTCCCTCCCAACGCGACGGTTGGGGCGATTACGATTCGCGTCGGACGCACGCACGCTTTTTCGACGCGACGCGATGTGCGTTGTCTCATGTCGCTCGTACGCTCGTCAGAACAGAAAGTTGAGCGATACCGACGTCGTGAGCGCGCGGACGTAGTGCCAGCACCGCGCGGGGATGTAAATGAACTCCCCGGGGCCGATGACGACGTCCATGTGCGTCGCGTTCGCGAACAAGGGGAACTTGGTCAGGTCCGGGCGCTCGACGTCCACCCTCGAGATGTTGCCCTGTGCGTCGCGATTGCGCCGCCCGCGCGGCATCGCCGCCGCGCCGTCTTCGTCCTCGCCGCCGCCGCCGCCGCCCCCGTCTTCGTTCGCCGCCGCGTGTTTCCTCCCGTTCTCTCCCTCTCCCTCCTCCTCCTCCTCCTCCTCCGCGCCCGGCCACGAGCGGTTCTCCGCCCACGCCCCCGCGTGACGATACATGAACGCGCCGTCGCTCTCCGCGTACAACCGAACGAACTTATACCCGGCCACCTGCCCGAGTAAGTTATCGTACGAGTCGAAGTGGCACGGCGTGACCGTCCCGGCCGTACCTATCCACGCGTTCACGCGCTGCACGCCGCCCGCGACGCCGCACACGTCCGGGGCGTCGAAGTCGCGGAGCAGCGACGGGAGCTGCTCGAAGAGCTGATGCTGCGCGAGATACGCGACGTTCTTCGCGCCGCCGCCTTCCTCGTCGCCGCCGCCGCCTTCCTCGCCGCCGCCGCCGCCCGCCGCCGCCGCCGCTCGCTCCTCTTCCAGCCCCGGGAGTAAATACTCGTCGATGAACCTCGACAGCGGCATCGTCTCCTCGCGCCAACGCTTCGCGTCGTCGTACGCGCCAATCTCGAGCGGGACGTTTCGATGCCCGTGCGTCGCCTTGAACCACTCCAGATTCCGCCACTTCTCTATCGCGGGCCACGCCGCGCCGATCGCGCCCAACGCGCACGGCTTGTCCGCGTTGAAGAACCGTCTCTTGAACTCCTTCGGGGTGATCCCGTCCGCGCGCTCGAGCGCGTGCGCGGGGTCGATCTTCACCGCCGCGCGCACCGGCAACGCGTTCGGAATGAGCGCCGCGGCCCCGGTCGTCGTCGTCGTCGTCGTCGTCGTCGACGTCGCGTCTTTCCCACCACGGCGCGCGATGAGCGCCTCGATCGCGGCGCCGAAGCGCTGCACGATCTCCCCGGGCCCGCCCATGATGTGCGCCATGTCCACCGCGAGCATCGCGCGACGCAGCAGCGCGGTCTCGCTCTCGTCGTCGCGCTCGTTCGCGTCGTCCGCGGCGACGTCCGCGCGCTCGCCCGCCTCCGCAGCCTCTCTGAGCTGCCCGAGGACGTAGCACTCGCGCCACGCCGGCGTCGTCCACCCGACGCCGGTCTGAAGGCGGTCCCACGCCGCTTTCGCGGCCGCGGCGCCGGACCCGGGGGGGTCGCCGCGCAACGCCGCGCGAAGGAATTCCGCCGCGCGGACGTCGCCCGCCGCCTCGAGCTCGCCCGCGGCGTCGTTCCCGAACGCGTCGCCGAGGGAGCTCAGCGTCGCGCGGAGCTCATTCCACGGTGCCGACGGCGGGTCGGGAGGGCCCATCGTCGGGCGCGAACGCGCGACGGGCGCGGACGAGAGGTATGAACGCTCCGAGGATCGCGCGAAGGCGGTTGGTTTTCTCTGCTCGCAGTCCGAGTCACGCCAGGTTCGTTTGAGTACAGCTGTCGCTCGGGGTACAGTACCCACGTGGTCACCGTTCGCAGGACGCGCCCTCGCGCGCGTCGTGCGCGTTCGTCTACTCATCGTCTACCCTCCCCCCCCCGGTCACCACCGCTCGCGGTCGACCCGCGCGCGCCTCGCCCCGAACGGCGGCCGCGACGGCGACGCCGGCGTCGGACGCAACCGCACCGGCGACCCGCCGCCCCAGACGCGTCCGCCGCCGCCCGGTCCCGGTCCCGGTCCCGGTCCACCGCTCGGCGGGCTCACCGCATATTCCATATCGAGCTCGAACATGAGATCGCCGTGGCCGTCGTCCCCTGACGACGCGCGGCGGCGGCGGCGGCGGCGGTCGGCTTCCTCTTCCTCTTCCTCGCGTTCGCGGTCGACGTCGTACATCTCGACGTCGCGAGTCGTCGGCCGTCGAATGATGAACCCGTCCCCGTCGAAGTCGTCCTCGTCGACGTCGAAATCGCTGAAGTCGTAGTAGTCGCGGGACTTCGCGAGGTGTCGCCGCGAGCGGTCGCGGTCGCGGTCGCCGCGCCCGCCGCCGCGCAGCTCCCTCGCGGCGAGGACGCCGACGTCGCGGACGTTCGGCGGCGGATCATCGCGGAAGAAATCTCTCCGCCGCGGCGGCGTGCGCTCGCCCTCCCACGCGTCGAACGCGCGCCCACTCGGGGCGATCGTCGTCGGCGCGCGCGGCGGCGACCACGAGCGCGAGTCGACGTGCATCCCGTCGCGCGCGTCGAAGCGCGAGGAGGGCTCGTTGAACGGATCACCGAAGCCGAGGCTCGGAGGAGGCGGGGACGACGACGGGCGCCGTCGTCGACGCGTTCGCTCGTCGTCCTCTTCCGGCGCCCATCGCTCGAACGCGGAGCGCGGCGGCGGCGACCCGGAAATGAGGACGGGTGCAGCGCTGCGCTTCATCTTCTCCGCCGCGTCCGCGGCTCGCGCGCGCATCTCGGACACGACGCGGTCGGACAAGATGCCGCTCGCGGCGTTCGTCCGTCGCGTGCGCTGCCTCGCGAGGTGTTTCGCCCCTTGCGGGTCCGCGAGGTGCCTCGGCGCTTGGAGACGAGCGCGCGCGCGTCCTTCCGGTGGAACCGCCGCGGACGTGCGATCGCGCCCGAGGAGGGCGTTGACGAACGCGGTAGGCGAGGGGTGCGCGGCAGCGGGAGCGCGAGCGGGGGAAGTCGCCGCCGGCGAGCCCGACCGAGAAAGCGACCCCTCGCCCTCGTCGCGCGCGGCGACGCGAAGCGACGGCGGCGGCGGCGCGCGCGCGCGCGCGCGCGCAGGCGAGGGCGAGGGCCAGCTCGACGCGGTGACATCGCCGCCTGTGGCGGCGTCGAGGTCGCCGCTCGCGCCGCCGCCCGGGCGTCCACGCAACGGCGTCACGAGGGTCGCGGCGTCCGCGAGGAGGTCGAGCGCCGCCGCGCGGGCTTTCACGCGCGCGCCTCGAAAGACGCCGTCGTCCGCGGTCGCGGCCGTCTCGTCGACGCGCGGGCCGCCGAGGTTGGTCATGTCGCGCGGGCCCATTGCGCGCGCGCGCGTGGATATCCGCACGGGCGCGCCGCGGACGTCTGGCGGCGACGTATGGCGGCGACGACGACGGGACGGAAGGCGCGTGCCGCGAGAGACGGGACAGGAGCGCCTAGGCACAGCTGGATTTTCGTGTCGTGGTTTTTTCGATTTCATCAACGCTCACGCCGCGGCGGCTTCCTCCGCGTCCTTCGCCGCCTTCGCCGCCGCCTCCTCCGCCTCCTTCGCCGCCGCCGCGGCCGCGCTCTTCTCCACCCCAAACATGCACGTCAGGCTCTTCGTCGACCTCTCCTCGTTCAGAACCGTCATGAGCTCCTCGAGCTTTACCTCGCCGTGCACGACGTTATCCCGCGTGCGGACGTTCACCGTCCTGTTCGTCTTCTCGCCCTCGCCGACGACTAAGATGTAGTTCCAGTGTTCGAGCTGCGCCTCGCGGACTTTCTTCTGCATCTTACGATCGGTCTCGTCCACCTGAGCGTGGTGCCCGGCTTTCCTGAGCTGCTTCTTCACCTCCAAGGCGTACTCGCGAGACGCCTCGGAGATGGGCACGAGCATCACTTGCTTCGGCGAGAGCCAGTACGGGTACTTCCCCGCGAAGTGCTCCGTGAGGATCGCGAACATTCTCTCCACAGACCCTAAGATCGCGCGATGAATGATGATCGGCCGCGCTGGCTCGTTGTTCTCCGTGACGTACGACAGGTTGAACCGGATCGGGAGCTGGAAATCGAGCTGCACCGTCGCGCACTGAAACCGCCGCTTCAACGCGTCAAAGACGGTGATGTCAATCTTCGGGCCGTAAAACGCGCCGTCGCCGGGGTTGAGCTTCCACTCCTTCCCGGACTTGTTCAGCGCGTTCCTGAGCGCGTCCTCGGCTTGGTTCCACACCTCGAGCTCGCCGAGGTACCCCTCCGGGCGCGTCGAGAGCTTCATCTCGTACGTCAGGCCGAAGACTTCGTAGACCTCGTCTAAAAATTTCATAAAGTTGACGAGCTCGTGCTCCATCTGATCGGGGCGGCAGAAGATGTGCGCGTCGTCTTGCTGGAACCTCCGCACGCGCGTGAGCCCGTGTAGCGCGCCGCTGAACTCGTTCCTGTGAAGCACGCCAAAGTCCGCGAGCCTCATCGGGAGCTCCCTGAACGACCGCTTGCGGTGGCCGAACATCACGCAGTGCCCCGGGCAGTTCATCGGCTTCAATCCAAACTCTTCCTTCTCGACGTTGAAACTGAACATGTTCTCTTTGTAGTGCGCCGCGTGCCCGGACGTCTTCCACAGGTCGAAGTTGTAGATGTTGGGCGTGACGACTTCGCTGTACTCGTACTCCCAGTACTTCTCTTTGATGAAGTTGATGAGGTTGTTGTAAATCGTCGCGCCGTCGGGAAGGAAAAAGCACGACCCGGGGGAGAGAATGTCGAAGAAGAACAGTTCCTGGTGCAGACCCAAGACACGGTGATCGCGCTTCTTCGCTTCCTCGATGCGAAGCTTGTACTCTTTCATGAGCTTATCCGTCGGGAACGTCACGGCGTAGACGCGAACGAGCGGGTCCTTGGTGACGTCCGCGCGCCAGTGCGAGCGCGAGCACTGATTCACCGTCACAGCCTTGATCCACGCCGTGTCCGGGAGGTGCGGCCCGCGGCAAAGGTCGACCATCGGGCCGCATCTGTAGCACGAGATCGTCGCGTCCTCGGGGAGGTTCGTGATGAGCTCGACCTTGAACTTGTTCTCGAGGAACATCTCCAGGGCTTCGTCGCGCGAGACTTCGATGCGCTGAAACGGCTGCTTCTCCTTGATGATTCCCTCCATGCGCTTCTGGATCTGCGTCCGCTCGTGGTCCGAAAGCGTCTTATCGCCGAGGTAGCAGTCGTAGTAAAACCCCTCCTCGATCGACGGACCGATCGTCAGGTCCGCGCCGTACTCGAGCTCGAGCGCTTCGCCCAAGACGTGCGCGCTCGAGTGCCAGTACAACTCTTTGCCCTCGGGGTCGTCGAACGAGAACAGCTTGAGCGCGCAGTCGCCCTCGAGCGGTCGTCGCATGTCCCAGTCCTTCCCGTCCACGTGCGCGAGGATCGACGCCTGCGCGAGCTTCTTGTGGATGCTCATCGCGATGTCCCACGGCGACGTGACGTTCTTCACCGCGTCGCGGACCGCGCCGTCGGGCATCGTGACCTTGATCGTCTCGTTCGACGCCTCCGCGGCGGTCTTCCTCTCGCCCTCGCGCGCGAAGTATTTCTCGAAGAGCTCGATGCGCTTCGCGTAGTACGGGCTCTTTTGTTCGTACGGGGACGGCCCGGAGGGTTCCTCCGTTGGGGCGGCGTCCGTTGGGGCGACCGCGTCGGGAGCCATTTCTTCTCTGATGAGACGAGCGGGTTGGTTTTCTTCCTCCAGTCGTCTCCGCCTCCGCGGCGCGGGTCCTGTCTCGCGATCGAACGCGCGAGTCGAGATGCGACGGCCGGGGTCGGAACGACCGGGTCGGCGAGACGGACGTTCGAGCGACGATCGAACGCGCGCGGCGAGGACGGTGTGTGCCCGACCGATCGCGCCTCGACGCGCTTGAACCTACGAGCATCGAGCGGGAGAAGCGCCGCCGAGCTCAGCTCAGGTGCGCTCGATGAAAAAGTTGTTCACCCATCCCGCAGTTTCAATATTTGATCGCATTCCCTTTCAACTGACCGATCAACTTGTTTTGATGGAATGCTACTCATCAGGCGGCGTCCTGTCTGGTCCCAGGCGCTGCCAAGTGTCCGCGCGCGCGACACAACGTCGCGGCGCCGCGAGAGAGGGTAACCACTCCGCGTTCACGCCACCGCTTCGCAGACGCCGACGATGTCTCTCGCGTGCGTCGCGCGCGTCGCGCACGTCGCGGCGTCCGCGCGTCCCGCCCCCCGGCGACCGTTCGCCCCGGCCGGCGGAGCGACGACGTCATCGTCGGCCCGATCTTCAACCGTTTTTCCATCATCGCGCCGACGTCGTCGCCCCCGTCCATCTCGCGCTTCGTCGAGCGAGGAGGTCACCCCGGAGGAGGTCACCGCGCCCGCGAACGCGCCCGTGGAGACGCCGGAACCCCCGGTCCAAGTCCCGCTCGGCCCGATCGCGCCGCTCGCGTGCCCGGTCACGTTCGAGCGGCTCGACGCGGACGGCGTCGCGCCGTCTTCGAATCTGAAGTACGCCCCGGACGAGCTCGGGATATGGGACCTCACGATCGGCGCCGCGGGCGGCGGCGCGAAGCCGGCGTCGATCACCGACGTCGTCCGCGGCGCGTTACCGAAGGAACTCCGCGGGTTACTGCCGACGTCGAGCTACCTCGGCACGAGCACGTTCGAGACGCCGCAAGTCGCGTTCGCGTACGAGCGCGGGTGGAGGGACTCGTTCAAGCGCGCGGGGTTCCCGGGGCCGGACGAGGAGTACGACCTCGCCCGCGCGAAGCTGCTGCCGCACGCGGCGGACAAAGTCCTCGTCGACGCGTCGTGCGGCAGCGGGCTCTTCACGCGCAGGTTCGCGAAGAGCGGGGACTATTCCGCAGTCGTCGCGCTCGACTATTCGGCGGCGATGCTGACGCAAGCGCGTCAGTTCGCGATCGACGAGGGCCTCCTCGACGCGTCCGGCGCCGCGAAGGACGACAACACCGACATAACGTTCGTGCGCGCGGACATCGCGCGGATGCCGTTCCCGGAGGGGTCCGTGGGCGGCGTCCACGCCGGCGCGGCGATTCACTGCTGGCCGGACCCCCGAGCGGCGGCGGCGGAGATCGCGCGCGCGCTGGAACGCGGCGGAAGCTTCTGCGGGACGACGTTTCTCACCCCGCGGGTCCCGTTCCTCGACGACGCGGGGCAGCAGCAGTTAGACGCGGCGATGCGGGAGGTCCAAGACGCGATCAGCGGGCGGGCGGGCGGCGCGCGGGGGTTCAGGATGTGGAACCGCGCGGATCTGAAGGACCTGTGCGAGGAGTGCGGGCTCGTCGACTTTGAGAGCGACGTCCGCGACGGGTTCATCTTCTTCAGCGCGAAGAAGCCGTGAGAAAGACGCGATAGAATGAGTACTGTATCAGAACGACATCAGATGTCGTCCCCTAAGTTTGCCTCTATGAGCCGCACGCACTCCCCCACGGACGCGCCGGCGGCCATCTTCTCGCTCAACTTTCGCACGCACGCCTCGTGCCGCCGCAACAGCGTGATCGTGTTCAACACCGCCCACCGCACTTCGCTGTCGCTCTTCTTCTGCGTGAACGCGAGCGCTCGTAACATCCCGTCCAGCTGTCGCACGTCGGACACCCCGCCCTCGCTGAACCCGAAAGCGATGTACTCCATGCTTATCCCCGCTAGCGCGACGCAGCTGAACCGTCCCAAGCTCCCGCTCCCGATTTTCCCGCGCGCCACCTCTCTCTGGAACGCGCCGTCGCAGAACGCGCACCCAGCCTGGACGTTCAGCGCGCCGTACTTCTCGTACGCGTCGAGAGACGACAGCGTGTACCCTTTCGGGAGGATCCCCATGAGGTACGCCACGAGGAAGTGCGCCGCCTCGTGTATCCGGAGACGCGCTTTGTACTCTGTAGACGTCGTCTGCGCGAGGGTATCCAACACCAGCGCCTCGACGCCGCCGCCGAACCCGATCTGGTCGACGACGAGCGCGCCGGCGGCGACGGACGCCGCGGCCGCGAGCGTGGAGCCGCTCGGATGCGCCGCGAAGATCCACCCGCCGACGACGAGCGCGAGCGCCTTGGAGACGGCGTCGCGCAGATTCGATATCGTGCTCTCCGTCGGCGACAGCAGCCTCTCCGCCTCGATGCCGTTGAGCTTCAGCTCGCTCAGCGCGTAGTCGCGTCTGGGCACCAGCCGCGCGGCGCCGAAGCCTCTCAGCGCCCCGGTCGACGCCAGGCACGCGACGATGTCCACGGCTTCCCTCTCCGCGTCGGCCGCCGCGCGCGCGACCGACGTCGCGGACGCGGACGTCTCGTCGTCGTCGTCGTCCGGTCCGCGCGCCCCCTCCGCGCGCATCGCGACGGACAGCCGATCGTCCACGGCCGCGAGCGCGGTCGCGAGGCCCTCGCTCGCGATCGAGGAGATCTCCTTCGCGAACGTTCGCGCGGGCGGCTCGGGCTCGGGCTCGGGCGGCGCCTCGGACGAGGACGACGACGACCCCTCCGCGCTCGCCGCGCGAGGGCGAATCCACGTCGGCACCGCCGTCGACGACGGTCCGCGCCCGCGCGTCCTCGCGCGGCATCCCGCGCGCGCGCGTCGCGCCGTCGACGCCGCGTTGGGCGCGAGGCGCGCGCCGGGCGTCGCCGAGACGCGCGCCGCGACCGCGCGCATCGTCGTTCGCGCGTCCTCGCGTCGTTCGACCGACGAGATCTCCGCGCGGTGCGACCGCCTTCTGTCGACGCCTTCAGGAGTCCGTCTCGGAGCAGATCTTGTTTCGAGTCGAGGCGATTGACTCTTCGACAGACCGTCGTTTCTCACCGATCGATCTCGAACTGATCTGTGATTCGCCGAGCTGTCGCTTTCGGGTAACACGGCCGCGCGCGCGCACACCGACGTCGCGCGCGAGCTTCAACCTCCGTTCCCACACGCACCAAATGGCCTCCGCCATGATGACCGTCGCGCCGTTGCGCGCGTCCGCGTCTCCGAACGCGTCTCGCCGCGCGTCGCGCGTCTCCAGCCGCGTCGTCGCGCCCGCGGGGCTTCGCCGATCGGCCGTCATCGTCCAGGGCCGTCGATCGAGCGCGGCGACGATCCGCGCGGACGCGATGAAGGACGCGATGGAGAAGTACAACGAGATCACGTACAAGATCCCGCCGGTGCTCACCGCGGCCGCGGTCCCGGTCGTCGCGCTCTCGCTCCTCTGCAAGACGCTCACGGGCCACGGCCTCCCCGGCACGCTCCTGGGCTCGATCGAGGGGATCTCCTGGCTCGTCCTCCCGCTCGGCGCGGGCGCGCTCGCGCCCAAGCTGGGCGACCTCGGCAAGGCGGGCGACGTCGGCGAGGCCATCAAGATCCTCACGACCGAGGGCAAAGCGTACGAGGGCTTCGGGCAGGACTCCCGAGGAAAGAACGCGACCGAGCGCCTCGCGTCCATCACGAAGACGGTGGACCCGAACTCCCCGCTCGGGCAGCAGATGGCGGACATCGCCAAGAGAGAAGCCGAGCTCGCGGCGGAGACCCCGGAGCAGAAGGCGGCTCGCGAGAAGCTCCGCGCGGAGCTCGCCGCGGAGGCGCTCGGGTTGGGGAAGAACATCAGCACGGACAGCGAGAAGGAGGCGGACGAGAAGGGGCGGGACGGGCTCCTCGCCAAGCCGGTGACGCAGACGCTCAAGGAGAGCATGACGGTGGAGAACTACGACGTGGACGTGACCAAGTACGACGACAAGGCGCTGGGGAACAAGCTGAACCTGTCGTCCCCAGACGTCGAGAAGGGGGCGCCGAAGAACAACGCGGGAGACAAGTGGAGGGAGCAGTACCGCCAGGAGGGCGAAGACCAGGCGGGCGCCGCGGAGTAGGAGGGATCGAGATCGATCGAGCCGCGAAATCATTTCATTCGACGACGCGTCTTCGCGTCGCGTCGTCGCTTAACACCCTATTGATATAATAACCTTAATTCAACCCGGTTGAACCCTAATCATCCATCACATCACATCGCCTTCAGCGCGTCCTCCACCTTCTTCTTCGCCGCGGCGGATATTCCCCCCGCGTGCTGCGCGAGCGCCTCCTTCCCTAAGCACCCCGCGAGCGCGCGCAACAACCGCGCGTTGGCCGCCTTGATCGCGGCGCTCTTTTCATTCGCGAGGCACGTCACCGCCGCCGGCACCGCGTGCTTCACCACGAGCTGCGGCCTCGCCGGGTACACCGCCTCCGCGAGGTCGACGAGGTACTCCAGAAGCACCGGCTTCGCGCGCGAGACGCCGAAGCACACGGAATGCGACACGTGCTGCACGAGCGACGTCGCGCTGCACGATTCGATGAGCGCGTCAGACGCCGCCGTCGCGGCGGCGCGCGTCTTCTCGTTGGCGCCGCCGACGCCAGCCGCGAGCGCGGGGACTAACGAGCCGAGCGCGGGGGTGACGTCGTCGCCGAGGACTGGTAACACCCCCGCGAGCATCGTGAACGCTTGCACGGAGACTTTCGCGTTCCCGTCCGCGAGGCGAGGGACGAGCGCGTCGAAGACGGCGACGGCGAGCTCTTCGCCAAAGGCGCCAGTCGGCGCCGAGGTCATCACCTCCTCGAGCTCGGCGATCGCCGCGCCGCGCTCTTGCCAGTTTTTCGACTTGAGCTTCGCGAAGACGGGGGTCAGCGCCTCTTTCAGGTGCGCTCCCGCGACGCCGCCGCCGCCGCCCCCGACGCCGCCGCCGACGCCGATCGACATCCGCGACGATCCCGCCGCGCCGCGGCTCGTCCCGCGAGAAGACCCGCGGCTCGACCCGGATCCGCGCTCGTCCAAGCCGCCGAAGCCGCCTGCGGACTTCGGCGAGCCTATCGGGGACCCCAGGGAGGAGGACGGGTATCGCCCGCCGCGCGGCGTCGCGGAGCCGCTCCTCGGAGGCAACGGCGGCGGGCCCTTCTCGATCACGTCCCGCACCGCCTGCTTCTTCCGCTCTGGCAGTCCCTTGAGAAGCTTGTCAAACTCAGAGCCGCCGCGCAGGTGCCTTTGGAGGTGACACACCGCTCGTTTCGCCATCGCGCGCGTCTCCGCGGCGCCTTCCTCAAGCAACGGAACGACCGCAGCGAAGGTTTTCTCTAGGAGGTCCCGCGACGCCGCGGAACCGTAAAACGCGCCGTCCGCGGCACCCTCGCAGCACGCCTCGACGTGCGTCGCCACCCGCAGCCTCACCGTCGGATTCTTGTGCTTCGCCGAGGTGATGAGACTCGCGAGCACTCTCGTGTCCGCGAGGTGACGAATGAACCCCGCGAGCGCGTCGTCCGCGGCGACGCCGAGCCAGTTCGTCTCGCCGCTCTTCTTCGCGAGCGCGGGGGCTAAGTAATCGAGCTCCGCCTCCATCGCGCGCGGATCCAAAAACGTCGTCATCTCCACCACGGTTTGCATCGCGAGTTTCGCGATGGACGATCGAAGCGCGTCGATCGCGGCGATGACGCCCAGGACGATCGCGTGCAGCGCCGGGATCACCGTCCTGCCGTGATGCACGACGAGCCTCCGCACGGTGATCAACCCCTCGTGCTGCGCGAGCCAGTCGAGCTCCATCGGCTTCGCCGTGGCCGCCGTCGTGAGCGACTTGACCGCTTTCCGAAGCGCCGCGTCGGGCGTCTCCAAGGGAAGGAGCTGCTCCGTCGTGAGCTCCTCCAGCGGCGTCGCGTTCGCGTCGAGCAGACTCCCGCTCCCGGGCCGTCCCACGAGCGACCGCCGCGCGTTGCTCTTCCCGTTCGGCGACGCCGCGGGGCTCCGCGTCGCCGTCGGCCGCTTCGCGAACGCGTCTTCTTCATCCGCGCCGACGTTCGCCGGCTGATTGCCGCGGCCGAACCCTTTCGGGGTCGCGACGCCCCCGCGCGCGAAGTGCCCGCCCGCGGCGGCGGCCATCGCCGCGGGGCTGCCTCGCGGCTGCGCGCTCGGGCGCATGGAGTCGAACGACGCGCGCTGGTCCAGCGACGACGTCCGCGACAGCGTCGGCGGCGTCCGCCCGCGTCGGGCTTTCAACGCGGAGAGTTTTCCCTGCGTCGAGTCGACGCTGTCCGGTCGACGCGACGGAGACCCGACGGGCGACGCGAGCCCGTGGCCGATCGTCGCGTCTTTCGGCGTCTTATCCGACTCCGAGGACAGCGGCCCGACCTGGTACTGCGAGTCGTCGTCGTCCGCGCCGGTGCTTATCCGCAGATTTTTTATCCCCTCCCGCGCTTGCATCCTTCGCGCCGCCACGCTCGGCGCCCTCACGTCGCCGTTGTCCCACCCCGCGCGCGATCCCCCCGACGCGCTGCTGCCGCTGTGCGACGCCGGCGTGCTGTTCCCGCTCCCGTTCGCGCGCACGTTCCTCGCCGCGTTCGCCGCCGCGGCTCGTCGATTCAACGCGCTCCCGAGCCCCGCGTTCCCGCTGACTCGCGGCGTCCCTCGCCGGCTCCCCTCCGGGCTGACGTCCACGCTGCTCGTCGACGTCGCGATCGACGGTATCGCCCCTCCCGCGACCCCGGACGGAGACGAGCCCACGCCCGGCCGCTCCGCCATCGACAGCACGCTCCCGCCGCGTTGCTTCAGAAGCGACGCGTGAAACCCGGACGCGCCGAGGCCGTGCTGTCCTCCCCGCTGCGATCCCTCCCCGCCCGCGCTACCGCTTCCCCCCGAGGACCGGCTGCCGCTCTCCGACGGCGTCGCGGACGCGCTGCGTCGCTTCGAGAACATGCTCATGAACGACCCTCGCTTCACTGTGCCCCCCGGGATGGACGGCGCGCTCCCCGGGAAAACCTCGAGACTCCGCCGCGCGCCATCCTCCAGCCGGGGTCGCGTCAGCAACGCCGCCGCAGCCTCGCAGTGCTCCACGAACCCGTCGTGCGTCAAGCTCGGGATGCAGTGGTCGTTGTCTAAGCGCGCCGTGAGCTCTTTTCTGAGCTCGCGATCGATCCCCCCGGAGCGGTCCGCGGCGCGGTCGATGAGCCGCCACGTCTCTTGTTTCCCGCATCGTCTCGACGCCACCGCGAGCGCCTCCACGGCCACCGCCCTCGCCCTCGCCATGTCCTCGTTGTCCTCCTCCGCCTGCGCGGCCGCGAGGAGCTTGGCGATCAAGCGCGCGTTCTCCACGTCCTTGTGCGGGTACGCGGTCGGGTCGAGCATCGCGCCGCAGACGGCGCCGATGGCGTCCTCCTTCTCTCGCGCCGACGACGGCCCGACGGAATTTCGGTACGGCGTCTCTCGCCCCGTCGCGCTCGCTTCCACGCTCACGTCGTTGAACGCGCTCAGCAGCGCATTCATCGTCGCACCGGGAATGAGGTTATACAGCGTGTTCACCACCTGCGTGTTGGCCTGCCGGACGACGTCTTTCGTGTCCCCGAGCTTCTTCACGAGCGTCGGGACGACGACCGGGACGACCGTCCTCGCCTCCGCGCCCACCTTCTCGAGCAGCGCGGTCCATATCTGCAGCGTCGTGAGGGATATCTTGAAGTTCGGGTCCGCGAGGAGCCGGTTCAGGAACCCGACGAACGCGTGCAACGACGGCAGCGCGGCGCGGCCCCCGTCCGGGAGGTTGAGCACGAGGCGATGGAGGGACTCTATCGCGTCCGCGCGGACCTTCCAGTTCCCCAGGTCCTTCAGCGCGTAGACCGTCTTGCTCGGGACGAACCCGAACTCGATCTTCGCGGACATGATCGTCGTCCCCGCGCGCGCCGAGGCTCGTCGCGGGCGGGAGGACCCTTCGGGAGACTCCCGCTCGGGCGGCAGATATTATTCCTTCGGTCACGGCGCGGTCAACTCGCGCCCGCTCGAGAATTTGACCGCGAGCGACCCTTCGCGCGGGGGGGCGTCTCCGCGACGACCGACGCCGCGGTGCCCTCGCCGACCGCGCGCTCGCCCTCCTTCGACTTCCCGGGGCCCTAATCGGTCGCGCGGTGCCGACTCGCGCGCCAGGGTGTGCGGAACCCGCGCGATCGGCGCGCGCGGCTCGCCCGCCCAAAACACGTGAGCCGCACTCCGCTCCGCTCCGAAAGGGCCAAACGACGCGACGCGACGCTCGCGCTCTTTCGCGCCAAAAATTTTATCCACCGCCCCCGCATAAACAGTAGGCACCCATCGCGGCGGCGGCGGAGGCGCGATGGCGCGCGACCCGCCCTCGATGGCGCACGACGTGGCGTATCGCGACTTGGGCGGTCCCACCGCGAGGTGCGTCATCACCGTGCACACGGACGCGAGCGCGGCGTCCGAGTGCGAGGTCTTCGTCGAGCGCGGGAGCGCGCGAACGAGCTCGGATCGATCCCCGGGGACGCTCTCGAAGGACCCGGCGTCGACCGCGACGACGGCGCCGCCGAGAGTCGAGTCGTGGCGCGTCGTCGTCCGCGCGGGGGGCTCCGAGCTCGTCGTGCCGCTCCCGGAGGACGCGCGCGGTGACGACGACGACGCGGTCGGCGTGCGGTGGTCGAAGAAGACCAAAGTCCTGACCGTCACCGCCGCGCTGACGCCGGCGTCTTCGTCGACGTCGACGTCCGACGACGCCGCGTCGAGCTCGTCGTCCGAAGCCCGCGTGCGCGCGCGCGCGGAGATGATGTGGACGCGCGCCGGCGGCGTCGCGCTGTTATCATCCCGCGGGAGCGAGACCGCGGAGTCGCGCGCGTGGAGGGAGACGTACGTTCGCGAGCGGCTGAGCGACGCGCGGCGAAACGTCGCCGCCGCGCTGCGCGGAGGCGCCCCGTCCGACGACGCGACGCTGGGATATAAACCCGCGGCGAGAGGTCGGAAGAAGGACGCGCCGCGCGCGGGGGACAAGGAGGGCGTCGCCGCGTTGCGAAGAGCGCAAGCGGTGCAACGCGCTTTGGTCGCGGCGACGGCGGCGGGGACGGGTCGCCGCCGCCGGCAGATTACCGAGACCGACGGCGGCGTCGAGCCGCGCGCGGTCGCGAAGGACGACCTCGCGAAGATCATGGGGCGGGAAGGCGACGCGTCGCGCGGGATGAAGCGGAGGGAGTGGACCGCGCCGTCGGCGCCGCCGCCCGCCGTCGCCGACGCGCTCGCGACCCGCGTCCCTCCGCGTTGGTCCGACCTCCGCCTCTACCCCGACCAGCACCCGCACCTCCCTCGACGACCTTTAAAACGCGTCGTCCTCGACGGTTTCGCGAGCGATGGCGAGTGCAGGAACGCGTGCGGCGCCGCGATCGTCGCCATGGAAGGTCTCGACGTCGTCGACGGCGAGTGCGCGCTGGCGGCGGACGACCTCGCCGCGCTCGCCGCGTGGGGCGGGCCGCGGGCCGCGGACGTCGTCGACGCGCTGTGCCGCCGGACGCGGCGCGCGGTCGAGGTCGAGTTCGCGGAGCCGCGGAGCGTGTACCTCGCCGGGGCGCTGCTGACGAGGCTGACGCCGCGGGGGGGGAGCGGAGGCAGAGGCGGAGGCGGAGGAGGAGGAGGAGAGCTCGACGCGGAGGGGGACGCCGACGCGTACGACGCCAACGCCGCGCACGTGGACAAGGCGAACATCGCGAGCTACGACTACAGCGCGGTGCTGTACCTCAACGCCCCCGGCGCGTGCTTCGACGGCGGTGAGTTCGTGTTCAGGGACGGCGGCGACGTCGACGAGGTCGTGCTCCCCGCGGTCGGGCGTTTGCTGTTGTTCGCGTCCGGGGCGGAAAATTTGCATCAGGTGCGTTCTATACAAACGTGTTTCACCCATCGCTCGGTTTCAACACTTGATCGCGTCCCCTTTCAACTGACCGGTGAACTTTTTTTGTATGGAATGGCCCTCAGGTGACGGCGGTGACGAGGCGGAAGGACGCGCGGGCGCCCGCGGCGCGGTTCGCGCTCGCGATGTGGTTCACGCTGTCGCTGGATAAAGGCCGCGACCTCGACGTGGAGGTGAACGTCGTCCCCGCGGCCGTTTCTTCCGCGCCCGCGACAGCGGGCGGTGGTGTCCTCCGAGCGACCGAGCTGACGGACTTGGAGCGGATGCTCGAGGAAAAAATCGCGAAAGCGAAGGACTCCCTCGGGTTCGACGACGACGAGCTCGCGAAGCTGCTCTCGAAGCTCGAGTTCGTGGAAGCGCCGCCGCGGTGATAGAGATAGAATAGCAACATCATGAGTAAGTAGCGTATCGTTAATAGTACAGTACGTATATAGATAGAACAACTAGTGGAATCATCGATCGTTCACGCCGTCTTTTTCTTCCCGCCGAGTCCGGCGAGCTTCTTCACCTCCCGTAAAAGCATGTTCACGATCTTCATCCCCCACATCAGCGACACCGCGAGTATCCCGAACCCCCCCGCTTTCACGATGTACGCGTTGTCCGGGCACACCATCGTCTTATACACCAGCGGCGGCCCGATCACGAGGCGGCACACGAGAAACACGAGCGCGAAAATAAGATTATTCATCGACGCCAACGCGCTGTTCTTCAGCCCCATCTCCGCGAGCACCGTCCGCAGGTGCAGGCTCGGGTTCGAGACTTCCATCAAGAACAGGCACGCGACGAGCTCCGAGCCGGACTTGCCCTCGAAGACGCCGCTCGCGAGGCCGCCGATGGTGAACATGTGATGGAAGACGCTCTCTAACTCGCCGACCACGGCGCAGTAGATGAGATCGTAGACGAAGTACGACAGCGAGATCGCCATGCACAGCGCCTGCGCCGGCGTGTTCGCGCCGCCGATGTCGTCGAACATCCCGGCCCAGCCGTTCGTGAAGGTGAGGTACGCGTAGTACACCGCGACGATAGCGTGTATTATGGACACGACCCTGTTGCTGAAGTCCGCGCTGTACTTTCGAAACACGCCGACGCGGAACAGGAGGAACATGAGTCCCCAGCCGAGGGTCCACTGCGTCAGCGAGGACGCCGCGATGGCGCTCGCGGGGACGACGCGTTGGCGCGCCATCGCGAGCAGACGCGCGGTCGCGTGGGTGAGGCGACGAAAGTCGCCGACGAGACCGAGCGACGACGACGCGACGGTCGCGCGCGCGTGAATGCGCGAACTAGGGTTGCAATTTCTGTTCGACGCGGCCGCGTGGAGTTCAACGCGCCCGCGGGAACGACATCAGTGAGAGCAGAGATTTATATTTCGGGGTGTCGTTCAACCGCTAGCCCACCCGCCGCCGTTTGTTCGCCGCTCCGGGCTCGTTCTCGCCGCCGTCTACCCCCCCCAACCCCACGTCCACATCCCCTGCCATCGATTTCCCGCCCGCACCGCCCACGCCGCCGCCGCCGCCGCCGCCGAGCAACATCTCTACGCGAACGACCCGTGCGTTCGGAGCCTCGGCGCACGCCGCCGCCGCCGCCGCCGCCGCCGACGCCGACGCCCCCGGTCGCAGAAACGCGATGACGTGCCCGCCGTTCCCGGCGCCGCAGATGTGCGAGCCCAGGCACAGCGGCGCGATCGCGTCGTACAGCGCTTTCACCGGCGCGGACGTGATCGCGGGCCAGAGCTTCTCTTGGATTTTTTTATGCCGCTCCAACGCGTCGGCGAGTTTTTCGATCCCCGCGTTCGCCGCCTCGGACCCCGCGCCGACGAACGACGACGACGGCAGCGCCCCGAGAGCGTCCAACGACGACGCCATCTCCCCGGCGATCGCGACGCAGGCTTTCAGGCACGCCTCCACGTCCACGGCGCGCCGCCGCCAACCGTCGACGACGCTCGAGGTGACCGCCTTCGCGAGACGCACCGCCCCGGTGAAGACGACGACGACGCGACGCGAGACAAACGCCGCGCACGCCGCCGGCGTCGACGCGACCCGCGACTCGTACTGTGGGAGTGAATCCAACGCGTCTATCCCGCGCGCCGCCCCGGGCGTGGACGTGGACAGTCGCGCGCCCTCCATCGCGCCGCCGACCTGGTCCTGCCACCCGCCGCCCGTCGTCATCATCGCCTCGACGGCGAGGACGGCGTTGAACGCGACCCTCGACGCCGGCCACTCGACGACGGGACGACCGGCGCCGCCGAGGACGCTCATCAAGAACGCGTCCGACTCGTCCGGCTCGTCGCTCGCTTCGACGTACGACTCTATGGAGGTCTCCCCCGGCGAAGACCCCGAGGGCGGGGACACGAGGACGGACCGCCCCGCCCACCGCGGTCTCGTCTCCGCCGCCGCCGCCGTCGTCGACGTCGTCGTCGCCGTCGTCGCCGTCGTCGACGTCGTCGTCGCCGTCGTCGCCGCGAACACGGAGGCTAAAAACGCGTCGCTCTCGTCGTCCTCGTCGTCCTCCCTCCCGTTCGGCTTCCACTCGCACCCGGTGCTGAGCTCGTGCAGCGCGTGCATCACCGCGAGGGCGAGGATCGACGAGGTTCCGAGCCCGGACCCGCGCGGGAGGTCCACGCGCGTGCGGATCTCCAAGCCGAACCCGGAAGCGCCGAGGAACCCGTCGATCACGGACGCGAGCTTTGGTTTTTTCCGCCGCGTCGTCGTCGTCGTCGTCGTCGTCGTCGCGTCGTCGATTCTTCCCGCGGCCGCGTCGTGGGGCACGAGCGCGAGCGCGACGCACGCGCGGTGCAGCGCGAACGGTAACGTCGGGTCGTCGTGTTCCAAGAGCGCGTCCACGGTGCGGATCTCCTCGCTGGACGGTCCCTCCGAGCCGTCCCCGAGCCCGGGCTCGGTCGTGAATCGAACGATCCCGGGTTTCCCGGGGAGCCTCGCGGCGACGACGCGGATCGGCCTTCCGACCACGCCGCCGTCCGCGTCCGCGTCGATCTTCGCGGCGTCCGTCGCCGTCGCGTCCGCGTCCGCGTTCACGTCCGCCGTCGGCTCCTCAGACCCCGCGGCCGTCTCCGCGGGCGCGGCGGCGGCGGCGGGCGCGGCGGCGGGCGCGGCGGCGGCGGCGGTGAGCACCGCGACGTGAAGCACAGCGCCGTTCCGTTCCAGGGAATACGGCGGCGTGTCCGTCCACCCGCCCGCGAGGTTCAATCGCGCGGGGTACTCCACTCTCACCCCGTGCGCGGCTCGCCCGCTGGAGATCGCGGTCGTCGTCGGCGGCGGCGGCAGCTCGCGCGCCGCGGACGCGTCCACGCCCCCTCTCCCGAAGAGCACGCCGCTCGACGCGAACGGCGCGCACACCGCCGCGCGGAGGAACCTCGCCGCCGCGCCCTCCGCCGCGGCTTTCGCGGCGGGGTCGACGTCGTCGCCGGCGGCGAGCGCGAGCGCGACGCGCGACGCGTCGAGGACGGTCTGTCGGTCCAAGCGCTCGCCGCCGTCGTTTCCGGCCGCCGCCGTCGCCGCCGCCGCCGCCGCCGACGCTCTGTTGGGATCCACCGCCGACCTCGTCAGCGCCAACGCGCGTCTCACCGCGGCGTCGACGTCGCTCCCGTCCATCTCCGCCCTCACGGCGCGCAACGGCGGCGCGCGCTCGATCCACCGCTCCACCGGCGTGTCCCGGGTCAGCATCTGACGTATCGCCGCGCCGACGACGCGTGCGCGGAGGCGGTCGCGTCGACCCGCCGCCGCGGCGTGATCCGCGAGCGTCCGCAACGCCTCGCCGATGGACACGCGCAGCGTCGCGACGTCCGGCGCCGTCCCCTCGCTCGCGCCGCCGCCTTTGATCGTCCCCCAGACCCTCAACGCCGCCTCCGTGGCCTCCATCGCGGACGCGCAGACCGGGAACACCCTCGCGGTCGTCGTCGTCCGCGGCTCGTCCTCGGTCCACACGGACGCGCCGGGGCCGGGGTCTAACCCGAGCCGCGACGCCGCGTCGACGACGGGGACGCCGCACAGCGTGCTCTTCCCGGGTTTTTTCACCTCGTCGTGGACGTCGAGGACGATGCACGTCCAGCAGCTCGCGCCGGCGCCGTCGTCGCCGAAAGTCCCGGGAGCGACCTCGATCCCCGCGCCGGTCGCCGCCGCCGCGCGAAGAGGAACCGCGTGAAGAAAACATCCGTTTGGCACGACGGCGCCTCGGGGCACGTCCACGTCGTGGAGTAAACACCCCGCGCCGATCGTCGCGAGCGCGCCGACGTCGCAGTGCGCGACGAGAGATTTCGGGCCTATCCTCGCGCCCCGAGACACGAACGACGCGAGCTCGCACGCGCTCGGGCCCGCGCCTTTTCCCGCGCCCCAGACGCCGTCGGCGCCGACGGAGAGACGACTGACTTTTCGTCCGCCGCCGCCGCCGCCGCCGCCCCCGCCGCCGATGCCGTTCATCATCGCGACGTCCCACGTCCCCAAGCTCACGCCCTGATGCGCGGCGGGGAGCGCCGCGAGGACGTCCCCGTCCGCAACAGAGTGGTGCAAAAGCTCCGGAAGCGTCCCCACGTGCACGAACCGCGAAGGAAGCACGGGCACGACGAGCAACGGCGCGCCCTTCAGCGTCTTCGCGAGCGCCTCCCGCGCCGCGCGCAGCCGCGTCGCCTGAACGCCGCCGCCGTCGGCGGCGGCGGCGGCGGCGACCGTCCCGGTAACCCCGGACGCGATCGACGCGACGTGATCGATGCGCGCGCGGTACGAGTCGTCCGGGTCGGTGCCTAAACACTGCATGAAGTCGCCGTACGCGCAGACCTCCACGCCGGCGAAGACGCCCGGGTTGGACGCCGCGCATCGAACGAGCGCGTCGCACGCGCGGTACCCGATGTGAAACGCGCTGTCCGTGAGAACCCACTCCGGGCCGCCGCCGCCGCGGAATCCCATCGAGGACGGAGAGGGCATCACCGCGCCGGAGGCGTGCATCGTCGACGAGGACGGTTTCTGGAGGCACCGGACGCATTCGAGCGCGGCGACTTTCCGCGGTCCACGCGGTTCCTCGATCGCGACGCCCTCCGCCGCCGCCGCCGCCGCGCGCCGCGGCCGCGGCTTTCAGGAACTTCTCCTCCTTCACGATCACGGCATGTT